TAGGGGTCAAGGCAAAACTTTCGATGGGTTACCATCCTCAAACCAACAGAGAGAGTGAAAGGGTCAACCAGGAGGTAGAGGGGTATTTACAGTTATATTGTGTGGAGTCCCCCAACTCTTGGTCCGCCAAACTCCCATCTGCCAAATTTGCTCACAACTCACGAATCCACTCCATCCATCAAATGACTCCTTTCTTGTTGCTCCTCAGATACAACCTGTCCCCTTACCCTGAAGTGAAACTTACCGTGGTCCCCTTGGTTGATGAAAGATTAGAAAGGCTGGCCTTGAGCTGAGATGTTGCCATCCTTGCACACAAGAAGGCACAAGACCTGATGCATTCACACTCAAAAGGGTCTTATGTCATGCCCAGGGTCAGAGATTGAGTTCTCCTGGATACCAGGCATCTTCGTGTCAAAAACCAGTGTGACAAGATTGTGCCCCAACATCTCAGGCTGTTCACTGTGACTCAGGTTGTGTCCCCTGTCATGTTCCAATTGGACCTTTCACCAACGTGGAAGGTACACCCTGTGTTCCATGCCTCTTGGATCTTCCCGTTCACTGAGAATGACACTTATGGAGCTGCGCCTGCAGCACCACTTCCAGAATTAGTGGATGATGAAATTGAGTGGGAGGTCGAGTCAATTCTAAATCACAAGATTGATGGTCACAGAGGAAAAAGATGCTATCTGGTCAAGTGGAAAGGATTCCCACATTCGTCAAATACTTGGGAACCTGAGGAACATATAAAGGACCATGCATCAGAAGCTCTTGACCAGTACAAACTTGCCCATCATCTGAAAAATTAAATGGACTCCCCTCACTCTGTCAACACTGAAAATGACTATGCCAACCTCCCTGCCTCCTATGAATCCATTTACGACACCAACCACAACAGGCTCATTCCCCCCATCAACATCTATACACCAACCTCTCCCCCAACTTCCCCAGCTGGCTTTTATGTCTCTGGCTTCTCCTTGCCTGTCTCTCAACCCTGTGCATTATCACCCCCTGTTGCCAGGGCTCATGGACCACATCCACTCCAGGGTGTCTCAGTCAAATGTGTCCCCACACCTTCAGTCAGAGTCCCCCACAGTGAGGACAGTAGCCAAAAGGGAAAGGGTAAGGCACAACTTGACGATGACCCTGGTAGTCCAGCAGCCCCCTCCAGTAGCTCCCATGCTCCCGAACCTGCTGACTTATGCTCTGCCTTCACCACCTACTCTGGCGGTGCTCAATGTGCAGCCCTCAACCTCCTTGCAACAGCTGCCTCTGCCTGGCTTGACCAGCAGCGATTACCAGTCTCAGCAAGTGACTACCTGGACGTTGTTAGGGCACTTGACATCTTCCACAATGGGGACAACATTGATGGGTGCTCACCAGAACAGGTTGAGTATTTTGGGATGTTGTCTCAAATCTACAGAGCGTCAAATGTAATCAATGGGTTGGTATCCAAGATCCATACTAGGAAACTCACTGGGACCACACCACTGTCAGAGATCATTATGATCGACATGCTGGAGAAGGCCTCTTCGGATATTACCAAGGCTGTGACAGGTGGGGCCTACCATCATTTATGACACCAACAGATAGGAGAGTTCTTGGCACCTGCTGCTTCCCATATTCTTGATCACATCAACTGAAGCAGGAAGAACCATCAGTTTTGGTAAAATTAAAAGAAGATACCCCCAATCAGGAAAAGGAGAAAGCATGGCATGGCATGGAGTTAGGGTATGTCGACTCAAGCAAGTTGTTTAAAGAGGTTGGTGGTTGACTTGGAATGGGTACTCACAACTCCACCTGGGAGGTTCTATTGCAGGATGCTTTGTGGGCAGGCATGCATAAACACTATCATAACACTGTGCACACCTCCGACCCTCTCCCTGCAGCTCCCTTCATCCCCATCCCTTCTGATCAACTTCAGTTCTACCTTGGAGGGCAGTCCCCTGTCCCACCAGACCATGTCCTGTACCAGCACACCTGTTACCAATGCTGTTACCTGGGACATTGGTCTTGCCAGAACAGATGTGGCTCCTGTTATACTCCGGCCCTCAAGGAACTGCCATCTCCATCGCCTCCATCACCCATCACTGCTCGAATGTGTTCCCACATCTATACTACTCGCTGACCCCTATCTGTTCGCCCCGCTAACGTGACTTCCAGTTCATCCTCAAGGGTCTGAGGACCTTAGAGGGGGGGTGATGTTACACCTCCATCGAGGGTCTTTCCTTTTTTGACTTCTTGCAGTCATGTGTGTCACGTGCCTTGTTGCATCACTCGTAGTTGTCACCATCCTAGGGGCTCAAATGCTCCAGGGAACATTTGGATCTCCTGCTGTCAAGGTATTTCCAATACCTGTCGAGACCACATTGCCACTGTGATCCAGTATTCCACTGCCCTTTCTGATGGATGACTTGTTACATGCCTTGTTTTCAGCTCATCTCTGACTCATTTATATTGCTTAGATGTTGTACTATAGCTCTGGTGTCAGGCTCCTCGCTGCACATTGATTGCGCAGCCAGTATAGCCTTTGTTACCCCCCCAACCCCTGTCATTGACACCATATGACTCTTGTCTGTTTCACTGATGGGATTGTTGATTACTGTGGATACACGTCACGACTGGTACGGTACTTGTACTTAGAGGTATATAAACCCACATACTTCATCCTGTATCTGCAGTTTTTCAATAGCTTGCAACTGAGCTTCATCCCTTTGCCTTAATCCTTGTTCTCTCTCCACGCAAACAACCTTAAAAGACTTGCCAGCAGACAGAACCTCTGTCAGATCATTGCAATAACTCAGCCATAGGGGTTATGACAAGTTTGGCCTGTAGACTCCCACCTTGCACACTTCATGCCTATTCCATTTGAAGAAGTCACTGCCCTCAGGCATAACATTCGTGGGTTGAAGGACTGTGGTGAACTCTGGACCTGCGTTCTTTCTACTGGAGAAAGTTCCTGTCCTCGAACATTTGACAACCAAATGGCTCAAATCTACCTGGCCAGTTTCAATTGCACCCAAGGTCTCCACTTTGATTTTGGACGTGTCTTGCAATCAGACGAATTGACCACACTCATTCTCATTGCACATGATCGTTGAATGAATGCTGAGCTTAGCTTTTTATGTTTTCCCTGTCTCACATCATTTCAGCTCCAAACTGGCGATTCAACTCAAATACTTCATCGTGTGGTCACCCAAAAACTCACTCATTTTGCCTGTAACCCATCCATTTCAAATGCACCAGCGATCATGGTGTTCAGTTCGCTCGAGGGCAGGCTCCCCAATGTGACAGACCTCATCTTCACAGGCTGCACATTGGAGTCAGAAATCAATCATTCTAAGTAAAGCAGACTTGGTCATGCTATTGCAGCGACCTTTCCAGGTGTACACAACATAACATTGCATGTGTTGGATATCCCAGTCTTCTTTGGTTTAGATGGCCAGCCAGACGTCACCACAGACCTCTGAGATCAACTCAAATACATGCGTATTTGGAATGAGGATCGGAAATAACAGGAATGTATCTCCCATGACAGGACAGTCTACTTGGCGAACATGTCCGATTCTCTCTGCCCACGCATGAAGAAGGGAGGGGTGACATATCAATCATGGTCCTATGCTACGTGAGTCATTTCATGCTCCTCTGCTCGTCAATGGTACCGTTAACACAACTCACCATGGCTTGGGGGTCTGAATAGTCCAAATCACAAGTGTGATAAATGAGGGAGCAGAGAAGGTGCTCTGCCTACTGAGTGCATGAGGCTAGCCGAGTGAGGACAAAGAGTTAACCATATCTGACCATGTTCTGATGCATTGGAATGTCAGTGTGTACTATCATTGCAACATTTATGTATTCATCAGTAGACCACTTTGTGAGCTGGTAGTCCTAGGGAATCTGTCCAGTGCTGGACAGCTCTGGACAGCTCTGGCCAGCAAAAGTGATTTACTGATGTTGGGTATCGTTGGGGGATCCACACACAGCACCCCCATGGTATTGTTAGCCAGCAGAGATGACACCCACATTGGGGGGATCCCACAGATTCCACACTGATTTGAGGGATGATCTGGCTTCGAAGGGTTTGCGAGTTGGTCACACTCAAGTCATTTCATAGACAATCAACTGCAAAACATCGCAAGTGGTGAGCATTTCAGGAACCGGGCCCCGTGACTATGGGCAGTCCTTCTGATCGGTCCCCGACTCACCAATCCAAGGACCCATAATACGTTGATCACTTGCTGGTCGACCATAATCCTGCACTCCCGCCTGTCGGGGAGGTCAATCATCAGAGGTGCTTACGGTTTATGAGAGGACACTTCTTGTGAGGAAACTGTTATCTTAGTATGACATGGTAAAAAATCAACTGAGTCATTGATATGACATTCTGCCTCCTTAGGGGCGGAACTGGTCTCAACAGATAAAGCCGCTGTTATAGCACATTGCTTTGCAGCTGGAAGCGGTGCATCAGAAGTTCATATATCGAAGGAGACAGAAGGCTACTAACTCCACCTGCCCGCACTTCGGACCTCATATCTACTCATTACCCCTTCAGTTGGGGCAATGTAGACGCGGAAGTTCTGCGTCATCACCAGTCGCCCCCGTGGCCGACCCCGCTGGAACGAGGGGACGCGTAGAACAGGTTTTACGCTCCGCAATCATGACGAGACACTGGCAAGCTCACGGTTGAACAGGGATTTTGGAGTTCGACTGCGTGGGAACAACTGAACGCAAAAGTTTGATGTCAACAGTATTGACGATCGCAAAGCACGATCACGGTGTGCGCGAAAGTTTCTATGTGGAATATCGTCGGCTAAGCCAGAACAAAATCGATATTCCTCAGCGCGAGGGACACATCATTGATCACCATAATCGACGTCCGAATCTGCCCACCAATCACCCCACTTGTCCTCCAAATCATCATCCTTTGCGGTGTCACTAGGTTCATCCTCCGATGTGTCCTGAATGTCATCTCTCCATTCCCGCCAAGGAACGTCCTGCCCCAGACGCATATTGACAACGCAAGATGGAACGCCCGGGAGATCCTGTATCATAAATATTGTGAGGAAGGAATATCAAAGCCAGGATTCACCATGGGTGAATTTGCATACCATGTGAAGTGTACGAGTCAAAGAAGTCACCTTCGTTTGCTGCATGATTGGGAACCGGTCGACCTCGAAGGTACAATATTCGCGTAATGCATCATGAAGCATTGAAAGAAGGCGTCCTGTCCTCTTCTAGTACGTAGGATGCTTGATACGCGTGAACCGCACATGTAATGGTTTTTCCGTCTGTTTTCGTCGCCGGAACCATTCTCGAAGTTCGTTGACTGCCCCTTCCAAGACGTCTATACGTAGAGAGAGAAGAGTTATACATTCAAGGTCGACCCAGAGATCAGTTCTTTCCCTTAAACCATGGAAAAATCCGCATGCATGTTCTCCCATTTCGAAGTGGCGTACATTAGGGAACGCCTGGCACACTGTTGCAATGGGGTCCCTAGTCGAAGAGCGGAGACAAACATAATGAACCTTGTTGAATGCGGAAGGAATCCCGCCGAAAACTGCGGCCAATTCATCAAAATTGAAATCAAAGCAAGAAAGTTCCGGGGCTACGATCGCCTTCACTAGCATGCTCGGATTGTCGATGTCTATTGTGAGCGATCTCAGCAATGGTAAACGAAGAGACTGTGGTTCGAGTTGCCAGTGACCTATCTCTCCGCAGAGCGTAAGGGTCGTCAGCTTTTCCAGAGAAGGGAGCAAACTCTTTGGAAGGCGACAATTTTGGAGAATTAATTGATCGAGGACAGGAGTGTTATCTGCGGTGGGAAATTCAACATCACAATCCCGTGAGCTTCGGACATTTACGCGTTTGAGACAGGGGAAAGATAGCTCGCTCAGATCATGCAGAAGAGAATGAGCGACTGCCGCACCATGTGTGGATGGTAAGGCTGTGCCAACGGTGTATATAGGGAAGGACGGGATGAAGAAATGCATCGAATCCGGCAGTGTACCACCACTCGGAAACTATAATGTCAAGCGGATGGTCGCGACTCCTTTCCACATGCATCTCCACGTCTAACAGGGCCCAAATAGGACGCGTGCAGATAGTAGACCATAGGGATGGAGTGTTCAGAATGACGTCCCTCCACCAGCGAGATACCCCTGCGAAGTTGTTGTTTCTGGCGGGGATGCAGGCGCCACTCGCGCTGACTAGTCATGGAAAGAGCGAAGTGGAGAATCCGAGAGAACAGTTCTAGAGGTAGACGATCTATAACTGCTACTGGCTGCATTTTGACTATCATGTCGATTTTTTGGCTCTGTATGTCGGCCGCAGCACGGACGTCGAACAATTCTTGTACGAGTTCATATTCTCTCTTCCGTAGTCTGTCCAGTTCGGCTCGCAGCTGATGGAGCTCCTTCTGCATAGTATAGCTGTTTGAAGTATATCGATATTTGGAGGGGCTGGCGATAGATGAACGAGAAGAAATATCTTACTTTGCGAGTTTTTGCACACCAAGAGCCACGGTTGAAGCTAGCTCAGGAAGGTCCGCTGAAACTAGTTCGCTTATGTAGAAACGCCCCTGTTATGATCGTTCCCAGATTCTGATGTTGATCATGATACACGCATCATGATTGCGATACTACATGAGCAGTTCCAGTGAATCGGTACTGCGTCCTATGCTTGCAGCAGTCGTAAATTGACACACATTGTCCTTTTCCCGTTAGTGCAATTTGCAAGGACGAGACAACGGACTGCCGGTCGTGTAAACGTGTCTTATGCAGAATGAGATCTCGAGTTGTTCTCCAAGGGGTGCGAGGCACACATTTATCCGTGACCTTTCCAAAAGCCAAGGCATATCTATTGACCCCAACAGGCGGGAGGCCAGGACCATGATTAGTGTGTATGGGTCCTAGGCATGCTGATTAGATGTAGTGATGAAACTGGCCAGTTCAAGTTGTCGTGCTTGACCGTCGTCACCGTAAGGCACCAGCACTGAAGACTGCTTTTCAGCGTCCTATGAAGTACATACGCTGATAATCTGATCTCTAAGTAAGCTAGTATGCTTAGCACCGCGCTGGCGAGAACAGCAAGGCTTCTGGTTTGCGCCGCGAAATTCTGGCCAATGCAGGTGGCCGCTTCGACAGAGATACATCTTCCGATGCGTCCTTCAAAATGACCACAATACTAACCTTCAGAACGTTCTCAACTTGGATGGAGTGATATACCACTGCATGGGGACTCCCACTTCACTTCACCCTTGGGCGGCTGGGCGTACTCCTGGAGTTTCCGTCATGTTATGCAGGAGTAGACCTTCATATATCTTGTGGCGGTCAGTCCGGGGCTGCGATGCCTGTGAAAACGTGAAGCCTCGTCGGCATCCATGCCGACGTCGCTGTTACGATAGTCTGCGTCACGGAAACCGTGGGGCTGACTGGAAGGATGCCGTGTCGCTCTGGGCGCTTCCCGATGTAGTCGAGGAGCCCAGGAAGCTCCCGGGTACCTTCTCCCCCTATCCATACTGCGACCGTAACCTGATACCGAAGATCCTAAGCAAACAGTGAGTTAAATCTTTGTCACCACTGTCTATGACACCCACCGAAACTTTTCCCTTGGATTGGCAGGGCACCATGTCTTAGTACTAAGCAACCTGAACAAGACAAGAGAACGAAAATATATCCATGAGCTTATTCTTACATCACCTGGGGGTAGCAACTCCAAGTGACCTTGGCCGGCAAGGATCACATCTGCTACTGCAGAGCCACGGCGAAGGGAGGGATGCAAGGCTTCTGGAACGCGGTGCATGCATGACGGATACCACAAGACATTCGCACTGCTCCTAGGGAACTGTGCCCATGCACATTCTATTTAATCTTACTTGCCAGCACGACATATACACGGCAGTGTGCGAATAGTAGGCGGTTGCTATACGTCCTGTTCAAACCCAATCGACCGAAAGGTTTCACTTAGGGATAGGCGTGCCTTTGCAGTCAAACAGGAACGCGTCTCTCGTAGTGATCATGATGCGGTATGTACCACGTGCTCCGGCGCTTGAACGATTGCTGTGTCTCTCAATGACATAAACAACAAGTATAGCGGGCATCGCCCTGTCGAGCGTGGCACTGTTATCAGATTGTGTGTAATATGGCTGGTGAATGGCTGGGATGCAATGAAGCTGGAGAGTGCTGAGGACAATGATGATGATACCACTGATGTGATTGTGATGGACGCCCGACCTTGACCAGTGCGACTCCATCAGCTAGCATACCGTGTGCGGTGTACCTGAACCTACTCATATGCAATGTTGTCCGGTGCTTATGGCCAGATGCCAGACAATCGATACAGCCCTCCTGCACTGCGTCGACAAGCGAAGGGCTCGAAGCTTGCTGAAAGATTTTTTCCGACCATGGTAGGCCTCATAAATGGAACCTCCAAGGACACCCAAGACACTCCTGCCCTACTGCAAAGACCGTTGTCGCTGGCAATCGTCAACCTGTGACTGAACTCTACTCCGAGTCGGCCTTGGTCAGCCGTGTTGACGAGAGACGGTGCAGATTGCACTAAGATATCGGCCTTATATACAGCGTCATAACGTGGACGGGCGTGTTTCGCCGTCTTTCACTGTTTGACACGTTTTCCTCCTGCTTGCTCAGCGTTCGAGTTGTAAAACTTTCCCTTCCGTTATTTTCTTCTTCTGTTATTCTATTCAGCGTCGAGATGCATCACTCGTATTACTCGCCCACGTCTCGACACCCAAGTACAACCTCACCAGCGACGGTGTGTCCCGACATCCTCCTATGACTGACCATTAATCTGACTGTGGACACCCAGTATCGCCATGACCCGTTCTTCACTGTTCAATCGCACCCTTCACCGCACCCTAATGCCCAATCCCCCCAGTCCTACCACTCACATACATCCTACCGACAAGACCGTTCTGACGTGACGATGGCCGTCCACAATCTCATACTATCCATGAAAGGCATTCAAGAATCCCTTCGTCTCTGGTCGCTCTCACAGGCGACACCCGAACAGGTGTCTGATTGCTACATGCAATTCGGGGTCGAATTCAACGTTATCGTGAGGGCATTCGATGGTTATGGAATAGGTACTGGGTATGTCCTTGTTGATAATCTTCTCATTCTTTTGTCGCCAATCCCAATCGCACTGCTTTTCTCCGTTTTTGTTGATATGTCTGTCCGGTGCTGAAGTCCGCTTGCAGGGATCTACATCCAATACCTGCCTCTCTCCGTGCTGCGCTTGAGAATCTCCTTGGCGAGGATCCTTCCCCAGGCGCATTGGCGATGTACATGCCCGAGATCAGAGGCTTGTTATGCGAGCTGTTGCAGGGGTTGAAGGCGAAACAGGCTGCGTGGAAGGCAGCCACGAGTGGCCCACTGAGCGCAGTATCAAGAGAGTGAGAATTTATTAATGCACCTGAACGGCAGGCCGTTCGATCGACCCCGAGGCCTATTCTATTAACCACTGCAAGTCAGCAAATCATCAGTCTAACGATAAAATGGACACCGATGGACCTTTTCCGTTTCACACACTACCTTATTATCGTTATCACGCCTTCACGCATCTTCCATGTAACTTATTCCCGACACGACTTTTACTCCAGCATTATTTGATGTTTTTAAGTGTTTCTCCTCAGGGGTTTATTATGTAAGCAGGCCTACCACGTGTCTCTGCACGATGACAATACTTCATCCAGTGGATGGCTCAGCGGTGTAACTCAGGCCTTCGGGATCTGGTACGTACTGTGAGATACCGGTTGCAAACTAGACCTATTCGTACAGAAATTGTCATGGTGACTTTACAACTAAGTTGTAAGACGGTACCTACATACGTACCAATCTCTGGCGTCATCGATTCATCCATCATGATCTCTCTCTTCCGTCGTTCTCCCCCTGCGCAGCGGAATCGGCTGCTAGAGCATGCAAAATCCTTCATGACCTGCCCAAGTAGTCTCAGGAGGTCGCAGATGGGTCTGGCCTTACTGGAATCAAATCATCAGAGGGACAGGGAATGACGGAATGACGGTCACGACCAGTCAGTGACAGGTTTAAACCATCTATTCGCTTCTTGATGATTGCTTTGTCCCCCACAATGAGATCACGCCAGGCCATCTTCAAGGATGTGGTTGTGCGATTTAGGCTTGTATTCGTGTGCTTGTTGCTTGTGCCCTTCTTGAGCAGAACACCTAGCCCCGAACGCTCATCCCCTGTGCCCCTAGATACAGGGTTCATTTTATTGCAGAGTTTTCAGATTTCTAAAGCGAATTAAGGATACATGTCATGATCAAGGACTAGTGAATTGCAATAATAATCACGACTTGGATCATAACGAACACTACAAAGCCAAAGGAGACTGCCAACTTCAACCAAGCTACATTACCAAACCAGATGGCTGCGGTCCATCCGACGATGGCACACACCATTGCCAGAAACAGGAAGGCAAGTGGCATAATTAGTAAGATGAGAATGGCGCATAATTTGAGCGGACGTTCCTGTGGTCGCTGGTTGATGCCGGAAAAATAGCAATGAGGAAGAAAAATCAATAACTGAGAGCACGCTTACTCTGAGAGTTTCAGGACGCATGGCATTCAAGGATATATATAGGCCAAAGCCACTGAAAACGGCCAGCACAGCGCACGCACTAGCAGCACCAATGAAAATGTAAGGGACTTGGTGGTGCCATGTTACAAAGGTAGTCGGGGGAGGGCTAGTCAGATATGAAGCAGTAATCCTGCATCGGGACAGGCTAAGTGCCACGGACATCGGAGCAAATCAATTCCTGACGTACGTGATGAAAAGGGAGGAGACAACGTTGACAAGTGTTACGCGATTGGTCAAACGCTGTCTGAGTTCATTCCATTCCTTATGATCCTCCTTATCTGACATTTGGAAAAGCGTTTGCAGCGAAGGTATGCCAAGCACGACAAGGAGAAAAACTGCATTAACCACACGCATGAGATAGCAAGAATGGATGGACTGTCAGAGAGGTTTTGGAGCTATCACTTACATCGGCTAAACCAAGGTGCATCTTCAATGCTTTCCATAGTCTAAGAACGAGGATGTAGAATTGTGCTGGTATGGGAAAGGGGGAAAGGCGATAGCACGAACGAAAAAGACCCTCACTTTTCTCCAGATATACAATACCCGTAACGCGCAATGAGGCATTCGGTTCATGGTTGCAGGGATTCCAGGGAAGGCCATGAGGGCCGGAGTAAACCGTATATGAGCTAATGCCACGTTCTTCTCGACTGCTACTAGGAACTGGAAAAAAAGAAAAACCTAGTCTCCTATTAAGGATCACAAATCCAATACTTACTTAGAGCCGGGCAGTGCATTCCCGTCAACAAAGGACGACAGTATGCAATCCAATGTTATCATAGATCTTTGTGGTTGGTGATAGCATTGCATACTTAAACGATAATTACTCCGAAGACGTGATAAGATCACTTTATGTCTTCATTTACGACTCGCACTGTGGAATGATTTGAATTGCATGTGATACCACCCAGTATCAGGAGGCCCTGCACGAATCGTCAACTCGATCCCTGAAGCTTCCATCCGCTGATGGAAATTCTAGGTTCCGATGATCGTGGCTCGAGCCTCAACCACTTATCAGGACGGGTAAAAAGTATCATAGGCGCCGGAGGCCTTGTTGCAAACACCTGGTTCCGATAAGCGCGCAATGGACAATATACGGGGTAACGCCGCCATTATCGTCGAATCGGCTAGCATGGAGGATACAACGTGTTTGATTTGGTGATCCACATGCAGTGAGTCTGGTCACGTCCACCTTGACAAGCGCTTTGGACATGGGAACTCGAATTCAAATGAAACAATATGGTCTCTGCGAGGCGCAAGGATGTCCCTGTTTGGTGATCAGATCCAGCTAGAAATGCTAGCGAATGGCGTAAGTAATTAAGATTTGGCAATCTGGAAAAAGGCGCGCGCTTCTAAGGCAGCTGCATGCACAGGTCATTCATAACTACTTACTCGAGCAACAGCACCTGGAATACTCCAGAGAGTAACTTGGCTTTGTAACGTAAGTCAGCTCATTGCACTTGCTTCAGAGATCTCTACCGACACTGTGGGAAGACGCCCAAGGCCAGAATTCCTGGGCAACTTCGACAGTAGCAGATTAAGTGGCCGTCACGCAGGAAAGTAATCCACAAAAAAAGGCGCGCCTCAAAATCTTTTCAAATGAAAAAGCCACTATGCCACAGGTACCCTAGACACACTTGGTTTATCCTGAGAGCCGGAAAGACAATCCTTTCGCAAAGGCACTGGAGGTGATGGGCATGATAAGGAGGCGCCCATACAACGGATAGTGAAGAGGAGCCAGCTGCCCCTGCTTAAGGTGCGGCACCCTCAAGGCCAAAAAACCTAGAATGCAATTGTAGTGAATCTTTCACCCTTCCATTCCACTCGACCTTCTGAGAAACAGTGAAGGTAAGTAGTGCTCACATTTACGCGAGGGTGCCGGCAAGTTCGGATCAGCGGTTGTGGTTATGCACCTAAACAGAAATTTTCCAAATGGACACATGCTGGATGCGAGGCCAATACCTACTAACGATAGGGCCCGGAGTGCCGTGTCACGAATTTCTGACCCCGATGCACCCTATGCACAACGTAGCGCCGTCGTTATCCTCGAGTGGATTGGCACCGAGGATCCAATGTCCGTGCTTGGTCTAGCGGTGATTAACTTGCAAGAAGTTCTTGTTTTATCTCGAACATAAACGGTCGTCCACTTTACCTTGTCAGAAGGAGCCAGATGGCAGCCGCACAACTTCCAAAGGCTCGTCACCATCCAGGCGCTCCAGGCCGGTCACATCGGATTCACGATAACTAGCGCAGTCACTGAAAAGAGACTGCTGGCCGCGTGCATACTGCATATTACATACTTAGGAAAGTATTGCGGGTAGAGGGATCAATTTAGAAGACCAAAGACATGAGTTCTTGCGCTTCAATTTGCGTGTGACCAGTCTATTTGACGAGCGCTTTGGGCGGGTGATAAAGACAGGGACTCGAGTCAATATTATGTGGTCACATAAGATGTTCAACTTACAAGGTGGCCAGCTGCCGTCGCTTTGACCCGTGTCCAACTAAGGAGACGACAAATCCGATGAGAAACTGCAAATTGGCACTTACCAATACAGCAGAAGGACGCACAGTCAACCTACTCATTCACATCAACGACAGATCATAGTCGCATAGCGATACCAGGAAAATTACTCAAGAGGTGGCCCAAATTTGGTTCCAGTGCCACTGAGTCGTGACAATCTCGCAGCCATCATGTTCCCCCACCATGAACCGCTTTGAGGGAAGGACGAGTCCAGCCTGAAATTTCCGCTATTGCCGTAATTTTCGTGGGATCACTATAGATTAATCAAGCAACGGCCCAAGCCTCAAGCTTGAGAGCATTCGGGAAACCGAAATGCACTTCGCTTCCTTACGCACCCAGCAGAAAGACCGTTGTCAGACACGAGCGATGACAGAATACTTTGCTCCGATATATACGATGATAAATCCTTTCGAGAGTATGCAAGTGTTGACAGGCGGCACGACGCAAGTGCTTACCCAGCAAACTCCGAAGAAGAACCGGCACCATCAATCTATAGGTGCCCCCGATCATGAAGCGAAGCTCGAGGCGTGAAAACCCTACCGTGTAGTCGCCACGAGTATGCCATTCCGTAGGCGCCATCAGCCAAAAAGGCAGCAGTCAGCACATTCGAATTGGAAGTACCCTGCAATATGTGCAAAAGCGACCTGCGTGGTGGTTACGATCACTCCTCGTCAGCTTGCAAAAATTCGTAAGTCATATTGTCGAAACCTTATAGAAGAATGCGCTTGAGGCATACTTCCAGGCAGGTCATGCAGAGTCGCTTGTGCAATAGAGCGCTAATCTATCCCGTTTGCGGTCGGAGCAGTCTTTCTGATTTATGTATTTCTTCATTTTCCAACCTCTCATACTTCCTTCAATTTTTTTTTCCAAAAACCCTAACCTCCCGTAGCCGGAAGTCCACCGTAAGTGTTATCTCGTGCGTCTTCGGTTCCCAGCACCAGCGCTAAATGGATCGTACGAAAGGCGTTAGGCTGCCACACGGGATAGATATCTCGGTTTGCAGACGAGCAAAAACGAGTTTGGCAATTATGTACGTACTTCACCTCAAGGCAAGCTGAAAAATACACACATATTACTGACTTGTGACCCGAGACAGACGGGTTTCACGCAAGATCATGAAAGCGTCCGAATGGACCATAAACCTCGCAGACCCTCATGGTCTACACGCGTGTGGTTCAGGAGGTGCTTCTGGAAAGGGCCCATAGTATAAGCGAGGGTGCTATAAACCCCTACCGACGATATAGTACCTGACCGATTTAAAAGCTCTTGGAGTGCTGCTCAGGACCCGCTCCAATTCAGACGTTGTTTGCTATTCATGACAGAGCCCAACTCTCCGCAAGGTAACCATATATGTGCTGAGAGTCTCGGAGAGTCTCACACTCCAATATCACCAGCATCCTCGTCGCGCGGGTGGTGGCGGACCTGGAAATGGGCCGTCTATACTTGGATGTGCTATGCGTTCCATGTTATCCTTATCATCATACATGTCGTGCTGTTGGCGCTGCACGAATTCCGACGGGAGCAAAATGTCGTCGTTCCTTCGAACATCTCGAACAATGTCGCCTCTGTCGGGGTCACGACCATTTTACAGGTATTCGGAACAGTGAGTTCTTATCTGTACATGTGATCTTCCCCCAAGTCAAATGCATTGTGAACCAGGGTTACGGGATCCTTCTGGTTTGGTTAACCCAACGGCTCGCTCTCCGCCGCGACCTCTTGCAGCACCAAACACTGACAGCAACTCATGACAAGACTGGTGCATGGAGCGGACTTGGTGCAGCACTAAGCACCCTTTTGGATCAATTCAAGTTAAAGGCCGCCGCGTGTGGTGTACTCTTGGTCATGCTTTATCTTGGAGGGATTGCTGTTCTCCATGTCACGTCATGTTCATTAATGAGCCTCGTACCGTTCGACAACACACATGTAGCCAATGCTCCCACACAGTATGGGATGCTGAACTTGGCGAACCTGCCTCTTGACACCTACTGGAACACTGCAACGGCCCTCATCCGATCAATTTCGGGGTACCCTGGACTATTAAACACAACCGGGCTGAGGGGTGCTACCCTGTATGAGACGTTACCAGCAAGGTCGGGCTATGGTAATGCTACGGTCGCTGCGGTTACGTTCGGTGCACAATGCTATTCTCTCACTAACGTCAGTGCTACGTTGAATTCTGGCCTGAACGGGAGCTACACAGTATCAGCGGCTGATGGCAACCAACCTCCTGTGACCTACTCTCCAATCTACTCTCTCTGTGGGTTTGGTTCAACCTTGCAGCAAAACAGGAATTGACTATATGCCAGATGAGAATGTGACTTATGAGGTCTATGCAAATGTTCGTTTTTTCGGTCGGGTCGGGCTGGCTTGCTACTGATGCGATGACTAGGGGCGGGCAGTGACGATTCTCGCTACGCCGCCCATTCTGGATGCGAATAACAATGCTGGATCAACCTTTAACATCACTCAAACTCGTCCCACAGTAGGTGATGGTAAGTCCTTACCCTTCTGCTGCCTTTCCCATTCTCAAAAAAGGGGTTCTGAACCTCTAGTCAATGAAACGGAAACGACGACGATCCAAATCATGACATGCGTTCTATCACTATCGCATCAATCCGCGATTATTAATGCCTCAACAAATGACCTTCTGAGCATAGACCCCGTATCTCCTCTCAACTCAACATGGACGCCCTGGCAGCTCAATTCGACAGAGAATCCTGACCCCGAACTGGACTGGGTATAGCACTAAGCTTCAGTTGGACACGTTGGCGCTAACAAGGCTCATCCACAGTTCGGTGATGCATGGAGCTCATCTGCTATATCGACTGACTTTTATGGTCCCACCCATTGTGGGGAGCAAGGATGCCTCTTGAGTTTTTTGGATGAGTAAGCATTAGCACTTAACACAGATGATCACCTTGACGGACAGTCGATACAGGTACTTGATGGCACTTCTAGGCTGGCAATACAATGTTACGGCTCTCAACCAAAGCAGTGTCCTGTCGTCCTCCAATAATACACTGTCTTACCTTGAAAGCTCTATGGCGCAGGTAGCAAGTGCTGCTGCGTGGGCCGGTGAGTTTACTAGTGAGGCTTCGTGGTTATTTTCACACTGACCGAACATCCACGAAGTCCTTACCACTTCTGGTTACTACACGAATTCGACCGGAGATACCTCCGTTGTTCAATCAGAGTTCAAATTACGTCTGAATGTGAGCATTCGACCTTTTTTTTGATCGCAGAAATTCACTCATAATCCCAGATAAATCTCAGCGCCGGTCCGTTAATCACTTTTATATTTTGGTGCCGGCTGACTTGTTTTTCTCATTACGTCGCTGTGCAATAGGTTTCCATCGGCCTGTTTACTTCCATTGCCCTCCTGGCATTGTCTTCGTTCCTGATCCATAGTCCAAGAGTCGGTAAAGAACACGACGTAGACTCCTGTGGCATCCTGCAAGTGATATGGCTTTCCGGTCACCATGACGCAATACAGAAGGAGATCACGAAAGCAAATTCCTCGTCGGCTGAACTCAGAAGAGCTGGCTTGGGCTGTACCACGGCATTTGGCACTGAAGACGAAGTTAGACCTGCGGAAAGCTCTAATACTCCAGAGGGGAAGTGCTAACCTCGAGTACGGAACACCACATGCGGCGTACCATACGCTGTACTGTATTGTTCTGGAGGCTACGCGACCGCTCTTCCTATCGAAGTGTGGTGATTCCAGTGAAGATTTGCGTTTCTCATGTCTAGCTATTCCTTGCATAATTTACAGTCAAATAAAAATTTGGCCCCGTTTTATCAGGAAGGAGAGGCCAGGGAGTTCTTACCGCATCCCACAGCCTTCGCATGTGTACCCGTTCGGTCTCTATTCGATACACGCGCGCCTGTTGCTGTGAACAGCGGTTGTGCCAACAGATAAGAAGGGTATCGGAAATGCATGGCCGATAGTTCGCGCTTCTCCGCGTGCACGGTCCCCCGACGGCAAAGAACTGACGACAACGAACGAGACTCTTGCGCCATCACCCTCAACCTTGCCATAACTTCCATCGTCAACGCCATCCACACTCAATCGGACCCTTCATGCAAGGTAGCATTTGCCAAACCTAGTTGTTGCGTTCGACAGCGTAACGAATTCCCCAACTGCAGACATGAGGGATACTGCACCGGTCCGATAGGAGTCCCAGGGTGTCAGACAGGTCCGTTTAGTTCGGCATCCTGTGCTACGTGGACACGGTCTGCGTATACGGGACCTACACGAGGGTCAACAATGAAGATGACGGAACTGTGGAAAACGGCGATCGCTCCAAGATAAAGCGTGGCAAGGAATACATCGCGCGCGGCGGCCTTCACCTCGGTTTGCTCCCAAAGGGTCTATTGAGTCGCACCAAGCCAGTTCCACGCTGCAGAGTTGCTAGTCAAGTGTTTGGCACTACAAGAAACCGCAGCGAAGAGCGAGTCATTGGGTTAACCAAACCAGAAGGATACCAGAACCCCTAGCGCGCAAGGCGTCATATTTGGGGAAAAGATCTAGGGTACGGAAAAGAACTCAGCTGTGCCGAATATCTGTAAGATGGTGGTCAGTCCGATGGAAGCGGCTTCGTTCGAAATGCTGGAGGATGTGGTATTCCAGTCGGAATTTGTGCACTACCAACAGTAACACATGTATGAGCAGAAGGATGGCATGCAGAGCGCAACAAATGCAGCGAGAGTCAATCACCGACCAGGCCTGCTGGACGACCGACTAACGACGATGCAAATATTAACGATCAGACGCCCTGAGCTTTCTATGTAATTCGTACCTTGGTCACTTGGGGATCCCGCCTCGGTCAGTGCTGGCGAAGACGCACTGATCTCGACGAACGAGTCCTCGCAGCTGTGAAGGGGATGGAGTTCATGTGATGTCTCTCTCATGAGGCAAATGACGAGATTTCCTAGATAGAAGGGGGGATTGAGGGAGGATGAACGTATGCTTGATTTCATGCTGACACTCAAGGCCATTAAATAGTTTCCCCAGTATTAAAGGTTCATAGCCTGCCGAATCTCGCATGAGCACATCGCCAAGTCCTGTGGAGTTTCCGATGGAAAACTCCTTGCATTTGAAATAAAGGACAATCTGGCCTTGTTTTGATAGTAGGAAGGAAAGTGGTAGGTGGTTGATCGTCGTTTCACAGTTGTTCCGGGAAAGGTGAGTGCATTGCTATCAAAAGTAAGTGTATCCATGAGAACACCTCCATGGACTCTAGGAGCCATTCAACCTATTCAAAAATGGGCTTAAAAAGCTGTTCTGTCACGTTCAGATGCATTATGCCACCTGGGAGGGTGTGATTATTGAAAAATGGCAAATGTTGGTTTTTTTTCGCTAAGGAACCTTGCAGTCGAATCTGAGAGGTCCAGATTCCAAATCTGAAGAAATTGGGACTGAACGACTCGAGTTCGGGAATGTGGTGGATCCAGGGGGTCGGGGTGTAGGTGGAAAAAAAGGGAGCGACGTTGACCCGGTATGCATACGTACTATCATAATGCCAGTGCGGGTGCGAGTGGGAAATTCAAAAACCTCAAGGTAGGATGGATCGTGTGTAGACAGGAGTAGACAAATCTAGACCCCGGTTCTAATCGAATGTGTCTACTTTCCTATACCGTCTCTACTAGTATCGCGCTTCGACTCAACTGATCAGCCCGTCCGTCCGTAGAAAAAGCACGAAGAAAAGCAAACCTGCAACACTTAAGCTAGAACCAAAGAACAATAATTAAGACTACTTCGTAGCAAGTGTCTCTTTCCTAGGGGTTCTCGGACCCTGTATCACCAAAGGTGACCTCGATTAACCCAGCCTTCCTAAGATTCAAAGAAGATGGGTCTTTTACTCCAGCCACTATATCTCGTACGTCACGATGCTTATCAGAAAGCCATATAGCTCGCAGGATCCCACAGGATTCGACAATGGGCTGCCTTCCAACTCCCGAGTCGTAGGTCAGGAGGAAAAACAATACCAGTAGGATGATGGAAGCAACTAAACCCACAGAGGCCTGTAGCATAGCGTACAGGAGGAAAATGAGTCAGCTGATACCTGAAAAATAAACGTGATATACCGACCGGTATGACATTTATCTGTGATTACAAGTTAATTTCGGCTATCGAGCAAGAGAGCAAATGCTCACGTTTAGAAAAGGTGGGTACATAGAAACAAAATAGGAGGCCATTCCGGTCTCGATCTTGTAGTAACCAGTCACAGTGAGAACTTCGCAGTAGAAGTCCGGTCAACTTCAAGCCAGAAAACAACCGGAGCGTCGATAGACTTACCAGCCCATGCGGCAGTACTTGCTACTTGCGCCACAGAGGTTTCAAGGTCATACAGTGTAGGAGAGGACATCGGGATGATGCTTCGAACGGTGTTTTGGTCGAGAGCCGTAGCATAGTAATGCCAGCCCAGAAACTCCATCAAGGACCTGCGCATATCGGCCATCCGTCAGAATAGTCATCTCATCTGTTGGGAGCGTTAATACTTGCTCATCCAAAAGCTCAATAAGCATTCTGGCTCTCCACAATGGGTGGGACCGTAAAAGTCATTCGATACAGCAGATAGGTTCCACGCGTCACCAAACTGTGAGCCTTGTAAGCATCAGCATGCCTGAGTGAAGCCTAGTGTTGTACCCAGTCCAGTTGGGGGTCAGGATTCCCTGTTGAATTGGCCAGCTAAGGTGTCCATGTCGAGCTGGGAGATGGAGATAGGGGGTCGACGCTTTGGAGGGTACTTGTCAAGGCATCAATAATCGTAACTTGATGCGTTGTAGATAGAACGCATGTCATGATTTGTATGGACACTGTTTCAGTTACATTGGCTGGAGGTCCCAAACCCCTTTCATCAGAATAGTGAGAGCCAGAGAAAGGTCAGGACGTACATCCACCTGCAGTAGAGCGAGTCTGAGTGATGTTGAAGATCGAATCCACCTGTTGTTACTGGCATCCAGAATCGGCGGTGTGGTAAGAATCGTGACTGCCTTTCCCCTACGCTTTCCATGAGCAGCGAGATAGCTTGGCCTGACTCAAACGTACATATGCATGGACCGCATAAGCCACATTCTCATCTGGTATATAGTCAATTCCTATTCCGCTACAAGGTCGAACCAAAACATACAGAGGCCGTAGATTGGAGAATAGGTCACAGGTGGTTGGCTCCCATGACTCGTTGATACAGTATAGCTCCCGTTTTGTGTGGGATTCAACGTAGCACTGACGTTGGAGAGAGAATAGCACTGCACCGAACGTGACCGCTCCAGCCGTAGCATTCCCAACGACAAACGATTCGCCTACTATCGTCTCGTACAGGGTAGCATATTGAAGCCCAATTTTTGGTACTTCAGGGAACCCCGCAACTGTTCGGACGAGGGCTGCTGCACCGTTCCAATAGGAGTCGAGGGACAGGTCTGTCAAGTTTAGCATCCCGTACTGTACAGGTACGTCGGCCATTCCTGAGATCGGAAGGAAGGTCAATAACGAAGACGAAGTGACATGGAAAACGGCAATGGCTCCAAGATAAAGTGTAACAAGAAACACATCGCATGTGGCGGCTTTTACCTTGGTTTGCTTCCAAAGTGTCTGTAAAGCCGCGCCAAGACCGCTCCACGCAGCAGCCTTGTCATGAGTGGCCGTCAGTGTTTGGCACTGCAAGAGGTCGCGGCGAAGAGCGAGCCGCTGGGTTCAACCAAACCAGAAGGATGCCAGACCCCTGATGCGCAAGGCGTTACATTTGGGAAAGAGATCCAGAATACGTAAGAGAACTCACCGTGCCGAATATCTGTAAGATGGTCGCGAGTCCGACAGAAGCGACCTCGGGCGAATTAAGACTGAGGGTTACGATAATATGTTGGTCCAGTTTGAATGCGTGCGCTACCAACAGTAACACATGTACTGATGACCAGAATGACATGCAGTGCGCAACAAATGCAACGAGGGTCAGTCACTGACCACGCCCGCTGACGACCGACTGACGGCGATACAAATATTGATGATGAGACGCCCTGAGCTTTCTGTGTAATCCGTACCTTTGGCATATGCAGATCCCGCCTCAGTCAATGTTGGCGAAGATGCGTGGATCTCGACGAACGAGTCCCCGCAACTGCGGAAGGGGATAGAATTCGTGTGGCGCCTCTGGCATGAGTCCAAATGGCGAGATGTCCCAGATAAGAGGGGCAGGCAAGAGACGACGGATGTATGCTTGACTTCATGCTGGAACTCCAGGCCTATTAAATGATCTCATGGTAAAGGCTCACCACAGCCTCGTCCAAGACTCAAGGGGCGACTGATTGAGCATTCCCACTTGTGGAGAATCGAGTGGCCGACCCTTCACAGCCTGTCCATCTAGTACGTATGGGCACGTAATAGGATCCTGTGGTGTTTCCGATGCGAAGCTATTCCTTGCATAATTTGCAGTCAAAGACTCGTTTGATTAGGAAGGAGAGGCTAAGAGAGTTCTCACCGCATCCTGACACAACCTTCGCATGTGTGCCCGTTTCGGTCTCGTGGGAAGTACTCAATGCACACGCGCTGTCGCTGTGAACAGAGGTTGTGCCAATTGGCAAGAAGGGTATCGAAGATGCATGGCCGATAGCTCGCACTGCGGACGCACTTCTCCGCGTGCACGGTCGCCCTTCACTCGATGGCAAAGCACCGATGACAGTGGCGGCGAACGAGACCAGATGGGACTCTCTTGATGTCCGAAGACAGCGTTGGCCGATCACTGTAGAATAATCAAGCAATGGCCCAAGCCCTACAAAATTTCAATATCTCGGCGTGAACTACTGAGTATGAACTTGAGTACTGAGCAAACACTCATTATTATGGGCTTGGAAATGGAGCTCTATCTCACTAAAGGCCTAGGTGGTGACACAGACCCTTCCGTCTGTGCGGTGGTGAACCAGAATATCTTCAAGAGGTTCTACGAGCGGTCGCAGTTATCTCTTCGTCGGTAGAGGCTCTCAAAGTTCCTGGTGTGCGAAGCGTTCCATCGCGGAGGCACGATTGAAAGCTCTGATGAGACATCATTGTGGACATATGTCTTGTAAGTACTTTACTTCCATAAATGCCATCTTTTGCAATCCTAGTCAAGCTGGACTACGATGCTTCCTCGAATAATCCTTCCCTCCTACCTTCAGTCAGCATACTTCTGCGGCTATAGGTATTTGCCACTTTACTGTCCAACACTCCGTCTTCCATGTTAACCTGTTGTATGCCTACCGCGGCGATCCGCATAGAGATGGACGTCACGTGTGGTACTGATTTACAGACAGGGTCACCTCATGTCAAGAGTTACTGTCAGTATTGTTCTCCCGCTGGGGGGACTCAGCGTAAAATAAATCATAATAACACGAGGGAGTGAGCAGCACGACCCGCGCACAAGACCACGATCACTGAACGACGACACACTGGCAGATAGGATATGTGTCTGGCTAACGACAGAGAGCGGAATAAGCTGGCACACGAAATTACCCGCGGGATAATTTTGCATGGCACATAGGGCCTTCTAAGCTTGCACAGCAAGCAATTCGGTTAGACATCCGTACCGCAGGACTGACGCCACAGCATGTGCAGACTGCGCTGCACCCAAGTCGCCGATGACACGGGAATGTAACACGGTGCTGCTGCAAACAAGGCACCAGAGCGTTCAGCAACGCCACCGCCTAACAGATCCATGTTTGTGGTCTCAGGTTCGTGACTCGTTTCACCACTATGCATGTAGGGTTGGAGCGAGAAACCAGCTTACATGTCTGGCTTCCTGTGGATGGAGACGAAGGTGGGAAAGTTGATGTGGCATCGGGGACGGAGGAGAGGAAGTGGAGGACGGCGCATATACGGAAGATGTGTTAGTGGGTACTGTTAGATAACATGAGGGAGGGTATACAGAAGCAGTAGGGAACACAATAGTGAGGTGGTGGCTACGGTACTTGGCGTCCCAGGGCCGGAACTAGAGCCAGAGTCAGATCTTCCATCCACAAAGGCAGCAACAGGGGGACCGGGGAAGGTGTAGTTGATCGGAGGGTTGTAAATCTGTTTTTCCGTCAGCACGCGTGTGTAGAATTTGGGTAGTGATACGGACATTGGGTGTGTATATTCCAGCTTCCGTATCGGTGTAGCAGCCTGGGAATTGACACACCTCGTTGCCCTGCGGAGCACCAGTGCCTGAACCTCCGATGCTCAACTGGATACAGGCAGGGTAGAACTCGGCACCGCCGACAGATGTGGCAAGTTGAAGGGAGATGATTTCGGAGCGTAGCAAGTAATCCCCAGGCTGTATGTTGGAGGGTATGGTAACATTTGCAGGCTTCCCAGCGACTGAGAGTCAGGGAAGAAGACAAATGAGACCCGATCGACAGCAAGAACAGGCGTGTTACAAACCCAGGTTAGCTAGATACCAAGTGTCACTCGTTTCGAGTCCAAGTTCGGAGATCTTGAACCACTCGGCATTCGCGGAATCGTAAGAGGAACAGGAGCTACTACACTTGGTCATGTAATGCATAATAGGTCCGACGTTGTGTGGCCACTACGTGAACGCATTACTTGCAGGAGTGGATACGAAGTCAGTTTTCTGACACACATTTGAATCACCAGTAGAGCCGCCGACCCAATAAATGAGAATTTGGCTACTGGGGTTAGCATTGGCGACGTCTGAAGCCTCCGTGGCGTTCATTCCGCAATTCAATGACGGATTAGTAGCACCTTTAACAGGATCGATAGTCGAAACCTGACCAAGGTGCATTTGTTAGATTGGCTGACCAAGTCCGATGAAATGATCCCTTATCCCTAGGACAATTTTGGGATACTCGGAGGGATCAGTACCTGTCGAATGACACTAGGATTCGTTGTACCTCCCGGGATGTTGCCTTCATAAGTCGTCCCGTCGATAGTGACGGACCCTACAAAACCATGTGCCAACACAGAAACGGGAAATAGCAAAAATAAGAAAGATGCCATATTGAAGGTGATCATCGTTGGAATGTCAATAGTTTAGCTGCTCAAGAAAATAAAGGCAGAAGAAAGTCCGCTCAACGAGTAGGTTGGGATGCAACGAATGCGATGGGACAGTAGCGGAAAAGCACGACATTGGTCATGCCGCTCTTATCAAGGGGCGAGATGAAGGCATGGTGTTGAAGCACTGGAAGGGCGTGGCGATGTAGAACAATGGATTATGGAAGCAACTACGCAAAATGGCACGCACCGAACTGCCGCATACATCACAAGGTTTGACTCGGATAGTGAAGTCGAGCGTGCGCAATACTAACGGATGCTCCGCGGCGTAAACGCGAGGTTTGTATGTGGAGCCTCGCGGCAAAATCCTCTTGAACTTGAGGTTCGCAGTTCACAAAAGCATAGCCGAAAGTTGAGCCTTTCCGTTCAACTGATCTATGCATCTAGGGAAGTGCGCAGCTATGCGACGCGGCTGTTGACAGCTCTTTCGCACGTGAGCAAGCCCTACCATTGCCAATAAGTGTTTAACCGAGCGCGAAAGGAGTCTTGCGACAAGTCACGTCCAAACGGAGGTTCCTGTGGACTGGTATTCCCTCCAGATTGATGTAACCCGCCAGGAGTCACCACAGCCTTGTCCAAGGCCCACGATTGAACATTTCTACTTATGGAGAATCGAGTGGTTGACCCTTCACAGCGTACGTGTGGGCACGTAACAGGATCCTGTGGTGTTTCCGATGCGAAGCTATTCCTTGCATAATTTGCAGTCAAAGACTCGTTTGATTGGGAAGGAGAGGCCAAGAGAGTTCTCACCACATCCTGGCACAGCCTTCGCATGTGTGCCCGTTTCGGTCTCGCGGGAAGTGCTCGATACACGCACGCTGTCGCTGTGAAGCCAAGGGGCAAGAGGGGTATCGAAGATGCATGGCCGATAGTTCGCATTAGGGACGTACTTCTCCGCGTGCATGGTCCCCCTTCACTCAATGGAAAAGAACCAATAACGATGACGGCGAACGAAACTCTCTTGATGTCCAAAGAAATCATCAGCCTCAACCTTCCCGTAACTTCCACCGTCAACGTCATCAACACGCAATCGGACCCTTCCTCGCCCACATACGTAGTGGCATTTACACCCACGGAGTGGGCCGTGCGTTCACGGCTACAGATACATTTCCAAAACTGCGCGTGAGGATGTTCCAGATTAACGGTTCTACATCTTTCTACATACCACATAGCAGGAATGGATAAGAGGGTAGGAATAATTCATCCGCATATGGTGAGGCCAGAGTCCATGCCTACTTTATCACATGTTGCGCTCCTTGGTCTCATACTCACTAATGCACCAGTCCCTCCAGTGTCCGCGCAGTTTGCAGGAGGCTCTGAGCTATGCCGTCGACCGAAGCTTTAACTCAATCTCTATGGATTGGGACATGTCAACCAACGATACCAACATCGCTCTGGCGAATGGGGCGCGCCGGAAGAGCAGAACAGCAAGATCGATGGGATTGATGAGAGGACAGATCCGAATGCATATCGCATTTTTAGGGACGAATTAACGGTATTTGCGACCGATCTGGCGAAACTGGTGGTGAGGGACCGTGAAGGCACCACCAAATTTGCAGAAGTATCCGTCGAGGTATGTGTTCCCCACAAAATGGTCTCACTGGTTCATAGTCTGATGCGCAAACGAACAGAATGCAGCATTGTATGCTGGCGTGCACTACGTGGCTTCGGCCATCTCAACATCCACACTTGTCAAGACAGCTCTCTACGGCAACGATGCCAAGTGCAGTTACCCTTCGACGTCATACTTTCCACATGCGTCCCTTGACGCAGTAGCTCAGGTCACATCCTCACAGGCTCAGTGACCCTCAGAATCGCGCTAGACCCAAGCACCGTAAGCGTCTCGTTTGTCCCCTCGCCGCTTGCCAATTCGATACCTACCCACCCTACCCCGCTACCCGTCTTCATCGGCGGCGGGCCCGCCGGTGTCGGTGGAGCACCCGCATCGAAGGTGTCGGGACAGGAGGAGTTAGGGATCGTGGTGGATCCAGGTGATCAGGGTGTAGGTGGAAAGAAGGGAGCGAGCTATTGGACCTGTGATTTTAGTGATGTGAGTATGAAGACCTTTCTATGACAAGCATGTGATCTCCATCGTTTTCTTTAGGAGTATGTTAGGATCGATGGAGATTATCGTCGTTGAGCGGCCCAGTGCACATACGTGCCGCATGCAGGTTCGGGTGAAGATATCGAGATTGAGAGCTCGGAGGCGAAAAGACCCTCGAACATGTGAAAATGAGTCCGGGGCTCAGTTGTGTCTACCTTCGTATGCCATATCTATCGTCGCGGACAACCGAACACCTCTACATGCACCTCCACTCAACCAGTTGCCTCACCTGTCCACATGTACCTAACGACAGTGACAACAGGAACTGCTGCGTCCCGACATGTGCACAGTAAACTTTCTTATAAGTGTAATACCTGGCTTTTGGAAGCGAAAACTTCTCTGGGATCCCAACCATCAGCGTAGTGCGATGGGAACAAGTCGACATCAATCATCACGCTTCGATAGAAAGAACGGCTGCGCAGCCTCCAGAATAAGTACAGTGCAGCGTATGTATGTGGCACGTAGTATTCGATGTTAACATGTGTTAGAGCCCTTTGCAGGTCTAACTTCGTCTTCCGCCCCTTCGGCGCCAAATGCGGTGGTACAGCGAAAGCCAGCTTGTCTGAGATCAACCGACGAAGACTTTGCTGCCGCAACCTCGTTCCGTATCGCGTCATGACGGCTGGAAAGCCACATCACTTGCAGGATGCCACAGGAGTCTACATCGTGTTCATTATTGACTCTCGGGCTATGGATCAGGAACGAAGACAACGCCAGTAAGGCGACGGAAGTAAACAGGCCGATGGAGACCTATTACACCATGGCGTAAGGAGGACAAGTCAATTGATACCAAAAAAATTAACGAACCTGTGTGAGATTTATCTAGGACTGCGAGTGAATATCCGCGATCAAGAAAGAATTCGGATGCTCACATTCAAACGCAATTTGAAGGCTGATTGAACAACGGAGGAATTTCCGGTCGACTCCGTGTAGTAACCAGAAGTGGTAAGTACTTTGCAGTGGAAGTCCAGTCAGCGTGAGAATAACCGTGGTGTATCAATAGACTCACCAGCCCACGCAGCAGCACTTACCACATTTCCCACAGCGGTTTCGAGGTCACTCAGTGTGGTGGAGGAGGTCGAGCCCGGGGCTGGGTTGAGGGCCGTAGCATTGTATTGCCAGCCTAGAAGCGCCATCAAGTACCTGTATCGGCCATCCATCAAAATGACCATTTGTCGCGGGTACTAAATACTTGCTCATCCAAAAAGCTCAAGAGGCAATCTTGCTCTCCACAATGAGTGGGACCATAAAAGTCAGTCGATATAGCAGACGAGTTTCATGCACTGCCGAACTGTGAGGGGTCCTTGTTAGTGTGAACATGCTCTACTGAAGTCTAATACGTTTACCCAATCTAGTTGGGGGTCAGGATTCCCTGTTGAGTTTATCTGCCAAGGAAGCCACGTCGAGTTGGGAGGTGGAGATACGGGGTTGACACTGAGGAGCGCGCTCGTTGAGGCACTAATAGTTGCTTGTTGGCTCGTTAGCGATAGAACGCATGTCATGGCTTGGATTATCACGATTTCGGTATCATTTACTGAAGGTCCAGCACCCCTTTCCTGAGAACACGGAAGGCCGGAGAAAACTCAAGACTTACAACCATTTGACGAGTGGCGAGTCTCAGTCATGTTAAAAGTTGATCCACTGTCGAGATTTGCATCCAAAATAGGAGGCGCTGGCGAGAATTGTGATTGCCTTTCCCTAGAGTTCACGTAAGTAGCGAGTTAGCCTGGCCTGACTGAAACGTACGTATGCATAGAGCACATTGGTCACGTTCTCATCTGACATACAGTCAATTCCCGTTCCGCTGCAAAGAACGAAAACCTACAGAGACCGTAGACTGGAGAATAGGACACAGGGAGTTGGTTCCCGTCAGTCATCGATATAGTATAGCTCCCGTTCTGCTCGGGATTCATCGTAGCACTGATATTAGAGAGAGAGTAGCATTGTGCACCGAATGTAACTGCAGCAACCGTAGCATTCCCATAGCCTAATCTCTCTGACGACTTTGACAACGTCTCATACAGGGTAGCACCCTTCAGCCCGGTTGTGTCTAGTTGAGGATACCCTGAAATTGATCGGATGAGGGCTGTGGCAGTGTTCCAAGAGGAAGAATTAAGAGGTAAGTCCACCAAGTTCAGCATCCCATACTGTGTGGGTACATTCTCCACATAGGTGTTGTCGAACGGCACAAGGCTCAATCATGCACCCGAGGTGACATGGAGAATAGTAATCCCTCCCAGATAAATTGTGACGAGGAACACACCACGTGGGGCAGCTGACACCTCGCATTGATTCCGAAGGGTATTTACAGCTGCCCCAAGACCGTTTCACGCCCCAGACTTGTCATGAGTTGCTGTCAGCGTTTGGCACTGCAAGAGGTCGCGGCGAAGAGCGAGCCGTTGGGTTAACCAAACCAGAAGGACGCCATACCCCTGGAGCGTAAGGCGTTTTACTCGAGAGAAAGAAAGCATGTACACATAAAAGCTCACCGTGCTGAATACCAGTAAAGTGGTTGTGACTGTGACAGACGCGACGTTATTTGAGATGTTCGAAGGAACAACGACATTTTGCTCCCGTCGGAATTTATGCAACGCCAACAGCACAACATTTATGATGACGAGGTTGATATGGAATGCATAGCACATCCAAGTATAGACGACCCATTTATTCCAGGTCGGCCAGCACCCGCGGGACGAGGACACTAATAATATTAGAGTATGAGACTCTCCAGGACACTCAGCACATATGCCTACCTTGCGGAGAGTTGGACACTGTCATGAATCGAGAATAACGAGGCGGATCAGACCGAGGATAGCGATGGTAGGAAGGAGACCTGCGACTGATTTGGAGCGGGTCCTGAGTAGCACTCCCAAGAGCTTTTAAGTCGCTCAAGTACTATATCCTCGGTAAGGCTTTATAGCACCCCTCGTCTATATGGTCCTATCCAGAAGCACCAAATCGCGTGGAATTATGTTCAAACGTTCACTTCGCAGCAAGCTGAACCTTGCTGAACTGCACGCGTGCAGACCATGAGGGTCTGCGAGGTTGATGGTCCGCTCGGGCGCTTTCATTATCTGGCACGAACTCCATCCGTCTCGGATCACAAATCAATAATGTCTATCCCGAGTGGCAGCCTACCGCCTTTCGTACAGATCCATTTAGTGCTGGTGCCGGGAACCAAAGACATACGAGATAATACTTACAGTAGACTTCCGGCTATGGGAGATTGGGATTTCTCGGGGAAAAATTGAGGGGAGTATGAGAGGTTGGGAAATGAAGAAAACGACAAAGAGTTTACAGACCTGGGCCTAGTGGGGTCCAGGATCAGAAGACTTGCGGTCTGACCGCAATTAGCGCTCTATTACGTAAGCGACTAACGGAGCGCTGCATGATGGTAAGCCGCACATTCTACTACATGACCTGCTAATTTCCGCAAGCTGACGAGCAGGAGTGATCGTAACCACCATGCAAGCCGCTCTCGTACATGTCGTAGGGTACTTTCCAATTAGAGTGTGCTAATTGCTGCCTCCTTGGCTGATGGCGCCCATGGAATGGAAAACCCGCGGCGACTACATGGTAGAGTTTCACGCCTCGAGCTTCGTTTCATGATCGGGAGCACCGCGACATGCCTATAGATATGATGCCTGTTGTCCTTCGGAGTCTGCTGGGTAAGCACTTAGGCTATGCCACCTACCGACACTTACATGCTCTTGAAAGGATTTATCATCGTATGTATCGGAACAAAGTATTCTATCACTGCCCGTGTCTGACAGCGGTCTTTCTGTCAGGTGCGTAAGAAAGTGAACTGCGTTTTGGTTTCCGGATTGCTCTCAAACTTAAGGCTTGGGCCATTGCTTGATTATTCTGTAGTGATCTCACGAAAATTACGGCAATAGCGGTAATTTCAAGCTGGACTCGTCCTTCTCTCAAAGTGGTCCATGGTGAGGGAACGTGATGGCTGAGAGATTGTCACGACTCAATGGCGCTGCGACCAAATTTGGGCTACTTCTCGGGTAATTTTCATGGTATCGCTTCGTGAGTATGATCTATCAGTGATGTGAACGAGTAGGTCGACTATGTCCTTCTGTTGTGTTTGTAAGTGCCAATTTGCAGTTTCTCATCGGATTTTTCCTCTCTCCTTAGCTGGCCACGGATCAAAGCGACGGCAGCTGCCCACCTTGTAAGTTGAACATCCTATGTGACCACATAATATTGACTTGAGTCCCTGTCTTAATCACCCGCCCAAAGCGCTCGTCAAATAGACTGGTCACACGCAAATTCAAGCGCGAGAACTCATGTCTTTGGTCTTCTAAATCGATCCCTCTACCTGCAATACTTTCCTAAGCATGCAGTATGCAGTATGCACGTGGCCAGCAGTCTCTTTTCAGTGACTTCGATAGTTATCGTGAATCCGATATGACCGGCCTGGAGCGCCTGGATGGTGACGAGCCTTTGGAAGTTGTGCGGCTGCCATCTGGCCCCTTCGGACAAGGTAAAATGGACAACCGTTTACGTTCGAGATGAAATAAGAAGTTCCTGGTTAATCACCGCTTGACCAAGCACACACATTGAATCCTCGATGCCAACCCACTCGAGGATAACGATTGGCCTCACATCCAGCATGTGGCCTGCACATCCGGCATGTAGCCTACGAAAAGCGTTCAGTGCATGCACATAACTTTCGCGGGAACCACTGCGCTGTTTGACGTCGGGCCACTGCCGGGTGGTCTGTGGAAGAACCCGGGAGCTCTATATTTTCAAAGTCTAGATCAACGAAACGAAATGAAGCCGAAGTTGCCTGTAACTTGCTGTAAGGTAGGCCGGCATAATACGTTCTGCTCCATCATACCCAGGTTTGCGTTATGGTAGATGGTCATTTCATGTTGGAAATGCTGAAAGAAGCCTCCCTGATTTCATTTTCCAGGGATGGGACCAAGTGTGCTGGATCTTGAAAGGCAAGGGATAAGTGCAATAGAAGTGGCCTACGGCGGATATGTTGTAACCAGGAGTTGGCAATAAACCACTTCCTAGTGCTCATCGATGGTTAGTAGTAGCCCTCGTCCTTCCACACTGCTTGCTGAATCGCGCTACCGCATGCGGATGGTGATGATAACTGTGGCCCGTCTGTAAGCTCGGCACCACCGCCCGGGATGCCACCGGTCTCGAATGAACCCTACACAAGTTCCCCTCCGATCTATGACGTCACGAGTTACCCCGCAAGAATATCTGAGTGGAAGTCTTGTAAAGCAGGAGGCATTGCGATGGAGTTGTGGCGGAAGCGCGTGGTGCAGACTCGCCCACAGTACGGGCATGTTACAGTCAGAAGGCTACTCGGTTTGATAGCTGAGCACATACCCACCACGCAGACTAAGTTTGTTGAAGTCTCCGTTGAGGTGCGTATCTGGTAGAGGTGTAGCCTTTATCGGCCGGCTTCATAGTGTTCCTTCTGATCATGTCATACGAGAGATGATGAACTAATGTGAATACCTTTCTGACAGAGACGATGACAGATCCATTTGTTTCAGTATTGCTCGACTTCGGCATACACCTCTCATTATCTGTCGATGTCGATAGAAACGCATGAACATGAGTACCCTAATGGCAGTAAGTGCTCGCTAACCTGGCTGCTGTGTTCTGACTTCCAGCTATGCTGCGGAGTTCGTCACGCTGTCAAACGCAACAACTAGGTTGGCAAATGCTACTTGTGTATGAGAAGACACCAGTACAAATCTCCCAGAATGTTGCGGTTGATGCGGTTACATTTGGTGCACAACGATGTTCTCTCTCCAACGTCAGCGTTACGATGAATCCCAGCCAGAAGAGGAGCTATGTATATTGTGTCAGCGACTGATGGGAAACAATCTTCTATGACCTACTCTCTAATCTATGGCTTCTGTAGGTCTGGTTCGACTTTGTAGCCGGACAAGAATTGATTGTATGCCAGATAAGAACTTGGTGCATGCGATCGGCGGAAATGTACGTTTCAGTTGGGCCAAGCTAACCCACCACCCATGTGAAGTCTAGGGAAGAGCAGTAACGCTTCTCGCCACTCCGCTTATTTTGGATGCAAATAACAACACTGGATCAACCTTTGAATTCACTATGACTACCCTCGCTTCGAATGGCTGTGAGTCGTAACCCTTCCTCCAGCTCCCTGGGAGGTCAACTCAACGAGTAATCCTGACCGCCAATTAGATTGGGTATAGCATAGCTTTAGTCGAGTATATTTTCGCTAAAGAGGCTCATTCACAGTTCGGCGATACATGGATATCCATTGCAACGCATGCTCTGTGTAGTCCAACCTCTCGTGGAATTCCAGAATCCGCCTTATACGAATTTGATGAGCAAGCATTTTTCACTCATGACAACTGGTCATTTTGATGGACAGCCGATATAGGCACGTAACGCAGCTTCTGGGCTTCGGAAACACTGTCTCGACATTCTCCATAATACTGTATGACTTCGAAACCTCTGTGGCGCAAGCAGAAAGTGCTGTCGTATGGGCTGGTGAGTCTCTTGACACTCTGGTTGTTTTCAGGCTTCCAGATGACTGGACTTCCTCTGCAAGGTTCTCACTATGTCCCGTCACTCCATGAATTCTACCGCTGAAACCTCCCTTCTTATTTCAAAATACAGCCTACATCCGAATGTGAGCGTTCGATCTCTTTCTCGATCGCGGAAATTCACTCATAACCGCAGGAGAATGTCACGCCAGTCTGTGTACTACGTTTAATTTTCTGGTATTGGCCAACTTATTTTCCACCTGCACGCTATGATGTAGGCATCCGTAGGTCTGCTTGCCTCCATCATCCTACTGGTGTTCTCTGTCCTGATTTACAGCTCCGGGAGTTGGAAGACAGCCCATTGTCGAATCCTGTGGGATCTTGCAAGTGGTATGGATTTCTGATAAGCATCACGAACGGGATGTGGTCGCAGGAGTGAAAGAGCCGTCTTCTTTACATCTCAGAAAGACCAGATTAATCGAGGTCACTTTTGGTGACACGGAGTCGGACAAATAAGTGGCACACGATAGGCTGCGCACTATCTTGATTATCGTTCTTGGGTGTTGTAGGTTTACTCATCTTGATACTTTTCTATGGACAAACAAGCCGACGAGTTCAGTGCGGTGCGTCCCGAGCTGCTCGGCGTATCCACGACAGTAGGGATGGTATACGAAGGTAGACACATTCGATCAGAGCCGAGCTAACTCTACTTCTTAGATTTGTCTACATACGATTCAGGGTTTTTGAATTTCTCACCCGTGCCCACGCCCTCCACTGGCACGTACTTGAACTGGGTCGCTCAACTACGATAATCTCCATTAATCCTGACATATTCCTATAGCGAACAATTGAGATCAGCACATCACGTCGCACAAGTTCTTCAACACACTCACATAACTAAAATCACACGTCCAATATGTCGCTCTCTCTTTTCCACCTACACCCTGCCCCCCTAGATCCACCACGATCCCGAACTCATCCTGTCCTAATATCTGCGATGCGCGTTCTTCGTCGACACCAGTGGGTTCGCCGTTGATGAGGACGGGTAGCGGGGTAGGGTTGGTAGATGTCGAGTTCGTAGGTGACGAAGGGACGAACGAGACGCTTACGCTGGTTGGGTTGAGGGGGGTGCTGAGGGTTGCTGAGCCTGTGGAGGAGAGAATGCGGCCCCAGCTGGTGTGTTGATGAGGGTGGGAGGAAAGGATGTGTGAATAAGGTACGACGTGAAGGATAATTATACTTACTTGGCATCTTCACCATAGAGTGCTGTTTTAACGAGTGCGGATGTCGAGATGGTCGAAGCAACACAGTGCGCGTCGGCGTACGATGCTGCGTTCTATTTGTTCGTGTGTCAGGTTATAAATCGGTAAGAACAATATTTTGTGTGGAACACCTGCCTCGACGGATACTTCTACAAATTTGGTAGCGCCTTCACCGTCCCTCACCACCAGTTTCGCCAGATCGATCGCAAACGTGGTCAGCTCGCCCCTAAAGATACGATATGCTTCCGGATCTGTCCCTTCATCAATCTCCTCAACCTTGCTACTCTGCTCCTTCGGCACGCCCGCTCCATTTGCCAGAGCGATGATCGTATCGTTGGTGGACATGTCCCCATCCACAGAGATAGAGTTAAAGCTTCTGTCGACGGCATAGCTCAGGGCGCTCTGCAAGCTTCGTGGCGAGACCGGTGCATCGGTGAGTATGAGGCCGAGGAGCGTAGCATGTAATGAGGTAGGTATGGACTCTGGACCTGCCACACGTGGATGAATCATTCCTGCACCCTTGTCCATCCCTGCCATGCGGTATGTAGAACCGTTGACTTGGAACGTCCTCGCGCGTAGTTTTGGAAATGTATCTGTCGTCATGAATGCCCGTGCTGTAGCATCCCATGCTGTGGGTGTAGATGCGAGGGCGTACGTGGGCGACGAAGGGTCTGATTGTGTGTGGATGGCGTTGATGATGGCGGTTATGGGAAGGTTGACGCCAATAACGCCTGTCGACATCACGAGGGTCTCGTTCGTCGTCAGATCCTTGCCATCTGGTGGGGGGAGACCATGCACACGAAGAAGTCCATCCACAGCACGGACCATCGACCATGCATCTTCCATACCCTTCTTACCTGTAACAGCGTTGGCGCAGCCGCTGTTCACAACGACAGCGCGTGCACGTCCATTCGATTTATCGAGTACGTCGCGTGAGACCAGGACTGGTGCAGCGCGGAATGCGTTGAGGGTGAAACATGCTGCTGCCGCTGTGGGATGTGGTGAGGTGGATAAGTACGATGGCGAGGTCCTGTGGCGGGTTCGGCTGGTTCGGACGGGTCTTTTTGACGCCCGCGTGGATACCTGCGAGGAGGTAGCCTTTTGGGAGGAGTTCTTTGGGTATCGGGGAGTGTAGATGATCCTTGGAGGGGGTAGCTTTGGCAGGTGAACGTTGTCGTCGTCGTGGTCGTCGATGAGAAACGTTTAAAGAGTCGAATCGAGGCCCTTCGAAATGTTCGCCATCATCGGCGCTGTGGTCGTCGTCGTCGACTGCGAAAGTTGAACCGAGCTGTGGAAATTCGTGACGACTCGCTTTGAGTCGGAGAAGTTGCCCTACCGCGTATCTAACTCATCGTAATAGACCGTCAAAGTATTAGATTGGCTGTTGGACAGACACCAAGACTAGGAAAACGAAAACTGTCTGTCCTGAGCCATCACTCTCATAAGCCTTAGCTATTACGCATAATAAAGCTACCTGCTGACGAAGGGAGTGGAATGCTTCGTTGTCATGACTGACATCCGTGCATTCAGATCTCCAACTCGCCGACATTCAAGTGCTGAACCTCGAAGTAGTCGTATTTGCAAGTTGCCCTTGCGATTTCAACAGAGTGAACCGACAGTAGTAAAGCGATGTTGGATTTCCAATTGTACCAAGCCAGTTGCATCCACGATTGCACCTAGCGCAAAGATTAAAAGGAAAAAAAGAAACCCTGGTCGCTCTGCCATCGCTCCGTTACTCGAACGACGTCTTTGAAGACGACGACGAGTGCAGCTCAACTCAACTGCATCGACGGCATGGCATCCGCACAAAACATGAGACACCTTATATAGAGGTGACAGCCACGTCACGGCTGACTCGTCTGTGACATACCGTCACACATTCCACCGAAACCACGCTCCCAACGCACCAGACGATCATCGACGCCGTCCGACACATCCTCAAGACACTGAAAAATGGGATCAACAAGGTCAGTCACCGTCACTATCGACATCTGCAACGATTGGGTTGGGTTATCAAGTCGTTGGAGATGTGCAGAGGATGGATGGCCGCACCCGTGCATAGATGAAGACCTAGGCTGACGATAGTGATAGACTCTACTGCAAGGGCCGGGTTCTCGGACACAAGCGTGCAAAGCGCAATTCTCGTCCCAACACCTCCCTTCTTCAAATAGAGGGCGTAAACAACAAGGAGGACTGCCCAGTTCTACCTCGGCAAGGTGGTTCCCCTCCTCTCCTGCAGAGTAACCTATGTTCTGACGATGACTGGATGAATAATAGCGCGTTGCATACGTGTACAGAGCTAAGACGGAGGTGCAGGGCTCCAAGATACGGGTCATCTGGGGGTGCGTCCACCTCAATGCTCTATTCGATTGTTACTTGACCGGATATGACCAGTCGCGTCACTCGTCCGCATGGCAACTCGGGCGTCGTGAAATCAAAATTCAGCTCTAACCTTCCACCACGGGCGTTCGGTGCTAGCGTGCGCATCGTACGTCTTTTTCTATGTTCCTTGTTTCCGGCTATCGTTGGCTGACCGGCCGTTGGAATGCCAGATGCTCTACCCGTCGAACATCTGATTTATTCTCTGCATATCCGACGCGTTTTTCTTTAGTCTCTGCGCTACTTGTCAGAGGTATCCCCTGCTTAGATGTATGATCATCATGTCGTATGAGACACATGCATATACAACCAATACAAAGACCCAAAACATATGAGTGACCTGCGTGTGATGATGTAAGCATGGATCCCGGCTCGTTGACTCGGACGACGACGGTGAGCTGAAGAGGTGCAGTACATAGGCGTAGCGATGACCGACCCGATCTACACTGCGCTGACGCTGTCTACTGTCATTTCACACCAAAACTGTCTCGAATGGTCGGACGATGGTCAACTCTGTGTTCTCACTAAATCAGCCGTATACATCTTGGTAGGCGCAGCGTCCTCCTCGTTCATTCGCTCATCCTCGTCGTGAATCAGACTCCAGACCATGGTATTGCGTTAAGCACTCCCCCAGATGTCAAGGCACCCATCGACGACCAGAGCAGCGCGAAACCGCTCGGGTGGTATAAGACCATGATCGACATGTCCTCTCTGTCCATGCGCGCGTGGGCTGAGCTATCTGACAGTACGTCGTTTCGTCTCGGGGTAGTTTGGTGATGCTCATTGAGTAGGTTGGGGAACTCTCAGTCTGGGCTCGTTAGACGTCGCCGTCCAAGCAGTGACGTGTTCTCCGAGTGGACTGTCCAGTCATGGGCGGTACGTCTTTGTTACTTACCATCCCACACAAGTATGTATACCCATGTAGATGTGTCCTCGCGGTACTCAATACGAATATGGAGGTTACGCTCTGGGAGGGAACAAAGAATCACTTAAGGGGAGAATGGAATATGGTAGGTTCCGCATCTCAACTTCTCGTCTGCAAATGGACGAGGTGTAAATGGTAGAATAATCGACGTGACTGTCTCGTCGCTTTACTGGTATAGATCGAACACGTCACTGACCATCTCGTCGATACTGTCACATTCAACGGGACTAACCACGAAGAGGGTGTGACTCGTCAAGAGGAGGTGCTGAACGCGCAAACGACATGTTGGCCTCCTCCTTCTGCCTAGATGGACTGATAGGTTGATTATATGCCCGTCTAGGTATCGCATGGTCTGCTCAACCTGATTTCGGGATATCCCCTTCTCTGCTACTGGATGCCTCCCTCCTTGCAATGGGAAATCGAGGTGGGTCAGTCACGCTGCGGAGGTAGGTATCACCATAATTTCTGTCGGCACCCCATCCACGCGGATTCATTTTCTTATTCTACTCATCATTCAGGTTCTCTCGTTCTCATGATCAGAGTGGTGAACCTGCCACCACGGCCGTTGTAAGATTGGAGATATGCGAAGCGGTGGATCACGCAATTGGCGTGGTCTAAGTGGGTCGCATCGGGTGCTAACAAATGTCAGGGATGCTTCCAATTCATGCATACACGTGCGCACTGTGCTGACCGACAATGAGACAGGCACTACGATCCTCGCGTACGCTATGTCCGATGGCGGAATCGGCTTGCTTCAAGTGTCTCAGACACTCGAAGCTGCAGTCCCACTCGACGCTTTTGTAGACGACTACAACGTCGAGCGGCATGTACGCGTTGATGTGGAGCAACTTCGGGAGTTTGCAGTACCGCCTGATAAGAGGGGAATAACTGCTATGAAATGGGTGGATGTTCCGGGTCGGAATGTAGGAGTTTCTCCCGTTCTTATGACTTTACCTGACTTCTTTTCTTATTCTTACACAGCCGATTCTCGTGGCGAAGCAAAGCTGGGACCATTCACCTTTATTCCCTTCCTCCCTCCCCCTTCCCACCTATGCACTCGCCAACCCATTGGTACGGGTCAAGAAGTCTCTTGATCCAGATACAACGATCGTCAGCCGGATCGTCCTCTTTGACTCCCGTTTCGGGGTTATTCTACGCGAGAGATCGAGATGCCCTCCTTCTCTCTCTCGCGGATGGGTCCGTTCATGCGATACTTGGGTTTTCGTCTGAACCTACGTGGGACCCAGTCTCAACATCCTCATTACCATCTTCGTCCACTACGGCGATGGTCATCGATGAAGGAGAGCAGGGAGACAGGCTCAACTAGCGGAAATACTACCACTGCAAACATGGGAAGCGGAAACACGCCAACTGTTAAGGACACGACGATCACGAGAACCTCGGACATGCCAATCACATCTGGAATCCTCACAAAAGTCTTCCCGTTCCTTTTTCGTCCGCGCACACCAACATACCAGCCCTGGAGGCTTAAGTATGCCGGATTATATGGACGTGAACAGGATCGATGGGTTTGTTCCGTATGACTCGTGTGGAACGGTGGCGTGGATATATGAGTGCGTACCATTTCTTATATGTTTCTTTTTGTGTTGTCCAAACTTTCTGCTGGTTGGCGTATGACGTACGAATTTCACAATTTACTTCTGATGTTTCTTTATCTTGTCACTCTCGTTCTTATTATGATGGGTGGCTGAGAGTCAGAGGGTCAGACAGTGCTAACGAGCGGCATTACATTTCTCCGTGGTTCGCATGGCACATTGCAGGGTATCGAGACCGACCGATTTCAGCTACAAGCATGAAGCGAAACATTCCTGCGTCTTGTTGGTCACGCCATTCTGGTCGGCCGATGACCATTGGGTGATGAAGATGGTCGAGGAGAAGATGGATAAAACCGGAAATGGCATGCGGTGCGGTAATTATACCTTTTCTTTGCTCTTCGGTTAAGGTTCTGATTTTTGACATGTGAACTGGGTTGGCTTGGATGGGTTTGTGTTCGTACGGTGGGATTCTCTCCTCGTTCTCTCCTCCCCTCTAATGCAGCGACGAGGGTGGCACCGGTGCACCTCCTGCGGGGAATATTTTTGCAGTTGGCAGATACAACCCGTTTCGAGCGGCTATGTCGGGCTTTGTTGAACATTTTGGATCGCGATGTACAAGAAGATCCGAGTACAGCCGTCATCATCCCTGAATGGACGAAATCCTATAGCGAAGATATCAAAATCCATCTAAGAAAAAGTCTCGCAACTCATTTCTTTGGTTGGGGGAGTCTTTTGAGAATCAGGATGAAGTTGGCTTTGGCGGATGGATGTTGGGTGCGTGTGTTTCTTCGATTTTCATCCGTATCCTGCGTTTTGAAATACTCATCTCTCCATTTACTTGTGACTAGAAACTATGCCAAGACGCCGAGATGCGCAATGAATGTGGACGGGTTGCCTGCGCCCAACTAGCTGCAATATCTCATCGTGTTCTACGAATTCTTGTCCGTCATCTTACGGCCATTGTCACGACTCTAAGTCGTAAGTCCGCTCCACTGTCTCTTGAGGACAGATTCGTTGGACTAACCATCTAACTTGCATACCGTGCACATGTTCATATACTCGCACACATATGAATAACCGGATGTGGCGTGGGGTGTATTGTTGTAGCGGTGGACGTACCATATGTGTTGCGCGTCGTCGTGCAGTCACTTCTTCCTGGATCGCCCTTAGATCTGTCGAGCGAAGCCCAAGCATTGTCCGACAAGGTTAATGCGATGACCGCAATAGAACCGGGAGGAATAGGATTGCATGAAATATGTCCCGCCTGCCGCGTCGAGGTGCCGTTGCAGGACATCACACAAGCGACATGTCTCAAGGGACATACGTGGAGTGAGTTGTTTATAACTACCATTTATTCCTCCGCTTTCTCACTGTATCTCTTCTTGATGTTCCGCTATTGCTCGCGACTGGTCGTCATGTGCCATGCGATGCGGTTCCTGTCCCTGCTCTTTGTTACTTTTTCGCCAAAATGTTTACCCTCTCGTGCATGCCCGCGATAGCCCGTTGTTCGGTAACGTCCTTCATACTATCCACTGCGATGGTGAGAACGTGTATCGGATGCAACCGCAAAGCCCTTCTGCCGCCCTCGCAAAGCTCTCCAGATGAGGGCGAGAACGATAGCTGGATGCCTGTCGCTGCGCGGAGTTGGGTCGTTAAAGAACTGCTTGAAGCTGTGGACAGATGTCTGTTTTGTGGGAACACTTTTGTACGAATTGTTTGACTTTCCAGGTGTATGGATGGATCGGTCGATGGACAGGGGATGGTTGGGCGAGAGACTGTCAAGGAGACAATAAGTTATGATATGTCTTTCATCTTTGCCAGGCAGGGGACCCGTAACTATTAACGGAAGGATCCCTCGTGAAAGATAGCACCATGGCCGTTCACTAGCAACTAGTGAGCTCGCGATCTTGTGTAGAGTGAACATGGCCTTCGTAGCGATCACGTGAACCTTACATAATCTAAGTCGGCCATACTTAGATTATCTCCTGAGTGTCCTCACCTCTTCGTCTTCGACTTCATTGTCTGCGCTCGTCTGTCGTCTAACTCGCGTACACACCTTTCGAACTTCGCTCTCCCACCCACCTCCCTATTCACACTCTTACTACTTTAGCGTGAGTGGTCGGTCTGGTGGCCTCCCGCCTTTCTCTTTCCACTCGTCTGCTCACTCACGCTCAGAAGGCCACTCCCCATGCCTCCAATTCTTCGCGCGCACGGCCTTCCTCGTGTGCTGATCACGTGACCTCCTCTATGCTCACTCCTTCAGCAACGGATCACGTGACCCACTTTTCACGTGCGCCACGTGCCTCGGCATCTCGGGATTCGGTCGCTGTGCCTATTCGTGCTCGGCGACTCGTGGCCTTCCCAGGCCTGATAGATCGCATCCACGCTCTCGTCATCTACGATCTACTGTATCTTTCTTAGTCTCTCTAGTGTTCGTCTACGTCGGCGTTCCTCTTCTGGTAGTCACTTCTCTTTGCGCTTCACATAGCTACGAAGGTCTGTAAAGCATCTGTATCGGGGTTTGAAATTTGTTTTATCAGGGTTTGACTCTAACCACCAAACACTTAGATGTCAAAAGCGTTGTGACAGTTCTATTCTTTATAGTGGTTTTGATCCTGTTTATCACGTGTATACTGTATCTACGTTGTAATTGGTGGCTGTTCTCTAGCCTATAATTTGGCATGTGTATCGTAGCGTACGGTGACCTCTTTTCTTACCTCGAAAAAACAGGCCGTAAGGTCTGGAGAAGCCGAGTAGCGTCTAAGAAAAGATCATTTTAGTGTGGTGTGGTGCCATTGCAAGTGTTAGTATAACTTCGCATTACACGGACACTAATAGGTCGGGTCTTCGAAATGACTGTCGGCTAATAATCAAGTTCCTCTGACAGGTACCACCTAAGGTGGGTAAAAAATGGAACAATGTCAGCACTCGCACTCCCGGGAGAAGGTTGACACGGCGAGCCTGCGACTTTCGTCGTCAGATTAGGATCTACCGGCAGGGTAGGGCTGAGACCTCGTTCTTGGTGTGGTCCGAGCTTGCCGGCCGTGCACCGTCTCTACGGCCGACAGTAAGTGCTTCGTCAATTTACAATGTGTCACGAAGGACGGTACATTTGTTTGAACATCGGTTGCACTGATCATCGAGTGTAGATCTAACACAATACCAGTTTATATGATGAACTGTATCATTCATGTTGTAGATGGCAAGCCGTACTCTGGATATAAATCCAGGCGTGAATACTATGTCCGTAGTCAAAGCATTTGGCTAAAGTCAATCCCCGAAGCAGTACTCAAGCTTATTAATTTTCCTTGGCCCCGCGCAGTCCCGCCAAGCTCGGACTAGTTTGAAACACGGCCACTGGAAATATGTACACCAATGATATGCTTTTGATCTGTGCCAACGAACGGTCACACGCAAGTTCCTGGGCATCCCAGTGGAACAGCGGGATACAACCTCACGAGTGATGAGCTGAGCTCGAGGCAAGCGGTAAGATAGTGTATCTAGCTCCACATGTGTGGATATTTTGTCCCTGAGCTTACCTACTCCAGCGGACACGGCCCACCAGTGCCGATCCTATAAAACCCGGCATGTTCGTTGGCACACCAGGACATACCAACATATCCCTGTCCGTCCAGCCATGGTTTCCTTGATCCCCTCTACAGACTCGGCAGCCCACGTATACGCTCATAACAAAGTTGCGGAAGTACACCACCCCCTTGACCCTCTGACGCCAGATGAGGTGCGTAGCCTAACGACTACAGCTAACAACTGACCGACTGTTGCCTCTCATCAGCTTAATGCAGTCACCTTGACTGTGAGGAAATACACAGTCGAACACACGGGTATCAAAGCATTAAGATTCGTAACCTGCTTCCTTTTACCTCCTCCAAAGAGGGCTGTCCTTGCCGCCCTGGGTATTCCAGTCACGCCTGGTGGCAAGCCAGAAGTTCCCACCAACATTGTTAGGAAGGCAGAGTCAGACGTGAGTTTGGGTAGTCACCGAGTCCATTAACCGCTCATATCTCAGTTAGTTCTTTGATGCTGTAACTGGGTTCGTATCACTTTCATATCCGATGTGTCAAAGTTAAACGCTACGTTATAGAACTGCTTATAATGCTGTTTTGGCACTCGTCGAAGAGGAATGGAAAGTAGAATCCCTGGAACGTCTTTCGGAGGGTACACAACCGAACATCACTATGGACGAACTCATTAACTGTGAGATTATCGTGCAGAATGATCCCAGGATACAAGCCCTAGCAAAGGAAGTCGGTAGGTGAGGTACGCTCTGTATTTCGATTGATCTGACGTGAGAAACTAGGTATTGAACCTCACCAAATATATGCTGACGGGTGGGTTATTGGTTGGGATGATCGATTCCCGAAAGACCGGCGACTTGCGCAGGCGTTTTTGTTTGCCCGGTTTTCGAAGCATGAAAACCTTTACGCCCACCCTCTGGTAATTTTTTTTGCGTTCATTCGCCCTGCCTTGTCCTTCACGTTACTCTAGGACTTCATTCCAGTCATCGATGCGATCGCAAGAAAGATTGTCCGTATTGATTTCCCGCCCGCGTGGAGGAAGGAAGCCGATGGAAGTGTCAAGCTGTCAGCTCCTACAACACAGCCACTGCCTCTTTCAGATGATGCCTTCCAGGGAGCAAATCGTCCACGTGTCCAGCCCCCCCTGGCGCGTTATGAGTTCCTTCCTGATCTCATGAAGGAGGCAGATCCAAATTACAAGGAACGCGATGATGTGAAACCTTTCCATGTCATTCAACCCGAAGGAGTTTCTTTCAAAATGCACGGTAATGTGCTAGAGTGGCAGAAATGGAAGATGCACATAGGTAAGTATTCTTACATGTCAAGTCAGTCTTGTGATTGTGTAATGATGAAAAATTAGCTTACAGCTTCCGCGAGGGTATTGTGTTGTCGACGATCACATACGACGATGATGGAGAAATACGACCAATCTTTTACCGTCTTTCGGTGGCTGAGATGCTTGTCCCCTATGGTTCTCCCGAATCCCCGCATTCAAGGAAATTCGCCTTCGACTCGTGAGTGAATACATGATGAAAACTACATGCCGCGTTCACAGCGCTCTGTAGAGGTGAATATGGTATGGGCATGGTGGCTAATGAGCTTTCCCTCGGTTGTGATTGCTTGGGAAAGATTCACTACTTGGTGCGAAGCCTGCTGATCACTGCGGTAGACACTCGCTGATTGCACTGCTTTATACTGGCAGGGCGGCGCCTTTGTTGACAATTCGGGCGCAGCAGTCATTGTCAAAAACGTCATTTGTATTCATGAAGAAGATGCAGGTGTCCTTTGGAAGCACACTGACTACCGTCCAGGTGGTCGCTCCCGGACTGTGAGAAGCCGACGTCTCGTCGTCAGTATGGTTTGCACACTCGCCAACTATGGTGAGAGTGCCTTCGTGTTCCTTTCGGCCTCGTGGCAGTTACTAATGACTTTGCGCGTAGAATACATCTGGAATTACTATTTCTACCAGGATGGTAATGTCGAGCTTGAGATTCGTCTCACAGGTATTTTGCAAGTTTGCGTCACCGACTTCGATGAGCCTACTCCTCATGGAACAACTGTCGCCCCTCGTATCAACGCTCAGTTCCACCAGCATATTTTCTCCCTTCGTGTCGACCCAATGCTTGATGGCCTACAGAACTCAGTTATCGAGTCAGAAATCATGGCTGTTGATGCACCGACGGGTTCGAAGGAGAACTTTGCTGGTAATGCCTTCGTTGTCAAGGATCGCATCCTCAAGTCTCAAGTTGAAGATGGCGCGCGGGACTTCGACTGGGCGTCCGAGCGTCGTTGGCGCATCGCGAACCTGAACAAGACTCACTACTCGTCAGGCAAGCCATCGTCGTATGCAATCATGATGAAGGGTGGCGCGGTTCCACTCATGGCGAAGCAAGACTCTTGGGTTGCACGCAGAGCTTCTTTCGCCAACAAGCAGCTTTGGGTCGTGAGAGATGACGAAGGTCCGAAAGGCTCGAGAACATTCCCTAGTGGCAGGTATGTCCCTCAAACGCGGGAAGAGCCAAAGGATTCCGTTGGGAAATGGGTGAACGAGGGGGACGGTAGCATCGAGAACGAAGATATTGTTATCTTCCTTACGGTTGGTACGTCGCTTCGTGTACACCGTCTCTTCGACAGTCTGAACTTGCCCTTCTTTGCTCCCTAGGAACTACTCATATTCCCCGCCCGGAAGACTGGCCTGTGTAAGTTCTATTTCTTGCTTTGCACTCGCACAAGTTTAAGCAATGTCCATTAGCATGCCCGTAGAGCATATCAACGTCCTATTTAAGCCCTCTAGTTTCTTCACCAAAAACCCTAGTATGGATGTCCCTGGTACTAACGACCTTCAGAGTCAACCTGCATTCGATACCAATGGCACCGATGGACATCATTCTAACGGAACGAGCGGGACAGCCTGCTGTGCAAATTAAACTTTAAGAATTCATCTCTTGGTCTACTTTCTCTATGTTGAATTTCTTCCCGTATGATACCTAGCAACCTACATGTACCGGGTTATCAGGTTGTGCAGAGCTTGTCCAGGATATTAGTCGTTCATTTCTGGCTGTTGTTGGAGTACATGTAAAGTATAGGGTGAGCAGGTTTCGGGGATTATTACGTCAGCAACACTTGCTCTCGGCTTCCCGGAGTCCCCTAACCCAATCAAATTTCTGTTCCAGCACATGTCGACACTGATGCATGTACCTCTGAAATGTACATACACCTTCAAGCCGCCCACACACCTGCGCCGCAAAGATACACCAACTCGCACGGTGGCGTTGTGCCAGTTGTGTCCTCTATATGTTTCTGTCGACGCCACAACTACCTGGATGAAGCGGGTTACCAGTGATAGGTCGCTCTACTCTTAATGTGGGGTTCCAACACGCTCAAAACGGTGTACATACCGCCTCGGCTCTGCCCGCACTCGCTGACTACCGAGGCCTTTTCAATCATAGGCTGTGTCAAGCTCCTTTGTACAAGTTCCAAGAAGTTTGCGGCACATGGTACACGTCCTACGTCAACACTGGTATTATGTTGTTGGGCTGCTCCCCGTTCAGGGACCCCGAGCTTCCACCAGTAGGTAGAGGTGCAGATCTGGTCAGCAAATCGACTCGTTTCCGTTTGGAAGCTGAGGTAGGACAGTATCACATGCACCCTACTCAATCTGAGAAACAGCTACGCGACGTGGTCGTTAGCAGCTCTTCCGCACTTCAGCAAGTCTTCTCATTGGACAACAGGTGTCTTGGCGAACGCGAAGGGAGTCTTACAACAAGTCACCTCCAAACAGAGGCTGCTGTGGGCTGGTATTCTCTCGGGTAGTTTTGCAGATTGGCACACGGTGAGCTCAAACATGTGATTGCATAACGATCTACACGAGAGGGATAGCTGTCCCCGTGTCTTGGCGTCCGCATCCTCCATGGTAGGTTCAAATCAGTCTACAAAGACGCCTCCAGAGTGACGTACTCTTGTGGACGGACCTGCACCGCGGCTGGACCATTGGTACCACCGCAACGTGCGATCTCACTTGTAATTTCTCACTGTTACAGTACGGAGAACCCCCTCCGAGTGCTAACCTGGGTTTACTTGCGCAATACTACTCATGCTGTCGTATGACTCATTGTATTTGCGTGGCGGGTCCTATCTCGATTTCCCAGCTTGCATTGAACGACGACGTTCCCCTGCTTCATATTTCTATCACTCGCAAAAAATGTTCTCGAACTATACACCTTTTTGGAGTTGGATATCATTTATCACTTGATATGGGCCTTGACATATCTCCCAGGTGTAGTGTTTTGATTTCTTGGACGTTTCGTCCCCCTGCGCTCTCCTACATCCAAGGTACGAATTATGGCTGTCGTCCAGCTAGGTGGCGTGATATCGTTAGCTATTGCGTAAGTCACTTTTAGAGAATAGCGCGTGCATTCCAGCCGTGGCCGCGCCAGGTGCCATGCTCACTCACTGTTCGCCGGTTAATTGCTAGCACCGTCTCACTCTCATCGTCGAACACAGCAACCCATGATCATGCCCACGATCACGATCGACACCAGAGCCAATCCAGCGCAGCTGCGTATCCATCTCGCACATGGCGACGTCCTTTTCCTTCTCGACATTCGGCTCAGTGACTCCCCAGATATCCTGTACAAGCACCATACGCGTCAGCGCTTATCTGCGGCACATTGTTGGTCGAAGATGGCGGTTGGTGCGTCGCTCGAGACAGTGCCGCCTTGTGTTACTTTATGTACTCGCACAAGCAAAAGACTAGGGGAGGAGTGCCCCGAGTCATTTGGTAGGAAATTTGCGACGGTATATGTAGATGATGTAGAAAAACAAGTACAGTAATCAATAACCTGCCTACTGGCTACTTACCCATCCGATCCTCGGTAGCTCTGCAGGCTTTACATAATCGTAGTTGATGTCGAGTTTTGTTCTCGGTACGTCATCTTGTACGTTCGACTGCTAGCTACTGCAATTACGATTGATCCTTATGTGCCCCCGCAGTCAGCGATCAACGACAAGCATGTGCAAGTCTTAAAAATCGATCTTCAAAAAGACAACGGTAGAAACCGGAGAAGAAAGAGGAGGAAGCAAAGAAACAAGCCACGGCAACACTAACGAAGGAAAACACGTACGCGTTGCTGTAGAGCGATTATGGGAACTCACGATCTTGCCTGATAGCATGATTATCACCTAACGATTGTTCGATAGGTTGATGTCCACGGCAGGATACCAGTTTCCCATACCCGTATCCCATGTGCACGCTTACAGAGTCACCAAACTAAGTCCTCGTAACGTCCATGAGGGAACTGTATGCCCTCCATGTTCATGTTTATCCTCGCTAACTGGTTCATACCCTTGTATAGAACCAGGACAACGGTGATCCAAATGCAGCCGTTGTCACCTGGTTCATCTTCGTGTTCTCCTGTTTCGGTGCCATCCTGCGTGCAGGGGCAGGATGTCTTTGTCTCGAATTGAACGGTTGGTGCAAAACGCTACTTCCGTTTGACCTGATATGAACGCCACCACCAGAACCATCATCATCGGTACCCTCTTAATCATTCGCGGCCGCGGCCACTGCCATACTTACAGAGGATAGAAGGCTGGAAATTAACTGGAACTCACAACTACCGGAATGACGGCGACCACCAAGAACACGTCGATCATCAACAGTCTGAAAGTGCCAATTACACAGGAAGCCTCGCACGACCCTCTCGATCCTCTCTTCACGGTACACCAACGTACCAGTTCGGAGATCGTTGGCGTACTGGATCACATAGACGTGAACCAGGTCGGCGGGCTGTTCAGTGACATCGATATGGGTGCGTACCATTCCTAATTTATTCGCCTGCCTCTCCTTGTGACTTTCTGAGCCCTGTGCTCGTGCTTCCTACCTGCTGGCTGGCTTGTCACACCATAGCATGGGCTTCATTTTTCTTTTGCACTTCCTGTCTGCCCTGCCTACTGCGCCGAGTGATTGTATTTGAAGGCTGTGTGTGAGACAAGGGTCAAACAATGGCACTTCATTTGTTTCGTTTTCATATGACGCAACGCAGGGCATGGTGACCGTCCGAATTCAGCTGCTGTACCAACCCAAACGAAGCATGCATGCGTGTCGTCGACCGCACCACTTTGAACGGTCCACGATGAGGGGGGTGAATAGGTGGGAACAGTCAGTGCGGTAATTATCCACCTCCCTCTTTTTTCTTGGGTTCGAGTATTTTTTAAATCTTTTATCCGGTGAACTGGACTGGCCTACATGGGCTAATATTCGCTCACATGGCAGACTTTTCCTTGCTGTCCGCTCATTCTACCTCCTGTGCGCTTTTTTAATGCAGTGAGGAGGTGGTACAGGTCCATCTCCTTTTTCTGCATCTGCCCGCTCTGAGGGGGTAGCGATACCGAGGTTCTGGACCGCTATACACCAGACGACTCGAGTACGACAGTGACATCTACAATTGGACACAATCCTTTTAGTGAATAGATTAAAATCGGCGGGCCTTCTGAGCATTAGGAATGAAGTTGGCTTCGGAAAGTGGATGTTAGGCGTGTGGGTCTCTTGAGCTTCCTATTTCGTGTTTGGTAACATCTATCTCTTACTTCCGCCTCTTTTCTGTTGGAAATTATGTTAACTAAGACGTTTTAGATGCTCAATGAATGTGAACAGATCGCGCAGACCTAGTTGGCCAGAACCACCTATCGCGCACCTCGTGCGTCATCTCACAGCCATTGTAATCGTAAGTCCGCTCCACTGTCCACTCGCCTCCAAACTTGGTAACGCCCCACACCTGGTTCATATCTCACATCCATATCCATATCCATATACACGTACGCGTTCGATTAATCGGATGTGGCGTGGCGTGTGTGTGACCGCAGCGACAGACGTGTCATTCGTGCTGTGCGTCGTCGTGCGATCACTCCTTCCTGGATCGCCTTTAGATCTGTTGAGCGAAGTTCGACCGTTGACCGGCAAGGTTAACGCGGTGACGGCGATCGAATCGAGAAATGTTGGGCTGCACGGAATGTGTTTTGCCTGCCACATTGAGGTGCCGTTTTTACAAGGTGTCATGCAGGCGACATGTCTGAAGGGACGTATGTAGGGTGCGTCTGGTGTATAGCTGCTCCTCTTCTGCCTGTTTCTGGCTTCGCCTTCTTCACGTTCCCCTGCCGCTCGCGGCCCGCTGCATTATGCCATGTGACGCGGTTCTTTTTCTGTTCCTCAGGACTCTTTTGCCAAAATCTTGTCAACGTGTGCATCTTTCCCCGATAACTCGTTGCTGAGTGTCATGTTTCATATTGCTGACATCTATGGTGAGAATATCTGCCAGATGTAACTGTAAACCCCTCGCAAAAGTCGTTGACCGAGGACAATTCTGCGCAGTTGGGTCGATAGAGCTGCTCGAGGCTGTCGAAACGATGTCCGGTCTACGGCAATAGTTTTGCACTATCCCTCGGGTTACTCAAAGCATGTGCGGGTCTCGGCCGACGAACAAACGGTGTCTATGGGTAGACGTTTTCCACCCGGGGAAGAGGTCGTTAAGGAGGTGATAACGTCTCCCTCCTTGGGATGAAATGAAATCAACGCCGCTGCCAACAGTCCTCAATCGATGATATCCGGTTCATAGGTAGAGAATCCCTATTTACGAAACGGTTCATGGTGTATTATCTATGATATGACGATTGTAAAACGGAATGCCGTTCCGCGTGTCGTAACAGTGGCAAGGTTTTACTGAAGATGCATTGTCTTGCTTAAATCAGCCTTGCCTTGCTCCGACCATGACCGTTCGCTGTCGTACTGGCATCGCGCAGTTTCGTCCTGAGTCTCTGCAACGCTTTCCCGAGCTGGTTCCCCCCCTTTCCGTCGGGCCCTACTCCCCAGAATGCGTCCTTGTCTGAGTCCTTTGGGAGGGATGCGAAGAGAAGGAAAGTTCTCAGTATCGGCTGCGGTACCAGAGGTAGGGAGAAAAAGGCATCGCTTACCTCCACTAGCTCTGCATCGCCTGTCGAAAGAAGTTCATCCTTGAGGTTTGTGTTCTGCGTGAACTTGTGCCACAGTGCTAAATCCATCTGGTAATCGTATCAGCAAGCAACATCGTTTGGCCGCACGAGAAGCTTCGGAATGATGAAGAGTGTCCAACAAGGACTCACCATTTCGATTCTGACTTTGAGCCAGTCTGGACGGGCCTCCGGGCTGAACCTATGAGCTTCGTCAAACACGACGCGTGGTCGCTTCGAGCACGTTCTCATGTGCTCTGCCAGTTCAGGGCGGTGGGGTAGAAACTTGCCAGGCGAACCCACACGCCGTGCAACAATAGGTCGTATGATAAAAAATATTGAGAATCGGACGGTGGTGGGACGCGCCTATATCGGGCGAAGAACACTCACCTTTAATGATTGGAACAGATGCTCGCTCGTTGGATATGTTTTACCATGGTATTCCACTGGATCAGGTGAGAAGTTGGTGAAACCGTAGTACGGATCATGTGCATGGTAAAATAGGATTCTCTGAGGAGCCCGCTTCGAGGAGGCCTCTTGTGAAGGCTGGCTTTTGTGCCGCTGCGGTGACCAAGCGGCTCCCAGGGTTTGAGTGCTCGTGAAGGAGAAGGATGGGAAAGATGCAGAAGACGAGAGTGTTCTGTCGCGCCCACCCTTTCTCAGCACGTTGACACTGGTCTCGGTGATGCTTATCTTAGTGCTACTGCTCTCATCACTGGATAAGTACCCGCCAAGGTCGCGCTGCAATGACCGTTCGAGCTTGTTCTTGATCTGGTCTATCTCGTCAGACTCCAGAGGCCCGTCAGAGGTGACGCGCATCCTCTGCACGATATCGATCTGATACGTCGCGGAGGTCTGCCCCTGGTCAGGTACCTTCGACCCACTGTGTTTGGAACCTGTGGATGGTGGCGATGGAGATGAGGATGGCGACATGTTCGAAACGATTTTGGGGATCCTTGAATTGAGACTATTATAATGCCGCGACGGCGTCTACAGTCTTATACAGTGACGGGTGATGCGACGCCCCAGCCTTAGACGGACTCTGAGAGGGCGACACATGGTGTGGGCATGTCCCTCGCTGGCCCGCGGTAGGACGCATCTTGGACGCTCCCGATACGCACCGAAACCAGGCGAAATCCCGATGTGTGGTTAACACGTGTTGGAGACTGGACCAGAGCCGCCTTCCATATGGGCGAATTCAAAACGCACAGAGCGCTGCTGTATCTCACCCTCCAAGAACAAGAATGACCTCTTCACGAAGAGCGATAACAAGTTCGACAAGTAACGGTAATTTATGTGAGGTGCGTTTGTAAAGGACCATAGTGTGTCCTACGTACTCCGTCCTCTGAGACGTGTATCCTCTACGCCGTAGGTTTGTGGAATCAAACCGAAATATGTAGACTCTTCGGGAGCGACGCACTCGTTCTGTGGACGAACATGCGCTGCTCGCGGCTCTACCACCGGTGCCGCCACAAAGTCTCCTACTTGCAGGATCAGGGGCTGTAGGAATGTGGTGGATCCCACTTTCCAAGGTTTCTGTTCAGAAGGTCATGCAAAGTGCGTCATCTCTCATCCGCGACGCATCCCCCGGTTTCTCACATCTTATCACAGACAAGGGGTCGGTACCGGCCTCGTGCAAGGATGCTCCCGCTGCAAAATCTTACCCCAGACAAATGGCCAGATGTGCTCCAGATGCGCACAGCTACCCGCTGATGCACCGCGAATGTGGAATATCAACAATTCAGGTACTGTGTGGAGAGAATGTGCGTGCCACGATCTCCAATCGACGATATGTTGATCCTGATGCAACTCGAGTAGTCGAGCGCGAGTGGAATGACAGATGGAGTGATGGAAACTCAGCAACGATCGAGCAGTTATTCGAAATATCATATCCGCCTGCCATCGCCGATGAAAAAGATTCATATTGGTTAGTGAGACTGTGATCATACACGCAATCGCGCGAATAACATATCTGCTATCAGCCAACACCTGAAATCGACTGGGGGTATGCGGCTATTTCGCACCTTCCACGCTTCCCAGTGTATATGTGACATGGGAACCAATGGGCCGACGTTGTGTACCTGGGGCTCATGTGGCATCTGCAACATTGTCAAGTCCGCTTTCAGGGAGATCGCGTTTGGTGCTCCCTTCAATAAAGGACGGTACGTGTCCGCTGTCATGGAACCTTTGTAGTCATTGACAGCACCGTGCACATAGACACGGGAATGGTTTGTACTCTTGCACTAATCCCTTTGGGGCAGACCGTTTTGCAACTTCATGCTTGAGCTCACCGTATCGGGTGATGATCGCATGTGATGTTGTCCTACCTCAAGTTCCGAGTAAAAACAACTCGGTTTGTTATTCCAAACCCTGAACTTCTATCTGCTGATGGAAGCTCCCAGGTTCTGACGGACGACTTGATTGTGGTTCGAGACCCGGCTGCTATTACTCCAAGATACGTTGTGATATATACCAAAGCCAAGTGAGAGGTCAGCCTGGATTGCTGCATGACAGGGTGAGTGGAGCTTGCGAAGGTTATGTCTATGCGAGGCGCGGTCATCGAGTCTTCCCATATACAGTATGCCGGCGGCAAGAGTTAGCAAACCGCACGAAAAGTACGAGCAGAGATATCAGCCGTCAGTCATCGATAAGTGTTAGGGGGTGCCTCGTTGCAAACTCCTGGCTAGAATACATCCGCTATGAGCAACTTGCAATGTGGATGGTCGTTATCCTCGAATGGACTGGCATCGAGGATGCAACGTGTTTGATCTGGTTCCTCAAAAATCAAATTGCGGGAGCTTCTTATTTCATCTCCAACGCGAAAGTAGTCCATTTGCTGTGACAGAAAGAGTCTGATCAAGCAGGACGGATCCCAAATGGGGGCCGCCATAACCATGCAAGATCTCTAATACATAGTCATATCCGATCCAAGATCAAGATAAATACCGCAGCCAGACCACAGGGGCCATGTGCACAGCGCACGCTTGCGGTATTGTGGGTTGAGCCACGGATCCAACCGTGGACCACGAGGCATGCCCGCATGCAGTGTATCCAACTTGATCTATCTTGACAAGCTCTTTGGAGTGTCGGGAACAGCGAAAAGTTCGATCGTACCATGGCGCCAGGTCTTTGCGAGGTGTGCAGCTGTCATTACCGTCTGCTGTGTCCAGCTAAAAAGGCTGCAGAGTTGCCACAAGAAACCAACATTTGGCACTCACAAATATTGCGGAAAGACGTGCGCCTCTCAAGCGAACGGACTTAGAGGACCTGCTCATTTGCAACCAAAGGCGTCCAGCACGGGTCGCAATCGAGCAGCACCACCTGGAATACCCCAGAAAGCGGTTCAACTTTGCGATGTGAGTCGAGCGCCGATCAATCACGATTCGATATCACGCCCATCACATCTCCTCACGCGATCTGCACCTATAGTATTGTGGAAAGAAACCAAAGTTCAGCAACTTCGACTATTGCACCAAATCCTGTGCGGCACTTGCAAACCCGTCGCAGAGTAACCAAGCAACCGTCCAGGGAAAGCAAGCTACGAAACCGAACGCACCTCACGTTCCCTACCCACCCCAGAACGCTCCTGCTCCTAAACGTCCCCACAACGTGACAAAAGCACCCCAGGGGAAAGTCCCTGTATCTCAAGGTATGGTAGGCACGGCTGTGGCAGAGTGATTTGTCCTAATACCCGGCCAGATGATACCTCCGATGAAGAGGAATGCGACGAGAGTGATGAGAATACGGGTACCGACCTAAGTGCTTATCCAACAGATTCTGATGAGGAAGAGCCGGTCGTCGCCGCACCCGTTGCAGCGCCTGCGACTGCAAAGCGAGCCGGGAAGCCGGGGAACCCTACCGTGCAGTCGTCACGAAGTGCTCCTGGGACATGTGCCATTCCACACTGTGGTAAGCAAGTTCATATAGACAAGAGCGGTGTCAAGACCAATTACTGCTCGATTAAACACAGGGAGTAAGTGTGGTCTCCCTTCCATTCTATCTTCCAACTCCTGAGCGCAACGAACCCAGGGAGGCGGTCACATTGGGATTGGAAGCACCCTGCATTATGTGCAAACGCTACCCGCAGAGTGGCTCCGATTACTTTTGCTCGTCGTCTTGCAGGAACCAATCCATGTCGAAGACCTAATCAACGTGTCTTCCTCGTCACTCGTTGTGTGTCACTGCAAAATCGTTGTACCGTTCACCTGGGGGCAGTGCCCTCTTTTTCCTGATATCGGTGGTGGTTGAGGGCGTAAAGTGCACTTACCTCCTGCCCAATGTACATCAATTCAATAGTAGAGGAAAGATTTGGTTTGGTCGTGGATAGTGTAATCTTGCTTACGTTTGCCTAAACGAAAAAATACCAGCTGTTAGACTCTCACAGTACTCTCAACGTTTCACTAGAACGACACGCTGTATTCTCCAGCTTGTATCGTCTGGAAGCCGTTCGAAGGACGTTAGGCTGCCACAATGGGTCGTGTCCGTCGCTCTCGAACTCATAAATCCCAACGTGACATTCACAGAGCTTCCCGAACCAGAGTGCGCACCCTTAAACTCAAGTTCTAACTCTTGTTCCTCCCCAAGTCCTGACCCAGCTCTCCTACTTCCAGGCTCGAACCAGAGATCTCGATCAGATACAACTGATCGACCTCGATCCCAAAGTGCGTCGTCTCAGCGACCAGAGAGATTGCGCTCCGGATGATGAATTGTTGACGTCCTGATGCGCACCTCTTTTACGCAGAATCGTGCCGCGCTCGAGGCACAACCCCTCGATTTTGACAAACCGGGATTAGCTCAGCACTACTGCGTGGAGTGCGCAAGGTGCGTGGTCGCACGGATTGCACGGAGACGCTGAATCAGCTCCACGCCAAGATATTTCGAAACTGATGTTGCACTCTGTTCGCATTGGAAAAGCAAGGTACACAAAAAGAGGTGCCGAGCGCTCAAGGAGCCTGCGTACACCGTAGAAGAGTCCGAACGTGCCGCAGGACTTGGCAGAGAAGGAAAACGGACATCACCGAGTACATTAATGTCTACTGCTGTGTAGTATTCGTGTGGTGGTGGTTCTAGTAACGTTTAATTATCTGTATCCCCTCTTGTGATACTCGTGTATTATTGCCTTCCATCTCCTTGGATTAAGGCATATATGAACTTCTGATGCACCGCTTCCAGCTGCAAGGTAAGGTGCTACAGATGCACTTGTATTTGTGAAGGGCAGCACCGCCCCCGAGAACATAATACATTTTGTAGTTCTACAACCGTTTTGAACGGTGACCATGAGTGTAGCATATATTAGCCTATCGGTACAATTAAACAAAGGAGATTACCTAGTCGTGAAACCCTTTGTTGCATAACATGATAAATATAATTTCCTCGTCGTTGACCTAAGTACCATTGACATTAAGGCTTGCTTTGCGTAGTATCGATCTCCCTGCTAGCCAGATTGAAGAGAAAATGTTGTCATCCGGTCGGCCTCCGTATGTCGGTCATAAAATGACGAACTCTCTGACTTTGTCTCGTCCGTTGGCGGAGGTGCTGCCGTCGACCATAAACGCACCCCACCATCATGACTACCTGTCGCGAACATGAATGTGTCGTCCGTTCCGTAATTCCATGCAATGCAAGTCAAGTCTCCGAAAGTGTTGGGTGTTTGTGGGCGGATATAACGAAGGAGTAATCCGGAATCCCGATCCCAAATGTGAATATCGCCGGCTATCATGCTTAAGCTTTCATCGCACCAATAAACAGCAGAATTTACGAACCTTTTCCAGCACATAACACGAATTGGTCATCCCTGCCTCCAAAGTAGCAAGGACCTGCAAGCTCAAATTGGGCCTTCCTTATGTACGTGTGCTTCAAACTAAGACGTGAAGTATAACAATTATGATCCCTGTCCCTCACGGTTTCCAACTTCCAGAGCTGAGGTGGGGACTAATGGGCGGGTAGAGGTGAGACGGATATTCCATAGTAACAGGGCTCATGCAAACCTTTTCTGGTGATATAAGGGCAACCGAGGCCCTTCTCGCCATAGTAATGTCCCGGACGTCGTTGGCAAACGGTGTCTGGCTGTTTCAACCATCAACGACGAGCCTCCACCTCGGGGACCGAAAACGCACCTCTCTTTCTTCTGTAATGACATATTGTAAACTATCGTGGGACGGAGTTAGATTTCATCTGATGGTGTCACGTGAACTCACCAATAAGACGCTTCTCTACCCTAGTGTGACGACTTGGTTGTGGTCCATCTGCTGGAATGATAGATGGGCCCACACCAATCAAGCGTTGACAATCCTCCGTTACTGCAACGTTATGAAGGCGAACATGTCCAAGATTGTACGTATTCAAGACCTAAACGTGACGCCATGAGACGAAGGTGCAATGCAGGAACAGGCGCTAAGATTTACTCTCCCAGCCAAATCCTGTGTACCGCAATTACTCAAGGTCCTACAGAGATAATGTGAAATTGCGCACCAATTTAACAACGTCACTTCCTTCGACAGACAAGAAACCTGATCGGAATCATCGTGAGCACGGTTCGGTTCAAAGGAAAAGAGCCTTACCTTCACTGTTAGGAAGCCAGACAATGGATTGAACTGTACTTTGCCGTTCGATGGTCTTCTTACAATAGCCATCCTAACATAGACCCATTCAGCATCGAGGGATACCAGCACAGTAGCTCATCTACCTCGGTCCACACCTTCACAGAACGAGTGAGACGAGTCAAAAGTGTCTTGCCGTTCGGAGACCTACACTGTTATCAGCATGCACAAAATCTGACATAGGATGTGAAGTCACCATGCAACCTGGCCAATGAAACCTCGCACATGGACAAGAACACGATGGGTAGAGAGTTCGCCTGTGGGCGACACTTTAAATATGACTGACGTCCTGTCCCAACTTCAATACGTGAGTGCATATGAAAGAACAAATGTGCCAATCAGCAGTCACCTCGATGTAGCCAAAAACTTGCCATTTGGCGAAAATTGGAGATGACGCACAAGAGCCTGGTGTGCACCAAGTTCTTGTATGGGGGCGAGAGGCTTTAGCTTCTCTACATAATGAGCAATCTGTGCATTTCGTAGGGCCGACACGCCAGATTCTTGCAGCCGGCCAGGTGACGTGACCTGCGGAGTTTCCCACGCAGAATCCCTCCTTGGTGACATTGGAGGTCGCGAGGCAGCCTGTACCATCATAACAGAACGAATAGCATTCACGAAACGCTGCTTGGCATTGGATTGCCCAGAGCCCACGCTCACTTCACTATGATCGTCGGGTGAAATAGGTCGTTCGGTAAAGTCTGAACATGAAGAGAATGCTGGTTCGTGATTTGGTAAGGGTAATATCGTTTCGTGCGTATCCTGGCGGTAATGCGGGGGAGGGCGTGGGTGACGGTAGGTCCGAGGTTCGTGTGGGTCGCTATAGACTGGCAAGACCTCTTTCTCTTTACGCGCGGGGGATATGTTTATCCGTTCAGCTACACGTCGCAAACATCCACAGAGCGCCGCAACACATGTGCTGAGCCAGTCGATGGCGATGCGAGCCATCCGGACAAGGCGGAAGTTGGCAACGTGGTTTATGAACTCAGCAATTACATCACCAAGCCATTTCTGACCTCTGTGCTGAACAAATATCCATCGTTCGGATACGAACCAGGCTGACACAGCGATAAGGCCAAAGGATGTGACCACCTATGGAAGCATATAAGGTAAGCCACAGTTGAATGTCCGAGAATGGATGAACTTGCCGTTAAAACGGTGATTATTGTTGCAGTGACTGGCCCCTGCAAGACAACCGTATCAGAAAACGCGTGGAAACGGTGTGACGGTATGGCACGCGCACCTGAGGAGAGGAGTATGTGAAGAGCATGAGTCCAGTCGAGAAACAGGCAACGGACATGACGAGGAAGACCAGTGGAGAGCGTTTAATCCATATCAGAACCCACCACGGTACCCTGTGCCCAGGGGAGCGGCTCGATGATGCAATGAGCCCAAGGCATGACGAAAAGAAGTAAGAGAATCTCTTACTACATAGCCTGCTTCCACGTTAGTCCGAGGAGACTGTTCACGGCCGCAGCGATGCTGAACACCAGTGAAGAAAACCAGAACGCATTGACAGCATCCGCCAACACCGTTCCTGTACTCATGGAAGAGAACTGCAGCGTTGAGGCAGTCACGGCCGAAAAGAAGGTTGCTACCGTAGACAAGTTCAGAAGGTTAGCTGCAGCGTGTTGTTGATGGAACCTGATTGTAGGAACACCTGCATAACATAGCCTATCAGCACCAACGCATGTCAGGTGGTTTTCTCCGCACACACCGATCTCGATAAACATGGAGAGCGTTACTGTAATGTTGTCTACGTGATCGCCGATCTCAGTAGTCAAGTCGTGTACATAGCGTTGAACAGCGGGGGATCGAAACTGGGCTAAACGAAGAACTACTGAGCTTAGCGGTACGACGGAATGGACCGTGAAAACATACTTTTGTACTCGTTGAGGCAAGAAGCCCAGTACTAATCCGAGGAACATCACGTCAGCAGTGGTCGTCGAGCTGTGACTAGGGCAGCTACTCACTTTTAGGTCTCCTTCGAATGCCTTCATCGACTGGTCGACAGGCCTCGTCATTAAACTCCGGGAACTCGCTGAGACAATTGAGGAAGGTCACGACATCATTGGCAAAGCTCTCAAATTGAGAGGGCAAGGGTTTCAGGTTGGAGATCCTCTTCCAAAATAAGTTTGGTGACTGGAGGTGGGCGGTGGATCCGCCATGTCGAGCGCCGTCGTTTGCGATCCATCAAATTAGGATTAAGTAGCGATTCGCGTGTGTGCCGAGAGACCTTGCGAGGAAATAGAGATGCGGCATTTTCTCGAAACAAAAATGATACTTTAGTGAGCCGTTCACGCAATTTGAAAGCTGACGATAGAATGCCGACTGAGCTACCAAGTTGGCGAGCCGCATTGGCGAAGTTGCGGAGCTTAATGCAATAATATTAGGTTACTCTTACGAAACAAGTACATTGCCTACCTCCTTGTCTAGGTTTTCCACTTTCCTTTCCATACAGTCAGCGGATATATCAATGGCGAGGCACGACTCACTTCTCGAACTTGAAAAACTGCTCCGCTCCGACTTCCTGCAACTTCTCATCCGCGGCCATTGCTGCAGAATAAGGTCAATACGTTTCGCGAAAAAGGAGGGGACCTTCTTTACGTTCTCGTAACTCGTCCTCTGTAATGGGTGGGGAGGTGATATCTTGTTCGGTGGTCAACCTTCAGTTCGTGGGGAAAGAGAGAGGGACACACCTGTGTCCAGCCCACTATCGAGGTGGACTTCGGAAAGTAAGTCAAGAAGGCTCAACAAAGTTTGCTTCCGTCTCGGGTCCGTGTCGAAGCGAGAAGAGTATGTCCCAGGGCTGGACGCTGAATCATGGAGGCTACGAGCTATCCTGGTTGTGTTGCCTATCGGCGTAGCCTGAGCGCCCCTTGACCGCGACCGTGGCATGGGTGCCTGCCTACCTCGATGCATGCTTGACTCCCCAGATAAAGACTTGTTATAAGCCGGAAGGGTGGGTAGGCAGAGAATCTGTAACGGCTTTAAAGTAGGGGTCAGAAGAAAAGTGAATGAAGATGCTGTTCCGACTTTGAAATAGTAGTGAAGCTTGGATTGTTCTGGCCATGCCCCTCACGCAGGCATCATTTCATGGGTAACGCGAGATTCATTCCTGCGCCTTTTCTCTCCGGTGGCACGCTTTGTGTTACGAGATTTTGCCGGAGACTCAGCGAATCGAGCCAGCGCGTAATTGCCTTGAGGATCCATGCCGAGTCTGACGACCCTGGTTTCATGGTAAATTTGGCAACCTTGTCACTCACCAAGAGTTAATTAAAATCTATCTCGGTCAAGCACACTCCACAGGTCTGCGGAGTACATAACGACAACTTGTTAGAAGGCCGTGGCCTTGCTGACACACGGTATTGTACGAGACGGATGACAACGTAAAGAGAGTTGACGGCTTGACCACGAGTTGCACAGATCTGAGGTGCTGCTGCAACGTGTCAAAGAAGCGCGTGAAATCACGACAACGGTGGTGATAGACTGCTATCGAAGAGCTTCGCAATCACCAACATACTAAGTTATAGGATATGCACAGGGGATCATGTCACGAGTGAGACGGTCCCCAATGGAGACGAGATCGATTGGGATGATACCACATTACAAGATTCCAGGGAGCTGGGAAAAGCCGAACGGAGGAACAGAAGAAGTGTGGGTAGCAAGTTGGCACGCTAAGCAGGCACGTTTGCCTGCATGAGATTAGAGATCGTGAGACCGTGAGTGAGTGACCTGGCAGATAGACAAAGCGGTGTCGGAGAGGAACTTCTCGAACCACAGGGAGAGAAGCGTGCGACCGAGTGGCACGATAACGGCTGCAAATGAATCCACTAAACCGTCTCATCATAAGTGTTATTGAGACCGAACGGGTCTTACATTGAGGTAGGGACGCGACGGGCAGGTTACTGGTTGAGAACTTGCACCGTATTTGGTTAGGAACTAAGGAAGTTGAATATTCTAAACCTGTTTCTGATACCAAACCACTGACACGACCACCGACTAGTCCGTTTTGCTATCGCGCAACCAATAAGTATACGCCATGAATCATGCGTATCCTATCATGGAATATCGTGAGTTTGCCATGGCGCCAGATCTAATCCTGCAGCTCCTCATGACCGCGGTTTCTATGTGTTAGAACGGTGTTAGGACTCTTCCCCAATATCATCCGTGAGTCTCTTCACTCGAGTCCTCGCCCCACTCGGAGAAGCTAAGTAGACGCGTCTAGTGAGATGGAACACGTTCAAGACCTTTCGGGAGATATTGACCCATCTCCAGGCCGACATCGTCTGCTTCCAAGGCGAGTTAGAGCTCTTCTCCAGTGCTGCTCATTTCATACTCTCTCCGCGCAGAAATGAAGACCGCGCGCAACGGGCTTGACCGTAACATTGCTGTCCCAGATCCCTTCGACGGCTACTTCTCCTTCCCTGCCAATAAGGGTGGGTATAGTGGGGTAGCCATCTACACAGACTCTCGCACTGTTGCTCCACTCAAAGCGGAGGAAGGCCTTTCAGGGACAGTTCAACCAAAACCTCCGCTCAGCGAAGATGAACGGATATCACGTCACTATCCCTGTGCTAACGAGATGAACCTAATCCCAGATGAACACGGCAACAAACCATCCGAGTTGACATCTCTCGATACTGAAGGCCGGGCCCTCATACTAGACTTGGGCCTGTTCGTTCTTATCAACGTTTACTGCCCTAACGAAACATCTGATTCCCGACTGCCATTCAAAATGAATTATCACTTGATGCTGCAGGAGCGCGTCGGCAAGCTGATCAACGAGGGCAGAGATGTTATCGTTGTTGGTGACATAAATATATGTGCCACTCCGCTCGACCACTGTGACGGCCATCTCGCCAGTAATGCTGCGACGTTTTATGATCATCCCGCACGCGCGTGGTTTCGTGACTGGCTTTCCCCTAACGGTTGTATGACCGACGCGGTGCGAACCCTTTGGCCCTGCAGGAAGGGAATGTACACATGTAAGTCGCACGTTTCTTTCCCTCTTGCGACGGGTCTTTACATATCCCGCTCGACTATTTGTAGGCTGGAATACGAAGATATGCGCCAGAGAGACCAACTATGGGACCCGCGTCGACTACATCTTGGTTACCAGAGGGATCCTTCCTTGGATCAAGCACGGTGACATTCAACCATCCTTCAAAGGCTTCTGACCATTGTCCCATTTATATTGATCTCCATGACGAAATTATCCACCGATGATGGCAGGAAGCTCTGTCTTGGTGAGGTAATGTCACGACCAGCCGAGGGCAAGACCGCAGCAGTCCCGCGGCTTGCTGCGAGGTGTTGGGACGAGTTCTCCGGTAAACAGACGTTATTGTCCGCGTTTTTCTCGAAAGGGGACAGGGTCTCAACGGCAGCGAGTGCCTCAGATTCGTCATCATCACCTTCGGGATCGCCATCCGCTTCCCAAGCGTCGGTTATCTCATCCAGCACTGCGTCGAATGCCCCAGATGCTGTGCTGCCGGACCGCACAGAGTCCCTAGATCTCGCGAATCCACTACTAATACACGAGTCTCGCTCGCCAACCGGGGAATCTTTCGAGTGCGGGACCCACGGGGGCTATAAAAACTGGCGTAGAGGAGCAAGAGAGGATACCTTCAAAACCACCCACCGGACCGCCGAAACGCAAGCTGACAGATGTTCCGGCAGCACGGACTAAGCCGAATAAGAAACTCAGACCTGCAGGCGGTTCTTCAGCGGCGGGAAAAGGTACTCTTGATGCATTCTTTGCTACTCCACAACCATCACGACCTTCACAATCTCAATCACGGCCATCACCACCGCAATCACAATCTCAGGCCAATGGTGATCCGTTGGCGTCGGATTGTGATCCTCACTCGCCCAACTCAGATTATCAGTTAGCGCTCCGCTTATCTCTCTGCCTGGACGAAGACGTTCTATGTGCGCCTGGGCCATCCCAGACCGTTGGTAAGCCATGACTGAGGTCCACAAACGCAAAATTAAACTCGAATGCAGATTCTCAAACACCATCAACGCTGTCAAAGTCCGCAATAGAGCCATCACAGTGCCGCTCCTCCTCGGGAAGTAAAGCAGCATGGTCAAAGCTCATGGCACCCATCGAACCCCCAAAATGCAACGTTCACGGCGAGCCCGCCAAGTTGTACACGGTGAACAAACCAGGGCCTAACAAAGGAAAGACCTTCTATATTTGTTCTCGGTACGTGCATTTTGATCCGAGTTCCCTATGCGATTGCGATCTCTTGGGGGAGAAGCCTCTCCCTGTTTCTCTCTCCCCCTTTTTTGATTGGGTTACACCTCGTGTCTTCCCCTACATACTCGTTGATCCACATATACATCCATGTTCATTCTCCCGCTATCCATGCTGGCACTGACGCGATATCCTTTGAATGGCGTGCTCAGGCCCGTCGGTCCGGGTTACGACAAGGGCAGAGGGGAACGGCCACGTGACGAAGTCGACCACCGATATCGATGCAATTTCTTTAAGTGGGCATCCGAAGTTAGGCGGGAGTCGGCTTCCTCGTCCTCGTCCTCGTTACCGTCGGCTTCGTCTTCTCAAAAGTGATCACGAGAAAGACGAGAATGGCCGAGATTGCTAGACTCGCTTAACTGGTGCCCAGTTTTACATTATTAGTCGTTTGGGCGCCTCACACTTCGACAATAGAGGTGGGTGGGTGATAACGTATGCGTACATATGTGTGTATGCTTAGATATGGGTGACATGGACGTTGGGCGCGTTTTCACGCCACGCTGCTGCGCTCCGTCATTGTTGCACCGGTTCCCGCATAACCGAATTGCCGGATCTCGTAAGGGTCGTATATGAGGATCTGAAATCGAAGAGCAGTCCAGCGGAACAAAAAAAAATGGTACCACAACATAACAGTAATAATACTTTTAATATATAGCTGGTGCACAGATGCGTGACCCTTCTCCCTTCTCGGCCGGGCTCCGTGAACGTGAACGAGGAGGAACACGAAGTACGAAAATTTTGCCAACAGACCAAACCAAAAAAAAAAAGAAAGGGGCGATCAAGACAGGTGGAGCGGCATATAGATAGATGTACTGCGCGTACTGTATGTTTCCACAGAACACGCGTGCACAGAAGTTCTAATACAATGTGTAACGAGATGACTTGCCCACGGTACTGTATATTCTCCCGAAGTCCGAACTTAGCTGGGCCCACGGACCTGCTTCCTTGCCGTGCCAATGGTGGTATTGTTGACCTAGGTAGAATGGAGGAACGGGCCACGAGTGGGCGAGTCATCAATCATCGGATCCGATCGCGATCGGGAAGAAAGGGAGGGGATGGGGATGGAAGGGAAGGAGTGCTCACCTTTGTCGCGAACCGCAACGACGTCAGGGATTCGCCGAGATGGGCGGCAAGAGGGGACAAGTTGAGTATCATCTATCGAAGTCCAGACGTACGCCACAAGAACACAGGTTCGGCCAACCACGGCCATACATTTATGGACGAGTGGAATGCAATGCAATATAGTGCAACGCAACGCCACACCGCGAGGATGCAACGCAGGGAACATAAACACGCGATGAGTGAGAGAGGTGGTACGATAACGTCGCGAAAACGGTGGGGAAGGGGGTGCTACTTACCAGTGTCTTTGAGTTCCCGCTCAGAGAGTTTTGCAGCAGGTACGTGAGCTGTGAAAAGAAGTTCCGTGTGTGCGAGGACGTCGCCACGATCATGACGTCATCGAGGATAGGAATGCGACGATATCATTGGTGGGCACAGCGGCAGTAGTAGTGGAGCAACGGGCAAGGAGGAAGGGGAGAAGGCCAAGCACCACAACCGCCCACGAGATCGTGAATGAAAGACGGACATAGTATGCGCACCGGAAAGCACAGCGTCAGCGAAGATCATAAGCGGTGATCCAAACAGAAGCAAGAAAGCAGGTGAAAGGCTGGCAAGCTCTACTGAACATACCCATTCGAAAAGAACTGAAGGATGGAGAACAGATAACAAGAGAGAAAAAGAATTTCACGGAGAAAGAACAGGGACGGGGGACTCACCTTCGAATTTCTGTATGGGACGTGCTTCTCGGAAGCCTTCTCCACACTTTTTTCTCCGAGCGCCGCAATAACATCTCCCAAAGCACTCAAACTTCGATTAATGTTTTGAGTCTCTCTGAGCCTGTCCTTGTCCCCAGCCGCGCCGCTAGCGTTCAGACGTTCGCTGCCTGCCAGATCGACAAGGTTCAAGCACCCCTCACACCGTGTCCCCGTATGCGCATTATACCCCGACACACGAAGCGTAAACACGGAATGCGACCGCGATGAACGTTCGTTCATGAGCGTCGCTGCAACCGTCCGCCGAGAATTGGCGAGCCGCAAGAGTGAAGCGACTTCCCGTGGTGTCGAGAGCGGAAGGACGTTTACGTCCGTCACGCGTGTCGTAATTGTACTTCCCTGCTTCTCATGCTTAATTTCGTGTTTCTTCTTGTCGAATTCACCCTTGCCGAGCAGGTCATTAATCGTTTCGTTGTACTGACACGACGGCGAGAGTAAGAGTGTGACGTTTGGACTTTTTTTAGAGGGGAACGCACGATTTCGAGGAATTGGCCGTCCATTTTGTACTCCCATCCTTTACTTCTGAGGGCATCTGCCGCTCGAAATACATCGCCAACTGCTCGGGGAATCATACCCACCGTTGCCTCGGTCTGCCAACATGTGGTTATTGTTGATGAGCAGAGCTGTCCATTGAAGCGGGGTCCACAGTACTCACCGAGCCACCCTCCATAGTGAATGATTTTCCAGAACCCGTCTGTCCGTACGCAAATATGCAGACATTGTACCCGTCCACGCAGCTTTGTGCGAGCAGTGATATTTCCTCGTACACGTCACTCTGCGTTGCCTCGGGTTCGAATACCTGCGGGTATTAACCGTTGGAAATTAGTTTGACGCTGTCGGAAAGCCAACGCACCCGGTCAAAAGTGAAATTGTAAGCTTCTTTCCTCTCCTGACCCATAGCATTTAAACTGGTCGAGGAAACGACGATCTCTCGGTGGTCCTCCTTGTCCGGGAAAGTAAGGTCTGCAACAGCGGCCCTTTCCTGATCATCTGCCGGCGACCCCGGCCGACGGAGCCCCGCAACTGCTGGCGGAACGAAGTCATGGGGGAGCACAGGCCTCACACGACAGAATACACGAATATTCCCCTTGAGTTCTTGGACCATATTGTGGAGTTTTCTCCTCACCATCTCTGCTTCTCTCGCTTCTTTCTCCAGTTGCTCGATCTTGCGCTGTGCATCCGCGTACTCGAGCGCGCCCTTGGACACGGTTGACGACAGGTCATCGAGCTGCGCCCGTAATTCCCTGTTTTCCACTTGCAGAGCTGCGATCTGCGCATTCAGAGTGACCTGCACGCCTGACTGCTGTGCCACCGTGGATTTCAAAGACGCAATTGTCTCGCGAGCAGTCTCTAAATCTTCCTTGGCGACTTTCAACTCTTCCTCGCGTTCCCTCGCCTCCCGTGCGCGTTTCCCAGCCTCCACTTCAAGATCGACAATCTCCCGCTGGTGTTTTATTCTTATGCGCTCGAGCTCGTCTACCGCATCGACCAGCGCGCGACGTTTATCAAGGTCGAGTTCTTTCGCGGATGCAAGTTGACGAGATAGTGCCCGGTCGTCGGCAGAGAGTTTGGCGACCTTTGCGCGTTCTGCATCCATATCACATGCGAGTCGTTGTGCGGAGGCTACTTGGAGAGACTCTATCGACGTGGGCCCATTCTGCTGCCGGAGAATGCCCGAACCCGAGGGGATGCGTGATATTGGTGGACGCGTCGGTGGGCCAGAAGGTTTTGGAGGTGCACTGGTTGCACGCGTCGATCGTGATCTGGTTGTTGCTGTGCCGGGTCGTGGTGGATCTCGCCTTGTCAGGCGAGAGGGAGGGCGCGAAGGTGGTTTTGATACAGCACCTGCTGAAGTAGAAACGGTGGTGGTGGGTTCATTGAGTGCCGTTCTGGAGGCTGCGAGTGGCCGAGAGCTGTTAAGGGTCCCGATAGCCGGTAGTTTTCGTGGCTGATCGAGAGCCTCTGCACCGAGGTCGTGATCGTCGTATTTCCGTTTGTTCATTCTTGGGTGGCTGTTCTCGTGGTTACCTTTGAAAAACACGGTTACAATTGACGGTAATGCTGGCTCTGGTGAAGAGCTGTGGCCTGTTGTTTGCAGTCGCCGTGGTAAGCGGGACATCTCGTCTTTACGTGGTTCGTTGTCGTCGCCACCGGCAAAATGGCGACGCGTCCAGTCACGTGACCAGCCCAAAGTCAAATCCAACAAAAAAGTAAATGCTAATACCTTGTACAAGCTGGGAGGAAAGGTGGCATGATGAGCTACCATGCAGTCCATCATGCACATGAGATCTTGGCCATTCCAAATGTCAGAATCTCTGGGCTTGTTCGGCTGCGCTGGGCCCACTGCCCAGGCTGGCTAGCCTGAGTCCTGACAGGAAGCTCGCTACAGTATAAAGTGTCTGATAAGGCCTCCTTTCGCATCTTCAAACAACACCCTCAGTAACATGTCTGACGACGGATCAGTCGACACCAACGCAACTTGTGGTACGACAACCACCAAAGAGGTTGTCTGCACCCCCAACGCCATCCCACCCCTCAGTGTCTTCTGTGCGTGTCTCGATTCCCTCATCTACCAACATCACTGATACACGGCGGATTAATAGCCCAGGCCGTGAAATCCAAAGGTCACGTCTACGTCTCAGGTTGCATCGGATGTGATTCCGAGTATCTGGTTGTCGAGGGGGGCATCCAAGCACAGACCGTGCGTGCCGCCCACTTTTGTCGTGTGATCTCCGATGCTAAAACCTGCTCGCCCGCTGCTGCACATCCTATTTCATATCCTATCTGATCATGCTCGACAGCGCGCAGCCCTCGAGAACATCTCCAAGATCCTCGAGGCATCAGGGTCTGGCATGCAGCACGTCGTCAAAGTCACCGTATACCTCGTCCACATGGCCAGAGATTTCCTACACATGAACGAGATATACGAACAAGTACGTCCTATCACTCTCCCCGTCTTCGGATCGGTACGACCCCCACCAATGAACTACAGTTCTTCACACGTGAGACGATGCCTGCGCGTACGTGTATCGGTGTATCTGCTCTCCCGATGGGGGCATTCATCGAGATCGATTGTATCGCCGAGGTCCTTGACACCAAGTCATCTTGATCGCTTTCATCATTATCGTCATTTTCCTCGTGAGTATCGTTGTCAAATGCGAATTAGAGCTGCGTTGTGTGTGTTTTCATGGACCCGCGTGGATGGGTGCCCTATGCATAGTGAATAAATTGACCTCTTGTCGCGGGCTCACGCTCCCGTGTCTGTTCTGTTCCTTATACCGTTGCATCGTAGTGGCTACCAACTGACAAGTGAATCTTGTTCAATGTCGGGCTCGAGCGGCTCGAGCGCACCACATTCAATGGTCGTGTTCATGCGAGGGACATGATGCTGACTGCAAACTGCTCGAAATTAGGTTCGGGCGTGGGTGTCGGCACCTCTGTTTGCGCGATCGAGACCGCCCCCGCATAGTGTCCTGAGCTCTATGGAATCTTATTGCATCAGTTGTGTACAATTCCGGCACACACATGTACAACGTGATATGGATGTCTATTGTCCAGGATATCTTGTCATGATTTGGAATTCGAGACCGGGGAGCCATGAGGGATCACAAAAGCCAGGCACTGCGACATGGCACAGCAATGGCTGGTTCAACACACGCAAGAGTCAAGGTACGATGAACATCGCACAGTATTCTTTGAGCAACGCCGGACACGTATTGTTACACTTCAGATGAAACTACAAAATTGCCTTCCTGACGTCACGCCGGGACTACGGGTTGGAATTGGAACAATTGGAAACGATCGATGGTAGGAGGGTCGGTTTCCTTAATGATCAGTCTCTCGAGGAGAACCTTGAAACATGCTATGAATCATTGTCCCACGTGGGGACTTCCGCACTCAGGCTTCCTTTGGATGCTATCCATCACTGTATTAGTATCCCACTCTCCCATCAATACTAAGCATCAATAACTTACGTGTATATCTCGGGATCCTCTCTGTGGAGGATCACCCACTTCTCAGGGTCTTCATTTTCGAAGGCGAAGACGCGAGGAACAGGTAGATTAGGTTCCTCTGGACCAGGAACACCGCGGGTATTCTTGATCACTGGGCTCATGTCCTCCTGGACCTTGATGAAATAGGTCTCCGGCTCATTTTCGACTTCCTCGACGATAAACTGGCGAATCGAGGTCAGTCAAAACTTTGTAAATAAAATAAAAGATGAGATTTACCCGGGGAGGCAAAACTCCTACGCGAAGGACCACAACTGGAACAGGGTCGATGACGTTTCCTGTCTCTAGATGTACCGAGGTCTCTCTGGTATGCCACTGAGATGATCTGGTACACGCCGGGATGGAGCCTGTGGACCATGTTGAAGATAATAGTCGAGTACGTTGACTGGGGTGACCACTGACAGCCGGTCGCCCTTTTATCCTCTGAGGACTGAGTACCTTTCAGGTCTTCGGAAGTCCGTGGATTCCTCCCCATCAGGTCATGGGACTACTTTCATATTCGAACACTATCCCATTAGAACAAGCTCCGATGGAACGTTCTGCGCGTACAGAAAAAGCAACACACCCAGACGGAGTGATCGATAAGCCAGTGGTACGGCACCACGCAAGAGGACTTGAGCGTCAACCTCCATTGCATATTGCGGAAGCTGGAGATGGGACGAAGGCACAGAATCAGTCCGAGATCGGGTTTGGCCAAATTATGCAATGAGGCATCGTCGGAGCGAGGAATGGGCCACTTTTGCTTGGGCAATGGGGATGACCGAAGATGGCACTAACCCTTTTGCAATGCTGATTTCCATGAGCGCATGACATGCGCCAGCACGGAAAACAAACATTATTTGTGCCGCCGACATAGAAGTCTTCCTAGGCCATCCCATGTGTGGGAGAATACCTGACGCTCAGGCCCAGGCTCTTCGCACGGAGCAGTCCATGCAAGAAGTCCACCTCTCCTTTCGACGCTAGGTATCATTGTATCGGTCTCTTCTGAACGTCAGGCACTGGTAACTTACATGTGTGTATTACCGAACGCGGAGTGGATTCCACCCCCTCAGGGCTATGAGAGTACTGTCATATTCAAACACTACTCGATTAGAACAAGTTCTGATGGAAAAGTTCTGCACGTACCGAAGAAGTATCTCCACAACATGCCAAGATAGATCCTCGACGCGAAGCCAGAGGTACCGCGCCATGCAGGAGGCCTTGAGCGCCAACTTTCATTGCATATTGCGGAACCCGGAGATGGGACGAAGATGCAAAATCAGTCCTAGATCGGATACAACCGAGTCATGCTCGCTCTCACGCAAGTCCACGCAATGCGGACTCCATGCAACGAAGGTGTAGTCGGAGCAAGGACTTGCCTTAGGATCCCACTAACTTTTTAGCGCAGGGATCTTTATGCCACCCGGACGGCACAGAAATTGGTTCTCTACTAGATACCCATAAGCTGAGTCGGATGCTCGTGGAGGAGACCCTATCCGAATAATCATTCCGTGACCTGGCACGTGTTGTGGAGACCTTACCTGGTATTCAACTCATTGGAGATCGTATAGGCGCCAGCGGCCTATCTTGGAGCTCCCTTATCCACATCGTTGTCTTGCTCGTGATATAGTATAGGTACGAAACTACCATATCGTACGAGACAAACGTCGGCCAGATCCTGGTGCGATGGTATGCCTGCTGGAGTAGAAACGGCAGTGGTAGTGGTGGATTCATTGAGTGCCGCTCTGGAGGCTGCGAATGGCTGGAGAGTTGTTAAGGTCCCGATAACTGCTAGTTTTCGTGGCTGATCGAGAGCCTCTGCACCGAGGTCGTGATCGTCGTATTTCCGTTTGTTCATTCTTGGGTGGCTGTTCTCGTGGTTACCTTTGAAAAACACGGTTACAATTGACGGTAATGCTGGCTCTGGTGAAAAGCTATGGCCTGTTGTTTGCAGTCGCCGTGGTAAGCGGGACGTCTCGTCTTTACGTGATTTGTTGTCGTCGCCACCGGCAAAATGGCGACGCGTTACAGTCACGTGATGAGCCCAGAGTCAAATCCAACAACAATGTACATAGTTCGAAAAATTGGCAGGTGGCGATGCCGTGGGAACTTCCTTACAAGGAAAGGCCGCCCTCGGGCGGGTGGGCGGGGAGGGGGTTCGAGTGTTCGAGTGGGCCCTGCCGGGCATCGCAATGTCAGGGCTCCGGCGGGATGGCTCGGGAGGGTGCCGAGGCACTCTGTTCACGTCCTACACATGTTTATCTATGCTCTTAACCAACGAAAAGTGGGAAATTTGCATTGGGAATGGGTTGTAAAGTGCAAAGTCCATTGTAAAGTGTGCTAAGTGACTTAGCACTGGGAAATTTGCAGCCAGATAAGCAAATTTTCCCAGGCGGGAGGGCGGCCCGTGCCAATTTTTTTGCGAGCGCGCGTTCGCACGCATGCAGCCGAGCCTGAAGCGCAAGCGCCACACGCGAGGCGTGATCACGTGACCACTTCCCGCGCCCAAAACACCACTCATCTAGCAAATTTGGGTGGGTCTCTTTGCAGAATACCCATTTATTTCATGAATAATTACATGGCCAACATAGAGTGGCTTCCAGTAGCATTGAATTGAGTACAGATGTACAGGCAAGGGTTGTGCACAGCCCGCAAGTCTCCCGACCCTCACTTTCTCGCACAGGCGCCTTCCGCTTAGTCAGCGAATTTGCAGTGGCTGTAAGCACAGCCACCTGCAAATTTTTCGGAATAAACGTACTATGTAGATGCTATTACTGTAATACCTTGCATAGGCTGGGAGGAAGACAACAGATACCCTCGAAAGGTGGCATGATGCGGTACAAGGCAGTCCATAAGATCCCGGCTATTCCAAATGTCAGAACCTCTGGACTTGTTCGGCTGCGCTGGGTGCAGGCTAGCTAGATGTGGACGCCCTGGGTCCTGACGGGAAACTCGCTGTGTATAAAATGGCTGATAAGGCCTCCTCTCGCATCTTCAAACAACACCCTCAGTAACATGTCTGACGACGGATCAGTCGACACCAGCGCAACTTGTGGCACGACAACCACCAAAGAGGTTGTCTACACTGCCGACGCCATCCCACCCCTCAGCGTCTTCTGTGCGTGTCCCGATTCCATCATCTACTAAGCATCACTGATCCACGGATGAATAGCCCAGGCCGTGAAATCCAAAGGTCACGTCTACGTCTCAGGTTGCATCGGATGTGATTCCGAGTATCTGGTCGTCGAGGGGGGCATCCAAGCACAGACCGTGCGTGCTGCTTAATTTTGTTGTGTGATCTCCAATGCTGAAACCCACTCGCCCGCTGCCGCACACCCTATTTCATATCCTATCTGATCATGCTCGACAGCGCGCAGCCCTCGAGAACATCTCCAAGATCCTCGAGGCATCAGGGTCTGGCATGCAGCACGTCGTCAAAGTCACCGTATACCTCGTCCACATGGCCAGAGATTTCCTACACATGAACGAGATATACGAACAAGTACGTCCCATCACTCTCCCTGTCTCTGGATCGGTATGACCACCCACCAATGAACAACAGTTCTTCGCACATGAGACGATGCCCGCGCGTACGTGCATCGGTGTATCTGCTCTCCCGATGGGGGCATTCATCGAGATCGATTGTATCGCCGAGATCCCTGACACCAAGTCATCTTGATCGCTTTCGTCATCGTCGTTTCCCTCGTGCATATCAGTTAGAGTTGTGTCATGTATGTTTTCATGGACCTGGCCCGCATGGGTGGGTGTCCAGGTCGTCGTTGATCGGATGACTTGATGTTTGTTGTTGTCGCGTGTCCATGCTTCCTGTTCGACCTGCTTCTTGTACTACCATATCGTAATGATTGCCAATGTAACTAATGTCGACCAGTAAATGCCGTTCGATGGCGGGCCTAACCGCACTATGTTGGTGGTCCGTGGGTGCCTGCAGCTCTGCGTGGTGGAAATGCTCATGATTGAGAACATCTTGGACCGTAGAGTCTCGATCTCCACGATGCAATCTTACTGCATCAGTTGTGTACGATTCCAGCACATAGATAGAAGAAAGTAGAGAAGGTACATCTCACAGATCACCCGTAGAATCTGTTATATCCTACATCTCGCATAATCTCCGATATCTTGTCAATTGGAATGGCGGAGGGGAATTCCGGTCCCAGAGTGGAGAGAAAGAATGATCGCGGCAAGCCAGGCATCGCGAGGAGGAACGACAGGTAGGAGGGCTCAAAGTACGATGAACAACATTCCTTGGGTCATACAAAACACGTGTTGTTACACTCCAGACAAAAGTACAAAGCTGACCTTGTCACATCATTCCCTACGGAAAGGTTGGATTCTGGACAGCTGGAAAGGGAGGCAAAGAGGCGGTAGGGACATCGTAGCGATTACGGGGCGAAGGAGAATCTGGAAATAAGACGTGGATAATTGTCCCATACGTGGAAGATGCGGTGTGACGCTCGGGAAGGGGCTCTTCGCGTGGTAGAGCAGTCCATCCAACAGGCTCACCGCTCCTTTCGATCGTTTCGATACTAGGCATTATCGTATCGGTGTCCGGCCCTCTCGTGAATAACAAGCACCGGTAACTTACGTGAATGCGTTCTGAGCCTCTCTGAGATGATAACCCACTGCTTTGGGAGGTTCGTTCTCGAAGGCAAAGACGCGACCCTCTAGACCACGGATGTTTCATGTATCGACCGTGATGACATAGGTATTGTCCTCTCCGAGGACCGGCTCGATCGTAAACTGACTACCATAGGAGGGAAAGGACATTCGCCGGCGCGCAAAGCCTGCAGCCAGGTTTTTGTCGAATGGGGAAAATATCGACAAAAAGGCCGGAAGTGATTGGGTGCAACAGGATACTCACTTGCGCTCAAAATTGCCTGAATACAAGACCCCGCCGAATGAGAAAAATATCGACAAAGGTCATGATAAGCCTGGACTACCTGTCACGTTGCACGACAATCCCACATAATAGCGTTTCGTTGATATGGTGCATTTGGCAATTGACCGAGAAATGGTCCAAGGAACGGAACGCGGCCTCGACGAGTTCCTCCTGGACGGACTGCAAGTTGCAAGTGATGATGCATACGAGCACTGTGCTGCGATACTCCAAGAACTATTGAAGAAGTCAGAAAGACTGCGCGCGGCACGTGCTGAGCTGAAGCGGCAATTGAGTGTTTGAGGTTCCCACTGGTGTTTCTTCCTTCCTGTGTTTTTGCTTCACCAACCACTGGTCTGTCCTTTTGCTTATCTGAGTGTACTTGTTTTGACATTCGAGTAACGTTGCCACGAAGTGGGTGTGTTCTGGACCCGACCAGACACGCGATTTAATTATTGTCAACGAACTAGTATACTCTGGAAGTGGTGTCATGGGCGCAGTGAAGTTGTAAGGTATTACTATCTTTAATGTTGTCACGGGATGAGTGATCGCAAAAAGCTAGGCACCGCGAAGAAGAGCAACTGGTTCAACCCACGCAGGAGGCCCAAAGTATGGTGAAGTGACACCACACAACATTCTTTAGATCGTACAGGACACACATTGTTACAATTGTTACACTTCAGACACAACTACAGAGTAACCTTGCTCACATCACTCTAGAAGTACACGTGTCAATCTGAACAGCTGGGAAGGGAGGAATTGAGGGGGTTCGGATGGTCGAACAATCAGGGGGCTGAGGAGAATCTGGAAATATGGTGTGGATAATTGTTCCGTATGCGGGAGAAGCAGTAGACCATACCTGACGCTCGGGAAGGGGCTCTTCGCGCGGCGGAGCAGTCCATCCAAGAGGTCCACCCCTCCTTTCGATGCTAGGCATCATCGTATCGATGCGTGAGTCTCATGAATGCCAAGCACCGGTTACTCACGTGTATGCATTCTGAGGCTCTCTGTAGATGATAACCCACTCCTCGGCAGGTTCGTTTTCAAAGGCAAAGACACGCTCGTCTTGACCGCGAGTGTTCCTTTTGTCGACAAGGATAACATATGTGTTGTTCCCTCCATTGACCGGCTCGATCGTAAACTGACCAAACCAAGGTTAACCAAGTTCTTATAAACAATGCACAAGATGAGAGTTACCTTGGGAGGCACAACGCCTTCGGGGAGGACTATGACTGGAATGGGAGGCGGGGGGAAAATGAGTGGTACAATAATGGAAACACCGAGGTTTTCTTGGTCTGCCACAGAGGTGATGATGTACTGGCCATGCAGGAGCTCGTTAGCCATGTTGAAGATAATAGTAAAGCGGCTTGATTGGGGAAAGCAGCGACACCAGGCCGCCCTTTTATCCTCTGAGGACCCGAGTACCTTCAAGGTCTTCGGAAGGCCGTGGACTCCACCCATCAAGGTCATGAGGGCAATTTCATTTTCAACACTACTGGATTAGAACAAGCTCTGATGGAATGTTCTACGCAGTGCCGAAGAGGCATACCAAGATAGAGAAATCGATGCGAAGCCAGGAGTACTGCACCATGAATATTGCGGGAAGCCGGATACCCGACGGAGGCGCAAAATCAGTCCTAGATCGGGTGTAAGTTGTAATCAAACCCTGCTCGTGCTATCACGCAAGTTTGCGCGGTGCGCACTCCATGCAACAGGGGTGTCGTTGGAATAAACTGACTTACCTTGGGGTCTCACGTTGCTCGGGGTCCACTGAAGATCACTAGCGTTTTTGACGCAGAAGTATTTCTGGAATGCCGCACAGAGGTTAGTTCTCTACGACAACACCCCTAGAGGACCACGTACTAATTCAGATGTTCGTGAAGGACATCTTTACCAAGCAATCACTCCATGACCTGGCGCGTATTGTGGGGAACTTACCCCATCGGAGATCGTCCTTCATCCACACTGCTGTCTTGCTCGCGATAGGGTATGGGTACGAAACTACCATATTGTATAAGCTAGACGTCGACCAGGTTCCAGTGCGATGGATATCCGAAATTGCTCCAGGTCGGCGTAATCGAGTGGAGAATCCAAACAAGGAACTTCTGATTCTTGTATTTCAAAGATTTCGGAACTTTACGATTGAAGCCACTCCCACGTGTACCAAGATGGCAGCGAGCGAGAATTACGAAATTCGTCTGCATACCATCATGTTCAGAAAGTCCAGGCTGCTACCCCAGAGTCCAATTAAATGTCGAACGTTGCTTTTACACGATCTAGGTGCATGGGCCAACTCTGTCACCAGAGCCCGGGTTCTTCTTCCCGGTGCTTATAGGGTCCCCGGTGAGACGGTCGCTGCATTGAGATGAGCTCGATGATTATGTACCGTAGCTTGGCTATCCAAACGTGTTTGTTGATACCAAGTACTATCGTCTTCCCTCGGTGACCAGACTGGGTCGAGACAACGACCAGTTATTTCCAGTAATAGTTTATTGGCAGGTCCCAAAAGCTACGATGGTAATCAGTCGAGTATCATAAGGGGTATTTGGAGTCAACTTCTGGAAGGCCTCACAGTTGATTGATGGTTTGCATTGGAGTACGACCTAATTCTGCGACGTGCCTGCGGTCCAAAAGCATTCATACGGAGCATCATAGCATGGCCGCCTTGCCTCGACGTAAATCCCTTGAGCACATGCGGATCTAAGACTGAACGAACGTTTAGCTTTTGAAGGTGTCTGGGGCTGCGTCGCCCTCCGCATGGTGATTTGGAAGCCTCAACGCATGTTACCCCGTCCGCGTTTGAGTTTTCCTAAGATTAGAGTGCGTTCCACTCGCGCGAGCTAGGTCAGATATTGCAGCATGGACGACAACACAACAAAGGGGGAGTGAATTGAGTACTTACATATCTCGGGCCTTGAAAAACCTTACAAAAACCTGCACAACTTGACTCAACCTCTCCACATATCCTAATTCCTTCGTTACAACAGCTGTGCATATCGAGCCAACTGAAAAATCAACTCTGATGGGAGCGCCATCGCCCTTACTAGGCTGTCGCCCATTTGTTGGCTAAACGACTGGAGGGTTGACTGAGGCAAAACGTTTCTGCGTGGAGATGGGGTTGCAGCGTGTGCCCTCCCCTGGGATACTTACTGTCATTGTTTGAAACTGAACTCAAGAGCCACACCACGCGGCTGAAATGAGCCCCTCGCCCCACAAGCGCATCACCACCTATCTGACGAAGTGTCTTCTCCAATGTGTTCCCACCTACGATCCTTGAACTTCTCCAAGCGCGAATTAAGTTTGAAGTTGTGTCCAAAGTATGTAAATCCCAACAACATTTTTTCCCTCCACATCTGGAGGGACACTGTGCAGCTGGGAGGAAGAACCCGGGCTCTGGCGACTGAAGTTGACCCTGGTACCAAGGTCATGTAAAAAGCAATGTTTGACATTGATGTCGTTTTTGGTATGTAGCAGCCTGGACTCTATTAACTGAAGCGCTGACATCCGGTCACACCTCGCACCTGACTTTTACTTCCGAACATCTCTACAATCGCAAAGTTCCGAGGGATCTTTGAAATGCGAATACTAGAAGCTCCGAATTTTGTTGCTCCATTCAAATATGTCAACCTGGCGCAATTGTGGGCACCAGTGCACCGCCAGGGACCTGGTTGGCGTTTAGCTCGTACAATATGGTAGTTTCGTACCCATCCTATATCGCGAGCGAGTCAACGATGTGGATAAGAGACGATCTCCAATGGGTTCAGCACTAGGTAAGTTCCTCACAAAACGGCCAGGTTACGGAGTGATTATCTGGGTAGAGTATCCTTCACAATCATCCCACTCAGCAGATGGTCATCCGAGGGTATGTCGAGAGAACCAACCCCTGCGCGGCATTCCGGGAAGACTTCTGTGTCAAAAACGCTAGTGGTCTTCAGTGTACCCCAAGTAAAGTGGGATCCCAAGGTAAGTCCTCGCTCCTACGATACCCTTGTTGCATGAAGTCTCTATTGCGCAAACTTGCGTGACAGCACGAGCACGATTCTATGACAACTTATATCCGATCTAGGACGGTTTTTGCGCCCTTCGTCTGGTCTTCGGTTCCCGCAATATGCAATGCAAATTGACGCACAAGTCCTCCAGTAAGGTGCCGTACCTCAGGCTTCGCATTGATCACTCTATCCTGGTATGCTTCTTCAGAACATTCCATCAGAGCTTGTTCTAATCCAGTAGTATTGAAAATGAAAGTGTCCTCATGACCTTGACGTGTGGAATCCAAGGCCTTCCGAAGACCTTGAAGGTACAGGTACTCAATCCTCAGAGGATAAAAGGGCGATGGGGTGTCGCTGCTTTCCGAACGAAGCCGCCCAACTATTATCTTCAACATGGCTGACAAGCTTCTCCACGGCCAGTACATCATCACCTCTGTGGCAGACAATGAAAACCTTGGCGTTTCTAATATACCGCCTATTCCTATTTTTCCCCCGCCTCCCATTCCAGTCATAGTCCTCCCCGATGGAGTTCTGCCTCCCAGGGTAATTCTCATCTTGTGCGTTGTTTATCAGAACCTGGTTGACCTTGGTTTGGTCAGTTTACGATCGAGCCGGTCAATGGAGGGAACAACACATACGTTATCCTTCTCGAGAAAAGGAACACCCGCGGCCAACGAGCGTGTCTTTGCCGTTGAAAACGAACCTGCCGAGGAGTGGATTATCACCTACAGTGAGCCTCAGAATGCATACACGTAAGTTACCAGTGCTTGGGATCAATGAGAGTCACGCATCGATTCGATGATGCCCAGCATCGAAAGGAGGGGTGAACCTCTTGGATGGACTGCTCCGCCGCGCGATGAGCCCCTTCCTGAGCGTCAGGTATAGTCCACCGCTTCTCCTGCATATGGAACAATTATTTACATCATATTTCCAGATCTTTCTCCGCCCTTTAATTGTTCAACCATCCGAACCCCCTCGATTCCTCCCTTCGCAGCTGTTCAGATTGACACCTGTACCTCGGGAGTGATGTGAGCAAGGTAACTTTGTAGTCGTGTCTGAAGTGTAACGATTGTAACAATGCGTGTCCTGTATGATCTAAAGAATGTTGTGTGATGTCACTTCACCGTTCTTTGAGCCCCACTGCGTGAGTTGGACTAGTCGCTCTTCGCAGTACCTAGCTTTTTGGAATCCTGCGACAACATCGAGGATAGTAATACCTTCCAACTTCACTGCACCCAGGACACCACTTAAAGAATATACTAACTGGTTGACAATAATTGAATCGCATTTCAGGTTGGGTCAAGAGCACACGCACTTCGTGGCAACGTTACTCGAATATCAAAACAAGTACATTCAGTTAAGCAAAAGGCAGACCAAGTGGTTGGCGAAACAAAGGGACAGTACAGAAGAGGCAAACAAACACCAGTGGGAACCTCAAACACTCAACCGCGTCAGCTCAGTACGTGCCGCACGCAGTCTTTCTAACTTCTTCAATAGTTCTTGTCTCTTCGATGCGATGGCCGCAGGTTCTTGGAGCATCGCAGCACAGCGCTCGTGTGCACCATCACCTGCAACTTGCAGTCTGTCCAGGAGGGCCTCGTCGAGGCCGCGTTCCATTCCTCGGACCATTTCGTGGTCAATTGCCAAATGCACCATGTCAACGAAACGCTTGTATGCAACTGTCAATGAATGTCATCAGCTTTCGTCGTTCGGATTGGAAGAATTACAAGGTATACACCTTGAAAATACCCTCGGACGCTCGCCATTATTCCCAGCGCCACCTCCAATGGGTCCGGGGGTAGCAATCTGGGCAAATCATCAACTGTCGCAGAGATTCCGAGCTCCTTCAGCGTCGACAGCGCCCTGTTCACAGGTCTCCACTCTATTCTGGTCGACCGCCAGTTGTCGAATGTTGGACATGATATCCTGGTTATTTTCTCTGCAGCCTCTGTAGTATGCGAGGAACTTGTCACGATAGTCGGTGTAGTAATGAGTATTCAGAGTTGCAGGCGCTCTCTCCACTTGAAGTAACCAATTCACTTTCTCCTTCGCGCGAGTTGCAGCTAGGTCAAGGTGGTCGCAAACGATCATCCTTGGATGACTCAGTATGCGACGCCTATGTAAGGCAAACCGATTACTTACAGCACGCGTTCCTTGAGGCCACCCTTCCCCAAACGTGCGAAATGGTCATCCACCATTTTCCCGACGCGTTCCTTAATAGTGCTATGTACAATGTCAAAAAGGTCGATGGCGGGTTCTTGCCATTTCTTCACTATCATGGAAATATAGGCCGCTTGGACAACGAAGGGATAATAATCAGGCAGTTCACGTGTGCGGCCGCTGTATTGTGAAGAGTTAATGAAACACTCTGGAGGAATAGAACTAAGACCGACTTCTGGGCTCTTCGCATGACCTCGTCAATGTATATGGGATTGTCGTGCAACATAATAGGTAGTCCAGGCTTATCATGACCTCTGTCGATATTTTTCTTATTCGATGGGGGCTTGGATCCAGGACAATTTTGTCCGCAAGTAAGTATCCTGCTGCACCCGATCACTTCCGGCCGCTCTGTCGATGTTTTCCTCAGTCTGGCAAAAGCCTGGCTGCAAGTTTTGCGCGCCGCTGAGTATCCTTCCCCTCCCATGGATCGGGAATAGGGGCCGTGAGATAGACTTCGTGTTTGACGTTGGCGAAATGAGGTCGTGGGGATTGTACAAGCCCATTCTCGTCAGGGGTTCCTTTACGATCCTCCAAAAATATCGAGGCGAACCCGTTCATGTTATGATGAATTTCGCCCATAGCCTTGGTAGATGGCTCTAACGGTAATTTTAGCAGGGCGACGACGCATAACAGGTGATGGACCGGGCTCGTCGTCATCACCTTCATCCGTTTGGTCAACAGTTTCCTCATTTGACAAAAACTTGATGGCGGGCAATTTTGTTCGCCTGCGAGTATCTTTCCGCTCCCATGGCACGAAATTAGGAGCCGTGGAATATATCTCTCGTTTGAACTTTTCAGAATGGGTTCGGATTGTTTGCACAAGTCCGTTTTCGTCCGGGGTGCCTTTAAGACACTCCGAAACCTCCCTGGTGAACCCATTCAGGACATGATGGATTTCGCCCACGGGATTGCTCGACGGCTCTGGCGGCAGTTCTCCAAGTTCACTCTGCACTTGTAGTATTACCTCCTGCAGTTCTTCTTGAATCTCAGGGAGTCTGCATACGCACACCCATTAGCATGATCTGGTATAGCACCCATAAACAAGGTTAACACGGATATACAACACACCTTCTGGCGATTAACTCTGCAAGGATTGCACTGAGTCGCTCTGTAAGACTGCTGGTGCCAAGGAACCGGTGTAGATGTGAATCGAGGCTGGACCATGGTTTTGTTGTTGCAAAGAAGTCTCTCTCCATGCTCCGAGCGCCAACCCAGTTTATCCCCTGGGAAATATCATGAGAGCTTGGCTGCTTGACACAATACCAGTTGTTATCAAGCGGTTCAACTTCGTTTCGGATGAGACGGATCCATGATTCTTCTTCGCCACGGGGAATGCGATCTGGTTTCGTGAGGACACCTACCATGTGACGAGGTTAACGGAGCAGAGGGGGAGAGAGTCGCTGTGACTTACCTACTGTACGCTTCCCCTCTGGATCATGTTGCTTTGCAAGGTGATGCGCCCCTTGATTCTCAAAATCCGCTATAGAAAACATCAATGCTTGTATGCATTCAATGGATGGTAAGACTCGCTTTCGCAAGCAACCGTGAGAAGGATCAGACAGCTTGGCTTCTCGATGTATGATGTGACGAGGTCTTTCACTAACTTGATGTCGTTGACATTACCTGCAAGTCCAACGCTCGCGATAAGCCCAGGCAAATCGACAAACGACAGGTCAGCGAGCTCTCGACCACTAATCTCCAAGGAAACGTAGTTGCGTGAAAATGATATTTCATTTCCACCTGATGGGACCTTGACAACTTCGAGGAATTTTTCATGGTCGGTGTTTGAGTTCAAAATTGCACACTGTGCCCGGCGAATACGCTCTTCTACATGAACCTTATCAGGGATGGGGTCACCAAACGGTATGATGATGGGTTTAATGGGTGAGCCACGTTCGTCTGTAATAAAGTGAAGTTTGACGACGCAAGTCCAAGGTGTGTCTGCTTGTGTAAGCTTGCACTCCGTAGGACACCTCCATGGACGGGGATTGTCACTGACTAGGAGTGACCAGAGGTTGAATAACATACCTTGTGCAAGTGCCCTGAGAACGAGGAAGGGTGATGCCAGAAATTGATTCGATAAGGGATGATTTGCCTGCACTTTGATTGCCGATGACCGCAATCATAGGGAGGTCAATATCCCTCTGAACCCTGGTACAAGAACCAATCTATGTGTCGGTTGGCATGCAGCACGAGGGATGTACACGTACCCTGTATTACGAAGGCGGTTGATTAGGTCCAGCATGGCACGACGCTGGCTCGCAGTGGCAGGGTCGGAAAGTCCGACACCGCCATTGGTGCCAGCAGATGGAAGCGAGTCTAAGAATGCGAGGCGCGGAAAGGACGGCATCATTGTTGGGGGGATAATTCATGCGACTGGTGGATCCTGTTTTTATGTCATGGGCATATGCAGTGCGGCCAACTCCTATTGATCAATAGAACTCCTATAAAGAAGGTTGGGGATAATGAAAAACACGAGGATATATGTCAGCTAGATGTGCAGAACTCTGCGGTGTGGACAGCGTGCACTGCCTGTGCCTATGGTACACAAGCAGATTTCCCCATTTTCGTCTCGACTTGTCTTGCAATGGCCTGCAGAAGCTCATCATCATACAACAGGTGGGTCTACGGCCACGTCTCGCCTGGGTGGTTGGACCATAAGTAAATAAGTGATCAGATGCGGTCGACAATAGTAAAGAACACGAGGCGAACTTTCCATTCCATCAATTGCCGCAGCATTGACACCCACAGCGCCCCAGTCAGAAATCAGCGCATCAGCTCCATAGTGACCTATCGCCTCGCCCCATGATAGTTTCCTTTTCTCCCTTGTACATATGACCTCGTATTCAACATCATTAGAAAGTCCAGACTAGTACCACAGATGAGTGCAATGTCGAGCATTGCTTTCACAGACCTTGCTGCAAGTTGCTACAGTAAGATAAGCTCGGTGATTTAATCTGATGTGCAAACCTTAAGATGGCGGACCCGTGATGATCCGCCACTATCAAGATGGAAGAGGCCACATCGCAGTTGACTGCTGAGCGCTGAGAGGTCATGAAGTTACTCTTCAGCTGAAACGTGTTTGGCTAGCCAAAGCCTACGATTTACGGCGTGGTGGCATTTCTCTCGCTGACTCCGTTGGCGCATGAATAGCTCAGCGGAGTGGAGAGGGAGAGCTGATTATGTAATTTGGGTATGCCTATTTGTGTCTGGCGGCACACGAAGTAACTAATGCATCTACCGAATAAATGATACGGAGCCGCGGGTCGGTGCAACCAGCGTGACGTCTCGCAGGATTTTTTTGCACCCAATCTAGGATTGATTTTGCATCTTCGTCTGATATCTGGGTTCCACAATATGCAATGCAAGTTGGCGATCAAGTCCTCCTGCGTGACGCCACACCTCTGGCTTCACAATCATTCCTCTGTTCTGGTACGTTGCTTCTTCCGTGCGCGCAGAAAATTTCGTCAAAGGTTGCTCTAATCGAATGCTGGTCGAACGCGCAAGTGCACTCGTTACCTAGAGGGTGGAATGCACGGGCTTCCGAAGACTTTGAAGACACTCGGTCCTCAGAGGATAAAACGGTGACAAGCTGTCAGTGCTTCTTCCAGTCAACGTGCTCGACTATTATCTTCAACATGGCCAACAGGCTCCTTCCCGGTCAGTACTTCATTGCCTCTGTTGCAGGGAAAGAAAACCTCGGCATTCCTATAGTCGCGTGGCCGCCTCTCATTTACCCCCCACCTCCTGCTCTAGTCAAAGTCCTTCTTGGTAGAGTTTTGCTTCCTAAAGAAATTCTCATGTTGTGCGTCATTTACAAAGGCTTGACTGACCGGGTTTCCCTAGTTTACGGTCGACCTGGCCCTCGGAGTGGACAATACCTATGTCGTCACGATCGAGGATAAGGGCACCCGCGTGTAGACTTTAGTAGCGTCTTTGCCTTCCTCTTCAGAGAACCCCAGAATGCATAGGCGTAAGTTACTGGTGCATGGGGTTGAGGAGAGCATCGGATACTGATACAACGGTGCCTAGCATCGAAGGGAAGACCGAACGTCTTTTATGGACTGCTTCGTCGCACGAGTATCCCCTGCCCGAGCGCCAGGTATGGTCCACTTCTTCTCCCATGTGTGGGACAATTATCCATATCCATAGTATATTTCCAAAAACGTCTCCGCGACCTGGTCATTCAACCATTCAACCACCTGTTTTCGACCCCTCGCTGCCATTCGGATTCGAAACTGTGCCTAAGCAGTGATGTGAATAACTCAATTTTATACCCTTGCCTGGAGTGTAATGATACGTAACGTCAAAAGATATTGGGTGATTCAGTGCACTTTGAACCCTCCTACATGGGTCGAACCTGTCGCGGGGCCTGGCTTTCTGCGGTCACACCACGTCTTGTGGCAACGCTGAAGATGATAAACACTTTCCGACTTCCCCGCGCTCACTAATATATGAACTGACGGCCATTGAATCATCGCCTGGGGGAGTAATACCTTAGCTACACGCCACGCCTAAATAATGTTCCGGCTCTGAACTTCTGCGCAATAGAAGCCAAGACGCTTCGCACAGTAGTTATCACCGTGATGCCTCTAGTGCACTGGTCCATACATTGAGAAGCACACAGGATACTCGACTTATCGCTCCGCTGCTAGGGAGACGGCGCCTCCTGAAGACCGATGTTCCCCCGTGAAACCAACTTGTCTCCGCAGGTCGTTGTACAAAACGCACCTGGTTCGCAACTGCAGGCGGAAGCAGCCACCAAGAAGGGCATCGGGTTATGTGTGTGTCAATCGATTGTTATGGGGAGGGTCACTGGTAAAATAGTCAGGCGTTGTCACCACTTACAGAATATACTGGGTCGCTGACAGTAATGGAGTCGGATTTGAGGTCGAGACAACAGTACATGTGCCTCGCAGCCATGTCATTCAACTTTCGAAGTGAATTCAATTGTGAATCAGATAAGCAAAGGGCGGCCCGGCCGTTAGTGAAGCAAAGACACAAAAGAACTCGAGAGAGACAAGCTCAATGATTGCAACTATCAAACAGTCAACCGCTTCAGTTCAGTAGCGTGCCGCACGCAGTCTCTCCAACTTCTTTGTCAGTTCCTGTCTCTTCGATGCAATAGCCGCAGGTTCTTGAAGCATCGCAGCGCAGCGTCCATGTGCATCAGCACCTGTGACTTGCAACCCATCCAGGAGAGCCTCGTGAAGGCCGCGTTCCAGTCCTCGGACCATTTCATAGTCGATTGCTAAGGGCACCATGTCAATGAAACGTTTGTATGCAACTGTCAACGAATGCATATTAGCTTTCTTCGTTCACACACACACACATATACATATATATGAATCATAAGGTATTCACCTTGAAAATATCCTTGGACGCTTGCCATTATTCCCAGCGCCACCTCTAACGGATCAGAAGGTAGCAATCTCGTCAGATCATCGACTTGCGTTGAGATTCCGAGCTCTGTCAGCGAAGAGAGTGCCTTGTTCACGGTCTCCACTCTATTCCGGTCGGTTGCCAGTTTTCGAATGTTGGACATGAGATCATAGTTATTGTCCTCTGCAGCCTCTGTAGTACGCGAGGAACTTGTCACGATAGTCGGTGTAGCAATGAGTGTTCAGAGTTCGCCGGCATTCTCTCCACTTGAAGTAACCAATCAATTTTCTCCTTCGCACGAGCCGCAGCCAGGTCAAGATGGTCGTAAACGACCATCCTTGGAGGGCTCAGTGCGTGAAGCCTACTCTGCAAAGCAAACAAGGTTACTTACAGCACAGCTTGCTTGACGCCACCCTTCCCCAAATGTGCGAAATGGTCATCCACTATTTTCCCGACACGTTCCCTGATAATGCTATTTACAATGTCGAAAAGGTCGATGGCAGGCTCTTGCCATTTCTTCACTATCATCGAGATGTAGGTTTCTTGAACAACGAAGGGATAATAATCGGGCAGTTCACGTGTACGGCCACTGTATTGTAAAGGGTTAACAGAACACTCGGGAGGAATGGAAATGAGACCGACTTCTTGGCACTTTGCATGACCTCGTCGATATATATGGCGATGCTACACAGAGTGGCAGGTAGTGGACCATGCTCATCATCGTCACTTTCATCCCCTCGGCCAACATTTTCCTCATTTGACAGAAACTTGATGACGGGCAATCTAGGGTGCCGGTGAGCATCTTTCCGCTCCCATGGCATGAAACTGGGAGCCGTGGAATAAATTTCTCGTTTGAAGTTTTCAAAATGAGTTCGGATTGTTTGCACAACTCCATTTTCGTCGGGGGTGCCTTTGAGACACTCTGAAACCTCCTTGGTGAACCCGTTCAGGACACGATGGATTTCGCCCACGGGGTTACTTGACGGCTCTGGCGGCAATTCTCCAAGTTCACTCTGCACTTGTAGTATTACCTCCTGTAGTTCTTCTTGGATCTCAGGGAGTCTGCATGCGCACACCCATTAGCATGATCTGGTATGGCACCTACAAAGAAGGTTAACACAGGTATGCAACACACCTTCTGGCGATTAACTCTGCGAGGATTGCACTGAGCCGCTCTGTAAGTCTGCTGGTGCCAAGGAACTGATGTAGATGCGAATCGCGACTGGACCACGGTTTTGTTGTTGCAAAGAAGTCTCTCTCCATATTCCGAGCGCCAAGCCAGGTTATACCCTGGGAAATATCGTGCGAGCTAGGCTGCTTGACACAATACCAGTTGTTTTCAAGTGGTTCGACTTCGTTTTGGATGAGGCGGATCCATGATTCTTCTTCGCCAAGGGGAATGCGATCTGGTTTCGTGAGGACACCTGCCAAGTGGCAAGGTTAACGGAGCAGAAGGGGCGAGGGTCGCGGTGACTTACCCACTGTACGCTTCCCCTTCAGGATCATATTGCTTCGCAAGGTGATGCGCCCCTTGATTCTCAAAATCCGCTATGGAAAACATCAATGCTTGTATGCACTCAATGGATGGTAAGACTCGCTTTCGCAAGCAACCGTGAGAAGGATCAGACAGCTTGGCTTCTCGATGTATGATATGACGAGGTTTCTCACTAAGTCGATGTCGTTAGCACTACCTGTACGTCCAACGCTCGCGATAAGCCCAGGCAAATCGACAAACGACAAGTCAGCGAGCTCTCGACCACTGATCTCCAGGGAGACGTAGTTTCGTGAAAATGATGTTTCATTTTCTTCTGCTGGAACCTTGACACCTTCGAGAAATTTTTCATGGTCGGTGTTCGGGTTCAAAATCGCGCTCTGTGCCCGGCGAATTCGCTCTTCTACGTGAGCCTTATCGGAGATGGGGTCACCAAACGGTATGATCTTGGGTTTAATGGGTAATCCATATTCGTCGGTAATGAAATGAAGTTTGATGACGCAGGTCCATCGTGTGTCTGCTCGCGTAAGCTTACACTCCGTAGGGCACCTCCATGGACGGGGAGTGTCACCGACTACAATGGAATGAGAAGTTGAATAATGTACCTTGTACAAGTGCCCTGAGAACGAGGAAGGGTGATGCCAGAAATTGATTCGATGAGGGATGATTTTCCCGCACTCTGATTGCCAATGACAGCGATCATAGGGAGGTCAATATCCCTCTGAACCCTGGAACGGGAGCAAATCTATGTGTCGGCCGGCATACAAGGTGAGGGACACACACACCCTGTGTTACGAAGGCGGCTGATAAGGTCCAGCATGGCACGCCGCTGGCTCGCAGTGGCGGGGTCAGACAGTCCGACGCCGCCATTGGTGCCAGCAGATGAGAGTGAGTCTGGGAATACGCTGTTAGTAGAGGGTGTGGAGGACATCGTCGTTGGGAAACCTGATTGGCGAATTGAGCTTTTAACGTAGTCGTGAACATTGTGGGAAAGTTTGGAGTGCGGCCAAGTTCTATTGATCAGTAGGCTCCAAAAAAGAAGGGATGTGAGAACAAGAGGGAAACACACATACCCTGTGTTGCGAAGGCGATTGATGAAATCCATCGTGGCACGGCGCTGTCTCGCAGTGGGGAGGTCAGACGGTTCGACACCGTCATTGGTGCCAGCAGATGGGAGCGACTCGGAGAATACACTGGCCACAATATCGCTGTTAGTAGAGGGTGTGGGGGACATCGTCGATGGGTATCCTTGTTAGCGGATCGAGCTTTTAATGTAGTCGTGGACTTTCGGGGGGCGTTTGAAGTGTGGCGGAGTTCTATTGATTGGTAGATTCCTAATAAGGGTGATGACAATAATTATAGGGTATAAGAACATGAGGGAAACACGCATACCCTGTATTGCGAATGTGATCGATGAGGTCCAGCATGGCTCGGTGCTGGCTCACAGTGCATGGACAGAAAGTCCGACACAGCCATTGGTACCAGGGGATGGGAGCATGCTGAGAATACAGTTGTCGCAATTTCACTGCCAGTGGAAGGCATGATGGACATTGTTGCTGAGGGATCAAGCTTTTATGTAACATCACGGTAGACGTGAATATTATCACAAGGGGCGTTTAGAGCGCAGCCAAGTTCTATTGATCGACGGACTCCCCAAAAGAAGGGTGGGATACAGAACGTTGCAGTGGGCTATGTGCACTGCCCATGATACACAAGCAAACTTCATCAGCTTCGTCTCGGCTTCTCCTGCAGCAGCTTCGAGTAACTCACCATCATACAATAGATGTCTGCAGTCACTGTCTCGTCTGGGTAGTTGGATCATAAGTGGCCGGGTACGGGCGACAATAATGAAGAGCACGAGACGAACCCTCCATTCAACTGTCGCAGCATTGACCCACAGTGTCCGAGGAACCGCGCAGAGAACAGACACGAGTCAGGGATCAGCGCAACCAAACTAGGACTTGTCGCCTTATCCTGCGAAGTCTCCTTTTCTCCTTCGTACGACGTGGCACCCACGGCTGAGCCTCGTTAGGGTAGTGTAGAACATCCGATTCAGATTTCATATCTACACTGCACGAGTCCCTGTTTCCTCGAAGATGGCGAATTCCAAGCTGCTGGCGTCTCCACTTTCACATATTGTGTAGTGCGTGAAATCGCGGTTACCAAGAAAACTCTGCAGTACTTGGCGCCATATGCAAGTCCGAGGGAGAGCTTCAGCGCACGGTCGCGATGATCCTGCAAAAGAAACTCAGCAACGATAAGTAACGCTCCCACAAAAACTACCATGCACATATATACCTTTCGCTACAGGCCCCGAGTTGGACCGCCGCTTCTCGCGCTTCTCGCTCGGACTGCTTTTGTTCCTTCTGAAGAACTGCCAGTGAAGTGAGTCACACGGTGCGTTGTTCCCATCTTGTACACGGGTTGTGATGGGCAGTACAACATTATTACTCGACTTACTATAATGCACGTGGCTTTGGAGACCTGCCCGTTAAGTAAAATGTCCGAGGAAGGCCCGTAATCTGGGTCAAGGGGAGAAGATGGTTCACCGAAGTTCGACCCTCGTTTGGCTGGTTGGCATCGCTGCAGGCTTCGACCACGCTGCAACCGCAGAGAAACTTCATGGCCACTTGGCGTCCAAGTTCGACACAGTCTTTCCTCCCATTTTGATAGTGGCGACTCATCACGGGACTACCATCATACAGGTTGTGCGTCAGATTGGTCATCGAGCTTATCCTTATCTTACTGTAGCGACTTGCAGCAAGGTCTGCGAAAGGGATGCTCGACATTGGACCCGTTTGTGGTACTGGTCCGGGGTTTCTAAATGATGTTTAACACGATGGTATGTTGACGGATTGCTCCAATCTGACTTGCTGATTGGCACCGGCACACTTGCCAACCTGGCTTTCACTCCCATACGTATTTGTCCAGAACCGTAAGTTTCTTCGGATCTTTGAAATGTGGGGATCAGGTGTTTGCGTTTCCTCAGAGACCATGCGTTCGGCCTCTCTATTCAAATACGACGACCTGGCGCACTATCTGGTTGGCATTTTACTCATACGCTTCGTACTCATGCCATGGTACGATCTGATCAAGAAATCGAGGGTTTACAAGATAATCCGGTGCTGGCGTCTATACGATCTCCCATTAGTTGAACCCAGGTAAGTTCGCCCCCAAGTTTTTCCAATAGTGCCATGTCAGAGTGACTGATTGGACAGAAGTGTCCCTCGTTCCGCTCATCACGAAGCACCTCCAGCCGACCGAATCAGGGCATGGTCACATTGGTCCTCCACGGGTATGTAGCAGAAAGCCGAGAGATCAACCTCTGCGCTATCCACGAAAGCTTACGTGTGAACGGTACGAACAATATGTGACGAAACACACCTAGCACCGAGCTGTCAATGCTTCGTGTTTCACCCTCGCCATCCTTTGACATGTATAAATATATGACCACCTCTACTTCATTTTCCTTCCGGTATTAATTAAGCCCTTGTCATCGTTACTCCCCCAGTTTCGACCTTCTATCTTTCTTCAGCCTCTGTACGTTAGGTCGACGACCCATAAACCTCGTTCTGGCGCGCTTCGGAAGGTTGCCGTGACAAAATGTGTGTTCTGTGCTTTCGCGAGTTACAAAGGAGGCCTAGCCATCAATAGTGAAACAGTTAGGCGTATCACCATCTGTAGAGTATACTATTGGAACCGGATTTCAGGTCGAGATAAGGGCACGCGCGCTTTGTGGTAACATCATTCAAGTTCCAAAGTAACTACACTGTCAGTCCGAGGAGTAAAAGGCGTTCTGGCAGTCAGTGAAACAAAGCCAGAGAACTCGGAGAAAAGAAGCTCAATCATTGCAACATTGAACAGCCAATCGCTTCAGTTCAGTAAATTCCTGTCTCTTCGATGCAATGACTGCCACAGGTTCTTGAAGCACAACAGCGCAACACTCGTTTGCATCCTCACCCATTACTTACAACCCATCTAGGAGAGCCTCGCGAAGACCGCATTCCATTCTTCGGACCATTTCAGTGGTCAATTGCCAAGGGCTCCATGTCGACGAAACGCAGGCAGGCGACTGTAAACTGAACGTGTATCAACTATCTTGGCTTGAATAAAAAATTATCAGGTGCCTTGCGTTTACTAGCATGTGAACCGATGCCCATTGAATCATCGCTCTGAGTAATACCTGAGCTTTACACGATGTCCAAAATAATGTTTAGGCTCTAGACTTCTGCTCAACAGAAGCTAAGACACCCTGCACAGCGGCCATCACCCTGATGCCTCTAGTGCACTAGTCCATATATTGAGAAACACACAGGAAACTCAGCTTATCGCTTCACCCCTAGGGAACTGGCACCTCCTGAGAACCAGTACTGCACCGTGAAACCAACTTATTCCCGCAGGTCGCCGTACAAAACGCACCTGTGACACAACTGCAGGCGGAAGCAGTACAGCCAAGAAGGGTATCGGGTTGTGTGCACGTCAATCGATTGTTATGGGATGGTGTGACCGGTGAAATAGTCAGGCGTAGTCACCGCTTACAGAGTGTACTGGATTGCTGACAATAACGGAGTCAGATTTCAGGATGAGAGAACGGCACCTGCGCTTCTTCGCAACGTCAATCAAGTTCGAAGTGAAATACAATTGTCAATCAGGTAGTGAGCAAAACGTGGTTTGGCGCTTAGTGAAACAAAGACAGAGCTCGAAAAAGACAAGCAGAATGATTATAACTATCAAACAGTCAACCGCTTCAGTTCAGTACGTGCCGCACGCAGTCTCTCCAACTTCTTCGACAGTTCCTGTCTCTTCGATGCAATAGCTGCAGGTTCTTGAAGCATCGCAGCGCAGCGTTCATGTGCATCAGCACCTGTGACCTGCAGTCCGTCAAGGAGGGCCTCGTCGAGGCCGCGTTCCAGTCCTCGGACCATTTCATAGTCGATTGCCAAGGGCACCATGTCAACGAAACGCTTGTATGCAACTGTCAACGTATGCGTATTAGCTTTCTTCCTTCAAATATACATATAAATCACAAGGTATGCACCTTGAAAATATCCTCGGACGCTCGCCATTATTCCCAGCGCCACCTCCAATGGATCAGAAGGTATCAATCGGGCCAGATCATCAACTTGCGTTGAGATTCCGAGCTCTTTCAGCGAAGAGAGCGCCTTGTTCACGGTCTCTACTCTATTACGGTCGGTTGCCAGTTTTCGAATGTTGGACATAATACCACGGTTATCGTCTCTGCAGCCTCTGTAGTACGCGAGGAACTTATCGCGATAGTCGGAGTAGTAATGAGTGTTCAGGGTTGCAGGCGCTCTCTCCACTTGAAGTAACCAATCCATTTTCTCCTTCGCGCGAGCTGCAGCTAGGTCAAGGTGGTCATAAACGATCATCCTTGGAGGGCTCAGTACGTGATGCCTACTCTGCGAAGCAAACGGGGTTACTTACAATACAGCTTGCTTGACGCCACCCTTCCCCAAATGTGCGAAATGGTCATCCACCATTTTCTCAATGGATTCTCTCATAATGCTATTTACAATGTCGAAGAGGTCGATGGCAGGCTCTTGCCATTTCTTCACTATCGTGGAAATGTAGGCTTCTTGAACAACGAAGGGATAGTAATCGGGCAGTTCACGTGTGCGGCCACTGTATTGTGAAGGGTTAACAAAACACTCGGGAGGAATGGAAATGAGACCGACTTTTTGGCTCTTTGCATGACCTCGTCGATATATATGATATTGCTACTACGCAGCGTGGCAGGTAGTGGACCAGACGCATCATCGTCACTTTCATCATCGTGGCCAATGTTTTCCTCATTTGACAAAAACTTGATGGCGGGCAATCCGGGGTGCCGTTGAGCATCTTTCCGCTCCCATGGCACGAAACTAGGAGCCGTGAAATATATTTCTCGTTTGAACCTCTCAGAATGAGTTCGGATGGTTTGCACAAGTCCATTTTCGTCAGGAGTGCCTTTGAGACATTCCGAAACCTCCCTGGTGAATCCGTTCAGGACACGATGGATTTCGCCTACGGGATTGCTTGACGGTTCTGGCGGCAATTCTCCAAGTTCACTCTGCGCTTGTAGTATTACCGCCTGTAGTTCTTCTTGAATCTCAGGGAGTCTGCATACACACACCCATTAGCATGATCTGGTATGGCACCCACAAACAAGGTTAACACGGATATGCAACACACCTTCTGGCGATTAACTCTGCAAGGATTGCACTGAGTCGCTCTGTGAGTCTGCTGGTTCCAAGGAACTGATGTAGATGCGAATCGAGGCCGGACCACGGTTTTGTTGTTGCAAAGAAGTCTCTCTCCATGTTCCGAGCGCCAACCCAGTTGATCCCTTGGGAAATTTCGTGCGAGCTAGGCTGCTTGACACAATACCAGTTGTTATCAAGAGGTTCGACTTCGTTTCGGATGAGACGGATCCATGATTCTTCTTCGCCACGGGGAATGCGATCTGGTTTCGTGAGGACACCTGCCATGTGACGAGGTTAACGGAGCAGGAGGGGAGAGAGTCGCTGTGACTTACCCACTGTACGAGTCCCCTTTGGATCATATTGCTTCGCAAGGTGACGCGCCCCTTGATTCTCAATATCCGCTATAGAAAACATCAATGCTTGTATGCACTCAATGGATGGTAAGACTCGCTTTCGCAAGCAACCGTGAGAAGGATCAGACAGCTTGGCTTCTCGATGTATGATGTGACGAGGTTTTTCACTAACTCAATGTCGTTGACATTACCTGCAAGTCCAACGCTCGCAATAAGCCCAGGCAAATCGACAAACGACAAGTCAGCGAGCTCTCGACCACTAATCTCCAGGGAAACATAGTTTCGTGAAAATGATGTTTCATTTCCACCTGATGGGACCTCGACAACTTCGAGGAATTTTTCATGGTTAGTTTTTGGGTTCAAAATTGCACGCTGTGCCCGGCGAATACGCTCTTCCACATGAACCTTATCAGAGATGGGGTCACCAAACGGTTTGATCTCGGGTTTAATGGGTGAGCCACGTTCGTCTGTAATAAAGTGAAGTTTGACGACGCAAGTCCAAGGTGTGTCTGCTTGTGTAAGCTTACACTCCGTAGGACACCTCCATGGATGGGGAGTGTCACCGACTACTATGGAATGAGAAGTTGAATAACGTACCTTGTGCAGGTTCCCTGAGAACGAGGAAGGGTGATACCGGAAATTGATTCGATGAGGGATGATTTTCCCGCACTTTGATTGCCAATGACAGCGATCATAGGGAGGTCAATATCCCTCTGAACCCTGTATGGGAACAGATCTACGTGTCGGCCGGCGTGCAACGCGAGGAACACACATACCCTGTATTACGAAGGCGGTTAATAAGATCCAGCATTGAACGACGCTGGCTCGCAGTGGCGGGGTCAGACAATCCAACACCGCCATTGGTGCCAGCAGATGGGAGCGAGTCTGAGAATACACTGGCTATAATGTCACTGTTAGTAGAAGGTGTAGAGGACATCGTCGTTGGGAATCCTGGTTGGAGGATCGAGCTTTTAACGGGGTCGTGAATCTCGTTGGGGCGCTCGGAGTGCGGCCATGTTCTACTGATCGGAAAACTCTTAAAAAGAAGGGTGATGAAAGCAATTATAGGGGTACGGGAATCACGAGGGACTCACGCATACCCTGTATTGCGAAGGCGATTATCAGGAAGTCCGATACCGCCATTAGTGCCAGCGGATGAGAGCAAGTGTGAGAATACAGTGGCTTCCTGACATCGTTGTTGGGGAATCCTAATTCATGCATCATGTAACATCACGGTGGACGTAAATGTTATCAGATGTGGCCCTGGGCCTTTGCGGTGCAGTCAAGTTCTATTGACTGATAGACTCCCAAAAAGAAGGGAAGGATACGGAGCGTTGCAGTGGGCTGTGTGCACTGCCTATGATACACAAGCAAACTTCCTCAGTTCCGTCTCAGCTTGTCCTGCAGCGACCTCTAGTAACTCACCATCATACAACGAATGTCTACAGCCACGCTTCGCCCGGGTAGTTGGACCATAAGTCGCCAGGATAGGGTGACAATAATGAAGAACACGAGGCAAGCCTTCCATTCAACTACCGCAGCACTGATCCACAGTGTCGGAGGAACTGCGCAAAGAACGGACACGAACCAGGGATCAACGCGACCAAACTAGGACTTGTCGCCTTGTCCTGTATAGTCTCCTTTTCTCCTTTGTACGACCTAGTATCCACGGCCTGGGCCTCATCAGGGTAGTGTAGAACATTTAGAATCAGTTAGGCATATCACCACTTGCCGAGTATACTAATGGAACCGGATTTCAGGTCGAGACGAAAGTACAGGCGCTTCGTGGCAACATCATCCAAATTTCAAGGTAACCTACAATTGTCAGTCAGGTAAGCAAAAGGCGGTCTGGCGGTTAGTGAAACAAAGCCAGAGAACTCGAGAGAAGAAACTCAATAATTGTAACGTTAAACAGTCAATCGCTTCAGTTAGGTAGGTGCCACACACAGTCTTTCCAAATTCTTCGACAGGTCCTGTCTTTTCGATGCAATAACCGCAGACTCTTGAAGCATAGCAACGCAATACTCGTGTACATCCTCACTCATGACTTGCAACCCATCTAGGAGAGCCTCTTGAAGGCCGCTCCATTCTTCGGACCATTTCGTGGTCAATTGCCAAGGGTTCGGTGTCGACGAAACGCATGTAGGCGACTGTAAACGAACGTGTATCAACTATCCTGACTCGAATAAAAATCATGAGGCGCGCACCTTGAAAATATCCTTGGATGCTCGCCATTATTCCCGATGCCACCTCCAACAGGTTAGAAGGTAGCAATCTGGCCAGATCATCGACTTTCGCCGAGATTCCCATTCTTTCAGCGAGGAGAGCGCGTTGTTCATAGTCTTCACTTTGTTCCGGTCAGTTGCCAGTTTTCGAATGTTGGGCATAATATCATGGCTATTGTCTCTGCAGCCTCTGTAGTACGCGAGGAACTTGTCACAATAGTCGGAGTAGTAATGAGTGTTCAGGGTTGCTGGCGCCCTCTCCACTCGAAGTAACCAATCCATTTTCTCCTTCGCGCGGGCCGCAGCTCGGTCAAAGTGGTCGTAAGCGATCATCCTTGGAGGGCTCACTACGTGATGCCTACTCTGCAAAGCAAACGGTGTTGCTTACAGCACAGCTTGCTCGATGCTACCCTCAGTCCATGGCGTGTTTGCTTGCGTAACCTTGCATTCTGCGGGACATCTCCAGGGACTGTCACCAGCTGCCACCGAACGAGAATGGCATATATACCTTGTGCAGCTGCCCTGTGAACGAGGAAGGGCGATGCCAAAAATTGATTCGATGAGGGATGATACGATAATTTACCTACACTTTGATTGCCGATAACAGGAATCATAGGGAGGTCAATATCTCCCTGAGCCCTGGCCCGAGAGTGAATCTACTCATCGGCTGGCACGAGACATGAACGACGTACTCAGAATTGCGCAGGCGGTTAATAAGGTCTAGCATGGCTGGGCGCTGGCTCGCAGTGGCGGGGATTGGTGCCAGCAGACGGGAGCGAGTCTGGTCAGTGAGGAGGACATCGTCATCCCGTCTCGGTGGGGCCCATTGTAACTGGCCAGAAAGCACTCGAGTTTTATTTGATCAGCCCTGAAAAGGTAGTCTCGACCAGACACTCGCACCTTCGGTATCTCCCGCCACGTGTCCGGCGTATGCCGAAGGGAGAGTCCGGACCGAGACTAGGAATTCGGACGTCAACCTAATACTTGTCAGCAGATCAGCACCTCCTTGTCCTGCAGCAGTCTCTATTTCTTCCTTACACGACCTCCTGTTCACGACTGGGATGTTTCGTGCGTAATTGCGTTTGTCATATTTACGCTATACAAGCGCTCGTTTCGTTTCCTCAAAGATGGCGAATTACTCGTTTGCGTCCCGGCACCCTCCACGCCTGAGTCCAGAGGAATGTTTCAATCGTCGAATCTTGCAAAACAGTGTCAACAATGGTACTGTCAATCACCTCAATGTCATTTCCAACACCATCCTTTGCTGCAGGCTTTGAATTGGACGGAGCCATGGAATCCGCCAATCAGCGCAATGCCATGTTGCTGTGTTTTCGGAATCATGCACATGTCTCTCCTATTTGACACCCACAAGTGGGGTGACGACCATCCCAGGATGCTGTGGCTAATTTACACCTGCTGCTTCTCATACATGTTGATGGACGCGCGACTCACTCGGGGTGAGTTTCAAATTCCATGTTGACTGGATTGCTTTCATTTCTTCTTCTGAAGAGTTGCCGACAATCACTGACTCAACGTCCATACAAGCACATACAAACCGAGTCTGGAACTGCTTGAAGATCAGATGAATGGACAGTCAGCACACCAGCTCCCCCTGATTTGTTACGTGGCTTCGTCTTTCCACAGCTATCATACCCACCCTGCGATATGAGCCCCTTTTTGAAGATGACGAAATCCTGGCTACGTAGCACTGTACTTGTTGACGTCTCGCCAAGGCGGTGTGCGTGGTCGTTGCATTACCTGCCAACGCGACGCTTGATGGCCTTCCGGGACCACGCCCCTCCGGCTCGTCAACAATCTCAAGTAGGTTGATGTCACCATCGTAGGACGCGGGGGCTGCTCCGGCTTGTCGTGCTTCTCTCCCGGATTGCTTTCTCTTTTTCTGAGGAACAGCAGGGCGAAGTGTTTGTGGGACAATCACCTTGTGAGCTAGGTTTGTGGGCATTGATCTGATACTATGTGGAGAATGATGCTGCGTTCTGGGGATGACGTTGGCTCTTGCAGCAAGGTCACGCGAAAGCAACGTTCGGCATTGGACCCATTCTTGACAGTAGTCGTGGAACGTTGATGAATCGTGTCATTCTTACTTGCTGGCTTTTTGGGCGCACCTAGATGTGTAACCTGCCACATTTACTCCCATACGCACACGTGTCTACAATCGCAAGTTTCCGAGGACATTGAAGCGCGGGGATCAGAAGCCTGCGCCCCCATCCCGGTTTGGTTCCTCTATTCAAAGACCTGGCCAGCCTTTCGCCCATGTGATATGGTAGTTTCGCACCCACGCTGGGTCGCGAGCGAGACGGTTAAATATGGCCGGAGATGGTAAGCCACTGGTAGGCCACAGATTGGACACTAATATTAGGCAAGTTTGCCCATCGATCTCTACAATGTGTGCTCAGAAAAATGATTGTTTGTTCTAATAGAGTAATGATCGATTTGTGAACGACATGTGACCTGACGGGGTAATTTACGGGCTTGACCGAGGATTCCTGGTCCCAGAGGATAAAAGGGCGACGAGTTGTCGGTACTTTCCCCAGTCAAGTCGCTCGACCGTTATCTTTAACATGGACAAGAGGCTCCTTCCCGGGCAGTATTACATCACCTCTTTGCAGAACAACGAAAACCTCGGGGTTTCCCAAAGCCTGCCTGTAATTCCCCCGCTTCCTGTTCCAGTTATGATCCTTCGCCCAGGAGTTTTGCCTCCTGAAGTAATGCTCGTTCTGTGTTTTACTCACAAGCATTTGACTGACCCGGATCCGCCCAGTTTACTGTCGAGGTGGTTAATGGAGGGGATAACACTTATGTCATCAAGGTCGAGCGTAGGAACACCCGTGGTCGAAAGGACCGTGTCTTCGCCTTCGCAGACCAACCTGCTGAGGAGTGGGTTATCCTCTACAGAGAATATAACGGTGCATATACGTAAGTTACTGGTGCTTAGTGTTCACGGGAGAGTCGGATACTGACACAATGATGCCTAGCATCGAGAGGAGGGACCAACCTGTTGGATGGACTGTTCAACAGCCCGAAGGGGTAGAGGACCGTCAGGTATGGCCCAACGCTTCTCCCGCTTACAAGGACAATTGTCCATAGCATATCCAGGTTGTCCTCAGTCCCGTTGTCTCCACACGCTCCATCCCTCCTCAGTTCCGCCCTACGCAACTATTCAGATTCGAAAGTGCAGGGCCCCAGGAGTGATGAAAGATAATTTTGTATTCATGTCTGAAGTGTAAGAATACATGTCCTGTACGACCTTGAAGATTGTTATGTGCCATTCATCGTACCTTGAAGCTTCCTGCATACCGGGTTGAACCAGTCGTCCCTCTTCGCGGCGCCTGGCTTTTTGCGATCATGGTTCATTCGTTGGCTGCCGGTCCAGGGATGGAATTCTCCTCCATCCATCAGGTATATGAATGAATTATCGAAACGCAATAGTTGCAGTCACTGTTATCACTGGTTCCAAGTGCGGACCGAACCGCAGGGCGGATTCGCAGGAGCAATTGACGCAGTGATCAAGCGAATACATTGGAGGCTTGATTTCGGTCCGACATAGTAATATCTGTGTCTAGCATGGGGTGCGTCGGAGTGGACTGTTGGATACTTCGACATGCTTGGATATTGATGTTGCCACACCAAGCTCATGCAAAGGAAGGTGTAGAAATAGATGATTCTACCTAACATTCTGAGTTACTGACATACTCCTTTCGCCAAACGACAGTCATGTTAACTAGGAATTTTCCGTTCTCCTGTATCATCGTGGAATTGCATGTTTATCTTACTTGTCGGAGAGCAGGCTGATTGTTCTCCGTGTAAAGCTGGACCATAGCCCTGCAAGATTTTTAAAAAGAACGTTTTACGCCCAATTCCGCCTGCGAATTGCATTATACTTACATTTCGAACAGTTCTCGTGTCAACGCGCACGCGGGTCCTTCCGATATCAGAAGTCAACACTTGACCCTCTTGAGGCCGAATCAGCTTTGTTCCACAGTGCAGGAACGCGGGGATAAATTCCACATACTCTTGCATTGATTAGACACGTAGGCCTGGAGAATAACAGGCCATTCAAAGCTCGCCACATTACAATTGCTGCATTGTAGGTTGCAAAGTTAGTTTCGCGGAACTTCAGATTGCCTACGACTAACGTCAACGTGCCAAGATGCAGAATGGGCTCCGCTCCGTGTCTGGCCGAAATAGCACATGCAGCAAAGATATCTGGTTTCCTGCAGTCATTTCTCATCCTCGTGACGTTTGGAGGCATGTTTATATCCAGTCGTCGTTCCCAAACTTGATTACTCGTGAAAGTAAACGCGTGTTGTTGCTGAGGCCTTACCGTTAAACAACAGTTCTTGGCATTGGCGGATCACCTACCGTGACAGTCGTCTTGTTAACGCAAACAAAGACACCGTCACCTTTGTCTCTAATCGTGCTTATGCCCACCCTCAATAGGACACCGGTAAGTTTCTCATGAGAAGACAGGTTTAGTGTATGACCTACGCATCAGGTATTTCGATCGCGTATTGCATTTTTTCTGTTCCGCGGTTCAGGTGTTTCTGAGACAAGATCCAAGTTAACCTACCATTTGCTGGAAAGCTCAGAGTCTGAATGCTGTGAGCCACTAGGTACTGAGGTTTAACAAACAAAAGACATACCCTCCATACTATCGGCCGATACCGCTCAAACATCCTGGAAAGATCATCTGGGAGAAGAGTGATTACCACCTTTTTTCATATCAGTTCAAACTAACGACTAGAACAGTAAGGCGCACTTCCGTTGAAGTGAGGAGGGGGTTAAGGTTGGAAGTAAAAATAGGTGACAGTATTGATAGTCTTTTGATCGTCAAATTCAACCTGGAAAATTGGATTGCGGAAAAACGGGTGCCGGTAAGCCGCTGTGTACATTCAGGTTTTGGAACTGTTGGCCGAGGGTGGCATTGACATCGGTAATGGTACTGGGCCCTACCACCGGCAAAGTTGTTCTACAAAAGTCAGTGGTGTGCAGGTTCTCTGCCACAGAAAAGAGACTTACTATCCTATCGATCATTTCGATAATATACGGCATGGTAGGACGTGATCTGGGTTCACTCTCCCAGCACTGAAGACAATAGCCTCCACCACTCCTCAGTCAAACGGAAACACGTGTCATCATCCATAGGGCGGTCTGGCGGACCTTTCAAGATCCTGGCCATGGCGGCTCGCCCCCGGAAACGGTGGAATGGGGTTTTTCGGGTGAACAATTCCTACACGGGTTCAGTTCGACTTCACCCATGCTGGCCAATTGACAAACACACCAGAGCGGTCATTCCAAATGACCACACATCAGTCTTTGCCGTTGGTTTGCTAACCTCAAACATTTCCGGAGCCGTCCAACTTATTGTGCATCCGAACGATTCAACGATGGGCACGCTAAAGGAGGAATTGGTAAGATACGAGAGACCGAAATCAGCTAGGAGTGGTCTGCCAGTCATCGGATATCAGCACGTTTGCCTACAAATGGTTTCAGACATGTGGAGTACTCTGTTGCTGGTAAATGGGCACCTACGCCTTTCAGATCCCCAGTGGAACACGGCATCCGGTTTGAGGCCAGTGCAAGTATTGTAATCCCTGATGCGATCCCTTCTATCTAAGCAGTATGTAGGCGAAGATCGCACTGAGTCACATGAACATACCAGAGGGCGAGGGTCGACGTCGACAGTTCTGCACGTATTTACAGTGCGTCTCCTCTCCTCATCCATGGGGAAACGATCGACATTGTGAAATCGAAATCGGTGGTGATGCCGAGCAATGGGAGGATATTCTCATGATGGAGCTTAGACCACAGATGCACCTCTCTGAGGACACGCTGCCCAGCGATTAGAGCGGGTGTCAGTACGACAATCCAGTACCGATCTCACGTTGATAGTGTCTTCATCGCCTGGAGGTCCTCCCCATGTCGTCTTTATGGCGACCGTCCGTCCCAGTGGATTCAGAACTCCGCGATATACAGTAGCATACCCTCCCCGCGCTACCGCGTCATTCCTCGTCACCTTTCCGCTGAGATTGATCTCGCCTCTTCGATATCGAGATGCCTGTCGAGCGAATTCTTCCAGGGGTGATGAGCCTTGATTCGAATGCATGAGGACGGTCCACTACGATCCCCAGAGGGTAGATAGCAACTAAGGACCGAGTGGTAAAGGGCATATGAATTGGTGGGGCGTCTCACAAAGATTATTGCCGATCAAAGCTGAGCGGACAAGCTGCGATCGAAGGGTGTATATTGTGCCTTGCCTATGGTGCTTCAAGCTTCAATGATCAATCGACAGATGGAGCGTTTGAGACTTGATAAGTCAGTCAGCGGCCAGTTACAGCCACGGGATTTGTGCCTACACCAACTCGTGGAGCTGCATACGTACTCTATACAGTGGAAATCGTGCAGGTGACCTCAATCATGGCACTGAAAAGGTGTGTCCCTGACATCAGTGTCATGGACACTGATTTTACTTTTTACAGTGAAACAGACTATCTGCATCAACATGCAATATCATAGAACAACTACTTCATTGTCCAGCCGATCTAGCCTCCCCCATGGCATGTTGTATTATGTATGTATGGGAAAACTATTGTACCTGTGCGAGACCATTGAAGCCACTGGCTCACCACATCGCAGTAGGCACAAGTCTCTGTTGTCTGCAGGACTTGGTTAATCACGATGGGGTTAGTAACCATTGAGTGACATACTGTTGTATGTTTGTAATAACCTCTAAAACATGTGTAATCGTTGGGCGTGACGAGGGTTCGGGGTTCCAACACTCCTGGCAAATAGCCCACCATTCATCTGTCAGACGAGAACATGTTTCTTCATCGCTTGGGCGATCTGGTGTTTTATAATGAAGAATTCTGGCCATGACAGTCTTTGAGCTGTTGAATTGATGGAAAGGCTTTTGCCGCGTAAATAACTCCTGTGTAGATTCAATCGATTGCATATGTGCGAAAAAGACATGCGTACCAAGAGTGTCATTCCGAATGACCAGATATCCCCTGCAGCAGATTTTTCCCCCCCATCAAGGATCTCGGGAGCTGTCCAATACAAGCTCCATCCGGCATTGTCGGAATGGGGTATGCTAAACGTAGAATCAACAAGAAAAGAAAGGCCGAAGTCGGCAAGAAGGGCCCGGCCATCATCAGAGATTAAAACGTTGGCCTATGATAAAACCTCAGTCAAGTAGAGGCAGCTGTCGAAAGCAGGTAAACCCACGCCTTTCAAGTCACCATGAAATACCGCGCCATCTTGACGGGTATGCAAGTATTGGAGCCCTTGTGCAATGTCTAATATCTAAATGAAGGTAGTATTCTCATAGAGACCTCGGCCGGGGGTGCTAATCCTACTTACCAAAGGACGAGGGTCGATAGCCATATTTTGCACGTAATCACGTGCATCTCCCCTCTCCATCCAGAGAGACACAATGGACACCGTTTGTTCGAATTCAGTGGTGATGCCTAGCACAGAGATAACGTTTGGATGGCGGAGTTTGGAGCAGAGATGTACTTCTTTAAGGACACGCTATCCAGTGATGATAAATGTCAATATCTTATTAGCAATCAATGACCAATGACCATTGAGCCTACCGCAATCGTACAGTCGTCGCTTGGGGGACCGCCGCGTGGCGTCTTTATAGCCACCCTTGTTCCATCGGGTTGCAAAGTACCTTGATGCACTATTGCATTCCCTCCATTTAGAGAAGCACGGGTACCCCTACTAACCTGTCCGTTCAGGTTAATGGAGTAACGAGATGCATGTTCAGCGAACTGCCTGAGAGCGTCATGTGGATAGTCCATGGTGAGGTTCCAACTGTAGCATTTACTGAATAGAAGGGGAGTCAAGTGGTGGCCATGTGTAATACTTTATACTCGTCTATGAGAACACCTGGCAAGCCCACAACCCATCAGTCCCTTAGCATTCTGCGTGGTTTTCCACAGGCGCAGCTTGCGTCTGATCGATGCCCTACGCGCGATGTTATTGCGAAACAGTGCCTTCCTCAGGCGACGAGAGGATCAGTGATGAAGCACGGACTTGCGCTTGGCTCCCACCCCACGATCGAATGAAGCGTCTGTTGGAGGGACTGAACCTTTTTTTTGACTTTGACACACCCAGACCCTGAGGCCTGAAAGGAAGCGGATGGTGTAAATCATGGGATGACGAAACTTGGTTGGATAGAGGGCTAGAGGAGCCCACCAGGTAACTAGGCAGGTCTCTGTGGATCATGGTGGCATGCACATATTGGAGCATTGAAAAGACGAAGAAGAATCCAGTGCAATATTGGACCTAATGGGTGACGATAAATACAATCAGAAGGCGTTTTACCAGTTCCAGCGACACAGTAGCACAGCACACATCAGAACATGCGGAAAAACACGTACCACGGACCGCCCATACCTGTAATTAAACAGCCTCCAAACAATATGATTACATGAACATGTCGAACAAAAGGCAAGGATGACCGAGAGCTCAGCTTTGCGAACATGCCCTATTGGTTTCCAGATTAGCGAAGGCCAGCGGGGTATTGTCTTTTCCCACAGGGAAATCAGAAACTGGATCCAAACTCCTGGCCAAGGTATGGTAGTCGCGATCCGAAACATTTGACCGATTGGCGTATTCTTCTTATTGCCCACATGTAGTTGGCCAACTGATGCTGGCGAAACCTCGTGGACCCTGGTCGTGGAGTTACTCGTGTTTTGCCGTGCTCTCCAGATTGGATTCGAAATCATGCATCGTCCGCACCAAAAGCTTCGTTCATGCATTCATGGCATCATGCCCTACGCCCTCGAGCTTGAGATCTTACCGCGATATTTCACAGCTTTGTCTCCAGCATGCACGGACCAAACCCGCCCCATGGTTTGAATGGACTCCGGTTGTACCAATTGGCTTGATCTCACCCTTCGAATGTTTGGTCGAACGAGCCCAGACCTTATTTCTTTGCATTCACTCTTCCAAAGAAGAAGTCTCTCAACTTATGTGCATAAGGTATAAAGACCAGAGAGGAGGTCGTGCTAGCGCTGATTGTACTGGACTTCAAACTAACGACTGGAACAGTAAGGCGTACTTTCGTTGAAGCGAGAAGGGGGTTAATGTTGGAAGTAAAAATGGTGACAGTATTGATAGTCTTTTGATTGTCAAATTCAACCGGAAAATTGGATTGCGGAAAAACAGGTGCCGGTAAGCTGCTGTGTACATTCAGGTTTTGGAACTATTGGCCGAGGGTGGCATCAACATCGGTAATGGTACGGGCCCTACCACCGGCAAAGTTGTTCTACAAAAGTCAGTGGTGCGCAGGTTCTCTGCCACAGAAAAGAGACTTACTATCCTATCGATCATTTCGATAATATACGGCATGGTAGGACGTGATCTGGGTTCACTCTCCCAGCACGAAGACAATAGCCTCCACCACTCTTCAGTCAAACGGAAACACGTGTCATCATCCGTAGGGCGGTCTGGCGGACCTTTCAAGATCCTGGCCATGGCGGCTCGCCCCCGGAAACGGTGGAATGGGGTTTTTCGGGTGAACAATTCCTACACGGGTTCAGTTCGACTTCACCCATGCTGGCCAGTTGACAAACACACCAGAGCGGTCATTCCAAATGACCACACATCAGTCTTTGCCGTTGGTTTGCTAACCTCAAACATTTCCGGAGCCGTCCAACTTATTGTGCATCCGAACGATTCAACGATGGGCACGCTAAAGGAGGAATTGGTAAGATACGAGAGACCGAAATCAGCTAGGAGTGGTCTGCCGTCATCAGATATCAGCACGTTTACCTACAAATGGTATCAGCCATGTGAGGCAATCTGTTACTGGTAAATGTACCTACGCCTTTCAGATCCCCGTGGAACACAGCATCCGGTTTGAGGCCGTGCAAGTATTGTAATCCCCAAGCGATCCCTTCTATCTAAGCGGTATGTAGGCGAAGATCGCACTGAGTCACATGAACTTACCAGAGGGCGAGGGTCGACGTCGACGTTCTGGACGTATTTACGTGCGTCTCCTCTCCCCATCCATGGGGAAACGATTGACATTGTGAAATCGAAATCTGTGGTGATGCCGAGCAACGGAAGGATGTTGTCATGATGAAGCTTAGACCACAGATGCACCTCTCTGAGGACACGCTGCCCAGCGATTAGAGCGGGTGTCAGTACGACAATCCAGTACCGATCTCACGTTGATAGTGTCTTCATCACCTGGAGGTCCTCCCCGTGTTGTCTTTATGGCGACCTTCCGTCCCAGTGGATTCAGAACTCCACGATATACAGTAGCATACCCTCCCCGCGCTACCGCGTCATTCCTCGTCACCTTTCCGCTGAGATTGATCTCGCCTCCTCGATATCGAGATGTCCGTCGAGCGAATTCTTCCAGGGGTGATGAGCCTTGATTCGAATGCATGAGGACGGTCCACTACGATCCCCAGAGGGTGGATAGCAACTAAGGACCAATGGGTATAGGACATATGAATTGGATTTGGGGCATCTTAAAAATATCCCGTATGTTGACCCGGTTGGGCAGCGGGCACAAGTCAGGTAATATGTACTATTATGTAATAGGATCCTGTAGCGCTTTGAAGAGATTCCAGCGAACAGGTGCTTGAATCATAGCGAGCAATATTCAGGGTACTCAGGTGCAAACGCACATGGACGGTGACGCGCCCCAATTTGTGGTTGACATTGCAGACGAGGTCGGTTCTCGTGTGGTTTCCTGCGAGTTTCGATGGGACTTGTCCTCACCACTGTGACATACCTGTCGCTGGGGGGCATTATCCACTTCCTCGATGTATTCACAGGGTCTGGTTATACAGGGAACGCTGCAATCGCTCTCCACTACTGAGTGAAGAAGGAAATCCATAAATTCTATGCCATGTACTAATATTTCTCCTATGTTGCATCCACTCCTGCTCATCTATGTACCCTCATGGACATCACAAGTCCTAGCATCGAGAGCAGTTTCACACCTGCCGTTGCCTCACCTTCCCACCTCCACAGCATTAACTTTGATTAACATAAGGTCATTGCTCAACTCAGAACTGTCAGATGATCTTCCTCTACATCAAAAATAGACACTCTACTTCTCAACATGTACATGTCACCTGCCATGGAAAAAGTCCCTAGCGTTGTTACTTGTATTGTCCAGGAGCACCCAGAGGGCCTTTCGTATTAGTATATATGGGAAAACTATTGTACCTGTGTAAGACCATTGGAGTTGCTAGCTCCATTGCAGCGGGCATAAGAGTTTCTTATCTGCAGAGCTTGGTTAATTACGATGGGCTAGTAAACTATTGAAGCACATACTATTGTAAGTTCGTCATGACTTGTAAAACATGTGCAATCGTTGGGCGCAATGAGGGGTCAAAATTCCAGCACCTGAGGCAAATATCCCACCACCCGTCTGTCAGTCGCGAAAAAGTTTCTTCATCCCTCGGGCGATCTGGTATCTCATTTCGGTACATTTTACCTATGATGCCATTCCGTTTGATTCCATGGAAGGGGTCTTTACGCATAAGCAGCTCCTGTGCAAATTTGAGCGATTGTGTACGCCCGAAAAAGTGACGTGCATACCAGGAGTGTCATCCCAAAAGACCAAATATCAGCTTTTGCAGATGCTTCCTGCTCACCAAGAAAAATCTCGGGAGCTGTCCACTGCATGGTAAATCCACCTTTGCCAGAGACGGCCATGCTGAATGAAGAATCGACAAGGTGGGAAAAGCCGAAGTCGGCAAGAAGGACTTGGCCACCATCAGAAATTAAAACGTTGGCCTGCGATAAAATCTCAGTCAAGTAGGGGCAGCTATTGAAAACAGGTATACCTACGCCTTTCAAATTGCCATGGAACACCGCGCCTTCCTCACGGGTATGCAAGTACTGTAGTCCTCGTGCAATGTCTATCATCTAAGTGGAGGTACAATTCTTATAGCAATCTTGACCAGCGGTGCCAAATCTACTTACCAAAGGACGAGGATCGATACTCGTATCTTGCACGTGTTTACGTGCATCTCTCTTCTCCATCCAGGGAGACACAATGGACACCGTTAGTTCAAATTCAGTGGTGATGCCTAACACCGGAACAATGTTTTCATGACGGAGTTTGGACCATAGATGTACTTCTTTGAGGACACGCTATCCAGTAATAATTAATGCCATTGTGATAGCACGCAATGACTGTTGAGCTTACCTTAATCGTAGACTCGTCGCCAGGAAGACACCCGCGTGCCATCTTTATAGCTACCCTTGATCCATCCGGTTGCAGAATGCCTGAATACACTGTAGCGTGCCCTCCACGTAGAGCAACGAAATTATCTTCTTTACGGACCTTTCCATTCAGGTCAAAGGAATATCGAGATGCACGTTCGGCGAATTGCCTGAGAGCGTCCTGTGGATTGTCCATCTGGTGAAGTTCCAATTGTAGCATACACTGAATAGAAGGGAGGTCAAGCGACGGCCGTGTGTGATGCTTTATACTTGCCCATGCCAATACCTGACAGGCCCACAACCCATCGATCCCTCAGATTTCTGCATGGCTTTCCGCAGACGCAGCTTGCATCTGGTCGATACCCTACGCATGATGATATTGCGAAACAGTGCTTTCGCCAGGTAATAATAGGATCGGTGAGGAAGCACAGACTTGCGCTTGGCTTCCACCCCATGATCGAACGAAGCGTCTATTGCGCAGAGGAACGGGAGAAACGAAGAGCAATGGCAAGAACACTTGCCTTTATTCAGAAAGGTAGTAGCTTTTGAAGTAAGGCTTGTTTAGCGTTGAGGGGCTCAGTTGTCGAGTAGACAAGTGAAGAACGAATGCTTGATTCGATGGGGATTGAGGAAGAAATCCCCGAGTTTATATACATGAGTAGGTACGCACGGACCAGTAAGCGTAAAAGGAAACTACTACTCAGTATAGTAAGGAATAGCGCAGAAGGTCATGGAATATGACATATGATATGATGTCAGTATGACATCATTGTGGAGCTGATTGCTAAGGAATGTCATATGATGAACAACGTGTTGATACACATGTAAGTCTGGATCAATCTAGACGTACGGAACTATATAGTCATATTTCCAACACTCCCCCTCGCTCTAAAATGGTAGGATAACAAGACCCATTGACGAGCGATTAGTTTCAAATTTTTGCCACGTCAAAGATTTTGTAAGACCGTCTGCTTTTTGTTTGTCAGTTTGAACGTATTCGATACTGAACAAACCTATCTTGTAACACATTCGCGAACGAAGTGCCATTGGACGTCGATATGTTTAGAACGACCTGTCCGATACAGGATTCTCAGCAATGAAGCGAGCTCCCATATTATCGCAGTATAGAATTGTTTTCTCAGTCTTGAGTTTAAGTTCATCAAATAGCATTGAGAAGCCATTTGATTTGACTGTGCAGCGTCACAGAGAGCCATAGTATTCGGCTTCTGTAGAGGAGAGCTGCGATCGTCTTCTGTTTACGAGAGCGCCAAGAGATAAGGGATGATCCGAGGAACATTGCATAACCGGTAGTTGAATGACGAGTGTCTTTATTTGCAGCCCAATCAGAATCTAGCGAAGCCATAGATTCGAGATTCAAGTCCCGAATAGTATAAAGCCAATTTTGGAGTAGATGCAATATAGCGAACTATATGCAAGGCTTTATTTCGGTGATCTTCGGTGGGATTTGCCATATATTGAGACATGCGAATAACCGCAAAGGCAATATCGGGACGAGTACCGAGAGCCATATAGAGTAATGATCCCTATGATTGATTGGTACTGAGACCGAAGAGAAGATGTGGCTTGATAATCTGGAGGGTGCTTTTTCCGGTTGGTATCCCGAAGGTAATGGAGTGCGAACATTTCGAGCAGTCTCCATGTTGAACCTTTTGATAACCTTTTTGAACATAAGGTATTTGATCGAGATAAAGTTCCTTTTTGGATCGATCACGGTGAATTTGAATGCCAAGATATTCCTTGACTTCACCAAGATCACGAGATTCCCATTTCTTCATAAATTGTTCTTTCTTGGCTTTAAGAAGACGTTTGTCCGATCCTAGAAAGAGTCCATCGTCGACATAGACGAGAAAGATGACTGATTCCAGCTTTGGAAGTGTGGATATAAATCCCAGCATCCACTTTGGAACGAATATAGCCCATTGCGAGTAAGGATTGATGAAGGGCTTTATTCCATGCCAACTGCAGCTTGCTTTAAGCCATATAAGGCTCTAAGCAACCGATAGACCTTGTGTTCTTGACCCGAAACTTTGAAACCTTCTGGTTGCTCCATATAAATTTCTTCATCAAGATTTCCATATAGGAAAGCGGTTTTAACATCCAGGGCTTCTGTATCCCAATTTCTTTGGGCAGCGAACGCGAGTAGAATGCGAACTGTTTCGAAGCGAGCCACTGGAGAGAAGGTATCTTCAAAGTCAGTACCGAATTCTTGTGTAAAGCCTTTAGCCACAAGACGAGCTTTATAACGACCATCGCTTTTTATTGCGAAAACCCATCGACACTTGACTGGTTTCCGATCTCTTGGAGGATCCACCAAAGTCCATACTTGTCTTTCCTCGATAGACTTTAATTCGTCTTTCATAGCGTCAAACCATTTCTTTTGCAAATCGGGAGATAACTTTAGCACATCTTTGAAATGTTCCGGAGATTCTTTTATCCTGGCAGCCAATGCAAATTCGAAAGGATGCATTTCAGGACCTGGCATTTGTGCCTGCTGGTCTGGCATGCCCTTAGGTGAAGAAGGAGTTTCCGGAAGTGGAGTAAGAGGTGAACCAGGAGAAGTAGGAGTAGTTCCTTGTGGATGTTCAGTCCACTGACGAGGAACTTCAGGAGGAACAAGTATAGGAGGTAACCTCGGAGAAGGAGGTCTCCGTTCTTCCTGTTGAGAACGAATAAACTCTCTGGTTTGTCTTGCATGCTCTTCAGCATTGCGAATCCACTGTTGTGCTTGATCCTGATTTCTTTGAATATCTCTTTCAATTTCTACTGGGGGTCTGTCTCCATAGAGATTCCCAGGACGAGATACTGGTATAAAACGACGCTTTGGACGAGGTTCTCTGTCATCGGCAGGAGGATGTGCTCTGCGAACATTGCGCGAGTCTCCTTGAATAAATTCAGGTTGATGAGGATGTCTAAGATGACGAGGGTCGACTGGAGGTACAGCAGCAGGTGCTCTTCTTTGTTGTTGAGCTCTAGGCTGGTCCGCAGCTCTCTGCTGTGGGTTTGGTTGTGGAGGAGTATTAGGACGAGGTGGTTGCCGGTGATGAGTCGGCGGTTGGATCTGATCAGGATCCGGAAATGAATGTAGGCTTTCAGAGTCGGAAGTATCTGATTCCTGGTCATCTTCGGTATCGGGGTCAAAGGTTTCGGATTTTTGTTGACCAGAGCAAAAAGGAAAAGAGTCTTCTATGAATTTTGCAGTACAAGAAATAATGATTTTCTGTCCATGAAGAAATCGATATCCTTTGGTATTGGGTTCATATCCCATAAAATCATTTCGACTGCATGAGGTTCCAGTTTGTCTTTTCTTTGTTCTTTAGGAACCCATACAAAGGCTTTGCAGCCAAAGGTGCGAAAGTAGGTGATGTCTGGGACTTTTCCTAAGAATAGTTCTACCGGAGTCTTGAAGATAATCCTCTTGAGAGGAGTTCGATTATACACATGAAGTGCACAGTCGAAAGCGAAGTTCCAGAAGCGTTTTGGAACGCAAGCATGATGTCGAATGGTCCCAGCTTTTTCGGAGATAGTCCGATTAAAGCGTTCTGCACGACCATTTTGTTGTGGTTGGTCGGCAATAGAAAGATAGTGGGTAATTCCGCGCGAAGAAAGGAGCGCTTGAAAGTATGACCCATAAATTCTCCCCCGCGATCCGAACGGAGCGCAAGTAGATGATGCCCAGTAGTATTTTGCATAGACACCATCCAGTTAGCGAAAGCAGTATAAGTATCGGATTTGTTGCAAAGGTAGAGACAGAAACCGTAAGGATGAATAATCATCCAAGAGGGTTAGAATATATTTGGACCGAAAGTAAGACTCGACAGGTAACTCCAGTAAGTCGGCATGAACCAACTCAAGTGGTTTAGGTTGCTCGTTTCCAAGAAGGTTTGAAAGCTTCGGAAGAAAGTTTTCCCTGAGCGCAACCTTTACAAGAGGTAGTCTCCCCCTGTATTTGTAGATCTTGTTTCAGGCCTAATCAGCGAATATGTCTGAGAACTGCATTTGCAGGGTGACACATGCGATTATGCCAAAGAGACTCTTGAGATTCCTTGACCAGAGGGCAAAGGACCCCATAGGCAGTGGTAGGTGGAAGTGGTACGCCCACAAACCAATGAAGAGGTGAAGTCGGTGAAGCGACTTTTGCTTCAAGGACAATCCGGCCATCCGGTGCTCTGATAGTCTCGCTTGTAAGAGTCGCTGTGCTCCTATACCCGTTATTGAGGAGCGCATTTCGTGAACATAGTCGCTTTGAGAACAAAGGACTGTAAACAACATTATGTAGTGGAAGGTTACTGCCATTTTCCAGGCGAATAACCACTGTTCCTTGACCGAGAAGTTGAACCTTTTTCATGCCTGCAGTAGAGGCCAAAGGTGGATTTTTGAATTCTCGATAGGTCAGGAAATCAGTTTTAAAAGGAGTCACATGGTGTGATGCTCCAGAATCCAACATCCATAAAGACTCACCCTTTGGAAGGTTCTTTTTGAGATTCGAATATGACACACCCAAAGGGTAACAGTCATAAGAATCGAAGGCATGACCATCGAACTGCATGGGTAAATATCCAGAGGCAGATTCGTTGGGATCATACTCGATGTCTGGATTATGCTTTATACGTAAGGATTTAACAACAGGTTTATCTGGCACAGATTCGTGAAACTGGGATAGAGACATGGGCTTAGCACGCTTTTTAGCGGCTTTTAATAGTACGGATTTGTGGAGAGATCCTCCATCTCTACTATTCTGTCCTCGAAATCGAGGGGAAGAGAGATCAATAATCCGTTGTTGCATCTCAGACGCATGGCCATGATTCTCTGCATTCCGGTTCTCCACCATATTCTCGCCAGCCAAAACGGAATTTCCCATTCGTACTGAGGGTTCGAGGGAACCACTCGTACATGTCCCGTCCTGCTCAGCAGGGGGAAGGGAAATCGTCCTCTGATAAGAGTCCGAGTCGCTCCGTTGTTGTGGTTCCGAAAGGGATAGACCCAGTCAGACACAAGGTTTGGCTGTTCGGCGACAAATGGAACATTGGCAGATATTAGAGCCGGGAATGTTAACACGAATCGGTACTGACTCAACTTGATCCGGTTGGAAATTCTGAATTTCCTCCAGGTACCAAGGAGCAAGATTTCCGGTTGTGGCATCAACTGGATAATTGGGGGATTCCCCAACAGCTTCCATCGCCATAGTGAGATCTTGGCGAGACAAATCAGGATCATACATCTCGGTGTCAGTGATGACATGTTGTCCGAGATAGGTATTAAGGTCGGAGGAATAAACTCGTTCAACCGGAGTTGGATCCGGGAGAGAATATTCGGGAGTGGATTCGCGATGTGGAACATTGATTGCAGTGATGTCAAAGTCACCTGCATCAAAAGCAGCAGCAGCATTTTCATAAAACTCTTGACCCTGAGCAGTATACTCGGGTTCATACGAGTTTTGCCCATAGTAGGAATCTTCGGGAAGTTCCTCTATGTAGGCCGCGTCGATAGGTTCAGCACCTTCGACTTCTAAATTATGGGCTCGGGCTTTGCCCTTGCCTCGGCGTCTGTTCTGGCCTCGGCCACGAGAACCAGAACCTTGCTGTGGTGCTTGTTGATAGGGAGTATAATTTCCACATCCACATCCACGACCTCCGCGACCTCTTCCGCGACCTCCACGGTAACCGCGAAAGGATCCTGATCCTGATCCAGATTGATGATCGGAAGTATTATGTGCGCCTCTGCAAACTTGACAGAGTGGCGGCTTATTCATTCGTGCCAGAAGAGAGTTAGATTCTTGTTTGACTGTGGTCGATGATGACCCAGCCTTTTCCTGTTGTGGAAGCATAGATTTGCCTGATTTGTGGGCCCAGACTTCTTTCATACGAGGTATGACCGTATCGGGAGAGAGTTGATTGGCAGCAATAGAGGAAAGGATATTGACCGGAGCTTGTTCCCAAGCTTGAGTCATCGAATGGACTAAAATGAGCGCCTTCATTTTGTCGTTAAGGGCAATGCCCTGAGCGCTGATCGCAGAGATAAGCATTGTGATTTCCGCAATCTTCTGCATAATGTCATCCTTCGGTTTGATTTGAATGCGGATCAACCGCTGAAACTCCATGAATGTCGTCATGGCCGAAGGTGCACCATATGCGGATTTAAGAGCTTCCCATTTGAGGTGAGAAGTCGCGTGTCCATCGATTGACATAGCGATCATCGGATCGCAGTATAAGGTCAAAATTCCTTGTGCACGAGTATCAGAAGTGACCCAAGCAGGGAGAGTAGGATCTCCGGCTGCTGGTTGTGCAATTGTGCCGTCAACAACACCCATGATGCCAAGAGTTTGCATATAGGCTTTCATAAGAACTGACCAAGAGGCCCAGTTAAGACCGTTGAGTTTGGGGATTTGCTTTGAGAGACCTTCGGACATCTAGTGTCACAGGTCCATAAGCAAATGTTCGTATAGAAACGAATGAACAGGATGAGTCGAAAAGGATGGAGGATTTAATTCATGACCGCGAATTTTGGTTCGGCGAGCAGATGCTCTAGCCTTTTGAGATTTGCGGCGAATACGTGAATAATTGTTTTTGTAGTAAGGACGAGGATTTCGTCTTTTCTCCTTTTTATTTTTCGGTGCCTGTGTGCCTTTCTCAGCAAATCTCCAAGCAGAGATGCGAGAATTATTTCGCTCTAGACTTAGAAAGTCTAATGGAGCAAAATAATGATATGCCATGAAACCCCAATTACAGTCGTGTAAAGGGATTCCATCAGCAGTGAATCCTAAGTAAGGATCCGCACACGAATAAGGAATTGCAAGGCAATCCGAATGACGAAAATGTTTGTCCTTAACTAAAATTTCAAAAACATTGTATGACTCATATAAAGTACACGTATTAGTTGCCGAATGGTTTCGGCCGCCTGATACGTACGGTGCGTCCAGAGAGTTTGGAAGAGGATAATTTTTGGCGTATGGCGCGAGCTTCACGAGCTCGGCTAAGAGCCGTGGTGCGAATTCCGCGAGGTCGGGGAGCTGCGAGATAGTCGAAAGTAGAGTCGTCCATGATACGTTCGAAATCGCATAGAACCTCTTCTGTGCCGGGCCAGTAAGCGAAGTCTGAACTAGTGGGAGCGAGACCCCACTGAAGATGCTGGTTAGAAGAGTTATATCACAGGGAAGTTCCCACATCTGCTTCATCCCTAAACCGTCATATAAACCTAAAGAGACTGCTATCAAAGCTGTCTCCTCCGCGTCTTCGTTCACGGTACCACCTTGGGACACATCGGACGTCCGTGGATCCGTCATCCCAAACTCCTCGGAAATGGTATTCAAGATGCTGGTTCCAAATGCGGAGAGAAGGGATGAGGCTGTTGAAGCACGGATCGTAGAGGGGATGGACGTTATAGTAGATGTAGACGAAGGTGTCGTGGGTGATAGTGAACGCAGGAATAGACTCGAGGGCAGGATCTTCATAATAAGCACTGGGAAGATCGCAGCCGTTGAAGTTAGCTATGGCATGCGGAGACGACGTATGGGAAAGTTTGGGAAAGAAGTCGGTAAGGTAGCCATGGTAGGCGAGGTGGATCCCTGGATAATAGTATGGCGATTTGAACCCGGGAAAGTGGGGCATATTTTGCCACGCTGTTTCCACGGTATCGATGGGGACGAGGTAAGTCGCAGGATTGGGTTTCTTGAAGAACCCGACGCTCGACGGTACAGCCTCTCTCCAAGTAGAGCACTCCTGTACATACAACATCTCAATGTACTCTATGATCTCCTTAACCGCATACTTCCTCCACTTTACTTCGTACATTCCATCCCGCTGCTCAGCGATTGCGAGCTCGAGTTTCTTTGCAACGACGAGAGACATCTTTTTAAATAGATTAGTTCCTATTTTTCGCGACAAAGCAAACGAGACTAAAGCAAATCGAACTCAGCGTTGTCATCGACAGCGAGAACGATTGCAGGATTAATTAGCTCGTTGACAGCCGCAACTTCCTCTGGAAGAGGAGTAGGTGCACGTCAAGGAGAAGGCGGATCTAACGCTTCAACCTCGTCGTATGGCGGAACGGGGTCTAAATCTGCGTCGTGATCGATGTCGGGAAGATGGAAATGTAAATAGTGAGGAGGTGGAGTCGGAGGACGAAGGACAAGGCGCTGTATAAGCAACCTGCGGAGTATCTGCTGTTCCAGCAGTAACTGCCGCCTTCGCCACCAGGCGGAGAGACCTAGAAAAGAGAACCAAAATGCTATGGAGCGCACAGCGAGTTCCCATAGGAAACGCGGGTCATGTCCACCATAATGAAGTAATAAAACTGCCTGATTAAGGCCTGCCACGACAGCGACAGCGAAGACTACTACTACCGATCCTAGCGCATCTAGGCCTACGATATCCATAGTGATTTGCCTGTCGGCAGTGATCGTTCTATGCAAATACCACAAATAGCTTTACCACCTAGTTATAGGCGGGGCTCATAACCTATTGCGCAGAGGAACAGGAGAAACGAAGAGCAATGGCAAGAACACTTGCCTTTATTCAGAAAGGTAGTAGCTTTTGAAGTAAGGCTTGTTTAGCGTTGAGGGGCTCAGTTGTCGATTAGACAAGTGAAGAACGAATGCTTGATTCGATGGGGATTGAGGAAGAAATCCCTGAGTTTATATACATGAGTAGGTACGCACGGACCAGTAACGTAAAAGGAAACTACTACTCAGTATAGTAAAGAATAGCGCAGAAGGTCATGGAATATGACGTATGATATGATGTCAGTATGACATCATTGTGGAGCTGATTGCTAAGGAATGTCATATGATGAACAACATGTTGATACACATGTAAGTCTGGATCAATCTAGATGACGGAATATATAGTCATATTTCCAACAGCGTCTGTTTTTCTGGCTTCGACACACTTAGACCGTGAGGCCTGAAAGGAAGTGGATCGCGTAAATCATGGGATGACGAAGCTTGCTTGGATAGAGGGCTAGAGGAGCCTACTGTGTAACTAGTCAGATCTCTGTGAATTACGGTGGCACACACATATTGGATTATTGGAAGGACGGAAAAGAATTCAGTGCAATGTTGGACGATAAATATAATCAGAAGGTGTTTTACCAGTTCCAGTAACACAGTAGCACATATTAACAGAACACGTGGAAAAACACGTACCACGGGCCGCCCATACCTGTAATTAAACAGCTTGCAAATAATATGAACATGTCGGCCAAGAGGCAGGATGACCGAGGGCTCAGCGTTGCGAACATGCCCATATGGTTCCCAGGCTAGCGAAGGCCAGCGGGGCGTTGTCTTTTCCCACAGGAACTTCAAAGCACGGCGGAAAACTGGGTCTAAACTCCCGGCCAAGGTATGGTAGTCGCGATCCGAAACATTGACCGATTGGCGTATTCTTCTCATTGCCCACGTGTAGTTGGCCAACTGACGCTGGCATGAGGTGAGTGAACCTCGCGGACCCTGATCGTGGAGTTACTCATGTTTCGCCGTGCTCTCCGGATTGGATTCGAAATCATGAATCGCCCGCACCAAAGCTTCCTTCATGCATTCATGGCATCATGCCCTACGCCCTCAAGCTTGAGGTATTTCACAGCTTTGTCTGCAGCATACATGGACCAATCCCACCCTGTGGTTTGAATGGACTCCGGTTGTACCAATTGGCTTGACCTCACCCTTCGAATGTTTGGTCAAACGAGCCCAGACCTTGTTTCTTCGCATTCACTCTTCCAAAGAGGAAGTCTCTCAACTTATGTGAATAAGGTATAAAGACCCGAGGTCGTGCTAGCGCCGATCGTACTTTCGTTGAAACGAGGAGGGGACTAATGTCGGAAGTAATATGGTGACAGTATCGGCAGTCTTTTGATCGTCGAATTCAACTGGAAAACTGGATTGCAGAACAATGGGTACCGGTAAGCCGTTGCGTACATTTGGGCTTTGGAACTGTTGGACGAGGGTGGCACCAACATCGGCAATGGCATGAACCCTACCACCGGAAAATTTACTCTACGAAAACCGGTTGGTGCGCAGGTTCTCTGCCACAGGAAAGAGGCTTACTATCCTATCGATCATTTCGATGATGTACGACATGGCAAGACATAACCTGGGTTCACCTTTCTATCACGAAGACGGTAGCCTCCACCACCCTTCGGTCATATGGTGACACGTGTCATCATCCGTGGGGCGGTCTGGCGGACTTCTCATAATCCTGGTCATGATAGCTTGTCCCCAGGAACGGTGGGATGAGGGGTTTCCGGGTGAACAATTTCTACGTGGTTCAGTCCGACTTCACCCATGCTGACCAGTTGGTAAGCATACCAGGGCGGTCATTCTGAATGACTACACATCCATCTTGGCCGACAGTTTGCCAACTTCAAACATTTCCGGAGCCGTCTAACCTAACATACATCCGAACGGCTCAGAGATGGGGACACTAAAGGAAGAGTTGGTAAGATACGAGAGCCCGAAATCGACCAGGAGTGGTCTGTCGTCATAGGACTTTAGCACCGGATTTCAGCCATGTGAGGGTAATCCGTTGGCGGTAAATGTACTTGTGCCTTTTGGATCCCTGTGGAACATGACATCCTATTTGAGATCGTGCAAGTATTGTAATCCCCGTGCGACCCTTTCTATCTATAAGCGGTATGTAGACAAAGATTGCACCAAGTCACATGAACTTACCAGAGGGCGAGGGTCGGCGTCGACGTTCTGCACGTATTCACATGTATCTGCTCTCTCCATCCATAAGGAAACAATCGACAATGTGAAACCGAAATTAATGGTGATGCCGAACAATGGGAGAATGTTGTCATGACGGAGCTTAGACCACAGATGCACCTCTCTGAGGACACGCTGCCCGGCGATTAGAACGGGCGTTAGTACGACAATCCAGTACCGATCTCACGTTGATAGTGTCTTCATCGCCTGGAGATCTTCCCCGTGTTGTCTTCATGGCGACCGTCCAGGCCCAGTAGACTCAGAACTCCACGATATACAGTAGCACACCCTCCCTGCGCTACCGCGTCATTCCTCGTCACCTTTCTGTTGAGATTAATCTCGCTGCCTCGGTATCGAGATGCCGGTCGAGTGAATTCTTCCAGAGTATATGTTGAACCTCGATTCGAGTACATAACAACACCCTACTACGACCCTCAGGCCTCGGAGGGTGGCTAGCAACTAAGGACCAAGGGTGTTGGGCATATAAAATGGACTTCGGGCATCTTGAAAACTAGAATAAGGCCTGTTTTATACGGCGCTCTACCTCATGATACTTCATAACCATCGGCGTCGTAGCCAGAAGTTTATACAGGCTGTGGAGTAATTACGCCCCCTTAATAGGTATGCTCGCTACTCTTAATATAATCCCACCAAGCTTCTTAGCAGTCGAATGTTTTCCCGTCCACGGCTACGGGAGAGAGCAACATAGGCATTAAACAGTGTAATTTTGCCAGTGGGTGGCGACCTCATGTCAACAATGCAGTATTCGATCGTTTGAGCTTGTGCATGGTAGTCCGTGAAAGTGAATGGGCGGTTGTACCTGTATCACCGTACACTTGCTGCTAGAAGCCATCATTACAGTAAATGTTCTTGAAAGAGGCAGTGACAGGGCAGCACATCCATCGGCAATCCATAGAGAGCTCACCGCAGACACTTTGCCTCAACATATGTAGCTGGACAAGGATTGTAACCAGCAAGACTACTACGACATCAGTCACCCCGTGTATTCGCAGTACGGAGGTGCAGAGTTGCAGAGTACAGAGCTGAGACACAAAACTTGATATTCGCTGGTGACCAAAAAACGTGTATGAATGACTTGGTTGGGCAGGGGGCACAAATCAAGTCATAGGTCCTGAAAAGATTCTCACGGTGAAATTCGGAGTGCCCGAGCTGTACGAGGGGCAGGCTCCTACACAGCCGTTCCGCTGTGAGTGCGAGGGAATTTTCTGAGGGCAACGGCTGTGTAGGAGCCTGTACGAGGGCCTACAATATTGCTTACTGCCTACGGTGTTTAGATCAGACACAATGGAAGCGAGGCTACTGGAAGTCGTGCAGGTGAATTCACCCTGCCTTCCCACCTGGTGGCACCAAAATTCTTTGAGACTATCTGCATCAACAAGCAATATTATATGTAAAGTTCAACTGATACCGATCCACTGGTGTGCTTCTCAGTGATTAAATATTACTGCATGTATGTGCGGGAATAACTGTTGTACCTGTGGAAGACCATCGTGGCCACTGGCTCACTACTGTCGCCAAAAGGGATAGAGAGTCGTGCATAGAGGTCTCTCATCTACGGGACTTGGTTGAGTACGATGGGCTGGTGAAGTATTGAAAGACATACTGTTGTATCATTCTGATGGTTTGTAAAACATCCGTAATTCTTGGGCGCAACAAGGGGTCAAAATTCCAACACTTTACGCAAGTAGTCCACCATTCGTCTGTCAGACGCGAACAGGTGTCTTCGTCGCTCGGGCGATCTGGTGTCCTCCCTAGGGAAATTCTATACGAGACAGCATGGAGGGTGAATGGATGGAACGGTATTTTGCGTGTAAATAACTCCTGTGTAGATCGGAACGGTTGCATATACGCGAAAGAAAAAGAAGTGACACGCATACCAAGAGTGTCATCCCAAATGACCAGACATCCGCTTCGGCGGATTTTTGGCCCCCAACCCCCCCTTCAAGGATCTCGGGGGCAGTCCAATGTAAGGTATATCCGGCCCTCCTGGAGGTGGTCAAGCTAAATGTAGAATCGACAAGCAGAGAAAGGTCGAAGTCGGCAAGAACGGCCTGACCACTATCAGATATTAGCACGTTGGACTATGATAAAACTTCCGTTAAGTAGGGGCACCTGTGGAAAACAGGTAAACCTACACCTTTCAAATCACCATGGAGTACCGCGCCCCCTTGGCGGGTATGCAAGTATTGGAGTCCTTGTGCAATTCCCAACATCTAAATGAAGGTATTATTACGATGATCCTGATCGGCGATACCAATTCTACTTACCAGAGGACCAGGATTGATGGTCGTATTTTGCACGTAATCATGTGCATTTCCGTTCTCCATCCAGTGCGATACGATGGACACCGTTCCATCGAACTCAGTGGTGATACCAAGCACCGGGATAACGTTTTGGTGCTGGAGTTTCAAGCAGGTATGTACTTCTCTAAGGGCGCGCTATCCAGTGATGATTAATGGCAACAATTTATTAGCATGCAATGACTATTGGGCCTACCTTGATCATACGGTCGTCGACTGGAGGACTGCCGCGTGCTGTCTTTATGGCTATGCTTATTCCATCGGGTTGCAAAGTACCTCGGTACACTATAGCGTTCCCTCCGCCCAGAGCAGCACGGGTACCCCTATGGACCCGTCCGTCCAGGTTAATGGCGTATCGAGATGCACGTTCAGCGAACCGTCTGAGAGGGTCCTGTAGATTGTCCATGGTGAGGATCCAACTGTAGCAATTACCGAGTAGAAGGAAGGTCAAGCGGCGATGGCCGTGCGTGATGCTTTATACTTGCCCATGCCAAAGACCCAGCTTGCGTTTTGATCGATACCCTGCGCGTGATGTTATTGCGAAACAGCGCCTTTCCCATCCTGCAGTGATCTCATGTTGACTGTGCCTTGATCGCCCGGCCTCCTCGCGTCGTCTTTATGGCGACCGCCTGTCTCGGAGGACTCAGAACTCCGTGAAATATAGTTGCATGCCCTCCCCGCGGTACGACCGCGTCATTTCTCGTCACCTTTCTGTTGAGATTGGTCTCGCCTCCTCGATATCGAGATCCTCTTCGAGTGAATTATTCCAGGGCATGCGTTGAATCTTGGCGTGAGTGCATTAACAACGTCCCACTGCGATCCTTAGAGAGTGGTGGACAACCAAGGTCGGACCAATGGGTATAGGGCATATGGATTAGGGCGTCTTAAAAATATCCCGTGTTAGACAGGGGGCGTAAATCTGGTCATGGGATCTTTCAGCGTCATTTCGGAGAGATTCTCGCTAACAACCAAGGTGAAAATCGGGCAAACGAGCTACGAGGGATGGATATCGTGCCTTACCCACGGTGCTTAGATCAAAGATAGCGGAGGCGATACTAGAAGTCGTGCAGGCGACATCAGTGCATCACCCTGCCACTTCCCTCATGGTGCATTATGGTAGCACGGACAATATTCTTTACGTAAGACCATCTGTGACAAAAGCGAGTTCGTCTTAGTCACATGGGGTTAGTCCGCTTTGTTGGTGGTTGTTCTTACAGTCGCTCTGGAAGAACTGGCCGAAAAATTATCTGTTCGAGGTAGACTGGGTCAATACATCAGTATCTACGACTTTATATACTTCCAGAGTGCGGCGGCAGACAAGCAGGTAACTAAAAAGGGAGACATGAAGGGAAAGAAAGAAAGGGAATACAAGTAGCTAAATTCCGAGGCGTTTATCGGTCGTGTATGATCGTGAACCGTTACACTATCGATTATGAGAGAACCACCGTATCTGTGTAAGACCATTGAAGCTACTGGCTCACTACATCGTGGCAGGCGTAGGAGTTTCTCATCTGCGGGACTTGTTTAATTACGGCGGGACTAATAAGCTATTGAAGAACGTACTGTTGCAGGTTTGTGATGGCTTGTAAAACATGTGCCATCGTTGGGCGTGATGAGGCCTCATAATTCCAACACTTCACGCAAATAGCCCACCATTCGTCTGTCAGACGCGAACACGTTTTTTCATCGCTTGGGCGATCTGGTATTTCCATTCGGTACATTTTACTGATGATGATACTCCATGTGAATTGGTGCAACGGGACTTCGCGCGTAAACAACTCCTGCGTAGATTTGAACGATTGCATACGCGCGAAGAATTGACATACATACCAAGAGTGTCATCCCAAATGACCAGACATCAGCTTCTGTGGATATTTCCTTCCCGTCAAGAAAAACCTCGGGAGCCGTCCAATATATAGACCATACACCTTTGCCGGAGACAGTCATGCTGAACGTAGAATTAACAAGATGAGAAAAGCCGAAGTCAGTAACAAGAGCTCGGCCACTATCAGATATTAACACGTTGGGCTACGATAAAACCTCAGTCAAGTAGGGGCAGTTCTCGAAAACAGATAAACCTACGCCTTTCAAGTCGCCATGGAATACTGCACCTTCTTTGAGACTATGCAGGTACTGTAGTCCTCGTGCAATGTCTATCGTCTGAATGAAGGTGTTATTACAGTGATCCTGACCAGCGATTCTAATTCTACTTACCAGAGGACCAGGATCGATGTCCGTATTTTGCACGTACGCATGCGCATTTCCCTTTGCCATCCAGGGAGACACAATGGACACCGTTAGATCAATTTCAGTAGTGGTTCCTAGCACCACAACAATGTTTCCATGGCGGAGTTTCGACCAGAGATGTACTTCTTTAAAAACTCGCTATCCAGAGATGATCAATAACGCTGTGGTATTTTATTAGCACACGATGACTGTTGAACCTACCCTAATCATACGCTCGTCGCTTGAAAGACCACGTGCTGCCTTTATAGCTACCCTTGTTTGGCAAGTTGTTCCATGGCATCGCAGAATGCCTGAATACACTATGGCATTCCCTCCACATAGAATAGTGCAGTTATCTTCTTTATTGACCTGTCCGTTCAGGTTAATGGCGTATCGAGATGCACGTTCAGCGAACTGTTTAAGAGTCTCCTGTGGATTGTTCATGGTGAGGCTCTGACTCTGGCATTTACTGAATAGCAGGGAGGTCCTGTGATGCTTTATACTCGTCCATGCGAATACCTGGCGGGATAAAGCCCATCAATCCCTCAGCATTTTGCGTGGCTTTCCGCAGACGCAACTTTCGTCTGATCGATACCCTATGCGTAATGTTATTGCGAAACGGTACCTTCCTCAAGCGCTGAGATAAGAGGATCCTAGTGAGGAAGCGCAAAGTTGCGCTTGGCTTCCACCCCATGATCGAAGAGGCGTCCGTTGGAAGGGATAAACCTTATGATTTGACGTTCAACACATGCGGACCCTGAAAGGAAGCTGATGGTGTGAATCAAGGGATGATGGAACTTGGTTGGACAGAAGGCTATGATGCCTAGAGGAGCTCCGGACTAAGAGACATGCCTCGAACGCTCCTCCCCAAGCACCCCTGCGAATAAGGTAACTAGGCGGATCTCCGTGAACGGTACACACCTATTAGAGAATCGAACAGACGGAAAAGAACTGCAGTGCAATATCGGACCTCACAGGCGACGATAAATATAATCAGAAGATTTTTTACCAGTTCCAGTGGCACAGTAACACAGCACATATCAGAACATGTGGAAAAACACGTACCATGAGCCCATACCTGAAAGCACCTTCCAAATAATTTGACCAACTTGAACCACGTCGGACAATGGCGGGGTGGTGTGTGGTCTTGTTTGTCACTCATATCTGTTCGTGTCCCGTCTTTGTTGATTGGCCGAACATGCTTCATGATTCCCTAGTGAGGGCCAGCGAAACGTCGCCTTTTTCATATCGTACAGGACCAAAAAACCACTGCGAAAAACTGGACCTAAACTCCCGGTGAAGGTGTGGCAGTCACGATCCGAAACACTGACCGATTGACTTGTTCTTCTCAATGCCCACGTGTAGTTGGCCAACTGGCGCTGGCATGAGGTGAGCGAAACCTAGTGGAGCCCCTCTCCAGCTTGTCATGGAGTTACTCGTGTTTCGCCATGCTCCCCAGATTGGATTCGAAATTATGTATCGTCCACACACCAGAGCTTCGTTCATGCATTCCCTACGCCCTCTCTAGCCATGATCAGGCTTGAGATCTTACCGCGTTTCACAGCTTTGTCTCTGACATACGCGGACCAATCTTGTCCCATGGTTTAAATGGATTCCAGCTGTACCAATTATGGTGTTATCTCACCCTTCGAATGTTTGATCAAACGAGCCTAGACCTCGTTCCCTCGTATTCACTCTTCCAAAGAAGTCGCTGTCTGCACAAGCACCCCAATATACAGCCGTCCTTAGCGGAAGGACTGACCGAAATACCACCCAACATCCACTTGTCTGTGAATCTGCAGATGTACACGAGGGAACGTTGCAACCACAGGGAATGAAGTCGTACTGAAGGCCGTTCACGCTTGCCCTCCCGCCACTTAGGAGGCCATCGAGGTCCGTCTCCCAATCATGTCCGTGCGTCTAGCTCACCGCGCTGTAACGCGTTCTACGAGAAGTCCGTTTGTGATCGAATCTTCGTCACGACATTATAGAGTCACTGCTCGGAATTTCGACCAATTTCAACATTACCGTCCCCTTAATTCATCCCTAGATAGAAAAAAGAAATGTGTTTGACTATGTCTAGGATAGGTCTGTTAATCCTTGCCTCTTGGCAAGTTCGTGGTGGGCTGGAGCAACCGAAGCAGTCAATGGGATCGCGAGCGGGCTGTGCAGCCTCACGTGAGCTGGTGGTCTGTGGACACCTTTCACAGACCAGCTGCGTCGCAGTGCGGCTTGGCGATAGTCAGGCGATGACCCGGTCAACGGTGCATCGCACGAATGGCTTCTAACAATGTGTCGGTTTGACTCGCGCTTATCGTCATCCCAAACCAGTATACACTTGTAAACCCCTAAAATATCCGGTAATTCATATCCCTTAGGACAGGCTGTAGTTTTGTGATTGGAACGACTCGCGACAATCTGGCAACTTACAAGCGGAGCAACAAGATGTGGCAGCAATAACTTGTCGCCGCTTACTGATGTTCTGTGCAACCACCTGGAGCCCTGAGGTTCAAAAAATCGCACTCAAATACTTACCGATAGGCCCCCAGCCTGTCTGGCTCTGTAGCGACTCGATCAACATTGAACGAGGTTCTCGTGTGGCACCAGCGTGTTACTTCGGGACCGCCAAAATTTTGGCCATTCCCCAACCTGTTTGGGCATTTTCCAAAATTCTGCTCGTGCAAAATGCTTCTATTGATCACAAATATGCGTAATCTGCACAAAAAGTGAATCCCAATTCAATCCCCAAATTTGTTGACTTGGACTGTCCGCAACTAAAGTCCAGCCCGAAATGATGTCCGCGGGGTGGCCCCTCTCGTTCTCTGACTGCATCCATCAGCCGTGTCAGATGCATTCGCTGTCATCTCATTCGACGTACGTTACAGTGCGCCATCTCAAATCCCGTACTTACACTCACTGTCACTCTTAGGATATCAAGGGTAACCAGAATAAGCTAGGGTCCGGCTCATTTGGCAACGTCTACAGAGGGATGTAGCGCAAATTTACCCACAACGCCATTCCAAACACTCATCTCTACATCTTATCAGGCTCCTACCTCGGCATTAAGGTCGCGATAGGCAAAGGAGTTTATCATCTGCAGGACTTGGTTAATTTAAGATGGGCTGGTAAAGAATTAAAGGGCATGCCATTATATGCTTGTGATGATCTGTAAAACATCTGATATCATTGGGCGCGACGAGGGCTCAACATTCCAACATTGGCGGCAGATATCCCACCATTGGTCTGTCAGACGCGAACACGTTTGTTCATCGCTTGGGCGATCTGGTGTCTCCATTCGGTACATTTTACGCATGATAGCGTTCCGTGTGTACTGGTGGAACGGGACTTCGCGCGTAAACAACTCCTGTGAAAATTCGAACGATTGCGTACGCGCCCAAAAGCGACATGCATACCAAGAGTGTCATCCCAAATGACCAGACATCAGCTTCTGCGGATATATCCACTTCATCAAGCAGAATTTCGGGAGCTGTCCAATATATGGAAAACCCAACTTTGCCGGACACGGTCATGTTAAACGTAGAATTGGCAAGATAAGAAAAGCCGAAGTCAGCGAGAAGGGCTCGGCCCCTATCAGAAATTAACACGTTGGGCTACGATGCAACCTCAGTCAAGTAACGTCAGCCGTCGAAAACAGGCAAACCTACGCCTTTCAAGTCACCGTGGAATACCGGGCCCTCTCTACGGGTATGCAAGTATTGTAGTCCTCGTGCAATGTCTATCATCTGAATAAAGGTATCATTACAGAAACCTTGACCAGCAACGCCAAATCTACTTACCAGAGGACAAGGATTGATAGCCTTATTTTTCACGTATATATGTGCATTTCCCTTCTCCATCCAGGGAGAAACAATGGATACTGTTAGATCAATTTCAGTGGTGATTCCTAGAACTGGAATAATGTTTTCATGGCGGAGTTTCGACCAGAGATGAACTTCTTTGAAAACTTGCTACCCAGCGACAATCAATAACATTGCGATGTTTTATTGGCACACGATGAGTGTTAAGCCCACCTTGATTACACGCTCCTCGCCTGGAAGACCGCCACGTGCCGCCTTTATGGCAACCCTTGTTCCGCCGGGTCGCAGAATGCCTGAATACACTATAGCATTCCCTCCGCGTAGAATAGTGCAATTTTCTTCTTTACTGATCCGTTCGTTCAGGTTAATGGCGTATCGAGATGCATGTCCAGCGAACTGCTTAAGAGTCTCCTGTGGGTTGTTCATGGTGAACCTCCAACTCTAGCATTTACTGAACGGAAGGGAGACCAAGTAGTGGCCGAGTGTAGTGACGAAGCGAAGGCTGACTCCTTACACCGTATGATGCTTTATACTCGACCATTGGAGTGCCTAGCAGGGCATGAGGGCATGGCCCGTCGGTCTCTGCATGGCATGCCGCAAACGCAGTTTACATCTGATCGATACCCTATGGGTAACACTTATTGCGAAACGGTACCGAATTCCTCAGGGGTTGAGATAAGAGGGTGGAAGCGAGCACAAGTCATGCTCGTTCCCACCCCACGACTCAATGAGGCGACTGTTGGAGGGGATAAACCTTATTTTTTGACTTTCGAGTTTCGACACACACGGACCCTGAAAGGAAGCCATGGTATCAACCACGGGATGACTGGATGGAGGGATTAGTAGAGAGGCCAATGAGATGGCTCCCTGGACTAAGAGGCATATATCGAACAGTTCCCCCGAGTACCTTTGCGGAATGATGAAAAGCAGGTTACTAGCTGAATGCCACATGCATTCGAAAGACGAAAAAGAATTCAGTGCAGTGCGCCAGAATTGGTTTGGACCCAAGTTAGACCTAATGATGATAATCAATGGATGATGTCTTAGCAGTTCCAGCAGCACAGTAGCGAAGCACATACAGATTGTTCCACAAGGACGCGTTCCGCGAGTTGTACCACGAGTCCATATTGCAAATGGTTTCAAACATATCCATCAATAGGAGGATGACCATAGGCTTGGCGAAGACCTGAGGCCTGAACTTCCAATGGAACCCTTGCCGCGTTCTTCTCATCGAGCACGTGTAGTTGCCAACTGACGCCAGCACGAGGTGAGTGAACGTGAACCCCCGTGACCATGGCTATTCTCTCCAGCTGGCGGATGATCGCGTCTGTGATAAGATTGTGCAGTTCCGGGTTTTTAGTCTTTATTATGTAAGGATCAAGTAAGGATCCGAACCGTTCGTACGACCAAAGCATAAGTTTACGCTATGACCATCTTGGACAATTACCCTACACCAGCCCACCCCCTCCTGACTGGGAAGAAGCCTGGGCCTGAGACTTATCATGACGTTGCACAGCTTGCTCTCTAAGATGCTTGGATTAATCCCTTGCCATGCACTCCAGTTGTTTGTCAACATTTCGGTCTTGGAATGTTTGGTCAACTGAGCCGAATTCTTGTTCTCTCCCGAAGGGGAGGTCCCCCAGTCCTTCGTATATAGGGTATGGAGTACCGAGGGTTGCTGATGGCGCTAAACTCCTCTGCCTACCATGGTGTTATTGGACTCGAAATCTGCGCTGAAGTCATTGTCTGAACAGGCTCCCCGGTATACAGTCGTCCTTAATGGCAGGATTGACGGAGATACCACCCGACGTCCACTTGTCGGTGAATCTGCGGACGTGTACGAGGGGACTTTGCGACCAGCGGGCGTGAAGGTTGCAGTGAAGACCATTCATGCTTACCCTCCTGCCACTCAGGAGGCTATCGAGGTCTGCATCCCAATTCTGTCTGTGCATCTAGCTCATCGGGTGTAGCGCGTTCTACGAGAAGTACATTTGTGGTCGAATCTCCGTCACGAAAACATACAGCTGCTGCTCGGAATCTCTACCGATTTCAACCTTACCGTCTCCTTAATTCATCCTTGGATTGAAAAAGGAAATGCGTACAACTATGTCCAGAATAGTTTAGTTGACCCTCGCCCTTTGGTAAGTCCGTGATGAGCTACAAACCTGGAGCGGTCGATAATGTCTACCGAAGCTGCTTGGGATCGCGAACGGGTTGCATTACCTGCACAATCATGAGTTTGGTCCTATTGTGCATGGAGGCCCCAGAGGGGTAAGTTTGTGTAATGCTCATATCGTGGGCTGTACTGACGCCTTCATGCGGCAGTCCAATGTCCTCATCTCTGACGACGGGCAGGCTCTCCTGATCGATTTTAGTCTCATGTCGCTCGTCAACTCGACATTTGGATTGCCTGTCAGTGTTTCCCGCATGGCGGCAATAAATTGGACAGCACCCGAATGTCTAGAAGGACCAAAGGCCGCGGTAGAACAAGATATCTGGTCCTATGGCATGACAGCCTTGGTGTGTTTTTTTTCAATCCGCTTAATGTCTGTTTTGAGTTCTAATGCAGCGCATTATGGCGGGACCACCAGACAGGCCAAATGCACAGTCTACACATTCCCGTTTAACGGATGAGTGGTGGGAAATATGTATGTCGTGTTGGAACCGCGATCCGTCCGCACGTCCAGGCATCGCGGATATCGCTACAAGGATTGCTGCAAAATCAGGAAAGAAGTGATGACTCTTCCATTACGTTTCTTCGCCGGCCATACCAGCGCTCCCCGAAGGTCCTACAAGGACTGCACTGACAGTGAATATTGCCTCCGGTGATTGTTAGAGGGAGAAAGCTTCTGGCCGAGTTGTGGTTTCATCCTATGTGATACATGGCTTTGTTTGTCTTGCGAATATGTAGCTTCTAGCCACTTGATTTTAGTCGAACTCCGTAGTATCTCTGAGCTGGACGGACCCCTTCTATGCCCCGATGCACTCTGCTGCTCGAAGCTCCAAGGTCCTCTATTGAAGTTGCTAGGCTTCCTTGCCGACTTGCGGCATGGAATTGTCTCGGATTCCAATAACGCTGTTCACTTACACTCGCATCGTGTTCTGCCACCTCGCTGCTTCTCAACAGCATGACATAAGATCCGAGTTGTTATCTGCCTCCCAGAGGGCAGAGGAAGCGTCCGTCAATGCGGGATGCTCACCTTGTCCAAGAGCCAACGAAGAGATGAAGAAGTCGTGGCTGCCAAGACAATCCTAGCTGCCCCACGTACACACCTCATGTGAACTCTCCTCCCAAATCCAGACTGCACTGCAGTAAACGGAGAGACTGGTGCTTGTATAAAGACCGGGCAGTGCACCACTGCCAGTGCAGCCTCACGTGGTAGTCTTGATTTCGGTGGACACCTTTCACAAACCGGCTGCGCCGCAGTACGGCTTACTGAGAGTCGGACAACGGCCCGGCCAACGGTGGCATCGCACGCTTCCAACGATACGTCGGTTTGACTCGCGCTTACTGTCGTCCGTGAGCAGTATACACTTGTACACACCTAGGATATCCTGTAGATCATGTTCCTTGGGACAGGCTGTAGTCTCGTGACTGAAACGTCTCACCATAATCTGATAGTTTACAAGCGCAGCAGCAAGGTGTGGCAATAATAATCTGTTGCCGCTGGCCTGTTCCACCACCCGGAGCCCTGAGATTCAAAAAAAAATCGCACCCAAACACCTACCGTTAGGCTGTCTGGCTCTGCAGCGACTGGAGTCCGTCAATTGAACGAGGTTCTCGCGAGGCACCGGCGTGTTATCGGCATAGTACCGGCAATCCCGTGGGAAGGCATGCCGACGGCGTCACTTTTGCCGAGACTGTCTCGGCGGACGTGCTGATTGGATCTAGGAGCTCCTCCGCAGCCAAGTACAATACAGCCTTTTGATTCCAATATATATTGTGACGCCAACCACTTTTTGTTCTCCCATCCAGCCATCATCGACATCGTCCAGCGCTAGTAAAACCTTGCGGTGCGAGGTTTCCATTCCGCAGTCAAGTCGTGTTTCATCTTCGACTGTGACCGCCACCCTCTCCCATTTTTCTTGCTTTATCTGTTTCTCTCGTATATATTTCACCAATGTTGTCTTCTGCGTGGCTACTAGTCACTGTATTGCTTTCGTCAAGCTATTGTGTCGCTGCACCCGGTCCGAAGCCTATTACTGCTGGGCAATCCATTAGTCTTCAACGCAGGACTCCGTCTGCCCGGTCCGTCGAGGACTGGGGTGCTTGGGCGCAGAATGAGCGCGAGTTTCTAACGAATAGATATGGAGGTACAGTCTCGAAGAAGAAGAGGAGTGAAGGTAGTAACTTGTGAGTTGATCTCCGCACGCACTACGTCATCGTCTAATAACAACCGATTCCCCCAGGTTAACTAACCAAAATGCGGACTCGAGGTAAGGATTCAGTATTCCGACTGTACTCTTGCTTCCTTTGAACGCTCTTGTTGAATAGTTTCTATGGTTCATTAGCCATCGGGACACCACCTGTGTCCTTTGACGTCATCCTTGACACCGGTTCAGCGTGAGTCTCCATCGGGTCCGATCCGGTCTAAATTGACATTGCAAATACAGAGACCTCTGGGTGGCAGACGTTAGCTGTACAGTAGACTGCTCGCGGGTTGCAGTATTCGATGCAACGTCCTCTTCGTCATTCAAGAACCTCTCTCAACCATTCTCCATCACGTATGGCAGTGGAGAGGCAGCGGGGAGTCTTGGACAAGACGTCGTCCAAATGGCCGGATTCTCCGTGTCAAATCAGGTCTTTGCAACTGTAGATCAGGTCTCTAGTGGTCTTTTGACTAGTCCGGTGTCTGGATTGCTCGGTCTTGGATGGCAGACTATTTCCTCGTCGGGATACGCACCTTTGTGGCAAACATTGGTTAGCAGTGGCGCTTGGACGGATCCTCTCATGTCGTTCCAGTTAACTCGGTATGGACTTGATCCTCCTCGCGCAACGTGCATCTCATGCCTTTCTGAAGTTTTATTAACGCCTCTAACGTGCAAGCGAACTGAGCCTGGTGGAACATTCACAATGGGTCAGTCATCTTTGCATCCTCATCGGCAACATGTTATTCTTACCCAGGAGCTCCTCAGGTTTTGTAAATTCCAGCCTTTACACTGGATCAATTGATTACCAGGACCTCGTCGCAACGCCCTCGTTCTGGCTTCTCTCGTTGACCTGTGAGTCCCAAACCCGCCATATGATATTCTTGTCACTTACCACCCTGTAGCCATGACTGTGCAAGGAACAAGCATTACCATCCCGACTGGCTCCTCTGCGTATGCTGCTATCGACACCGGAACGACCTTGGTAGGAGGCCCCTCCAGCGCTATACAGAACATCTACGCCCAAATTCCCGGTTCTCAAGCCGGTACAGGGTCTTGGACAGGTTACTACTCTTACCGTACGTGACGTCTACGTTTCCCTCAAGCCTCACCCAACCTAAATACGTGCTGCGAACAGCATGCGATACACAAGTTAACGTCGCAATCTCGTTTGGCGGCCCCAGTTGGTCAGTTAGTCCGGCCGACTTCCAGTTGACTCAGATTTCCTCCTCGGACTGTATTGGATCGTTCTTTGAGTTGTCTTCGGGAAGTGGTGCACCGAGCTGGGTTGTCGGCGACACTTTCTTGGTTAGTGTTGTTTCTGGCTCGCCCACCCGGAGCTGGACTGATGGTGGCCTCGGCCATAGAAAAATGTCTATTCCGTATTCAGATATAATCCCGCGGCGGTCGGGTTTGCTCAGCTATCAGAAACGGCTCTTGCAATGAACGGCGTCAACGGTGACCCGCCGTCGGCCACGATCGGTTCCGTTCAAGCAACCGCAACTGCCGGCGTCAGTGGCAGCTCTAACTCTGCCAACAGGTTGTCCGTGAACGCCGGGGCCGTCATCGCCGCGTTGGTACCCGTAATCGGTGGGGTGTTGCTATAGCCTCACTTGAGAGTGATGATCTGTATAGATTGATATTAATGTGGGCAGGGGACACGTGTATCTCACACTTGTATTATTTCAACCATGCTTAATGCCTCTTGTATGCTTCGTTTAACGGACAGCACATAACTCAGTAGTGGTAATAGGTATCAACGGAATTTATATGGATCTTTTCGCTGCATGGGTCGGACCTCCATTCAAAAGAAAGATAAATATTTAGAATACAATAAAGTACTACATCCCGAGATACGATCAGCCTAGGGAGCTGACCATCTAAGAACGCTCGCCACGCAACCGCCGTGCAAGGGCAAGGTCCTTGGGTTGGATAGTAACACGCTTAGCATGGATAGCAGCAAGGTTGGTATCCTCAAACAGTGAGACAAGGTATGCCTCGGATGCCTCCTGCAATGCCATCACCGCTGATGATTGGAAACGCAGGTCGGTCTGAAATACGTGCATTAGCATGAGGGTGATAACGAAACAAGAAAACAGAAGGCTAACCTTGAAATCCTGAGCAATTTCACGAACGAGACGTTGGAAGGGAAGTTTACGAATAAGAAGTTCCGTCGACTTCTGGTACCGACGAATTTCACGCAACGCGACCGTACCAGGACGGAAACGATGAGGTTTCTTCACACCACCAGCAGGCTGCCATTCCAACTATTAGCACTAAGGCTACTATAGTCGCCAGTAACACTCACAGCGTGAATGGTCTTTTTGGACCCGGCCGACTTAGCAGCCAATTGTTTACGAGGGGCCTTGCCTATAACAAGCCATTGAGCTTGAGTCACCTTCAACGACAGATGTCACTTACCACCGGTGGTCTTGCGAGCTGTCTGCTTGGTACGAGCCATTTGTGTGTAGTTGACTTGACTGTTTTGAGAACACGCAGGAGGGCCGGGGGTATTTATAATGGGCGGTCGCGTCGCGCTGGTCACGTGCCATCCGCGTCCATTTTCAATCAACAAACTCTTTTCGGTAAATTCAGCACAGCCACACTCCCGACCCAATATATATAGTCTGGCAGGAAGACAAAAGCCAAGTAGGCTATCGCACACCGTCTTATCTGTCAATCAACAACCAACCAAACTTATCTACATCAAACATGTCTGGCCGTGGCAAAGGTGGAAAGGCAAGTTTGCATTCATTCCAACTACAGGACAAGTGCTAACCTTCAGACAGGGTCTTGGAAAGGGTGGTGCCAAGCGTCATCGCAAGATTCTTCGTGACAACATCCAAGGTAAGCTAAGCTGCAGAGCAAGGACGCAGTCTGACTGGGACATAGGGATAACAAAGCCTGCAATTCGTCGTCTTGCACGTCGTGGTGGTGTGAAGCGTATCTCTGGTCTCATCTACGAAGAGACCCGAGGTGTGTTGAAGATCTTCCTTGAAAATGTGGGTTGGGTGTTGTCATTGACTTGGCCTGTGCGCTGATAGGATTCTTATTAATTGTGCAGGTGATCCGTGACTCGGTCACATACACTGAGCATGCTAAACGGAAAACCGTTACTGCTCTCGATGTTGTCTATGCTCTCAAGCGCTCAGGGCGTACTCTCTACGGTTTCGGTGCATAACCGGTATTGAAGCTTATTGGTAGCTGGGTTATGTATGAATGCATCTTGTAGTGTACTGTAATATTATTTGTTGTCTGGAACGAGCGGTTCAGCTCTTCATTATGTCGTCCCCATCAAAGACCAAGTCGCAGTTAACGTTATTGCGATACCAACTGATGCCACTAGCACTATTACGACGCCTCCTTCAACACCTGTTGAACAAATGAAAATCCAGGCATACCGACAATTGATACGTAAATCCACGTTCCTAGTTCCCAATACTGTAATCTGTATGGAATAAATAGATTCAAGAAAACAAGAGAAAAGAAAGATCACTCCACGTGTCCGTACAAATCAATATAAATAAGACATCTTGAGAGATTACTTGCAGCGGAGTCAACCAACAAAGTCTATGTCGTTACTTCGCTCTCATCCACGAATATATCTGTGTAATGTTCCAATATAGTCTCGATAGCCTGGGCAGAGCATCCGTCAGTTGATATTCGCCGTAAACCTTGGTTTGGTCCTTACCCTGTTCTGATAAGGCGCGTCCGCCATGGTAACGTTCGCATGACCAGATGTACTTCCGTTACCGACTTGGCCGAAAAGCGTTGGACCAAACACAATGGCCAGATTCTGAATCGACATGGAATTGTCTCCTTCATATCGAGCGATCCTGGAAGACAACATATAACCATCTTTATAACATGAAAAACGAATCCACGACTAACTTGTGAAGGTGTCCCATAAAGTATTTGAGGGTAGCATAATTCGGGTCTGGCAAGTCGTTGACCCGCTCGTGTAACCGGATGTGTCGCAGACGGTCGTTCTCGATTTCTGTAACGCAGGTCACAGATATGTAGAGGATGAAACATTTGGAATACTTACTAGCGGCATCAACGAAACCCTGGTGGAGATTAAAAGTAAGGACTGGTTCAGGTAATTCCCTAAACCACATCTTGAGGACACTGGTGACATTATTGATGTCTGTCGTCCACTCTTCCGAATCCAGGTCAACGGAGTTCATATCTTGAAGACGTAAGGAAATACGGCGGGTGATATCACAAAAGGGGGGTGCACATTACCTTTGTCGAGCCGTTCTTTGAGCATGCCAACCCTCCTAGCCATACCACTTATGCGATAGATGCCTTGGGAGCGAATGCCGTACTTTTCGATGGCAGCGCAGCACTTTTCCAGAACGGGGGGAAGCTCGACTTGATCCCGAGCCATTTGCTCGGCCAGGTCAACTCCAAAGGTGGGCCGGCCACGATCAGTTATCTGAGTATTCCCATTCACCACACTTTGCGGCGGCTGCGCTGCAGCATAGCTTGCATTGTGGGTGGGTAGAGGGGGAAGCTGATTAAAGTCAGTCAGTCACACAGGCACACAACGGGCATTAGGGTAACGCACAAAACCTTCCTCAGCAGGTCCCTCCCGCCTTGGTCCCCTAGCAGCTCCGCCACGTGCATATGCGTAGTTCTGCATATACGTCTTAAAATCCACACGGTTATCGATCGCATCGTATAGAGCCTTGAGACCAGCTCCTTCTACGAATACCTCAAAACCCCTCGCGGGAGTGACTTACAGAAGGGATGCGTACCTTCCTCTGGAGCGATGGGGACAAGGGTTGATCCGTCACTGAGGACAATACTCTCAAACAGAAAGGCATATCTTGTGAGGTGATATTTTGTCCCTAAATCAATTTCATCAACACACTCCTTCAACGCCTGGGGTGAAAACCTATCAACACGAGGATAATTAATGTGTTGCGCACGACACTAACCCGCAGAATTCGAGGCAATTGGAAATTGAAGTACTCTTGTCGCATTGCTTGGGTATCGTGCAAGGCCTTACGATAAGAATCGGACGCATTGGACACACGTAACCGGATATCATCCTCTTGCCGCAAGATCTAATCACCGATAAGTCAACATCAGAAACATCGGAGGAAGTAAAACCAGGACGTTTACATTCGGATTCTTGCCCTTGAGCAACAAACCACCCTTCGCCACAGCCTTGCCAAGTACCCGCTTACTCCCAAGTACGCCTGGTTTGGCCTGCACAGCACTCTCGCTGAATGACTCCCCTTCCTTCTGCAGTAGCACACGTTCTAGCTCCTCAGACGAGACATCCAGGCGGGCTTTACTTTTTTCCATGTTAATTTCCGCCTCCTGCAATGCGCGCTCGTACCGGCTCGCCAGCTCCTTCGTCTGAGCGACAGCGTCAACACAGTATACGGCGATCTGGGATGTAGTAGACAAACCTGTTTTCTGTTCTTATCTACCTCCTTTGCCAGTGAGGCCAGTTCCTCGCTCATTTCATTGAGCCGATGAGCAAAACGAATCCTATTTTCCGCCATCAGCTCATGTAGCCGCATAGACGACTGCCATGCAGTGACAAAAGACCTAGTATCCAAGCGTAGTTAAGAACGAAGTCACATCATACTGAATTTATTCTACGTTACCCCGCTTTACCGTCGTTCATGGAGTAAACTTCGGAGGTACTTCGGGCGAGCTTCTGTAGACTCTTGCCATACTCTTCTTCCAGGCCCGCCCTCTTCTTGAAGAATGCTGATGCTTCCTGTGCGATATGTGAACGTCGAAATTCGTTGGGATGGGCAGCTACTAACCCGACAAGATACAAGACTCTGCTTTATTCGATCCAATAGGAGAGGGACACCACACTATCCGGAACCTCAATAATAGCTGGAACATGAACGATATGTGCTTACATCAAGTTCACACAGCGCTCTCAGAACGTTCTCATCAAAACTTGGTTCAACCAAGCTGACGACGTCGCTAGGAATGGTAGACAAGGTATCTCGCCGCTCAACGGTCAAGGGTATACTCTCTCGATGCCTAGACACAGGTGACCGGACTGGGGAGTCCAAACTTGATCTTGGGGGAGGCGATGATGGTTTCAGGGATACTTGGGTGAGCGTTGGGGAAGTGACGCCTTCCTGTATTACCGAGTGGTGGCCTAGAGAAGTGACACCATCGGCCGGATTGCTTGAGTCTGAGTGATCGGCAGTAGATTTCCGAGCCGGATAAGCGTCGTCGCCCATGGCTACATTCACTGCCAACTAGGCGGACGGGCGAGCAGGGACTTCGCTGTAGACTCGCCGCTTTGGTTCCTGCAACGTTGGCGTGACCAGCTGTCTGGTCCAGAAACCGAGTGATTACATAATTCTGCTTCATATTGGCCAGTGTTTTTCACACGCAATTCCAGGCTTCGATCACAAGCCTCGTTTTTGCAAATAATTGAACTGTCGATAGTACGAGCACTGGACAAACACGGAGAGTAGATTGACACCAATATATCGAAACATGAGCGGTAGTGGTACATAATCCATTGTGGTAGTTCTGTCACTGCACAGCAATTACCGTAAAGGACCCTCAATTCGGAATACGAAGACACAACAAACTCATTTATAGAGCCACGAGGCCAAGTTCAGAAACCGTTAATATGCCCCGCACACCGAGCGCATGGCCCCGCGACCGTGTCCATGATGAACTCCTGATCAGGCCGCATGCTAGCAATATTTCATCAGTCAGCTACCCTCCTCTTCCTTGACAGATTGGGTACCTCTGGGAACATTCCACGAGGCAATTGTGGGGATTTGGATTGTGTGATGCACTGCAGCGACAGTCCGACCTGTTGCAGTCTACCTACTCGGTGACCGTTCCATACATCAGATTGCAACAACATGGAATGGCTTGCTCGTACCCTTTGCTGTCTTGCAATGGAGGTGCAACCGCAGCCGAATTCAGTGAGCTGAGTGATTCGAAAGCACATCGTGATGTCGAATGGAGAGTGGTGTGTACAAGAGATCTGTCGCTGCTGGGCTCACCCTGGTATGACCACAGCTTTTAAGTACTCCAGACATCGCAATGATACCCCAGAAGATCGGGTGAAATCTAGGAAGTTCGTATGGTTTTGGGTTGCAGGTGAGACCTACCACGATGCACGAACCTGCCGCCGCGAACCAATAAAATGAGGCAAATCACCGCTGTATCACAATCAGTTGCACGGCCTCCACGAACAATCATGCATGTTGTTTGATGAGCGGGTTCAATACGACATCAACCACCAATTGAGAGTCACGCATGGTCACCAACCCCTCGTTGTCCAACCAGAGTACCACTTCAGTATTCAAAATTCCGCGCCAGCAATCGGGGACTTTCAGTGACATGCGTAAGGGATTCCTGGAATTGGCTGCGATGGAACGAAGTTGCGGCACCATGCTTGCGTCGCGGAACTCAGCTGCACACTCTTGAGTGTGGTCGCGTGACGCGCGGGACAGGGTAAGCGGACGATATTCGCAAGCCAAACGTCACAATTGCCTTGTTTTTCTACATCGTTCCACCATCAATGTCCGACATAACAGAACTTAGGAAGTGACAACCTCCAAAATGGGTAACATCTGGCGCTGCATAAATTTAGTTCAGCCATCGAAGACGACCCCGTGGTGGGGTGATGCGACATCCACGTACACAGATAACAGCGAAAAGCCGAACAGAAAACGCACCAATGGCAGAAAGCTAGACCCCCCGCACAGTGATGATCAGATCCAGCACAATACGTCATGTCCGTCGGTAATTTTGGGTCTCCAGTCGGTGCCCCACGCCGAGCACAACAAGAACAAATGTGACACCAGGACTCACGAACGCAGCAGATCGCAGGGGGTATTTGAAGCAATTAAAGCTCTCGGAAATGAAAGTGTCCATGAAGCCGACCCCGGTGGCAATGTGAAAAGCAAATTCATCTAGAACGAAGTGGAATACAGCAACCTCATACTGTAGGATCCACCATTCTGCGAACCGTCTGGGTACCACCTGTGCCGATCATAGCGCACCTGGCAAAGTATTTCGCCAAGGCAAAACGAACCAACTGCAGCTGCTTCTGGGAGTCTTTTTGCCCATCGATTTGGAGTTTAGATTCCAAAATTTTGAGATAGTCTTCGCCTGCCCCTTGTGCTGTCCTGGAAATGATTTCGTCCAAATCTCGCAACAGTGTGCATGCGCTTGCGTACGAGAATAGTGGAGTAGGGTCTCAAGAACGATCGCATCATTCACTCCTCTGACTGAGACGACCAATAACTCACCATACTGGAGCAACTCAATGGCATCACAAAGTAAGACCGCCCACCAAGCCTTCGGTGCAATGCCTTCCTGAAGCATAGACACCAGATCCCAAGCGGCATCTTGAAGGTCTCTATTCAACAGTCGTTGATGGAACTCGGCATATCGCACAGCAAACATCAACCGATGGATGAAGACACCATGCGCTGCGGAGTTTGCGCGCAGCCCCTGCAAAGACGGGGCAATGCCAGATACGAACTTTGTGTACTGCTCCGGTCCTTAAAATCAAATTGTCAAACTGAGAGGTGTGACGTGAAGTTACGAGAAGCCTTACCTGAACGAATATACTCTTGCAGGACACGATCGATCACTCGACCAAGGCCCGGCCAATCTTCTGCTGAGGAATAGTATGATATTGCAAGGCCGTATTCCTTCCTTTGTACAAACGTCTGAGCAGCGATCTATGTGTGAAGCGTTAAGATCGGCGCCTCGGTAGACCGAGGAGATAACTGACTTTACAAACCGTCCTCCGCGCAGCTTCCCTTTGGTATTCGTGACAAGTAGCGTTGACGTCCTTCACAACTGCGGAGAGGTCACCTTGATCGGCTTGACTGTGACTACTGTCGTTAGTGTTTGAGGGCTTGCTTTGCAGTCGCAGAGGCACGCGAACCAGGATCTCGTCCGCAGCGGCGGCTCCCACTTTCCCACAAGAGTACATGTAGGAAACCGTGATCCTCCACATCGCGGGATCGGAGTGGAGGTAGTGGGTATAAGAAAGCACGTAGAACTCTCTAACACTGAGCTCCGACCTGCAGGCAAATAAAGCAACCGATTTTGCAAATTAAGTGACAATTTACGCACTCATCATTCACCGCCTGTTGTTCTACTAATGAGAGCGGTTCCATCATATCCGCCAAATGGGCAGAAAGCCATGGATCAAGTTGTGCAGCATGTTCTAGTGCTTTTAATGGATCTCCCATGAAAAGAGCCACGTGGACCATATCTTCTAAGATGGTGGGATCAGGGGGCATGTCTTCTAGCACCTGAGCAACAACGTCCCTGGGGGGCAGAATCAGCATCCCTGAGAAAAAAATTTTGAGTTCATAATCTTACGGTAGATCCTGGCGCCGAAGTCTCGTGTCCACAAAGACGCCCCAGGCAACGCAAACCTCTCTCCAGTCTGCCCCGAGGTCTTCGCACACCTTCCGTATCACCTCCTCACGTCCCTCTAAAATACCAACAATATCGCTGAAGCGATCCCACCAATCCTCGAAGCTGTCTCGTCTGTCAGACTCGGGAACATCGTCAAGCTCAATGCGGAGCATCTTGACTTTCTCTCTCCACCGGTGGGAAGCATACGCAAAGTCGCGTTCAGCATCAAAATGTTGGAGTTTTGGTTGGGTGGAAAGTAAAGGAATGATGCTTTGGGCCAATCTCCGCAAATTCCCAGATGGGTGCTCCGCCAACGTCCCCAAAAAGAAGGCCACTGCCTTGGGAAGTCCCCGTAATATAGCCCTATATCACATCCAACAAACCATAACATGAGAACAATAAACGTACTGACCTAGTTAAATATGGCCAAAAGGTTTCGTCTTCCCACGGGCGCTCCAAGCCAGACAGATGATCACCTTCTTCAGTAGAAGGTTCGATGAAGTGGATGTTAAGCCACTCCATCAAATCGTCACCAACGGGTGCATTTTCCATTCCATACTCGGGCAAGTAAAGAATGGTAAAGAGCGACAAGCAAGTATACAAACTCCTGTAATGATCAGCGTCTGCCTGATCTATTTCCCCTGCCATTCGCTGACAAAACGGTTAGCAACATGCAATGCCTAGGTTCAAAGCACCCACGGATGTATGTATCCAGCATTCCCTCGCAAAATTAACATAATCCAATGCTAACTTTCGGATGCTACGTTGAATACTTTCTTGTTGGGTCCTTTTACGTCCTAAATGGTCTGCACGAACAGTAGCTAGAGGCGCACTTACGAGTATACACCATTCTTATCCACCGTTTTGGTGAGGTTTTGCATCGCAGCAAAGATGATAGAGGTATCTCCAATGAACTGAAGGAAGCGTTGATGAGGCACTGCATCAGGCATCAACATGACTCACTAAACGGCGTTCTGTAGAAGGTGGAGGCTTTGAGCTAACAAAATAGACATTTTGTTCATCTGAATCGGTGGGTTTTGGTCGCGTGGACAGCTTCTCGAACTGGGGTGACTATATTGAAGAGATTTGGCAACAAATGAGAGCCACGTACTAGTGGAACTAGGAACACAGCGTATGAATCATTCAAAGGCGATACGGCTGTGAAGAGTGTCCTTCCAGACTCAACCAGTTCATCGGTTTTCCCTGCTTCGACCAAGGGTGGCAGGACGTCCAGGTGAGGGGTAGATCGCATCGCGTGAAGCCAAGCGCTTGCGCCGCGAAAAAATGAAGACTTCGCTGTCGTGACGTGCTACTTCGTAGCTGTGGTTTTGAAAGACCTTATCCGATACTCCAGTAGGGCTTCAGCTTCAGGCGCTAGACCCGACGACTCAAGTCCTGAGCTGGAGGTGATCTTGCTTGGAGGCAAATGAACCAGAAGTTACGGATTATGTCAGCACTGATGCTACCGTTCCTGGCCCGTGGCGATGGCTCCACTGGGTGCTCGTATTGTACTACGCTTCCTCCCCCGAAGCACCCGGGGAACAGATTGTCCAACCACCGACAGGTTGGAGCCTTGTACTTAATCCCCGATTTCCCGCCCCTTTGATGTAAAAGAACACTAGGACACGCGCCACTAATGGTAGACTCATTGCAGCTTCATTCGCCTAGCACGAGGCCAGCTACATCAACAGCAGAGGATACAACCCTGTGAACTCCTTTCCTACCGCGAATGATCATCGCCGGGGTGGGGTGTTCCAGCCAGGAGACGTTGGACCGCTTCAGGGAAGTGCATAGCACAAAGTATGATGCCCTCAACTCTGCAGCAAAACACATGCAAGTCACGCACCAGATCTCCTGATCTGAGCGGGCGCCTGGCTCGGGTTTGGGGCGCAATTTACGGCGCACACTCGCATTTTTTTCTCAACACACTATCTGGGCTGCAACCAGGTGTGTGTTTTCAATGTATTCTGTTTATGGGTTTAACGCGTTGCATCTTCTAAATCGTCATTCGGGGCAATGACCTTGAAAGTAGGATGTCCGATACTTTACCGTGCCGAGGGTCGTGCGATTCCCGAGCTCATCACATACCGCGATGTAGGCAGATTAGCGGTTTTCCTAAAAGGGAAAAGTATCGATGATCGTAGAGAACCATGGTGGTGCGCCAGACTGTCGGCGCATGGTACTGCGGGTGGCCATCAGCCATCTCCAATAGCTACCATCTGGATTTGTGAGTGGGGACCTGTGTCAAATTGTGCAATTTAGGGTCAGCTAACGTCATCTACGCACACCCGTACCAGGACTTTGGGCTTTCGACGCGTTGATGGGGTCGGAAGTCGATTTTTTGGGTACGATAAGCTTGGAAAGGTCCACACACGTTTCACCTGCCCATGAATGGTGACGGGGCACCAGTGTAATGTCAGAGGGTCCGCCCTCTTCTTGTAAAGAGGGGGGGCTTGCTTGCCCACCGCGAAACTCGCCCATACGGCAGGGCTTATTTTCTCGATCCGATTCAGTAAACGCCGCTTCACCTAACAGCCGTTTTCTCCCTCTTGTGCGCGTAAATTGCTTCGATTTCTCGATATAGGTGTTCTGGAACATCGCACTCCGCGGAATCACTCACTGCAGGTCCTACCCTCCTGCGTGAATATTGCCTTCGGATCTACGAGCGTATGCCTATGTCGTGTCTATTTTTTTTGTCTAGTTAACGATGCCCAATGCTTGAACTCATGCGATGCTCCGTGTCACCCCCAAACCACCCACCATGTCTACCTCGTGGCTCCTCATTTGTTACACGAGGGGGAGCGACTGGCCAAGTTCACCTGTTGATCTTTATACTGCAATTAACTTTTGCCCGCTGCTTAAAGCCATTACGGCTTACTTGTATGAGAGCTTATACTACAGTGCATTTCCCAGGATCGTGTGCCCAGGGTAACTAGGCACGACCCACTAGTGGTTTCTGAGAGTGGCATCATGGCCCATGAGTGTTGGGCTAATTTCCACTCGCGGCCGCCCTTCGATTCTTCCTGTACTTCATGTTGTGGAAGATCAAAGGATCAAATCCTACACATGTCATGCGTGCCCCAAACATGCCGCACGTAACACGACGGATTTGTGCCGCACTCCCAATATTCTACAGCAAGGGCATTGTTATTGGTCATCCAGTAAGTTGCCCTGGGACAAGGCAGGCAAATTTTCCAGATACAGGGCCTGCAGCCAGCTGGCACCTGCATGCACTGCCTCATGCCGAGGACATCCCCTACCTAGGACAGGTAACCACCAGATTTCTATCTGACTTCCATTGCCAATTACTTGTCAGGTGTGTCGACCCAAGCGATCGGAAGCGCTACACATTACTCAACTGGTATCCCTGTTCTGTGATTGCACGATTCAATGGAGCTCCAGCTCTCCGAGCATTTCGATTAAGAAGTTAAACTGCCAGGTGCGGAATGGGTCATCGGATTTACTTAGATCCTGGTACCAGTCCGCCGGGTTGCTTGGCTGACGTGATGACAAGGTTTGACTGAATCATGCTGGGCACGTTGCAAGTCAGGGATCAGTGAGCTAGTGTCCCTCGCAAGTAATGAGCAGGGTCGCATCATGGTCAAAGAAAGGTATTTTCATACACCGAGAAGCCGAGGAATAGGATGCGGGTTAAGGGGACATCTCCATGGCGAGCAAGCTCGTTGAAGGGAACTTGCATTGGTGACCTACAGGCTAAGGGGATGGTGCTCACAATCGCCTGTCAGCGTGGATAACCATTACAGTGGTAGGGCAGACGGAAGCGGCTTACTTGAGGCATACTCGTGTTCACACTTAAAGTTTACGCCGGGCTGTGCTCCAAAGGCTCATCGTCTTCCCAATGAGTTGGGGCGTTCGAGCTGAAACGAGACCAGCACGGCCATTAGGTAGGATGTACACAGCCGCAAATGTGTACATCCTAGAAAGCAAGAGGCCATGGCAACGTCCAAGTGCGCGGGAGACGTAGCAAACCAAACAAGGCCTGATTGCTGGAGGCCAGGAAAAACCCAGAGACCGACGGAGAAAAGTCACGCGAAACTGGTCATCGCTTGCAAAAGTCTTCACGACTGGTTTTCACTGAGGCGCCGAAAGGAAATAAGATTATAATGATACAAATAAACTACAAACAGCGAATACAGAGAAACGTCTATGCACCGAAGCCGTAGAGAGTACGCCCTGAGCGCTTGAGAGCATAGACAACATCGAGAGCAGTAACGGTTTTCCGTTTAGCATGCTCAGTGTATGTGACCGAGTCACGGATCACCTGCACAATTAATAAGAATCCTATCAGCGCACAGGCCAAGTCAATGACAACACCCAACCCACATTTTCAAGGAAGATCTTCAACACACCTCGGGTCTCTTCGTAGATGAGACCAGAGATACGCTTCACACCACCACGACGTGCAAGACGACGAATTGCAGGCTTTGTTATCCCTATGTCTCCAGTCAGACTGCGTCCTTGCTCCATGCCACTGCAGCTTAGCTTACCTTGGATGTTGTCACGAAGAATCTTGCGATGACGCTTGGCACCACCCTTTCCGAGACCCTGTCTAGAGGTTAGCGCTTGCCTTGCACTTGGAATGAATGCAAACTTGCCTTTCCACCTTTGCCACGGCCAGACATGTTTGATGTAGATAAGTTTGGTTGGTTGTTGATTGACAGATAAGACGGTGTGCGATAGCCTACTTGGCTTTTGTCTTCCTGCCAGACTATATATATTGGGTCGGGAGTGTGGCTGTGCTGAATTTACCGAAAAGAGTTTGTTGATTGAAAATGGACGCGGATGGCACGTGACCAGCGCGACGCGACCGCCCATTATAAATACCCCCGGCCCTCCTGCGTGTTCTCAAAACAGTCAAGTCAACTACACACAAATGGCTCGTACCAAGCAGACAGCTCGCAAGACCACCGGTGGTAAGTGACATCTGTCGTTGAAGGTGACTCAAGCTCAATGGCTTGTTATAGGCAAGGCCCCTCGTAAACAATTGGCTGCTAAGTCGGCCGGGTCCAAAAAGACCATTCACGCTGTGAGTGTTACTGGCGACTATAGTAGCCTTAGTGCTAATAGTTGGAATGGCAGCCTGCTGGTGGTGTGAAGAAACCTCATCGTTTCCGTCCTGGTACGGTCGCGTTGCGTGAAATTCGTCGGTACCAGAAGTCGACGGAACTTCTTATTCGCAAACTTCCCTTCCAACGTCTCGTTCGTGAAATCGCTCAGGATTTCAAGGTTAGCCTTCTGTTTTCTAGTTCCGTTGTCACCCTCATGCTAATGCACGTATTGCAGACTGACCTGCGTTTCCAATCGTCAGCGGTGATGGCATTGCAGGAGGCATCCGAGGCATACCTTGTCTCACTGTTTGAGGATACCAACCTTGCTGCTATCCATGCTAAGCGTGTTACTATCCAACCCAAGGACCTTGCCCTTGCACGGCGGTTGCGCGGCGAGCGTTCGTAGAGTTTTCTGTCCAGGATATTTTCGCACGTTATCACTTGTATCATTAGTGTATATTTCATAATAAATGCAAACGTTGCGTCCTCAATGGTTCGTGGTAGCGGGTTATCAGGACCTTGGTCTATGCTCCGACGAAGTTGCTTAGTCAGCCGGCTACAACCCTCTCCACCTTATTGCTTCATCCAAGTGTGCTGTACATGACTCGCATATGAAACTCACACTTCGTCCTGAATGGCGGCTTTGGCCCATTAACAACTTCCTCGGTTTACTGGACTTGAAGACAGGCGTGACGATTACACTACTCTTCGCAGTACGTCGCTCACCACACCCCAGTGGAACCAGCGTCTCCACAAGTCCAATGACACTGACCTATGCATCTCTAGGTATTCAACAAGGTGGCAGGTGTTTATGGCTTCATCTCAGTCTTGGCAGGTGCAGGAGGGTCGTTTGCGCAACTCAGTCTGTATCTCTATTCATCAGTCGGGCTGGTCGCCCTAGCCTGGGGTTTGAACGCGGTCAAGGAGGTGAGCTCTTATGTCCTTTTTGTAATCAACAAAAATGACCGTAGTTTTCGACTGGGTGGGTGCAGGAGAACCCCAAACACACACTATACTTTGCACATCTCTTTTTCCTCGATCACATACTCTCCACTATATGGACACTCTTCTTCGCAGTTGTATGGTGGGTCTACACCCCCCACGACGGACGGCGCCAGGCCAATTCGCCCGCTCAAGAAGCGATCAAAGAGAGCGCTAATGTTAGTCACCCTATGACGGATGCGCAGCTAGCGGCCGCAGCGAATGTCCTGTGGCATGAGGAGAAAGGCACAGCTGTGGCAGTGATCGTTCTTTCTTGGTTTGCAAAAGTGCGTATATCAGCCATGTTATCTACTATTGTCATTGCCTCGATAATTTATGTTGCGCCAGTTATACTTCGCGCTGCTCCTCTACTCGTTCGCCACACATCTACGCAAAGGCACATTCAACACCATCCGCAACTTCCGCTTCCACCAATCCTCCTCCGCCGCGTACCTTCCCGCGTACACAGAAGACGAGGACAACGAAGATTTCCATATACCCTCTCTGCGAACGCATCATCCGAACAGCACGTCCTCCAACATACCCGATTTCGTGAGCGCACCCGGGCGAAGCGGAAGGCACTCTGCACGGCAAAGCAAGAGCTCACTGGGAAAAATTATGATACCCTTGCAGGAAAATGGCGACGTTCTCTTCGAGGAGAGTGGACGATGATGACGTTGATTGATACCATCTTACTTAGTTTGTGATCTGGGGTATGCGTATCTGGTGGAGAGGTCTGGCATGAACAATTGCACTTCTTACCACATAAGATCATCGTCCATCTATATATACTACAGGGACCTCGCGGTCAAGTAACCCGAGCCTTCTTGGCTCCCGGTTCTGAATGTGGCACATTTTGTTTGACCACATGGTTGTACTTCTCCCTGATATCCTCAACCCATTTGCCTCCTTCGGCACCCTGGAACAGCCAGACGTGGCTGGATGGAACATCAATGCCAGTGGATCCAACCCCTAACGGCACCCACCTTTCTCCAACTCGAACGGGTTCTGCTATGCCCATCATCTCCGTCGATGAACGCTTGCCGTTCTTGCCTAACGGCACCGGCACATCAAGTTGCAAACCATGTTGCGGGGTCGGCGGTGGCAGTTCCCAATGCAGCCGCTCACACAGATACTGCACGATATCGTCCGCGTTTCCCAATAGAACGACCTGTTTATCTACGTCAGGAACGTGCGCTCTCCACAACCTCAAAAGTATGCTCACGTCCGGATTTATGTGCCTGATCGGCGTCCTATTGATAAGGATCTGTGGGCACGACATTCCTTTTGTGTGGGGACGGGGGGACAATCATGGATAACATCGAACCGCGTGCACTCACCTGAGGCACCGAATGTGGAAGATGGGCTGTATCGAGGACGTGAGCCATCATCCAGGAGAACGGACGGCGCTGCCCCATACATACAAAAGATCTCCGACACAGGGGAAACTTTGAGGGAGGTCCCTATGACGAGGAGTAAGTCGACTTTGTCCCTGTCTTCTTCGAGCGCTCTATCAAACTCGTCGTTGAGCTTTTCTCCGAAGAAAGTTATATCCGGCTAGGAAAGTGCGTCAGTGGGACATGAAATAAGATATGAACAGGCTAGCATACTTTCATGACACCCACTGGCATGTCATCATCGCTATCGTCGCTATCGTCGTCCCACTCGTTCTTCCTCTTCTTCCCCTTCTTGGTAACCTTGCTCTTCTGAGCTTCCGCTGCTCTATGTGCTTCTAGGCACGTTTTGCAGTAGGGAACACGACGCTCGAGAATCTCGCGCTCGATCTCAACCCCGGGCACCTGTTTCCGACAAAGTAGGCATGTGGCTGTCTTGAAAGATCCATGACATTGCAATACGCGTTTGATGCCCGCCTGGGTTTCTAGTGTGTCGATATTCTGCGTGTAATTCTGTGGCGAATTCAGATCCATTTTTAATTATGCGGTTCACGGGGATAAAGAGGGTGATATCTCACCCGAAGGAGCTGAAACAATCATAGATATGCAGGAACGGAAGGAATGAACCGGGGATACGTCTCGGAAGAGGAGCGACATACCTTACCCTTGTCCTCGATCAGTTTAATGAATCGGTGGCAAGGAGATGGTATGAAATTAGATGGGTATATTTGACTGATATGGAAGTTAGAAGGTCTGTGCACGCGGTACATTGATAGTGCAGCTGACCTAGCAAATGAACTAGAGGACAAACTTGTTAGAAGTCCTATTTAGAAACAGGGTGGTTTGCGCACTAAAATACTAGCCTCGGAGGTAGGTGTGGATCGATGAGATAACATCCGTTTCAAAAATAATATTCCTTACCAGCAGGATGTTCTTTGAAGTAATGGATATCAAACCTGGCAATTCCGTTAATTCTTCTTTCAAATTTGGAGTGATGATCAAACAGACATTTGTTGAGGGTCATCGAGGTCATACTGGCCATTTGCCTTCAGAGATGCGTACAATCCGTTCCGGGACCGAAAATCAGGAATCCCGCAAGGAGACGCCTAGACGTCTATTATCAGCGACACCCCTAACATTTGGAAGTGAACACCAAACTGATGCCTGCGCCAGTCAGTATGATGATGCGACGCGACCTCTGTATCAGCGATACAGCATCCTCAATGGTGTTGTGTTGAGGCAGTTTTTCCCTGAGACGCAACCTAACAAAAACAGACATTAGATGCGCCATTCCGCTGTCACGCGTTGACCTACACGCGTGATATTGCCACTCTTAGAAAGTAGAGCAATGTCGCAGGACTCTTTGCCCTTAGTTCAGGACACTGACACATAAATGGTTGATTATTACGTCAGATCCTGGCAGGAGATGCATACCAAGGAGATCCCGAAAGCGAACAGTAGTTTCACAATGGGTGTCTGCTGAACGACAACGTACTCCCTTATGAATGGACCCATTCCTGAGTTCGTGTTAATCTAGTGCATTGTCGGGAATGCGCCACTCGCGCCGAACAGGCAGAGTACAAACTCACCCTTTTCCCTGACAAAATGCATCATCTTTCCAATTTCCTCCTTGGTCCACGCACGTTCAGCTAGGGAATGTCACCATGAGCGAAAGTTTAGAGAGGGAGACACCACATGTTGTTGCCAGATTAACGCGCGTACCTTCTTGTTCTAGTGCATGTAGCTCAGCAGGGTCGATTTGTTCCGTGTCACTGTCCGTTGCATCTGCTGAAATAGCTCCGTTGAATATACTATTGTCTGGAGTGGAGTCGACGTGTTCTGTATCAGAGAGCCCTGAAAGACTGTCCTGGTCAGTCATAGAACTGCAGATTTCCTCGCCCACTCCGTCCATGAGGTCGTCTAGCGTGTCCGAATCTGCGTCCACGTCGTCCGCAGCACTGAGAAAAGCGCGCAGCTGCAACCCGTGCAGAGGGCTGATCTTTGGCTTCGCCCGTGCATTTTGGTGAGAGTCGTCCTGCTTCTGTCCACTAGTGCTAGTGCCCATTCACACGTGGTCGGGGTAAATGGTCAAGTCAAGTTTGATTGGATCAGGAAATCAATTTATTCTATACAGAAGATACTCGGGTCACGTGACACTTAGCCCCTATATAAGACGCGTTTTTCTGTTGCTTCCTTCGAGCTCGTCGACGATGTCAGACTCAGGGTACGAGTCGGACATTTCATACGACTCTCTAGTCGTCGTTCTCCAGCCCAGACATATGGAGTGATTTTACTAACAGACACACGTCGCCTGCACCAGTCGACCACGCTGAGGGATGGCAAAGAAAGACCCTCCCATTGGAGCTTGTAGAACAAATCTTCGACCTCTTCTTTCTCGAAGCGAAAACATTTGAAGACATCCGGCCTTTTTCGATGGCAAGTACCCAATTCCGAACGATAGTTCTCCGCAGATACATGTCGACGCTGCGCATATGCTCCAAGAAGCAGTTGATTTCGCACACCCTGATGCACTACTCCGTCACATTCCGTAGTTCTCCACACGTCTATGCCGGTTTCGACTGGGTAAAGTGGGTGTGGAGCGCATACATGCGAGGAAGCCACTCATCTTGATCGCGACGTTGACCAGGCATCTGTTCGTTGTCCCGGAAGCTCTTACGACCTCGAGATGGAAACCAGATCTGTTCTGGGATTTGCGTTCTCTGCATATATCGCTAGCGGATAGTGGGAGTCGGACCCAGGGAAGCATCTTGAATCGCATCTCGGGAAAACCCACGTTCGCTACGGTGGCATCTCGTCTATCTTCCCTGACAATCACCAGTCTCTGGCGGATCGGCGTAGACTTGTTGAGCATGGTCGCGAGGATCTTTCCAGCATTGACGGATCTTCACCTCAGCTCTTCCGAGAATCTGGATACGTCGTGTTGCTGGCTTTGCTATGAAGAAAGCTCAGCGGCCGTGACCCATTCGCCAATTCCGGGCCACTATGCGAACGTGAGAACGCTCTCCGTAAGCTCCTCCACATCTACCTCCCTTGATGTTACAAAATCACATAGACCGCGTTCGCGGAGGCCCTCTCGCCGCTCACCAAGTTGGTTCACCTGCATCTCGGCATATTTCTTTCAGACGAAGACATGGTGGACGCGCATATCGACCACTACGATAGTCCTAGGGAGTACGAACACGCCCTCCTCGTATATGCTGCGGAAAAAAGGCCAGACGAGCCAGTGACGACACTCAAGTCAAGTCCGAGAGATCGAATGGGGAGTCTGAAGAGAGTCTCTCATACAGAACAGACGGGGAGGATCTGGAGGACGAGTTGGACCACCGGCGTGACGGAGAGATCCTTCCTTTTCCACATGGTCCAGGCGATTGCCCGATCTGTGCCGTTCTCGTGTCAGCTTTCGCAGGTGCGAGCCCGCGAACTGGAAGCAAGTCTGGCAATAGCAAGGAAGCTGAGATCAGTTAAGACGATAAGCTGGAGCTCGTTCTTTCCTAGCAAACTGTGCACCACAGCACACGCAAGCGCTGGCGACGGGAAGACGACGACAACGTATGTGCTTCGCGCCAACGGGAGGGTTAGAGTGAGGAGACGGCCTTGGGACTAGTTCCTGACAAGGCCATCAACCAATCGTGGACTTTAACCGAAGATGTTGTTGTGGACGCTTGTGTATTATTGATGTAATGATTCCGGTGGAAAACGCCTAGCCCGGCATGTCCCCCACATAGTCCAATAAGTCTGAGTGCAAGATAAAGAGCGGAAATATCAGCACTGACGTTTCCACGGACAATGAAAGATTCAAAATTGGAAGTGGGCAATGAGCCACTCGGAGGCAGTTGCTTAACCATACCCTTTATTGTGGCCGCGTCCACCGATGGTTGCAGGTTAGTCCGTTAACAAAGCTGTGGTAACTCACTGTAGCAGGATATGGTATAAAGAGTGCCCGTGTGTCAAACCATGCTCCCATCTCCTAGCAGCAGCGGGGAGCAGCTGGCCACAGCACCGAGGATACCCGCTACCTTCTTACTCCCTTACCTATTCATCTTTATTCGTTAAGATATGGCGGTCCCCTCTGTGACCCATACTAATCCAAGAATAGCGGAATTCGCCCGCCTCTTCGACATTTTCGACCGTGTCGCGACACGACGTTCTCGGGCAATCGCAGGCGCCACCACCCCCAACGTCATCTCCGCAGACGATATCGCACATGTGCCCGCAGAATTTGCTCCAGTACTTAAGAGCCTCTCGACCGTCCTCGCGGCGCGGGCCCAGGGAGAGATCAGGCGTGATCGCCACACGCCAACGCAGCTAATTACTTCGAACGTGCCGCCTCGCGCTACCATGTCCAAACCAAAGGAAGTCTCAGTGGAGAAGGAGGAAGTCGAGAGCCCTACGTTCCCACTGTCGGAACGCTACCCTTTTACTTTCAAGCTTATGCTGCATAAGCTTTACGATTTAGACGAGTGGGCGGCCAAAGTCAAGAACGCTTTGGATGTGTCCAAATCGCAGTTCAAACCATTGGCGGAGAAGGTCGAGAGTGTAATGAGGGAAGCTAGGGGAAAGGAGAAGACGATGGATCGTAAAGGGGTTACCCGAGCGCGAAGTTGTGCCACGTTAGCGACCGGGGGAAAGTCGAGGGGCTCCGTTATGCCACGCGAGCGTGCGAAGAGTATCGCACGCAACGAAGGGGACCGGGCGCTGAAGAAAAGGTGTGTGGGGAGACGCAAGTCGGTCAGTGGCCCGATGGAGGCGAGCGTGTGGGTATACGATGCAGCGATCTCAGCTGTGGAGGTCAACGGACCTCGTCCCACCGTGGAGATTACACTTTCAAAGACGACAAATAGGCCCTCCGGTCAAGATAGTCGTATGCGACATCAGTCATTAGCGGGGTTGGAAGGGATTCGTGCTCGCGACACAGCGAGGAGAAAAGTGAGAATTGAAGTTCCTATTCCTCGTGATGAGAATCACAAGGCTGCCTGTTCACCCGGGTCACCAGTGCAAGACGTGGTCTCGCTCGCGGAACGTTCGAAGTTTGAGAGCGTTCATGTGAAGGATATCCCAAGGAAGCGGAGAGCGATGGAGTCGGTTGACAATTTGGGGGGCGTAGTTCGGCCAAGATGGCATGGACATGGACAGGGACATGTGGACCTTTCATGAGCTTGTTGGACTCTTCTTTATAGCGTATATCTTCTGTTTTATAACTTACTTCTTTGTCGTAACGCTGTGTAGATAGTACTGTAGATACGTGGGTGTGGCCCTCATGATTGTGGTTGAGAGTGAAGTTCGCATGTGTATTCGGTTACGGTCGGTTACATGTTCAGTCCATCTGAGTCTCCGAATCACACAAAACTTGTCACCGCCATCCCCTGCTCAGGTTTTCCAACTCGTTTGGTAGCTTGTAGGTCGCCCCACCTCGCCAGAAGACTCGGAATATTGGATACCATTAGGTACGCGTGCCTATACATATGTATTAGTTCAGAAGGACTTCACAGAAAGGTCTTGTCAGCCGGCCTTCTGTGTCGCAAATTTATTTGGTCCATTGTCACGTGCCCCCATTGTAAGCAGCGTGTAATGGACCACTTGCCATTATAATGGTCAGGTTTGGCTAGATTATAGCAAATATGTGATATTTTATCTAAGATATAGTGCGAATGTGTAAAATATTATGTACAAATACCCATTTTTGGCAATCTTTCAATGACACATGGGTGGCATTGGCATGGCTTATAACGGAAGTGTGAACAGCCACCCTTAACATGTATTATAAGGTTCTTATCACGTGCCCAAGAAATTTGCGACATGCACTTTGCACTTCCGTCCAATGGGAAGAATTGGTTGTATACGAACTTCCGCTCAAGCACCACCGGCTCGTCGTTTCAACAGGGTGCGCGTCTTGAACAACATAGCTAAGAACTTGGCCCACGCAGAGAAATACTATTGGCCTGGGTAAACTGAGCGTGAAGATGCACTCGACGGTCGAAAGAATGCGAAAGGACTACCTACTGAGGTTTTGGAAAGCCATTCCACCGTGTCGAAATGTGAAGGTCTACAAGCTCTTGTTAGAAGCGGATCCTTTTGGACTACCTACTCACCAGCGAGAGTTATGGTAACTAACGAGTGGTTTATCTTGGGGGCACATTGGTTCGCCAGAGCGCTTGTTGGCATCCCGTTCGCATAGTCCCGTGATGCCTTATGTCCACGAGGTCCTGGGGCTCTGGGCGACTCGGATTCAGACAGGATTCGAACAGGACACAGCGTGTTCACCCAGTGACCGTCAGAGCAGCACTGTTTCCTTGCTAGCTTTAGGATCGACCGATGGATCCATCCTCTGCGCTCCAGGAGCTTGCTATTCGGGCGTCCCGATACAGCATCAATCTAAATGGCGAAATCAGTCTCAATCAGGGCAAGATACCTCTGCGGGGCAGTACTGCCATTGTTTACAAAGGTACTTTGACTCGGGGCGGTACGGAAGTCGCAGTCAAAACCTTCCATGGCACACCCCCTGGGGATCTAGATCCTCTCAAGGTATTGAATGAGTTCGTGGAGGTTGACCTCCTTCGGATTGACCTTTCTATTGCTATTTAGCGTATCCTTCGAGAGGTCCACCTTTGGTCGAAGCTCCGTCATGATAATGTTGTCCACATGATTGGGATTTCTACGGAATTCGGCTCCACGATTTCGATAGTATCTGATTGGATGTCGTCGGGCGATGCCCATTCTTATGTTCAAAATAAGGAGAATGATCCTCGCCCGTTGGTGAGTCGAGGAGAGCGTTCATTTGCGTAGCACTTTACATGTGTTTTTAGCTCATGGATATCGCAAGTGGCCTGTATTACCTCCATAGTCATCCTCTGGGGCCGATATTCCATGGAGACCTGAAAGGTGTAAGTATGGTCATTCTCAGTACCCGCAGCTGACGAATCTACTTGATAGCTTAATGTACTGGTGTCCAGTGATCGTCGAGCACTACTTAGTGACTTTGGTCTTTCCACCCTCCAAAAATCTACCTTCAGCATGACGGTTGTTGCTCCTCGCGGAGGATCGTACCCTTGGATGGCTCCGGAGCTCCTGGATGACTACAATGCGTCTACAGAAGGGGACGTGTGGGCATTTGGAATGACTGTTTTGGTATGTTTCTATATTCTTGTTCTGCAAGAAGTTCATTGTCTCTGTGATGAAGGAGTTGTTTACTCGACTAATGCCTTTCCATGATTGTCCGCATTTTGCCAATGTGATGCATAGGTTAGTGATGGGACGACTGCCGCTTCGTCCCTCTGAGGAATCCACCCTTTCCCGTATGACGGATGCGTGGTGGGAAATATGCACATCGTGCTGGCGACGTTAACCTTCAGCACGTCCCTCGATGAAGGACCTGATGGAGACGGTCAAGGGAGCTACGGTCTGTGCTCGGCGCAATCAACCAATTTCTTTGCGTTCTGACTGAGTTTGCAGTACCAAGCTGGTTCCGTTTTGATGCCTCCGAAAGCCTCTCTCCCCGTAGTGCCGTTCTCAAAAGATGTCATGGTCTGTCCGCTGCGATCCCGGAAAATATTATCAGTTCTGACCCATTGCTTCAGCCACATCTGTCGCCCCTTCGAGATAATCAACCTTGGCGATCAACTTCAGTTATGCTTCACGACTTTCTACCATCGTGTACGGTGAGTACATTGAGTAAGTAAACCTACGGCACACCGCTCACACGGTGCTGGGTGCTTTTTTAGGTGCTGAAAGGGCATACTGACAAGGTTTTGTCAGTTGCCTTCTCACCTGATAGCAAACGCATCGTGTCGGGTTCTGCTGACAACACAATTTGTCTGTGGGATACGCAATCTCGCACACGAATTGGCTCTCCGCTCAAAGGCCATGCGGGGTGGGCGCGGTCAGTTGCATTCTCGCCAGACGGGGAATGGGTTGTGTCGGGTTCTTATGACAAGACTGTTCGTCTGTGGGGTACGCGCAGGAGCATGCCAACACGCTCACCTCTCCGAGGGCACTCGTCGAAGGTCTTGTCGGTTGCGTTTTCATCGGACGGGAGGATTGTGGTCTCGGGTTCTACTGACAAGACAATTCGTTTATGGGATGTTTACGTTGAAGCCCCATCGGGCTTGCCATTTGAAGGACATACTGGCGCGGTGCAGTCAGTTGCAATGTCAGGAGATGGCACCAGGATCGCGTCTGGTTCTCACGACAAAACCGTTCGTCTGTGGGACACAGAGACCGGAGCACAGCTGGAAGATGCCCTAGAAGGCCACACTGGCATGGTTTACACAGTCGCTCTTTCGCCAGATGGTCACATGGTTGTGTCGGGTTCCGAGGACAATACTCTCTGCTTATGGGACGCACGCGCTGGCATAGCAGTTGGTCGTCCTCTGATAGGACACGGTGGGGCAGTGAATTCAGTTGCATTCTCGCCGGATGGAATGTGGGTGGTATCAGGCTCTGTAGACACCAATGTTTTTCTGTGGGATGTTCGCACAGGTGTTCGGCTGGGCACAGCTCTGAAGGGGAATGCTGGATGGGTTCGTTCCGTTGGGTTTTCACCTTGTGCCAGGGAGATTATTGCAGGGACTGAGGACGGGAGTATCTGCCTATGGAATGCAAGAGTACACTAGATGATCAAATCCAGAAAATACATACGTGGAAGGGTAATAGGTATATATATCCGTGCATGCACATATTCTGCGCGTGGGGTTATAAATGTGATTCCAGACGCAGAACTTCTGGGTCATGTTCAACCGTGTCTGCACCTGATAGTGACACCTACACGTATGGCGTGCCACGCTATCGTTCTTATTGCCCCGTCACAGTACGTCCCCATCCGCGCTCGGCTCATATCTCCCCTCGAGCCGAGCGTCTTATAAGATGTCTGCATGTAGAACCTGTAGAGTTTTGTGAGTGGCTAATCACCAGGCCGGTCACTAGACTAAGAGGGGGTTTATTCTGGATGCCAGCCTGTCTAGTACGGAGCTTGGGTGGCAAGCTGCCGATGACGGGTTCTGCTAGCAGGCGGTTTCCTCATCCGAGCCAAGCTGTCGCCTCCGCTTAGTCAGCGCCTGCAAACCATTTTTTCAAGCTTCTAGATTTTAATCCCGTCAACACTAAGACATCCTATACCTGTGATATTAAGACCCAGACACACGTTAAACCCGTCTTCACATATCAAGCCCTCCAGTGTCTCCCCATTTCCAATAGTTAGAACAATTGCGTGCACAAGTGGATGTAGAGGTGGAGCGTAGAGGAACGGGTTCCCGCTGATGCGATCCTCACAGACCTTGTCGAAGTGGGCACTAAGGAACAAGTTCTGGCACTTGCTGTATTGATAGCAGTCGAATTAGAGCATGGAAACCAAAGTATGTACATACGTATCCGTCAAATTGAGTGCGGTTTCGGTTATTTCCCAAGGCTTATATGTTAGTTGTCTAGCTTCCCCGTTTTCCCAGCAGCCGATGACTTCCAGACGATGACTCACATACTGCATGAGAAGTGTTGTGGTCCACACTTACTTTTCGCGGATTCATCCCTGCGTTTACCATTAGAGTATGCGAACGGACTAGGGCAATTTGTAAGTTACTTCTGCACCATCCAATTCGCGTCTTTAGGCTCGAGATGCCGTCGCCGCAGGGGTCCCTTCGGGTACAGACACTCTGACTGACTCCCTCCTCTGGTCTATGGTAAGTATGTTACGTAACGTCTCCACTTGTACATATGCTAAAGAAGTGCCGAGGACTACTAAACGACTAGTTGTTCCTGTTAAGGGCAGGAGTCAAGTGGGAATGGAATGCGAGAGATAATGTCTAGAAGAGTTCGTTGTCTACCGTGACGCTGTAGTGGAAGTAGGGGAATCGCGAAGTTCATATGTGACCGTAAAACAATCACACTGACATGCTCTCCAGCTCCGCGGTCTGTAGCGCCTGCAGGCCATATCCGGAATTGAATCACCCGTGGCGTCGTTCGCCGCCCGCCTCGTCATCATATCCGCTGATTAACTGTTCCGATTTGATCATGCTTCACTCGATAATTCATCCACTGGAAACCATCTCTTGGGAATTCTACAGCTTTGCTAATGGCCCTTACTGAGTCTTGCCCTAACTGTGTGCCCGATTGGGTTTGTAATTCGTGCGCCGGTTCTTCTGGACATAGCCTCGGCAGTAGCTGAGGACCACACTCGCCATCGCGACGCTGGAGTCAGATACTAACATCTAGACTGCAGGAAATATGTAGAGCTGGGGAATCCAAGATTCATGACCACCATTAAACGACTCTTGTCGCTTTTTGGGTACTGGTCGTTTCATGTTCTACTCGTGGCACACGCGGATTCGCGCTCGAAGCAGACTTCCTCGCTCGTGCAAACGATTCATTGCGTGTAAGTTCTGAATGATGATAGTCAAAGGGTCAGGGGTCGGGTCAGTAATGCAAATCTGACTATGGACTTGCATGAGTACTTGGAGAAGGACTCCGCATCGTATTTGTAACTCCACATGGATGTCGGGTCACTTCGTCCACATTCACTTCTTCGGTCGCGGTCGAGCATATCATATCACCCTCGCGTTATTCCCCAAGCGGGAGAAATGTAACCACAGAAAGCCAGGTATCACGAGTTCGAGAACGGAGAACGACTGACTCAGACTCTGGATGGAGGGTGCACATGGCAAATTGCAATCCACATTCAGACAACTGACCATAGCTCGACACAACGCCTATTGTTACATTTCTCAATAGTGCCGAATCCACCTTTGTTCACTTCACTTTTCTACGACTCAAACTTGAACAGCTGGGAAGGGAGGAACTGGGGAGGGATTGAATATGTACAGACGAGGGGCTTGAGGAGAATCTGGAGACGTGTCAAGATGATCATCTGAGATGCGAGAGAACTGCCACCGGGTCATACCTGCAGGGGATTAGAAGGTCTGTCCGGCTCGAGCTCGGGAGCAGTCCATGCCAAACCGCTTTCAACCTTCCTCTCGACGCTAGGTATAATCATCAGCCAACCATCTCATTGGTCTCAAAGACCAGAAACTTACGTATATGCTCTCTCGTGTCGCCTGAAAATGATAACCCACTCCGTAGTACTTTCATCATTGTAGGAAACGACACGGTCATCTAAATCGTGGACCATGTTCTCATTGACTGTGATGGTGTAGGTGTTGATCTCGTTGCTTTTTGTGACGGTAAACTAGGCAACACGTAAAGGTCAGTCAGCTCATTGTGCATGGTAGAGGAATGGGAATAACTTTGGGAGGCAGAATAAGTGTATCAAGAAGGACAATTGGGTAGGGAGGGAGCACGCCGCCAGCCTGGTCATCACCAAGGTATTTCTCATGTTGCACAGAAGTAATGCGGTACTCGCTGGAACTGTTTTGAGTGGGAGTGGGAGACATCTTGTACGTCGTGGATAAGAGTTGAATCTTTTGATTGAGAGAGGACCGACAGCTGGTTGCCTTTTTATCCTCCGGGAACTACATACCTGCGAGAATCCTCGGAAGCCCGCGTGGGCAGGTCATGGAGGTATTTTCATATGACAATATGACTCAAAAAGAGCGAGCGCTGATGGAATGTTCTGTGAGTACCGGTGAAGCAGCTTCCAAGTGTAGAACGATCGAGTGACCAGAGCTTTCCACATCTACACCCCAAGTCCCAATTGGATTGCATCACTATTATGAAAAGGACAAAGTTAGGGCGCCAACTCGGATTGCATAATTGCGGAACCCGGAGATTAGACCAAGGATTAAGATCAATCCTTCCGGGTTCAAATCCTACTAGACGCATGCTCTGCATATTTATCAGTATTTTCTCTGTTCAGATCTATCAACAGTAGGTACCGGAGTCAGCTGAATCCTGCTCATATGATATTTGGGGGTCCAAAGTACGCCAAATGCACGGGAACGTACCACAGCAGTCGCGTTTACAGCCTCTGAGCCATTTGTGAGAATGCAGAGATAAGTGCGTGTGGACCAAGGTGACATGGATCCATCGGTTGAGCTGGGCCAGGCGTCGCCGCGGTGCGGGCACGTGCAGGTTGACGTATGCTGGTGTCTCTAACTAAGAAAATGTAGTCCATATCAAACCCGTCCAAGCTGCCAGATTTGCCATTTCAGACTAGAGCGGCAGGTCACCATTGCAACTCCAAGGAACACAGGTAGCCTCATTGCGCGGTAGATAGCGAAATGATCGAGATAGTGAAATCATCGTGCTAGCGAAGATGCTGAACGTAAACTATCGATAAATTATGGGTGCAAACGGCAGGTTCGAGGTTACCGTATGTAGTTCAGTACAAGCCTGTCCGTAGCCTGCTACATGCGGAATCAAAAACTCAACGACGAAGGTCACTCACACTAATCTCGAGGACGTTAGGATTTGTCACCCTATGTTTAACATCTTCACAGAAGTCTGCTATCTGGGGGACTACCTGCGTGTGCAGGGTTCATCTTCATTTGAAAGGTGTGTATCACAGAAATCTATAGCAAGATCTCAGTCGAGTGCGCGAGCGGCAAATGTCTATATTCGCATTACCTATAGCAAGATCTAAGGTAACAACATGAGCGCGAAGTACACAAACATGGGAACAAGACACTATACCCACCTCAGTCGAGTGCGCGAGCGGCAAATGTCTGAGGTGGTGTTACTACAGTAACGAGTTAAATACACTATACAAAACAAAAGGGTGAGACACGGGTGTTGAACCTGGTATTGAAACTACAAGCATGGTCATAGCACAAGTGCTTGTACCGTTAATTATACATATGAAACATTTGGAGACAATAAACCAAAAATTACCGCACTGTATTGTCAGCGCTCGAAACAACTAAGTACAGTGGTCTTGTAGACCCATAAACGGGAAGTGTTTCCCATGGTAAGGAAAAGTAGCGTCAATTAGTGAACGAAGGCTATGAGCGACTTGCCAAATCTAACAGTGTATTCCACATCAGATGTAGCAAAGATCTAAAGACGAAAATTTTCTTTGTGTCAAGTGGATGGAAACTGCCTATGGGCATCTAATTGTTCATGTTGGAAATTCGGTCGCCACATCTCGGGCTCTGTGAATCGCACAAATCTACAATATGAAAAGAAGAAAGTTATGGTGCCAACTCGGATTGCAATTGTGCAAACACGAGGCATGGTCGAAGTTCTGAAGTGGGCATAATTCAATCCTGCAGGATGTATGTTCTCCCTCGAGTCGAACGGAGTGGGAGGGCAACTACTCAAATATCCAACTGGCACCCTGGAACGTGTTGTAGACATGTGAGGTTAGACACACCATCTGGGAGTGCATCTTATAGACGCCAAGTCACCACCTTCCAGATGAAGATGAACTCTGTGCATACAAGTAGCCCTCCAGATATCAAACATCGGTGATGAATCCTAGCGTCGTGGAGGTTGCTGTGAGTGTTGGTCTCAAACCTTTGCTCTCGAGCTTCTGATTCCAATGCAGCCGTCCGAGACAGTCAGGCTTGTAGTACCCAACTACGGTAACTACAACCCTGATGTTTGTATTCATCTATCAACACTTTCCGTTCAGTGTTTATCATGAACAGAGATGATTTCACTGTCATGATTTTCTCGCCATCTGCCTTGCAACGAGGTTGCCCTCGTTCCTGGGAGTTGCACTGGTGGCTTGCAGCTTAAGTTGAAATGGCAGATTTGACAACTTGGGCTATCAGTACAGGTGACATGAGGGGTTGTTCGACTTTTCTTCTGGGATATCTCCGTATGATAACAGGTGGTCAGACTTGCTGCTGCATCCGTGAAGCCGAAATTTTAGGGGTTCTTTTCATCGTGCTCCACGCCATTACTTAGTGCCCTGGAATGCGTTTTAGACACCTATTGTTGGACACCTGGAGACCGCCTGTTTAGTTGCTCCACTGAAATCTTGCACCTAGCACATAGAAAATGGGCGGTGACTTTCTGCTAATTTCTGGGGTCCATCATAGAGACATTTCACATGTCCCACGGGTGAGTTCAACCATAAATGTCTAAAATACGTTCCAGATGGACCTTCACAACACATAAATGTGCCGAACGTATGCCCAGTAGGATTCCATCCCGACATTCGTCCAATCTCCAGATCCCGCAATTATGCAATACAAGTTGGCGCCCTAACTTTATCCTTTTCATAACCGATGAACCTGATTGGGCCTCAAATGTGTGCCTCATCGATCGTACTTCACTGAGAAGCTGCTTCACCAGTACGCACAGAACATTCCGCCAGGGATTGCCCTATTTGAACATTAACAACTCCATAACCTGCCCACGTGGGCTTCCAAGGATCATTGCAGATATCCTGAAGGATAAAAAGGTGGCCAGTATCAGTCCTCCCCCAGTCAAAGAATTCGACTCTTATCCGTAAGATGCCTCACCCCCTCACTGACACTCGAAATGGTTCCAGCGATTACCACATTACTTCCGTGCAATACGGGAAATATGTTCGTGATGTCCAGGCCAACGGCGTCCTTCCTCCCTATCCAATTGCCATTCTTCTGTCTGGGGATGATGTCAACCCTCCAAAAGTTGTTCTCATCCCTCATACCATGCATGAGTTGACCAACCTTAGTATGTTGCCTAGTTTACTGTCACAGAAGCCGACGGGGACGACACCTACACCATGAAGGTCAATGAGAACACTGTCCAGGAACTAGATGACCGCGTCTTTTCCTTCGAAGACGGATGTACTGAGGAGTGGGTTATCATTTTCAGGGAAAGCGAGAGAGCATATACGTAAGTTTCTGGTGTTTGAGACCGATGAGATGGTCGGATGATGATATGACAATACCTAGCATCGAGAGGAAGGCTGATAGTCCCAAAGCATGGACTACTCCCTTGCTGCCCATACAGAAGGTGGATCATTATCTGCAGGTATGACTTGATGACACCCCTCTCGCATTTCGGACAGTTGTCATGACATTTGCATAGATTTTCCTTCAGCCCCTCCACGGAGACCCTCCTCATTCCCCTGACCAGCTATTCAAATTTGATCTTGTAGAAGCATGAAGTGAACAAAGGTGGATTGGTACTGGTACGAAATGTAACCATAGGTGTTGTGTATGAGCAATAGTCAGTTGTCTGAATGTGCATTGTGCTTTGCCGACTTTACGAACGTGACGTCTCACAATCACAACTGACATCCGTCTTGGGAAAGCATACTGTGCGAGGGTTTTCATCTTTGATGTACCGAGGCATTGGATATACCACATTTATAGGCTACTCGTACTTGGCATCGTAAGCACTTAGCAAACCAGCCAAAGGTGGTCCCCAACGACTCAAGGCAACTCGGCTCGCCTGGTAGAATAGAAGTTAGAGAACCAATTGATGGGGACAAATTTCATCTTACCTCCAACATGGAAAAAACTTTCTCAAGGCGGGCTCTCAACCCTGATGATCAGGGTGGGTCACTGGTTTTTGTCACGAGGACGGGGTGAGGAAGTCAAAGTTGTACAAATGACATATCGCGTATCTGGCGGGAGCAGTTACATATAACGCAGATTACATATTACCGGTGTATGTATTGCGTGTATTGGGTGTACGGAGGACATCGATGTTTTTGAGTTTCCCATCTTCCATGGTATCCTTGAACCAACCAAGATCACCAACGATGAGATGCCTAGCCATCGCTGATGTTAGTTCGACACGCTCTTCAGAGCAGAGAGAAGTACTGCACCGATTCTTACAGTTAGGACACTGGATGATCATGACGCCGCTAGCATAGGCACGCTTGGTGAACGAATGTGCAGAACGATGGTTGCACCTCTCCACCGTACAAGTAAAGGTAGTGAGCAGCTGTGGTTCAGGTAGGTCGACATTGGACTGTTTTGAAGTCGCAAGGAGGAGGCGGTGGAGAGTTTCGTGGCATCTGTATTAGGTTGTTCTGGTCTTGCCTTGGAATTGTTTGACCGGAAAAGGGACTGGAAGGTGGGCGACATGAACGAGGTTGCTTGTCGATCGATTGGGTTTGCGACCATGCAGGCGAGGACGAGGAAGACGAAAGATCACACATGTAAGTGTGCCAATTACACATAATTATTGATCGAGGCATAGTGGGGATTCATCCAGTCGCGAAGTCAAAGGTAACATCCAAGGCTCCACTCCCACCTATCTCGTTGACAAAGTGAAAGATAAATCTTGTGGCCATGGGTGTCGACATGTCTTGCTGTTGGCGGTGTGCAACACAAGTTTCTGTTATTCCCCAAGGCTTACATGTTTGTTCGATAGCTTCCCCATTTTCCTAGCAACCGGTGGTGACTTCCAGGTGATATACCGCAAGACGAAGTACCATGATCCACACTGTTTGCAGATTCATCTGTACTGCTTCTCCTCCTTGCCGTTAGGACATACCAGCGGACCGAGGCAAGTTGTGAGTCACTCCTGCACCATCCAATTCGCATCATTGGGTCCCGGAGCGCCGTCGTGGGGTCCATCTCAGATATAGGTACCACCTTTAAGCTTCTGCTTGAATTTGCGGAAATGCTCAATTTAGCCCCAACATCTCCCTCTGGTCCATATGCCAAATGCACTTCTGAAGCAGCTGAATTGTTTGACGTATAGGTACGCGATCCTGCCATCCCAGCAGTATGTTAATGTCTCTACTTGCACACTGAAGAAGCACCAAGAAGTATTAAATGACAACTTGCTCCTGTCAGCGAGTCAAGTCGAAATCCAAGAGATTCTTGTCTGGAAGAGGATCGCGAAGTTCACATGCTAATCATCGTAATTAATCATGCTAACATGTGGAGCGCGGATTACCTCCTCACTACTCATCAGCAAGCAGACTGATTTGTCCCTGATCGTCCCCCACCTGCTCTGTGGTCTGCAGCACTATCAAGGATCGGATCTCTTGTAGCGTCAATGCAGGATTGCCATCCGCCTGGTCCACGTTCCCGGCTGGTCAATTGATCGTGCTCCACTCGGTAATTCATTTTCCTAATGGTCTTTACTGTATCCTGCTCCAACTGTTTTCTCGAACGACCCTTCAATTTGTGAGCCCATTTTTCTAGATATAGCCTCGGCAATCTTGCTGAGGACTAAATTCACCATTGAGACGCTAAAATCAGATACTAGCATCTAGGCTGTAGGAAACGTACAGAGCTGGGGGATCCAACATTTATGACCACCGTGAAATCACTCTTTTCGCTTTTCGTGTGCTTGTCGTTTCATGTTTTCGATGTGCTACTCATGGCAAATGTGGGTTTGCGCTTGAAGCAGACTTCTGTGCCCACTGAAATGATTCAGCGCGTGTAAATTCTGAACGATCATGGTCAAAGGCTCAGGACAATAGTGAAGAATTGAGTAGGAATGTGTGTGCGCACTCAGACGAAGGACTCTGCATCGTATTCGTAACCCGACATGGATATCCTGTCACTTCGGTCACGCGGTCGCGCATATCATCCTCCCGTCACTCCTGCAGTGGGACAAATGAAATCACACAAAGCCATGTACCACGAGACTCAGACTCTGGATGGAGGGCTCACACGGCAAAGTACAATGCACATTCAGTCAACTGACTATAGTTCGACACAACACCTATTGTTACATTTCGCACCAGTGCCGAATCCACCTTGTCTGCTTCACACTTTTACACGCTCAAATTTGAACAGCTGGGACAGTAAGTTCCCGTCCATTGGTCGTGTTCGAGGCATGATGTGGGTACGGGACTGCCAGATTTCGTACCTCCAACGGGCTAGCCACGGTACCAATGATCAGCATGAGGTTGATGGATGCGAACAGAGGAACTAGCACCGAGCGGGGTGCACCAGGGCCTGAGGGAGGGCAGACTACTGATCTCCACATCACAATCACTGCTCGACGGTCTGCAGACTTGGGAATTAGTGTGGGAGAAATCATGGTCGATATCATTCAGAAAGTCCAGGTTGTTACCAAGGATATGGCTGGGTTGATGGCAAGTGTTCTTTTCATGTGACTTTGTGCCAGTGAAATCGAGTTTCTTGTGCAGACTTGAATGGCTCCGCAACACATCCCCACCTAATTTAATTGCCCTCGTGCATCCTACCCAACTCTGTGCATGTTTCCGAGGACGTGTGAAGATGAATGGTCCTGCACCTCCCCCGAGATTGCTTGTTCAGTTGCTCTACTGAAATCTTCAACCTAGCACATTTGCGGTGTGCATTGTGGCTAGACAGGGTAAATAGTGGGCCCGTGCTCGCATGGTACATGCTTGCCTCGCGGCGAATCGGTTTTCCAAACCTTCATCCAGTACCCAGGAGGCTGGGTCGTGTTTTAGATATTTATGGCTGAACTCATCCGGCAAAGGGCATGTGAGATGTCCCATAGACGCCAGAGACCTTCCGCAAAAAGGTTGCCATCCATTTGCTGCGCTCGCGACGTACTATGGGTACCAAACTGGTCTTCGACGCGCCATCCACGATGGAGTAGGATCTCAACTTAGAAGGACCGATTTTAATCCTTGGACCAATCTCCAGATCCCATAATTATGCAAGCCGATCAAGCTGGCGCCCTAACTTTGTCCTTTTCATATTTATTATTGATGAATCCAATTGAAACTTGGGGGCGTGGCTCTGGAGGCTCTGGTCATTCGATTGTGCCACATTGAGAAGCTGCTTCACTGGTACTCACAGAACGTTCCATCACAGTTTGCTCTATTTGAGTGACATTCACATTCGAAAATACTTCGCATGACCTGCGCACTGCAATCCATGGGCTTCCGGGGATCCTTGCAGGTATGTAGTTCGCAGAGGATAAAAAGGCGACCAGCTGTTGGCCACTGGCCATCCCTCAGCCAAGAATTCGACTCTTCAAATCCACAAGATGACTCAAAACGGTTCCAGTGAATACTACATTACTTCTGTGGAACATCAGCAGTTCCTTAGTGACGCCAAAGACAACGGCGTGCTTCCTCCCTACCCGATTGTCCTTCATCTTCCTAAAACTATGCCCCCCACAGCTATTCTCATTCCTTGCACCATGCATGGGGAGTTGACTGACTCTTTGTGCATTGTCTAGTTTACCATCACAAAACGCGAGGGGGTCAACACTTACACCATCAAGGTCAATGGGAACACCATCCGGAACTTAGATAATTGTGTCAGTTCCTTCGAAGACAGACATACTGAGGAGTGGATTATCACTTTCAGGGAGGCCCATAGACCATATACGTAAGTTTCTGGTGTTTGAGACTGATGAGATGGTTGAAAAATATAACAATACCTAGTGTTGAGAGGAAGGGTGAAGGCGGTTTGGCATGGACTGCTCCCTGGCTCGAGCCGAAAAAACCTAATCCCTTGCAGGTATGACCCAATGTCAGCTCTCTAGCACTTCGAACGATTATTCTGACATATCTCCAGATTCTCTGTGAGCCCCTCATCGGTAATCTATCAGACCCTCCTCAGTTCGACCCTGCCCATCTGTTTAAATTTGAGCTTGCGAAAAGAGTGAAGTGAACAAAGTGGATTTGGTACTGGTGAGAAATGCGACGATGGGTGTTGTGTATGAGCTATAGCCAGTTGCCTGAATGAGCATCGTGCTTTGCCAATTTTATGAACGTGACCATCTCACAATCACAATTGACATCCCGTCTTTTACAGCATGCTATGCAAATACTGGTGCAGGTTTTCATCTTGGATGTACCCAAGCATTGGACATACTGCACTTATGGACTACCCGTACTTGGCATCTTAAGCACTTGGTCAACCAGACAAAGGTGGTCCTCAACAACTCGACGCAACTCAATTCGCCGGTAGGACAGAGATCAGAGAGCAGTCTACTGGGCGCAAAATCCATCTGACCTCCAACACAAAAAAAACAGTTCTCGAGGCGGGCTCTCAACACTGATGATTAGAAGTGGGTCACTGGTTCTTGTTACGAGCAGCCAACATATGAGCTTCCTCCAGTTGGCACATTTGATGGATGTGAGGGAATGAGGAAGTCAGGATAGTACGAATGTCACATCAGTATACCAATGTATGTATTGTATGTAGTGGGTGTCTCCGGCTCTGCATAAGAAAGTGAGGCAGACGTCACGGAATTTAAAGACACCGATGTACCTGCAAGTGGTCCACAAATTCGATATCACCATCTGTTGAGTCCAGTTTTGCTTTGCGAAACGCTCTCCCCACGTACACGGAGGACATTCTCGTCGAGTTCTCGAGTTTCCTGCCTTCAATAGGCCCATTGAACCAACCAAGATTATGCCTTGGCCAGTTCCGCACGGTACAGCGAATGTGGTCACATAGCGTTCTTGAGCCACCTTGAGGCCAACATGGTTGTTTGGGTTGTTTTGGGGGCAGAGGTTGAAAGGAAATGGTGTTAGATTTGGCAAGTTGCTCGTAGCCTTCGTTCACTAATTGATGCTACTTTTCCTTACCATGGGAAACACTTCCCGTTTACGGGTCTACAAGACCACTGTACTTAGTTGTTTCGAGCGCTGACAATACAGCGTGGTAATTTTTGGTTTATTGTCTCCAAATGTTTCATATGTATAATTAACGGTACAAGCACTTGCGCTATGACCGTGCTTGTAGTTTCAATACCGGGTTCAACACCCATGTCTCACCCTTTTGTTTCATATAGCATATTTAACTCATTACTGTAGTAACACCACCTCAGACGTTTGCCGCTCGCACACTCGACTGAGGTGGGTATAGTGTCTTGTTCCCATGTTCATGTACTTCACACTCACGTCGTTACCTTAGATCTTGCTATAGGTAATGCGAATTCAGACGTTTGCCGCTCGCGCACTCGACTGAGATCTTGCTATAGATTTCTGTGAGGTTATGAGCCCTGAGCTCTAATAGCCTATACGACGTCTCACCATTGTTTTTGATATTCTCACTGCCAACCAACCCTCGTCCCCCCCCCCCCCCACAAATGACTACTGCCATCCCTGTCACCACCGACACGCTCCCAGGCAATGTCCTGAAACTTGACATCAAAGGTGTGAACTGGGCGATCTTCTCCCTTTCGCTTCCAGACCACCATCAAAGCTAAGGAATTGTGGTCCCATTTTGATGGCACCTCTCCTTGCCCTGTCGGCACGACCTCCACTGATCAGGATGGATTCGTAACCGTAGTCCCTCCTGATGCTGACGAACTCACTAAGTGGCAAAAAAGCGAAAATATGGCGAAACACTTACTTACCCAACGGATCCCTGATTCCACTGCACTCCAGGTGCGTAGCCTTAACAGCGTCGCAGCTATGTGGAATGAAATTGTTCATGAATACATGGAGAAGGGTGCTTATGCACAGACTGACCTTCGCACAAAGTTTCTAAACTTGCAGTGCCCTGTTGACGGTGATGTCTGCCAGTTCTTGGACGATCTGCATACGAAGAGAGATGAGTTAGCTGCCATCGGCATACAGATTGAAGAAAAGGATTACCACTCAACCATCATCTAATCGCTGCCTAAGTACCTCACCAGCTTCGCATCTGGACAGCTAGCAACCGCACGCCTGTACAGCCCAACACAAACTATTGACCCCAACGTTCTCATCTCCTTGATCATCAAAGAGTCTGAGCACAGAAGTCGCAAAGAGACTTGGCATGTGCGATCCAAAGCCAAGAATCGCGATGGCGATGAAGCCATGTCATTGACCCCCGGAAATTCTTTCAGAAGGGGGAGAGGAAATGGAAGAAATGGTAGTCGAGGGGGTAGCTCCAGAGGGCACACTCGCCAGCAAGGCCCCTGCTGGAACTGTGGGTCGAGAGAACACTACAAATCTCAATGTCCTGATCTTGACAAAACAAAGAAAGAAAGCTTACCTGCTGCCACCAAGGGATCTGTGCATGCTGTAATGCTCGATTCTGATGAAGAGGGCGCCTTCTCAGTGCACGCCCTGGATGAACTCGATGACGAGGGTTCACTCCCTGACTTGCTGAGCGTATCGTCAGACAACGATGACGTTGATTGATGCTGCTTCATCACCACCAACAAAGACTGGTTCAGCGAGATGGGGGATGTGGATGATGAGCACTCACCCCACGGTGACGCTTCAAATCATGTCAAGCCCACTAACACCTCCCCAGAGTTCGTGAACCTCATAAATGACAGCCCCATCGGCATGCCTGTCATTGAACTCTACAATTCTGGATCCACTCGACACATCTCCCCTTACAAGGAGAAGTTCGAGACATTGGTGACGATACCACCCAAGTCATTCTCGGCTGCCAACAAACAACTCTTCGATGCTACAGCTATGGGGGAGTTAGTCATAGAGGTGCTGAATGGGTACGATGTAACTAAACTGCGACTCACCGAAGTACTATACTCACCTGAGGTCAGATACACCCTTGTGTCCGTCGGCCGCCTTGACCAGCTAGGCTACTCCGTCACCTTTGCTGAAGGTACCTGTACCATCAGGAACCCTGCTGATGATGTTGTTGGTCACATCCCTAAGTCTAAAGCTGGGCTCTATCGCGTCGTCCACAACGATGATCGCAACAGTGCAAACACAGCAGCTGAATCAATAACTGTGATGGAACTTCACCGTAGGATGGGACACATTTCTCTGTCCATCGCTTGTCGCCTAGCTGAAAAGGGACTTGTATCAGGTTTGAAGTTCAACTTGTCAAAAGACGAGCCGACCTTCTGTGAAGCCTGTGTATACGCGAAGGCAACCAGGAAGCCTGTCACGAAGGAATGCATCGGAGAATGAGCTCGCGAGTTTGCTGAAGAAGTACATAGCGACATCTGGGGACCCGCACCCATAGAAACTCTCGGTGGACAGCGTTACTACATTTCCTTCACCAACAATAAGACACGACTCACCTATATTCATCTCCTTTGCCAGAAGAGTGAAGCCTTCACAGCCTACAAAGATTTCGAGGCCTGGTGTCACACCCAGCATAACGCTCGCGTGAAGACCCTCCATTCCGATCAAGGTGGCGAGTACCTCAGAAAAGAATTTGTGATGTACCTCAAGGTGGCTGGAACGAAACAGAAGCTCACCATACACGATACCCCACAGCACAATGGAGTCGCTGAGCATCTCAATTGCACCTTGCTTGAAAAAGTCCATGCCATGCTGCATGAGAGCAGCTTGCCTCGCACTCTATGGGGTGAAGCGGTGCGCCACTGCTGTCTGGTTAAAGAACAGGACTCCCACCAGAGCACTTGACGGTGGGACGCCCCTTGAAGCTGCGACCGGGAAGAAACCAGACCTCAGTCAAGCCTGCGCATGGGGCTCGAGTGTCTGGGTATGAATCGAGGGTGGAACCAAACTTGGAGGGCGTGTTGTGGAGGGCCTGATGGGTTGGAATTGATGATAACAGCCCCAATGGCTGTTGCGTGTACTGGCCTGAAAAGAAGTCAGTTACCGTCGAAAGGAATGTATATTGGAATCCCTCCTCAGCTGAGTCATTACCTCGCGAGGGGGAGGAAGAAGACAGCTACTTACCGAACACAATGCTAACACCTCCAGCTCCCATCCCAAAGACAAAAGAAATTCCAACGCCTCCACATGTCACCCCGGCTCATCCCGTGCCCCCATCACCTCCAGCTGAACCACCTGTCATGAAACTGAATTCGAAAGCCTAGCCAACAACTTGCTGATATCCTCGCCAGGTAAAGGCAGTACAAATGGTCGTGGTATACCTAATATACCAAAAGGAGTCCAGCTCCCCACTACAGTCAAAGACAAAGCCAACCCCACCAGACTTGAGGGGGAGGACAGAGCCACAGCTTTGCTCACATCCATCGTAGACGATCCCAACGATGCCCTTTGCAATATCGACCTCGCTATGGCCATGAATGAAGTCACCACTGAGTCCGAAGCCCTTGAGCCTACCTCACTGGCTGAGGCTCGTCATCGGCCAGATTGGCCACAGTGGGAGGCCGGGATAAGAGAAGAGTTAGCAACGTTACATGCGGCAGGTACTTGGGAACTTGTTGACACACCTTGTGGTGCCAACATAGTTGGATCCAAATGGGTGTTCCACATGAAGAAAGACACTGCTGGAAATGTGGTACGGTACAAAGCCCGACTCGTCGCTCAAGGCTTCTCTCAAGTCGAAGGTGTTGATTATTTCGATACCTTCGCCCCAGTCACAACGCTTGCATCCATTTGAACCGTCCTTGCCATGGCAGCGCGATCAAACCTGGAACTCCATCAGATCAATATCAAAGGCACATACCTGAACGGTACACTTACCAATGACAAAGTAATCCACATGTGACAGCCCCCAGGCTTCGAATCCACTGATCACCCCAATAAAGTCTGTCGCCTCCGAAAGACATTGTATGGTTTGAAGCAGAGCGGCCGTTGCTGGTACCAAAGATTAGTGGAGATCCTTGTCGATGAGCTGGGCCTTACCCAGTGCTCGGTCGACCAGGCTGTCTATTTCAGACGATGCACCACCGGTGAGCTTGTCATCATTGTCATCCATGTCGATGATTGCACCATTGCCGCAACATCCCTAAATGAGATAGAGGAGCTTAAGCGCAACGTCAGAAAATACGTTGAGATTACCGACCTTGGGGAACTTCACTGGCTGCTTGGCATTGAAGTAACCAGAAATAGAGACGAACGTACCATCTCCCTGTGCCAACGCCCCTACATCAAGTCCATCATATGATGCTTCAGCTTCGACGAGCTCAAGCCCGTGTCAAACCCGATGGAACCCAGTACCAAACTGCATTCTGGGCAGTTGCTGTCAACTGGTGCTGAATTCGCTATGATGTGCCATGTACCCTATCGTGAAGCTGTAGGATTGCTCATGTACACCTCCCTTGTCACTCGTCCTGACATCTCATATGCCGTAACAACTGTCTCACGTTTCTTGGGCAACCCTGGAGTTGCTCATTGGGAAGCTGTAAAGAGAATTTATCGGTACCTTCTCGGGACAAAAGGCTTATGACTCACATATGGGGGATCACCAAGTGCGTTGACTGGGTATGCAGATGCAGACAGTAGCATGGCAGAAGACCGCAGAGTGGTCTCAGGGTACACTTTTCTAATAGACAGCGGAGCGGTGTCATGGTCTTCTAAAAGACAGGAAATCATCTTGCTCTCAATGACTGAGAGCGAGTATGTGGCAGCCACACATGTGGCCAAGGAGGCCTTGTGGCTTCAGTCGCTCATTGGAGAGCTTTTTCAGCCATTCGTCGAGCTGACCACATTGTTTTCTGATAATCAATCAGCCATCACGCTCACTAAAGACCATCAGTATCATGCACACACCAAACACATCGATATCCGTTTTCACTTCATTTGCTGGGTCATAGAAAACAGCAAAATTCACCTCATATATTGCCCGACCACAGACATGATCGCCGATACGCTAACGAAGGTGCTACCGTCTCCGAAGGTGAAACATTTCATGGTTGAACTCAGCCTACACCCGACTTGAGGGGGAGTGTTAGATTTGGCAAGTCACTCGTAGCCTTCATTCACTAATTGACGCTACTTTTCCTTACCATGGGAAACACTTCCCGTTTATGGGTCTACAAGACCACTGTACTTAGTTGTTTCGAGCGCTGACAATACAGCATGGTAATTTTTGGTTTATTGTCTCCAAATGTTTCATATGTATAATTAACGGTACAAGCACTCGCGCTATGACTGTGCTTGTAGTTTCAATACCAGGTTCAACACCCATGTCTCACCCTTTTGTTTCATATAGCATATTTAACTCGTTACTGTAGTAACACCACCTCAGACGTTTGCCGCTCGCACACTTGACTGAGGTGGGTATAGTGTCTTGTTCCCATGTTCATGTACTTCACGCTCACGTCGTTACCTTAGATCTTGCTATAGGTAATGCGAATTCAGACGTTTGCTGCTCGCGCACTCGACTGAGATCTTGCTATAGATTTCTGTGAAATGGGACACGCACTCAAGTCACAAGTCACAAGTAAGAGGCGACTGGAGATAGCAGAGAGATCCTGCAGAGGCGACGAGCAAGCTTGTTGATCGATTGACGTGTTTCCTAGGCTGATGGGGACGTTGCGTTACATATACCACGAGATCAGTGGAGCAGCAAGATGTGGCCCCGCGAGCAAGGAGCTGAGTGATCTGTACTCTTCTCCCGCCTGACTAAGCATCCCTCCCCTCCCTACTCCACCGGTACAAGAGTATCGTGCAGAGTTGACGGCAAACAGTATGTGGGTCTCGACTCTCGAGTACTTCTGGCTCTATGCCCGTCCTCTCACTGTGTTGAAAACCTTCAAGGGTCCAGAGATCCTTACGCACACACGTGAATTGGCACAAAGTCTGGTCCTACAAAATCACTATATCGGTGACCCCATGGAGTCAGCCAGTCCTGACGGTTTTTCTGGGTCGTATACGCAGATACCGATTCCGTCTTCATCAATATTTTCCAACGTCACAGAGCTCTCGGAGTGATTTTTTTTGACGTTTGGCCGCGTGCTTACCCGTGAAGCAGTGCGAATCATCGATCAATATGCGACGTAGCTTTGGGAACTGCCAACATTACAAGTAAATAAGGACGGTTTGAACTTGGAGCATCAGGGCGACACTGGGAAAGTCACGGGACTACCGTCATATCGACGGTTTGCATGCCAGGTTAATCATCGAACTCATCTCACTGCAGCGACCGTGTCACTAGGGACACTGTGACCCTGTGCTCTGGCGATGAAGTTGGCCCTTGCACCAAGGTCATCTAAAAGTATGTTTGACATTGGACTTGTTTTTGGTAGCGCCATGGACTTTCTGAATGATGCTGAATACGATGGTATGTAGATGAATTTCTCAATTCTCACTTGCTGACATCTCCATCTCAGCACACGTACGGGTGTCTACAATCGCAAAGTTCCGAGGACCTTTGAAATGCAAGGATCAGAAGTTCCGTGTTTCCCTCCATTCAAAGATGCCAACCTGGTACAATCGTAGATACCATCGCACTGGGTCTAGATGGGCGTTTGGTTCGTACGATATAGTAGTTTCGTACCCATTCTATGCCGCGGGCAAGGCACTGGTGTGGCAGATCAATCGCTGGCGCCTATACGATCCCCAAGAGGTAAGTTTAAGATCTCCAGGACACGTGCCAAGTCACGGAGTAATTTCTTGGATAGGATGTCCTTCACATCGCAAACTTGCGTGACGGCGCGAAACATGATTTGGTTACAACTTACACCGGATCTAGGACAGATTTTGCACCTTCGTTCCGTCTTCGGCTTCCGCAATATGCAATACACGTTGGCGCTCAAGTCCTCATGCATGGCGCCGTACTTCTGGCTTCCCATTGATTGCTCTATCTTGGTATGTTGTGAAGATACTTCTCGGTATGTGCAGAACATTCCATAGCCCTGACGGGGTGGAATCCACTCCCGTTCGGGAATGCATACACATGAGCCACCAGTTCATGACATTCACGAGAGAGTCGGATACTGATACAATGATACCTAGCTCCGAAAGGAGGGTTGGGCTTCTTACGTGAAGAGCCTGAGCCTGAGCGTCAGGTATGGTCCACTGCTTCTCCCACACGTGGGACGCCTCTGGGACGACTTTTACGTCGGCGGCACGAATAATGTTTGTTTTCCGTGCTTGTTCAAGTTATACGCTCAATGGAAATCAGCGTAAAAATGGTTGGTCATCCCCATTGCCCAAGCTAAGGTGGCCCATCCCTCGCCCCGACGACGCTTCATTGGATGATTCGCTACACCCAATCTCGGACAGATTTTGCGGCTTCGTCCCATCTCCAGCCTCCGCAATATGCAATGCAAGTTGGCGCTCAAGTCCTCCTGCGTGGTGCCGCACGACTGGCTTATCGATTACTCCACCTTGGTGTGTTGCTTCTTCTGTACTTGCAGAACATTCCATCAGAGCTTGTTCTAATGGAGTAGTTCGAATATGAAAGTAGTCCCATGACCTGATGGGGTCGGATTCAAGGGTTTCCGAAGACCATGAGGGTACCCAGTCCTCAGAGGATAAAAGGGCGACCGACTATCAGTGCTTCCCCCAGTCAACGTACTCGACTATTATTTTCAACATGATGCACAGGCTCCGTCCCGGCGTGTACCAGATCATCTCTGTGGCATACAAGGAAGACCTTGGTCTTTCCCGATTCGCGAACCCCATTTACCCCCCGCCTCCTGTTCCAGTTGTAGTCCTTCCCGACGGAGTATTGCCTCCTAAGGTAAATCTGATCCCGGTATTATTTACAAGGAGTTGATTGATCTCGATTCACCCAGTTTATCGTCGAGCTGGTCGTAGATGAGCCGGAGACCTATCTCATCAAGGTCCAGGAGGACATGAGTCCAGTAATCAAGAACACCCGCGGTGTTCCCGGTCCAGAGGATCCTCGTCTACCTGATCCTCGCGTCTTCGCCTTCGAAAATGAACCTGCTGAGAAGTGGGTTGTCCTCCACAGAGAGGATGATGAGGATGACGACATATACACGTAAGTTATTAGTGCTTAGTATTGACGAGAGAGTGAGATACTGATACAGTAATCCCTAGCATCGAAAGGAAGCCTGGGTATGGAAATCTTGCATGGACTGCTCCGCGGCGCGAAGAGCCCGAGCCCGAGCGTCAGGTATGATCCACTGCTTCTCCCACATGTGAGACATTTATCCATAGCATATTTCCAGATTCTCCTCCGCGAACTGATTGTTAGACCAGCTGACCCTCCTATTTACGATCCTTTCCAGCTGTTCAAATTCCAATTTGTATGCCCGGCGTGATGTGAGGACGACAATTATGTACCCTTGTCCGAAATGTAACAATATGTGACTAGTACTGTCCAATGAATGCTGTGTGATGACTTCATCGTACTTTGACTCCTGCGTGTGTCAAACCAGTGGTCCCGTAATAGGCAGACCACAGACTCGATGGAAGACAATCACTCCCAGCTGTTCCCCCGTTCTAGAACTCCAAATCATGACAAAGCATCGACCGTCTCACAATCACAATTGACATCCGTCTTTTGACAGCGTACTGTGCGAATGCTGGCGAGGGTTTTGTCTTTCTGATGTATGTACCCAGGTATTGGACATGTCAGATTTGCGGGCCACACGTACTTGGGCCAACATCCTAAGCACTTGGCCAACCAGACGAAGGTGGTCCCCAACGACTCAACACAACTCAGGTCGCCTGGTAGAACAGAGGTCAGAGAACCTCCAACACGAAAAGAACTTTCTCAAGGCAGGCTCTCAACGCTGATGATGAGGGTGACTCCCTGGTTCTTGCCACGAGCATCCAACATATGAGCTCCCTCCAGTTGGCGCATTCAGTGGACGCAAGGGAGCGAGGGAGTCAAGGTTGTACGAATAACGCATCGCGTATCTGGCAGGAGCGGTTTTTAAACGCTGATTACAAATTATAGCGTATGTATTGTATGCAGTGAGTTTCTCCTGGCCCTGCGCAAGAAAGTCAGTCGGAAGTCACGGAATTCGGAGAAACCAACGTACCTGCTAATGGTCCAAAAATTCGATATCACCATCTATTGAGTCCAGTTTCACCTTGCGAACGCTCTCTCCGCGTGCACGGAGGACGTCCTCGATATTCTTGAGTTTCCCATCTTCCATAGTATCCTTGAACCAACCAAGATTATCAGCGATAAGATGGCTAGCCTCGTCGTTGATGTTAATTGGATACGCTCTTCAGAGCAGAAAGAAGTACCGCACCGATTCTTACAGTTGGGACACTGAATAATCACGACGCCGCTAGCATAGGCACGCTTCGTGAATGAATGTGCAGAACGATGGTTACATTTGTCCACTGTACAGGTAAACGCAATGAGCAGCCGTGGTTCAGGTGGGTCGGCATCAGACTGTTTTGAAGTCGGCGAGGAGGTTGTGGAGAGTTTCGTGGTATCTGTGTTAGGTTGTTCTGGTGTTGCTTTGGAAGCAATTGCCCGAATGCTATCTGCGGGCCGTAGTCTTGACCGCGCAGCTACTACTGCCCTGGCCGATGCCGCACGGTACAGTGAATGCGGTCGCACGGCGTTCTTGAGCCATCTTGAGGCCAACATGGTCGTTTGAGGTTGTTTTTGGGGGCGGAGGTTGAAAGGAAACGGGACACGCGCTTGTGGCGTGTATCCGCGGCTTGTAACTGGCAATATGGCAGAGCGATCGCGCCGAACGAAGGGAAATACGGACAAGTTTGCAGCGTACAAACGCGTACGAGAAGGCGGGAAAAGGGACTGGAAGGTAGGCGACGTGAAGGAGAGAGCCTGTCGGTCGATTGACGCGTCGCCCAGGTCGATGAGGACGTCGCGCTATACGACGAGGTCACCGAAGACCAGTACAAGAGTATCGTGCGGGGAAGACTGCAGGAGGACGATTTCGTCGTTGACGATGGCGTGAGCGGTTACATGGACAACGGGATGGACGATTGGGGTCACAACGATGTGGACGAGGACGAGAAAGAGGAACGATCACACTCAACCAGGAAATGTAAGTCTGCCGCACGATGCGGTCACTAGCTATTGACCGAGACATACATTACAGCTAAGAAGAGAACTGGGGATGCTGTCGCCAAGTCGAAGGCAAAATCAAAGGCTCCACCCCCGCCCGTCGCGCAGCCTTCGATCAGCGCGTATCGTCCAGCCGTATCCGCCGAACAGGAAGATGATTTTATGGCGAACCTTCTCGGAGGCATCGAGTCAGGTCCAAGTCTCACTCCAAAGAGGACAATGAAAAGGAAACCCTCGCCGTTGTCTGATTATGACGACGTGAAACCTGCTCTCAATTCTTCGCCTGTTCCGTACAGAGAACGGAAGAGTTCTAAGAACTTTAACCACGACCCTTACTCATCTGATGGTATGCCTGACGACTTAGGTTCATCTAATCCACCCTCCAGTGACTACGAGGACTACTCAACCATGCTGAGTCCCAAGAAGAAAGCACGTGTCGACAAAGACTCTACCGCAGTGATTCCCGCTATCAAACGCATGGGTGAACTAGCTATGCACAGCGGTTCGGAAGACGCGTCAATGGATTTTGATGATGTCGACATGGAGGAGTTCATGAAAATCGACGACATCGATGAGAAGCCTACCCTTCCCATTAAGAAAGAATTGCCTGCAACAAAGCTGGATTCGAAGCCGATCCCTAAGATTGATGTGGCAAAACAGGAGGCTGGTGTTCCTTCCTGGCTTTCCGTCTACGACTCCCTTGCTGTCACCACCGATGACATGCTAGGGTCAGGTTCCTCATCAAAGTCAAAATCTTCCGTAGATGCGCTCAATAAGGATGGAACCCTCCATATGTTCTGGCTTGATCATCTGGAACACAATGGCAAGCTCTACCTCGTTGGCAAAGTGAAAGACAAATCTTCTGGTACATGGGTGTCGGCCTGTCTCGCTATCGGGGGGATGCAACGCAACCTCTTTGTTCTTCCTCGTCAGCTACGAGTCATGGAACAAGAAAATGAGGCAGGCGAAACCGAAATAGTGGACACGGACGTCGTCCCAGAGAGGCAGGACGTCTACGACGATTTCGATCGCATACGTAGGAAATTGGGTATCAAAGCATGGAAGGCACGCTGGGTCAAACGGAAGTATGCCTTCGACATGAAGGACGTTCCTAAGGAGGCCGAATGGATGAAAGTTTTGTACTCGTATGAAGGTGAGTTTCCCTTCGGTCATCAAGCATCAAGCGGTGACGGGTGCTCTGCAGAGAGCCAGATTCCTATGGATGCCTGCTCGCCAAATATCTTTCGAATCTTCGGGACGAACACGAGTATCTTCGAAATCTTTGTTCTAAAACGCAAAATCATGGGTCCCTGTTGGCTGGCAATCAAGGACGTCAATATCGATGCCTCTGGGGTATGTGATACTTGTCTGTTTCCACTGATCGATCTCGTTGATATTTGCTTCAGATTTCATGGTGCAAGCTTGAAGCCAGCGTCTCCAGTCCAAAAGACGTGAGCCCCATGGGTGACGGCGCCCCAGAACCACCGCCCCTCACTATCATGAGTCTTGCTGTGCGAACTGTCCTTAACCACCAAGAAAACAAGCGTGAAATAGTTTGTGTCTCTGGTCGAATATGGCGCGACGGTATGCATTAACCTCGTCCTTTATATCTCCTGCTTATGTACTGTACAGTGCGGCTGGATGACCCAACGCCTCCGGAACAGTTGCAATGCACCGTTCATACCCTCGTTCGCCCGCTCGACAGGTTCCCACCCAAATTCGAAGAATACGCCAGAGCCAATGGCAGAAGTATAATTTCCCCGATGCAGAACGAACGTATGCTTTTAAATAACCTCTTGAGTATGTCTTCCCATTTCCCCAGCCTCCCGTAAGTTGACTGGCTTTCAGTGACGATATACAAAGCGGATCCCGACGTATTGATCGGGCACGATTTCCTCGGAGTGTCATTAGATGTCCTCCTTAGCCGAATGAAGGATACCAAGACTGATCACTGGTCACGTCTCGGTCGGTTCAGGAGGGCGAAGTGGATCCCTATCGGTAGACAAGGTACCAACATCCGGTTCATGGCCGGTCGTTTACTCTGCGATCTCGCCAGCGAAGGTGCACGCGTACGTGAACTTCCCCTTGTTTACTGTTCATTCTATGCTCAGCTACAATTGGCAGAGCATGATCGCATCCACGACGTGGTCTCTTACCGAGATGTGCAAGTCGCACCTCAAGTCTGACAGGCAGGATATCGATGCAGATGATACTGCGACATACTTCGACGGGAGCTTGTCGTCGCCGGATATGCTTATGACGTTCGTGCGACACTGTGAACTTGACGCTCACTACCAGATGGCTATCGCGTCTAAAGTGCAAATTCTCCCTCTGACGAAACAGCTCACTAACCTTGCTGGTAATGCTTGGTTGGTAATGAGTGCGTGGAAGGAGCCGCGTTCTAACGTGCTTTCTATATAGGAACAAGACCCTAAACGGTGGTCGTGCAGAGCGGAACGAATACATTCTTCTGCACGAATTTCATAGACTGAAATACATCTGCCCTGACAAGACTTTTGGTAAAAAAGCTCCCAAGCCCGACCCGGACGCTGATGAGGACGGCGAAGGAGGAGGCGGTAAAGGAGGTAAGAGCAGACGCGACAAATATAAAGGTGGATTGGTGTTCGAACCGAAGCGTGGTTTGTGGGACAAGTATATCCTCGTCATGGACTTCAACTCGCTATACCCGAGCATTATCCAGGAGTACAACATTGATTTCACCACAGTCGATCGGTCAGATAATGTTGGTGGCTCAGACGTTCAGTTTAGTGGGCGACACTGACGAGGGATTTTGCCAGGACGCGGACGAGACAATACCAGATCCCCCTGATTCACATATTCCACAAGGTGTCTTGCCGAGACTTATTGCAACCTTAGTCCAACGTCGACGGCAAGTCAAATCGCTGATGAAAGACCGCTCGGTACCACACGCCAAACTCCTTCAAGTATGTCGTGTATATTCGTGAGTGGTCTCTGAAAGTTGACGATCGAGTATGCCATAGTACGACATCAAGCAACAAGCGTTAAAGTTGACGGCGAACAGTATGTATGGGTGTCTGGGTTTCGAGTACTCCCGGTTCTACGCCCGCCCTCTCGCTGCGTTGACGACCTTCAAGGGTCGAGAGATTCTTACGCATACACGCGAACTGGCGGAAACTCTGCAGCTCGATGTTAGTTCACCATCTTCCTCCGCTAGATCCGTCCATTCTGAGGGAGGTTTTCTAGGTGGTGTACGGAGACACCGACTCCGTCTTCGTCAATTCGAACGTGACAGAGCTCTCGGAGGCCCTCAAGATATCCGCAGAATTCAAGCGAGCCGTCAACAATCAATACAAACTTCTCGAGATCGACCTTGACGGCATATTTGCACGACTCCTGCTTCTGCAGAAAAAGAAGTATGCAGCGCTTAAAGTTGAGGAAGGAACACGTACGTCAATTGAGGTCAAAGGTTTAGATATGAAGCGCAGGGAGTATTGCGCGCTGTCGAAGAATGTTTCACAGTAAGTGATCGTTTCATGTGTCTTGGTTGCGTTGATTCAGGTGTGCGGTGCGTGACCGGCAGGTATGTGCTGGATCAAATTTTGTCAGGCGAGGCGACCGAATTCGTCGTGCAAAATATCCACGAGTACTTAACTACGATCGGTTTGAACGTACGGAGTGGCAAGGTCAATGTAGAGGAGTTTATCATTCACAAGGTACGTAATTCCCGTAGGTCCCAAGGACTTATTGACATGTAATGTAGCGACTGGGCAAAAACCCGGAAGATTACCCCGATGCTAAGAGTCAACCTCATGTCCAAGTTGCGCTTCGTATGAAGGCCAAAGGCGGTAGTGCCCGATCCGGAGATGTCATTCCTTATGTCTTCTGTATCGGAAATGGCGAGGAGCCCTCGAAAACCGCGCAGGCTGACCGTGCGAGGCATCCGGATGAATTGAAGAAAGCGGCACCTGGAGAGTTGGACATTGACTACGAGCATTACCTTGCCAACCAGATATTACCACCCATCGAACGCCTGTGTGATCCAATTGAAGGAACGGACAGAACTCGGCTAGCTGAGTGCCTAGGTGAGTCGTTTGTCTTCATTTTGGCTGTGATCTAAATCAGAAGCAGGGCTCGACCCGAGTCGTTACCGAACTGCTGGGAGCGGAGGCGGAGGCCCAGCATTCGCTACCCTCGAGTCACAGATCCCAGATTCTGAGCGGTTCAAGGATTGTCAGCCCTTCTTTATTCGGTGTAGAAAATGTAAGGGCGAGGCTGAATTCAGACCGATCTGGGAGCGAGAAGTACGTCCTGCTTTTCGGTGTCCAGTAGCAGACTGATTGAAGGGACTGGCAGTCCTCGGTTGTACAGCCCACTGGTCCTGCTTGCCTAGCGTGCGAGAGCCAGTTCCCGACTATAAGTTTACAGACGCAGCTAGAGGTGCAAATACGGGCACGCATCGCACAGTACTATTTGGCCTGGCTTATATGTGGTGACTCGACATGTGCGAATCGCACCCGGTCTATGAAAGTGTACGGTCGTCGGTGCCTCCGGCTCGGGTGTGAGGGGATCATGCGATACGAATACTCGGATGCGGACCTGTACAATCAACTAAAATATTTCCAGAGTCTGTTCGACGCCGACAAAGCGAAAAAAGCTGCCCTCGGCAGTGGGGGCTCCGGTGCGTCACTCTCCTTTTTCCGGACCTGCCATCATCGTGGTTTAACTTGTTCCGTTTGCAGACGCAGTCGCGGAGATCACGGGTAATGAAATCTGCATTCAGTTCTTTAAAGATATGAATGAGATCGTTGACAAGTATCTCGAACGATGTGGGAGGCGCTGGGTTGATCTCAACGCCCTATTTTCCGGCATGAAACTATGACCATCTTACTGTATGTATGTAAACTCAACAATAGATGTATCTACTACCACCAGAAATCCGTGCATTTCTTAGTACGAGGGTATGATTTCTGCAACTGCTGCTACGACTTGGGTGGTATGTCACAGACAGTAGCGTACTTGCGCCGATGGTAGAGAAGAGGCAACGTCCGTAACCTGTCATTTTCCCCCGTCTGTTCTTCTACCCATGGAACACGTTCGACACGCGATACCCGCGCAATGAACAGCTCTGAAGTAAAACCACCATACCCCTCAACTTGTTCCGAAGGGTGACGTCCTGGCACCCAACGCAAGTCTCCCAATGGCAGCGAGCGAGATATCAACGTGCACGACAGTGCGCCCAGTGCACCAGATAGGATCGGAAACCCCTCCTCAGACTTGGTCCACTGTACGTCCGGGTCCTCTAGCGGTCGCGGGTGGAGGTCCGGTCTCGAGAATTTGACAGCGAGGTGGGGTTGTGCGGCTGAGAGGATGTTTATAACCATGTGGGAAGCGTTGGTATCGGATACGTCGCGTACGTGTGTGTTTAGGGCGGTTGCCATGCGGGAGGGTATGCGCAGGGAGAATGCGACGAGCGGGAGGGGGTCGAACGCGATCGAAGTGAACGAGGATAGCGTTGCACCATGGTATACTCCCCCTGTGCCGTCATGGAATTTTCTACACTCGTTTTTATCCGTGTCCACGGGTGGATCAGACGGCACGAGCGTCGTGACTACAGTCACGGACTGCGCCGTTTCCCTCAACAGCTGGCGAAGCTGTTCTCGAGTGTGTTCGGTGTCTGCGCTAGAAGGCGTCGCGATGCAGCGTATGTATTCTCGCGATCTCCACGCGAGGTTGCGTCTCCCCAACGCTAGGCATGCTGAGAGCATCACTTGTGCACCAAATGCAGCTCATTACTGACATTACGCGGTGAGCATCGGAAGCGTTGTTTGCACTTATTGAATTCAAAAGGCGCTGACTAATCTGATCACAAACTCTTCATTGCATAGCCACGAAGTTACTAGTACAAAAATCGGAGCGGAGCCATTCTGAAGTACAATTGCTAACAACCACCGAATAAGATTCCTTCCTTTCTCATTGTATGAATTTCGTCCCTCAAGAGATGGTGATGCGATGAGGTTGCTGTTCAGCGGTAAGTTTGGGGAACGTCACAGTCAAGACCCCATTCTCCATCTTTGCCTTGATATCCTCGGGCTACACGTCGACACAGTAAGTATTCAGGTGTACACATGAATACTAACGACAACTTCTTACCTTGACACTGGTAGGCAACTGGATGGTGCGCGAGAACTTGCCATGGTGGCGTTCCCGCACTGCAAATCCGCCTTCTTCACGGGAATCTGATTTATTGAACTCCCCAGAGACCGTCATGCGATTCTCGTGGAGGTCAATAGCGACGTCTTCCGTACGCAACCCCGGCAGTTCAAAGGTTGCGGTAACAGTATTCGTATCCTTGTTCTCATGAAGATCTAGCCTATCGAGCGTGTTAGCCTTCAACAACGAAGGAGGTCCGCAATGCACCTACTTTGGGCACAGGACACCCTGTCGCCTTTCGAGGTTTCGTCCGCCTTCAGTCAAGGCGCCTTGACGTGGAAAGCGAGACGCGAATGCATTTTCAAAAAGACGGTCGAACTCAGTGAATGGGTCGTAGTAGAACTGAGAAAGCGACATATTGTTTCGTGTGCAATTAAGAGAGGCAAGTTTAGTGAGGCGTTATGTGTCTTGAGAGGTTTGTCTGAAGGCCTTTTATATGCGTCAAGGTAACAGGTCCGCAGCAATCTTGAATCTTCTGGAGACCGCTGTGCGTTGGACATTTCCGGTTATCTTTTCGAATAAATACTCGTGCCTTCTCTTGCATGCCAGTACTTTGCGGCTTAGGCGGGACATGTGCTAGAATGACATCATGAGATTCCTTTTCCGTTCAGAAGCAAACACTCGGCGTTGTCTCACCACCAAAACAGGAACTCAACGCCAGCTGGAAGCCTAGAACGTTCCTGAATATCTCTGAATGTGTGTCGTCCTTTGCGGCTCGTCGAGAACGTTCAACACGGTACTACGTACAGGAGTACCCTATATAAGAGGGGACTGAGACAGCTGTTGTCCGCTGTGAACTACCGGTCCTTGTCCTGCTAGTACGAACACCACTTGAAATGTCTTCTGTCATGCGCTTCTACTACGACCCTCTCACCGAATTCGACCGTCTCTTCGATGACGCATTTACAGCCCGTTTCCAACCCTTGACTGCTGTGACTGAGAGGAACCAGACCTCTGGCACAAATCAGCAGGGTTTACTCCGGCCCAGGTAGGAATTTATCATGGCGCATCTTCATGAGATACCTCATACGTGTTTCAAAAGGATGGATCTTCGTGAGAATAAAGAGACCAATACTGTCACGGCAACATTTGAGTTGCCGGGATTGAACAGTGATGACGTCTCCATCGAAGTTCAGCACAATCGCTTGACAGTCTCAGGAGAGTTCAAGAAGGACGAATCCCGCAAGGAGGGCGGTTATTCGGTCTGCGAATGCCGTCGTGGCAAGTTCTCGCGGACTATCCAGCTTCCTGTTGGAGTACAGGTCGGTACCCAAATACGCCTTTGTTTGCGAGACATGCTGACGTAGCCGTGCAGCCTGAGGAAGTGAAGGCGAAGATGGATAATGGTGTTTTGACTGTCACCTTCCCAAAGACGACTCCTGAGCAACAACCTCATCGTATTTCCATCTCTAAACTCTAGATATCGTGCAGATTACTGGCATCTGCAATGTAAAGTACCCAATGGCTCTGTAGCGCTGTATTGTAATCGTAACCGTATCCGCGATTGATTTCGACACGAAGATGAGGAGGAAATAAGTCTCCTTCACGGGAAAAGATGCTGCGCCTTTTCTTTGTCGTATGAGCTTGGGAAGTTGGATATCTACGTGGCTTGTTGCGGGATCGGAATTCGGTGGGCTGCTGTCCTCGTGCTCTTTGAAATTTACCCCATATCATTGCCTTCGCAGATCCCGCTCGGCCGCATAGGACATATCTAATCAGCGGAATTGCAACGAGCCATATTGGGCCTGACTTTGGCTGATCTCAGACGTGCCAGATTCTTTGGTCCGCAACGAGTCTTCTCCCCTTCGTTTTCATAGCGTTCATAATCGACGCGATCGAGAAAGCACAACCGGTATCGATATATAGAATGGTGCACGAGATTGAAACCTTGTGTTTCACGTTCAACCTGAAGCGTCGTTACCCATGGGTCAGTCGTTCCGTAATCAGGAGTTCCGATGACCCAGACCTTTGCTGAGGGAAGAAACCGCAGTTCCTTCAGGACTGTCATATCCCGTACTGATCCTACCAGTGGCTCGTCGACTTCCCAGATATAGTCCGATGCAACGACTTTGGAAACCGATGACTCACTTCCGATCCCGTTTGGTAGGAGTTTGCTGATAGAACCCTCTAGTATTTCATACTGTTGCTGCGCGGTCTCCGGAGAAAGGTGGTATATCATTCCCTGTTTCCCGGGGATACAATTCATATCCAAGGGACGATTCCGTCCGAGAGATCCCTTGTCGGAGTTCCATATCCGCATCCTGGGCTTATAAATATCGGTTTCAAACGTTGCCCTCCCCATGTCCTCCACAACCACCAGTACCGAATCATTTTCAGATACTTTCCCAGACATGAATGCCTCCGTCGGCCTATCAGACCCTACGAATGCTCAGGATCGTCGAGCTCTGCTAGATCTACTCAACCGTCTTCGTAATACAGGGTGAAGTGGTCCATGCGAATCTTCTGAGAAAATGTAAGCTGATGTAGCATATTCTGTCCTAGCGTGCAGAAGGATATCGACCTGCCGATGATTGCTGTTATCGGCAACCAAAGCGCGGGGAAGTCCTCGTTAATCGAGTCGATCTCAGGGCTCACACTGCCGCGATCGTCGGGCACTTGCACAAGGCAAGTACCTCATTGTTCGCTTGGAATTGTTGACACTGTGATGACTAGTGATCCGCAGGTGCCCAACTGAATGTAGGCTAACGCATACAGACTCTGAATGGACTTGCATCGTAAGGCTTCACTTAAACACGGATGAACGTGGTTCTCCTATAAAGCCTCGGGTTGTCCCTTTCGGAGAAGCTTTGACTAGTAAAGCCGAAGTGGAGGAAAGGATTAGACGTGCACAAAGGGCCATCCTGAATCCGAAAACAGATCCCGACGATTTCTTACGCGGTGCGACCGTAGATGAGAACGAAACATCGTTCTCGCGCAACTATGTTTCGTTAGACATCAGCGGTCGGGATCTAGCAGATTTATCTTTTGTAGATCTTCCCGGGCTTATCGCGAGCGTGGGGCAATCAGGACGTGTGCACGATATAGAGTTGGTGAAAAATCTCGTCGTTTCGTACATCGAGCGAGCGAGTTGTCTCATACTGCTGACAGTTGCCTGTGAAAGTGAGTTACCTGTTCCACCGCTTATGTGTGCTCATTGACGCTCTTCGCAGCCGACTTCGAAAACCAAGGCGCACACCATCTTGCCAAGCAGCATGATCCTGAGGGGAGACGGACTGTTGGCAAGTCACGAAGGCCTTTCTCGTCTTTGCCACTGACCTAGCCACTACACAGGTGTACTTACGAAGCCCGATCGCATTCCATACGGCGAGGAAGAGTCATGGGCCAGACTCATCCGGAATGAAGTGGAGCCACTGGCCAATAATTGGTATTGCGTAAAGCAGCCTGGCTCGAGTGATCTCGCACAGGGTATAACCTGGGCGGAGGCACGTGCTCAAGAAGATTGTTTCTTCGCTGGCACCCCGCCATGGTGTGATCTTGAAGATCATTTCCAGTCGTTCCTCCGCACCAGCAAGCTTACAGAACGATTGAGTAACATCCTAGCGGAACTCATATCTAGAAGGTTCGTCATGCTTATTTACCTACTCCATCCATGTCGAGGTGAATGCTTATCACTTGCCTATACACACATAGATTACCGGAGATACAAGACGAGCTGTACAGGGTTCTGCAACACGCAGAAAAGGACCTTGCGGACCTTCCGCCAGTGCCACCATCCGATCCTGTAAGCGAAGCCCTTCGTATCCTTAGCGAGTTCCGCAAAGAACTCTCCGATCGGATTGAGGGTACACCTGAAGAAAATGGGCTCTTGCAGAAGATAAGAGTTCACACTGCAAGATTCAAGCGCGAGATACGAGCAACCGCTCCCAGCTTTATACCATGGGTGCGGCAGGAGGCACATCAGCACCGGCTTCCCCCAACATCATTTCTAGACAACGAGGAGAAGCCTCTCACGGGAGGCAATGATCAACAAGTCGCAATCACCTCGAAGAATATATACATTGAAGAAGTCATGGAAAGAGCGGAAATGTGAGTCTTAGCGGCTTTTCAATGTTGGCTACGTTGCCCTGACAGCCTGAAGTTCGCGCACACGAGAGCTGCCCGATCATACTCCCTTTGTCGTTCAGCATAATTACATTACAGAATATGTAGAGAAGTGGAAGAGACCGGCAACGATCATGTTCGATGCCGTCTACGATGTTCTTAAGAAAGACCTGGAGAACACGGTTGACAAGCATTTCAAGCACATAGGCCGGGGTGGCGCACATCAGTCCGTATTGTAAGTTCTCGGTCTTTCTTTGCGTTCCCTGGGTACTAATGAGGTGGCAAGGATGATAATACAAGATCATCTCGATCAGGTAGCGGCGCGGACGAAGGACAGGATCGAATGGCTCGTAAAGCTGGAGAACGACCCCCAAACAATAAACACCGATTACTATCTTCACTATCGAGACAAATTTGCGGGGTATTACAGGTCTTGCCGTCACAGCGACGATTTGCCATCGAAGTTGTGGGCGAATAACAACCCGGAAGTTAACCGAGTCATGGCGGGACTTGCACAACTTGGGATCAGTACACGTGTCGATGCCCTACCCAAACTACTCCCTTCCGATCCAATGCAGACAGGGTTAGATATCATGGCGAGTGTGCGTGCGTATTTCCAAGGTACGAAGTCCACCTCGTATGGGTTGGCGATGCGGAACTGACGCAATATCTCTTCAGTATCATACAAACGTTTCGTCGATGGGGTATGCATGTCCGTCGATCACGAGGCTGTTCGCGGACTAGAACGTGGTCTTGATCGAGCTCTGTGGGATGGTCTAGAAGTTACGGGCCCAGGGGCCCAGGAACGCTGCGCAGCGATGTTCCAGGAGCCTGCTTCGACCGCAGGGCGGAGGCAAGAATTGATGAGAAAGATTGACAGGTTGGCGGCAGCCAAAACGGAACTCCGCCAACTGAGTGTTTAAAGTCGTGCGCCTTCAGATGGAGCTACGCCTATGTTCTTCCCCCGTTTGTACGTTGAAGTTGTACGAATGTTCACTGTGTGTAGAATTTCATTGGAGACGTGTACAGAAGCGCGAATATTTACAAAACATCGAGTCCCCGCTTAAGAACGTCTGAAGGTTAGATGTGGAATACGCACCCAGGGGTAGGCTTTGCTGAGCTTTGTTCTCGAGAGCGATTCTTGAAGCGTCACAGTGGCCCACCATTGTAAGCCATGCTCGTTGGCACTTGCAGGCGGAATCTGGTTGATGAGACGAGACAGGGTGACTCGGTGTAACTTGTACGCCTCCGGGAAAATTTGAGGGCCACTGTAGAACAATTCTCCACCTAACTTCTGGTTCCCTTTCCCTCGCCCTTCGGAGTCGGGGAGCTTTTCCACCACATCCTGCGTACTGGTAACGATCGGGTTTGTTGGAAGGGGGGCCGATCGTGGGACTGCCCTGTGGTGGGGCAAAGGCAGGGGATATCGTGCTCTATCCACCTTTGCAACTGACACGCACGGGGGACGAGTTGTTCCTCCTTGTTTGTTGTCGCAGTCCTTGTTCGGGGTGTCGTGTTGTCGTGTTGCCGTTGTCCTTCTGGTGGGTTCGGAGGCTTCGAGTCAGAAGTAGCTTCGGCCAGGTAAAACTTATTAGGTGGCGGTTGTTGAAGGTAGCGACACCAGCTGATGTAAAACAACAAGTAGTGGTGAGAATAGCGAAAACAGGGCAATTCGCGGATTAACGAGTGCCAAAAGAAAAGCAGAAAACTTATTGCGGGTTGTCATGCTTGCGGGATTGCTGAAAACCTGTTGATTACTAAGCAATTACTGACAATCTATGTTAACAAAGCTCGAAGGCAACTCAAGTACTCAGGACTCGCTGGCAGATGATGATTCAGTAAGTAGCCAATCCTTCATTTCGGCGGCAGTCTCTTTCTGACTACGAGTTACAAGTCTCGATTTGCGACTTGCACGAGATGATGCCTCGGAGCAATCATCAGAATCCTCTGGAATAATGGCTCGCAAGTTCCGGTACCACTGCCCACCGGAATTGCCAGTGTTTCCCTTGGCAGCGCTAGAGAAGTGACTGAACAAGATGGCACACTCTATTATTTCGGATTACCCACCTGGCCTTCCTATTCCTTGCTATTTGTAAAGGATGTGCGACACTACTGTTGTGGTTAGACTCTTTGGGCGTCGCTGAAACATTAATCGCTGCAGATTCCGTGCGCCTTGAAGGACGAGGTGTTTGTTCATCTTCCACGGGGTATATGATTTTCGCTGAGCTCCTGCGCTCGGCGTTTTTGCCCTTTGTGCGCTTCAAGACGTCCACCGGCTCCGTGGGTTCAGAGTTATCAGAGGTAAGAAATCGCCTCTCCTGAACCATCTTCTTCGATGGCTTGCTCGACGACCGTAGACGCCGCCTACTCGATGAACTGTCCACGCTCATTACCTCACTTGCTTCGCTGTCGTCCTCGGCCGAAGGGTCTTTCACTCTCATTTTATCCCTGCGCTTCGCCAACCGAGTCCTTGTACTCATCTCCGATTGTTCAGTTAGGTCATCGCTTTCAACGGCAAGGGGCTCCCTAGCCTCCCGCGCATTCAGAGCGCGCTCAGCGAACCTCCCTCTTCTCGTTCTAGCTTTCTTCTGTGCCTCTTCCTTAACCATCTCCTCCTCGACCCTTTCCTCCTCTTCGAGTTCCTTCCGCCGCGTACGTGCACGTTCCATGACGATTTGATCGGCCACCCCCATCTCTTCGTCGATGACACGTTTGCCATCAGGCCCTCCCGTGTCGGGGAACATGGCAACACCATATCGTGCGCTTTCGTGCAATGTCATAATAGCATAGTCCATGTCCACGCCAAGGTCCTGCGCGATTAGACGTGCTGCTGTTTCAGGGACTAGAACCCGTTGTATAAATTCTGTTGGGGTGAGCGGTTCGATGAGTGACGAATCGAAGGAGGAAGGCGGGAAGAGGTTGAAGAGTGTTTGGTGGATGATGACCGACCCTTGTTCACCATAACTGTTTGAAAAGGGTATATCAAGGAAATGGGAATAACTCCACGTGAAAACTCAAAAAACTCACTATCCTGGCTGAATCTTTTCGAAGCTCGCAAATTGTCCTTTGACGCCGAGAGTCGTCCTACTTCCTTGCTTCTTAACTTCTCGTTTCACCTCTTTCCAGAACGCACTTCGACTTCTTGGTCCTCTCGTATCATCGTTTTCGTCAGTGTCACTGGCCACGTCATGGTCAGTGTCCTGATCATAATTGTCCATGATGATAGCCTCCAAGTAAGGTTTCATCCTGTTCACCCTCATCGGCAAGTTCTTAAAGTTGATGACCTGCGGCCATCCACGCTCCAATGCGATGGGTAACTGATGTCTTTCGAAACGGTGCCGCTGACACACTGAGATATAGATCGCCAACGGGGCCGCGAGGCCCCGCGGGTTTCGCGGGCGGGGGTCTGCGCGCGACTTCTTGTGGGCTTCGGACAGGAGACCTTGGAAGGAGGGTGTTGGATAAGGCGGGAGTGGTTCATCGCAGTAGGGGCACAGAGTAGAGGGGTCTTTAGCGTGCCCGATATCAACTTCGAAGGATTAGGCTGAATATTCGCTTGGCGGAAATGTAATTGCTCACTAGAGTCATCCAAAGCGAGGTTATCCATATAATCCAGGCTTTCGGCTATCCTGCAAGAGCTACCAGTATGGCTTGACCCATCCGACACCCAGTCACGCGAAAGAAAACTTACGCCGTTTGTGAGTCCTTGTGCTTCTTTGACGCACGCTTGTGACCTGCATCACTATCGTCTGAAACACGCTTCGCAGGACTTCCCGGAGAGCCACGATTGATGCTCTCCAACAATTGCGTGCTCATGGGGAACGGCCGCACATCTGCACCAGTACGGGCGTACGCCAGAGCATGAGGCGTGCCATCCTCCTCTTCATCACCGAATCTAGTGTGGAGTTTGTCATTTTTTGCAGGGGTACATGCGCTATATGTGGCCTTTGAAAGGGGCGAGAGCGTTGGAAATGTGCTGTCGGGTTGCAAAGGCTTGGCTTTCGACGGCGACTGCTGCCGCGCATGAAGGGGTGAGGGAATAGGAAAAGAAAGCATCTTAGCCTGATGTGCAGATATCCTACTCTTCCCCTTGCTCTTACTCTTGTTCGTCGTCGTCGTCATCCCAGTATCGGTACTATTACCTCCGTCAGAGAGATTTTCCTTAGCAGAGAAGGACATGGGGAATTCTTGTGGGGTATTCCGCGTCGGCTCGGGAAGTTTTTGTTTAACCCTCGGTCTGGGCTTGAGTTTCGGCTTTCCAGGGCAATTGGTATCCGATGGAACAGGCGATTTACTGCGAAGAGGGAGTCCGGTTCTGCGCGTTGACCCGGACGCACGAGGTGTAATTTCATGACTTGGAGACTGTCTTGGTACATGGATACCACGCGGCTGCGGCTTAGGAGGCGCCTTAGGTGCTGAGCTACCAATGTCCCCCTTCATATCCTTAGACGCAGAAGGTTTGGTGACAACTTTCGAGGTAGCCGACACCTTGGGCAAACAAGTAGTGGATGAGGAAGGTGATGGGCTGTCCGTATGCGCCGAAAGGTTTTTGTTGCGCAAGGCAGAGGTTCTGTGGCCATCGTCACCGCGACCAAGGACGCTTGTTGATATGGGCTCGAGGAAGTCCAATGTATCGTCAGGATCAATATCCGGATTAGAAGACGAAGGAGGTAATTCTTCCTCCGGGCGGGTAGTAGTAGGAACTGCGCTCTTCTTCTTGCTAAACTTGAGGGACTTCAAAACATTGTTGGGTTTGTAGTCAGGGTGGAAAGGAAGTAGCTGTATCTGACCATTCACGTTTACACGTGCCATCCGCTCGGCAGCAGGAGCAATGTGTTCATCTGCCTTTCCCTTAGAGATATAGTTGGAAGTAGACCTGCTGGATCCCTGAGAGAGACGCAGCTCATCGTCACTGCTGCTGTTCGAAGTTGCCCTCCGCAATCCGCGAGATGATGGGAGTTTGGACTTTCTAGTGGACGAGGTCGTGGAGCCCTGCGACCCGGATGGTCTGGAAGGAATCTGAGCGCCTCCACCCCCAACAGCAAAAGATGACCCGAAATCCTGAAACCCGACACCTTCACCAACGTGCACGGATGGCGCCAGCAGACGCCGTGACAACCTGCTACTAGGATCTGTGTAAATATTAGACCCGCTTCTTTCCAACGATCCATACAGGTCTTCCATGGCCATAACGACAGCCAAGCCAAGGGTCGGACTCGACCGTGCACTCGACCAGGACTGAGCGCGTTTTTATAATAGGCTTCGTGATGTACAAAATGGGATAACGCGTCATTTGGATTTGTTTGTCCGCCACCCCTGTACTCTCTAAGTTCACCTTCGCTCCTTGTCAAGGGCTTCTCCCCATCCTCTCACTTCTTTGTGACGCAACAGGGGCAGACTGCTATCGAAAAATTCCTGAAGGTTTCTACCATGTTCCTTCTCGTATTCTCGAGCTGTCCAGTACACGTCATTCCAATGTAAATGAGGAGGAACAAAAAGCTGACCTTGCAGCGCCATTTCCAGGCGGTCTAAATCTACGCCATCGTTAACGTAATCGTCACACGCAGGAGAGGTTATACCGTACCTTTCACAAACTTTGCCTCTTTAGTCTGCTGCTCCTCGTATTCCTATGTCATTCAACATGAGAATGACTTCCCGTCCTTTCGGAAATGCTGCCCTACCCTCCACAGAGCCTCTATTTTGAGCGCAGCTTCGCTCCCATGCAACATGTCATGCACAAAATTGTGCATCGCTTCCTGTAGGATCGCCATTCATACCTTTCAAAGCGTAAACTGAGGGTGAAACAAACGAACCGATTCGAGTCGCTTCTTCTCTTCCTTTGATATCCCCTCGCTTGGAGTGATGTCCCCGACTACACACAGAACTCATCTTCAACGTGGAGAACATGAGAACATGTGCACTTGATCACAAACCTTGTGCCTCTGCGAGATCATGCACGATACACATCAACACGCATCTGCAAATCATATGTGCCAAATGTCACAGTTTCTCATCATACCAGATAAGAAACGTGGTACTCGCTTGGAAATATTGAGACTCGCGTCAGACGTACACATTGCAAGGATGGCCATGCGATACATGTGATCCGCGATGCTGTTCCGAGATGTTGTTAATAGGAACCATCCGCCATTGGCAATCTCGTCATTCACCTCTCTGGGTAGGTAATCTGTGGTGACGTAGAAATTCAATTGGATACATAGTCCCATCGTGCAAGCGAAAAAACATGCATTGCGGTTTATCCATCCAGTACGCTTTTGTGTCTGCAGGACCGCCAAGTCGTTCTGGTGAAGTTCCAATGTACGCAAAAACATATGTACCTTGAGCCTTTCCAGGACATGAAAGAAGGCAAGTCTGTCGGTGTCTACATCTCCTGTTGGAACGTAAAGAGGAGGAAATACTCGTTTGCCAGAGAAAGATTGTTCCGCCATTCCCTTTAGTGTGCTGTGGCGGCAGGAAAAGAAATCTCCGCTTTGCCAATTCCGTTAATACTATAGATGATACATGACAGGGGCCTAACAACCATCAGTTAGTTGAACAAGATTATCCATAGGGTGACATAGAGTCGAGCAACGTATTGAAACTGTCCAAGCTTCAAGAACGGGACGACATTACACTTGTACTTAGGTTCTACAATACAATCTACCTCACGTCACAATGAGTGGTGCGAGATCCTCCTGCACATGGCTGACAGAGTCGCTAAACTGCACACTCCGCGGGGTCTTGTCGGCAACCAAGAGTGCATATTTTGAGATGCCAGCTGCTGCATCATTCATCATCCTAGTTTTTGGAGGGGGTTGAACGAACTGAATTCTTTATCGAGACTAAAAGCAATGCGCACCGCAGCAATGGGCTCGAAGTTTCGTCATATGTGTCGTCAAGTACATCTAAAAATGTTCTTCCAATATTTGCTAAGGCCTGGCATAGAGGCGTGATGATGTTTCGTTGCAGGTATAACACGCGACGCACCATTTTTCGTACAGTCCGTTCTTCTGTCAGCGTCTTGTCCACGAAGCGGTCCACCACCTGCGATTCCTTATCGATATCGACCAGCTTCTGAGGGGATAGGACAAGGGACCTACTTTTTCCAAAACCTCTTTGATCTCGAGGCGGACCCCGTACCAACACACCAGTAAGATCTACGTTCGCACATACATGCACTTAAACTTCTCGATAACAACAACATGCTGTGGTACTCACCTTTCCAGTCATGTCTTCCTCTAGTGCCCTCTGTTCACTGTCAGCCCTCGGCAGAAGAAGTGTTTCTCGTAATTCCTTCACTTCCTCTACAAGCGAGTGAATGGTGTATCTGCGTTATCGCGCCGCGTACAGCACTTTGAGTTGCTCAATTCAGCAATGACATGGGTACGTACTCCGAGAAATCAATGTTGCGCACGTGTCTTCCTCTTCGATGGCTGGGACATCAAACCTCCAGCCTTCCGATAGATCAAGAAGTGAAGGGTCCACTCACTACCAGAACGCGTCTTGCCTCAAATTGGTATAGACGCTACCAATCGTTCGCAGTAGCTGTGCATCGTAAGCCTTCCGTAAGCCCCAGTGAAATATACATACCTCGACACCAAATGGGACTGACTTCAGCTGCAATGCCTGATCCCATATTGTCCGCTCGCGAATGTATTGGCCTGTGCCAATGTCAAGGTTCGCAATCAGGGTCAACTGCTTTACCAAAGTCTCAGCACGCAGGTCCTGGGCCGCTTCAGTATCTTTCAGACTGTAAAGAGCGGGCGATGCGGGAGAAGGATTGTCAGATAATGCACAGGTGCCGACGACTTTGCACAGAGATGCGGGTTCTGTGCAGGCCCCGTCGCTCCTTTTAGCCGCCACCATTAGGGCCAATCGATGAAAAAAAGTTAGTTCGCCAACCTGATCGGGTTCAGGGCAAGCTAGGAAACGGACAAGGAAGGATTATACTGCGCACAAATTCTTTGAAATGACTACCACCAAATACATCCTTAAGGAATCGGATGTTTTCCTCGGTGGTCGATAAGTTGTTCTCATCCTTTGTACACGTGTTCGCGACATCATATTCAAGCAGTTTTCCAAAGAACGTACCCATCCCAACAACAGACAGAAGTGATGTCTGCATTCCAGGGAACATTATAAACTCCCCGGCAAGGACCTTAATAATCGTGGGTGCTTTACCTAAGGGTGTTGAGCCATTTTCTTAGTGTCCAATCGCACTTCTCCTCTTGCCAAGGAAGGGGATTGAATGGAGTGTACAATGGAATAGTGGTCATGTTCCTCCAACTTGCTGTATGGAAATGAAAACGACCACTAAAGGCCAGTCAACAGCGAACTTACTTTCTGAATGCACTACGAGCGTTGTTACCAGGAATGATCCTGCAAGACGTGCAGACAAGTATTGCAGCACGATCATGACATCTTCGTTATCTGGTAGTGACAACTTGGTTGCGTTGCGGGAAAATGACTGGCCGGGAATGAGGTCGGATCTGAGGATGATACCCCCTAACATGTCACAGCACTTGGGGTCAATCTTATGCTTGGCAGGCTCAACAGAAATCTGCATGCCCAACTCCGTCGCCAGATCGAAGATGTTTCCATGTCGTTGAAAAGCTCTCCCACCAGTACTGTACAGACGGCCGTAGTCGCCAAGCTGTTTCTATCATAATTTGAAGTAAAGCGGGTACGAGTGTACGCACTTTAATTTCAGGCGAATCCGTTCTGACGAAGAGGGGTGATGATGAATCATCGTTCAAAGGATACACCACAGAAGGCATGTTCCAATCGGGATCCCTCATGAAACCAAAAAAATGAGGAGCCTCCTACCAACAATCAGATACCATGCGTTCGGAGGGGTAACTTCGCACCTCATAATCAACTTCACTGCAAGGCGAACAGACACCAGGACAGTGGACAGTAGTGAGTGTTACTATGCAATTGCCCTGGGAGCTTTCTGGACGGGTAGACATCTTTCTCACACCATGGACAGACTGGGGGAGGTGGAAATGCTGAAACACCGGCCGAGAATTATGCCGTTCCTGAGATGAAGCTGTTGATCGGCCTGCCGAGAGGATCTCTTCCAAAGCATTCAAGTGAAGACGTTGAAACACCACTCCACCATGAGATATATCCTCGTTAGCGCATATGATACGCGTCACGTGTTTCCGTCGACAGTAGCAGAAAGCCACCGCAAAACATGTATCATCCTTGGGGTGCTTGTAGGTAATGACGGCGAAGTCGCTAGCCTTCGAAAGCGTGAGGGCATTGTCTGTTAGCTTGATATTCGCGGGGAAGACGCTCTGCCGGGTAAAGTCGCTGCAATGTAATTTGAATACAAGCTCATCATGTTGGTATGAATCGTCGTTGTACGGAAGAAAGACTTCTTCGAATCGCGCTTTTGCAGTGTTTGGATTCGGAGAACGGCCAAAATATCTGAAGTGGTCGGACTGGGAGCGACCCAGAACAATGGTTATTGGGTATTCGCCACGGTAGCGGCACGCGAGCGTCGCCATGAAGAGGGACGAAGAACCCTCACAGGGCGTCAGTGGCAACCATATTTGAATGCCACCATTGGTAACGGTGAACGAGCGAAATCGTTTAACAGGAATATTGAGGAGATCCTCTTTGGAGATGTTGCATCCCAAAGCCTCGATGAATTCATCGCGCTGCATCGTGACGACATGAGAACAATCCTGGAAGAAGCTTGGATCGTCCGCCAGGAAGTTGTTGGACCAGCCAGTCCACCTGGTGTCCCAACCCCAAGCAAATATGCTCTGGTCATTGGAAGTGCGCATGATTTCCAATTGCAGACGCCGAAAGGCATGCTTTCCCTCTCCATACAACATTGGCATGTGCACTCCAAGCAACCCCAACAAGGAATACGCCCGGTCCTCCTCTCGTGTTGTCGACCGGTGAGCAGCCCATGACATTATTTGGGCCACGCTGGGGCGGTTCGAGTGGAGTCCTTCCTTTAGTACATGATCCGGGATCTGCGTAATCCGGTTCAGAACACCGACAAGACTCTTCTTGCACCCAATGAGTTCCCAACTGCTGTTGAAGAAGTGAATATCGCTGGGAGCGACAAGCTCCTGGAGTGTCCAGCCCCGTGAGAACCATTTGGGCCAGCCATTGGAGTTGGGGAACTTCTTTATGTCCCATTTAGGATTGATATCCGAGGTGTCGACGTCTTGGAGGTAAGCATAGCATCGGCCTGAGTCCGCATACCATTTGTACATGGAGTTAATTGCCTCAGATAACTCCGAGCTGCTTTCTTTGTTAATGCAGCAGGTATCTATCCAGACCAACTCCAGATCATCCTTTTGCGCTCTTTTGCAGGTGTCGAGTATTTTCATGTACCCTGTGCTCCTCCTGAGTGCACTTCGTAGGGTATCTTTCATCGTCAGCAGCTCTGACATTTCCCTGAACTGCACTTCTTTCTCCCCTTCTTCGGGCACACCCCAGCAATGCGACAGTATGGCATATTTTGCAGATTTCAGTTTAGCACCGTACAATTCCAACATGATCTCCATTTCCGAACCGGGTACCTGACCACCTTTGAAGTTCTTCTCGGCTTCGAGAAGGGCATTTACACAAACGAAGCGCATTCTATCAGGTCGTTGAATCTCGAGCTGCAATGGAATAACCACAGGAAGTGCACATACATCACAAGAAACTTCCGAATTCGTGCAAATGTATCGGCAGAGTAACGCTGCCCAATGAAAGAAACCTCTTTTGGTGCGGGTTCAGGCAATGAACTGCTAGTGTTGAACAGAGTGAGTAGGACTGCTTTGTTATATCCCGAGGACTCGAGCCAGCAGGATGAACACGAGGCTGGGGTCGGGTGATTTCCGTCTTCCCACACACAGCACGCACAGACTCTGTCTAAACAAGAGGCTGGGGGCTTCCCGAGCCGGCAGTACGATCAACATCAGCATTCGTCCTGCTAGTCTTCTAGTCGCTGGTGGGCTGTTTGCGCTACGATCTCCGTATTCTGAAAGGGTGAGCAAGGTCACGTGCAGAACTATGGCTTGACGTGACGAAATCCGCCTTCTCTTCGTGTCCTTCCTAATCTCAATTAGATCCACTTCGATATCGGTGTCCTTGCACTGTCCCAACATCACGAAGCTTTTTCCCGCTTTAACTGGAACCCGCTTCTGCACGTCTCCTACGGGGATCGGAAGTTTCATTAGTCTTCCAAAGAACACATTTGTCGACCTGTTTCAGAGTGAACTTGTTAACCCCAATGTTCCAATTGAAGAGTCGATAGCTGCACTGGTCGAACTCAAGCATGAAGGGAATCTAGAACATACCAGCACGTCGAAATGTAGCGCAACAACGCCACGTCGCGACCACGCTGTAAGTATTCATTAGTATCTCAAGTTATGTATCGTTCACTCGTCGCCCACAGGTTCACCTTATCAGAGTTGTCGCGATTGAGATAAGTCCATGGTCTTAAGAGGAGGCAAAAAAAAAAGGTAATCAAGACTGCCCACCCAAATAATGCTTCCTGCCCGGTTATCGCGACTGCAAAAGAACTGGGAATAGAAGTCGCTGGTTACCTGTAAGCGTATTCAGGTTGATGGGGATTTTAACTGACATGCGTGCCACCAGTCCCCTTGGTAAAGGTTTCTCGACTGAACAAATCAAACGACTGGAAGATTCGCCTGGTAGGCGTACTCCTGTATGTTTCTCAGTAAATCCACTCATGTTATTTTAGAAGGTGACTTCCTTCGCCGCTTTCCGAGCTTTCAAGCGGATGTAAGTGGTGGTTTCTCATCCAGACACCTGCTTGACACGATTGCGGTCTAGGCAATGAAGCATAGCTTCGCTATTGTTGACGCATTGTTTGGAATAGCCACGAAGAACGTCACTCCCGCTCAACTCAGCACCGCATGGGTTAGTGTGCTCGGGCCACACGTCATCCCTCTACCTGATTCATCGTACGTATCGTTTCTCGTTCCAATACAGATATTTTCATTACATGCCATCACTCTAGGCATGCCAAGCGCACACTTGAAATTGCGCCGGAGCCTGAGACATGGAGTTGACACAGGAAGAGTTTGATGAGATCAACAGAGTCGTCGATAGCGTGGGGAGAGACCCATTGCTGCCACTCTGTGGGACTGAGAGCTGTACTTTGTTGAAAAATAGAAACTCAGGTAAGGATACGCTTCGTTCTGTCCTCCATTCTACACTTGTATGTAACAGTGTGATGCGTCAAGGTTTGGATAACGGTTATTCACCCAGTATTTACAGCGCGAAGAGCAATCCCGTGTTTGTCTTTCGACGCTCCTTCAAGGTGGTCTACAAGGCTGACTTTCAATAAGGGTCTTGCTGCGTTCCCGTTGCGAAGCAGGGAATCGACCGAGGCCAATAACAACTTCGGAGCCGATGTAAATATATATCATACGGGGGTCATATTGATCACGGGGTAGTTCTGGACGTCCTGGCGCGTGCATGCGGTGAAATGACGCTGAACATGAAGTGTCTCAGTCACTACAAGGGGGCCCAATTGGTTAGTGGATGTCATCTTCCAACGACTTTCATGTATCTCATCCGCGCGTGTTGGCACCCACGGAAACTACACATGCACTTGGATTTTCGTATCTTACACTAATACACTTTGCACAACATAACACACCTTGGCACTTTGGCCTTCGTACTGATACACAGCCCACTGAACCTCTTGATCAGTCACGATACTTGAACCTGAACAGCTGGTTCGACCGGTGGAAAGGTGATCGAGATGGTTCAGTATCGAGTTGCTTGACCAAAATTCAAAAAAAGTGATGTGTAAGCTCAGAATCTTTGTGTCTGCATTGACACGTAGATTCTACCTGGCGGTCTTCTTCACGTTCTTCTTCCTTCGTCGGGGCAACCCATCCGATGCCGCGGTCATTGTCTTTCGCGATGCTAGGACATCGTCATTTTACACGAGGCGCCACGCTGCAGATAGACGTTGGCCATGATCAACTCACACGTAGGCATCATGGCTTTCGGCGTACTCGATGCACCATTTCTGAGCTTCTGCCTTGATGGAACCGACGAGAAGGCCATTCTCTTCCAGTGTCTTGTGACCCCTGGCACTAATCACGTAGGCACACCCCAACTTTCTCCATATTGAACTGTCAAAACCGTTATGTAATGTGTTCGAGCGCAGGATACAAGACCGAACCCACTGTCGGGGGCTCCTTGACAGAATTCCTCTCATAAAGGAGGACTGGCAAAGTGGCGGGCTTGGTGGGGGGCATTCCAACGTAGGGCTCCCCATCTATCAAGGAGTAGATGATAGCGTTCTTGCTCGGCTTGAGGGGGTTCGGCATGATGAGTATGAGTTATCAACAGTGTTTCGACTCTGCAGGATGTAGACAGCCGTCCGCGTCCCCTTTATACTCTGGAACTGAGCCTCAAGGAGAATATTAGGGAGCTAACGGACGTGACGCACTTGGGGTTACCGGCGTTGCATCCACTTTCTAAGCTGAAACATCCGGGCGCACTAACTATACTTCAGTATTTTCTGACATAGCATTGCGTCCGCTACCTGAACTTAAAGGCTCGGACGTACCAATGATAAATGGGACCTCTAGGCAGAGTCCAGAAGGAACTGGAAGTCTGTGACATGACGTCGCGTCGCCATCCGAAATGAAAGATCCAGACGCATCAATCAACTATCTCAGACGATGAAATGAACGCCCAGATGTGTCACTGATCTGGAGTTCCCTTCATTTATCAGTATTTTCCATACACGTCATCACTCTAGGCACTCCAAGCCGAAAATTGCACCGGAGGAGACATCGAATTGACGCAGGAAGAATTTGATGAGAGTCAGTCGTCGATAGCGTGGACATCACTGGAAGAAGATACTCCACTGCTGCCGCCCCGTGGGGTGGAGGGCATATTGAGGGCCTGTAGTGACTTTTTCGAGAAATAGGCACTTGGACAAGGAGGATACGCGTCGTTCTGTCCTCCATTTTACACTTGTGTGTAGCGGTAAGCGTTGTCACGATGAGTGTCCGTGTGATGGCCCATCAGGGCTTGAATCGATGCGGAAGCCTGTATAATACCACAGCATTCGGCGTCTGCGTGCGCAACCTCCTCTATTATGAAGAGGTTCTTTCTGGTTCCCTTCGTTTGTCGAGTCAACGGGGTTCGACCATGCTTGATGAAAGCGTCGCGGAGACATTACATGAACAGACACGGTCTGGACAGAAGTATCATGACCTCACGGTTTACCGAAGCTAGTCGATTCTTACCTAAGAGTCGGCCACTTCATCTACAAAACGCTTAATTAGTGCTCTTAGAGCACTCTTAGAGCACTTAGCATTTGCTGAGTTGAATAACAGTACTTGCCGAGCTCTTGAACAATGCAAAAACTGTCAAAAGTGTATGTGGAACCCACCACAGTAGGGGTGAGCACACTCAGGACAAATCGCAACAAGACAGAATGTGGACAGGCGTGTGGGATTGAACAACCGAGCGTACGCTCTGATACAGGATGATAGAAAGAGAAAGGAAGAGGGAAAAGAAGATATCCCTGCGCATACATGTAGCACCGATATATATATCCCCAGGATCCAAACAGTGCAACACAGCGAGAGGGATCCGCATGCCCAGACAAGGAGATAGGAGACGTGATAGTGCGGTGCGACAGGAGATGTGACAGCGTGAAGCAGTAGCGTGAGCGTGAGTGACGCGTGAGTGGTAAGTGTACGCTTACACCCTCCCGACCCATAAAAAAGGAGCAACGGGGGGTGAGTGAGCTGTACGTGAGTCATTCTTCGTCAACGTCTTCTTCGTCAAAACCCGACCTCCAACTCCGTTCCTCAACCCAAACTTCTTCTTCTAAACCCGACCTCCAACTCTGTTCTTCAACACCCTTTATGGTGGGTGTTCCCTTTCCCAGATGTCCAGCGCCTCACAATCCTCCAAGTCCTTCTTCATCAACCACTCATCATCCTCCGGCCCAAATCCTAACCACCGCACCAAATATTTCTTTGACCTCCCAGCCTGCTTCTCATCCACTATCCGCTCAATCAAGTTCTCCAGCTGGCCGTCTGCTGTGACCACAGGGCCAGGGCGAGGCAGCTCGTGCGAGGGGAAAAGTGTCGTGTCATTGGGCACGAAGGCGCATAGTTGGCTAGCGTGGAACGTGCTACATGCATTTGACGCACGAGGCACGTCCAAGACGTAGGTGGATGTATCTGGGGAAGCCGATAGGATGGTATATGGGCCATCATACCGTGGCATAAACTTGGCTACACGATTGGTACCATTAGTAATGTACTCATGACGACGATGTTTTGTAGATAACCAAACCTTGTCCCCGATCGCAAACCTCAGATCGGGGACGTGGCGACGATTAGCTGCATGAGCCTGTGCTGCCTTAGCTGCAAGGAGATTATCGCGTGCTTCCAGGACGTCCATATCTAGGCAAGCCAGAAAACTGGCTGTGTCGCTGTTTTCGGTCTCACCAGCCTCTGGAGTGGAAATGGGAGGCAGAAGACGAGGGGAGCATCCCAGGTGAAGCTGGAAAGGCGAAAACCCTGTGCTGTTGTTAAGGGTGTTCATGATGTGAAAATGCACCCAAGGCAGGGCCTTGACCCAGCCTTTCTGATTATGCTCGACGTGGAATCGAATGCACTGGTTGACAGTCTTGTTGGTGCGCTCACTTGCCCCATCCGTCTGAGGATGGTAAGATGATGACATCTTAAGCTTAACGCCCGTCAGTTTATGAAGTGATTTCCAAAAACGAGACACAAAAAGCTTATCATGATCTGATATGATCTCTAAAGGAAGACCGTTCTCGCAGTACCAGTGGTCAAAGAACAAGGAGGCGAACTCTGAGGCAGTGATGGAACTCCGACAGGGCACAAGACGTATATCTGCACCAAGGCGATCTGTCATCGTGACAATCATGTTGAAGCCGTGGTCCTCCGGCAGGGGACCAATGAAGTCGACAGCGACCGAGTCACCCTGAGCGTCTGGGACAGGCAAGGGGTGCAGCAGGCCCGCAGGTGCCATGGTAGGCGACTTGTTGCGCGCACAGTGGGTGCAGGCAGGAACATATGCGGATGCGAGATCACGATGCATGTTGGGCCAGTAGAAGGAGTTACGTAGAGCTGCGTAGGTCTTATCTGTGCCAAAGTGGCCTAGGGCATCATGGGCAAGGTGGAAGAAACGTTCACGAAGGGAGTGTACACGAGGAATTACCAGGCGGCCTGCAAGGTACAACAGACCGTCACATTCCTGCAGGCCAGGAAGTGAATTGAGGAGTGAGAAAAGACACTGGCAGAAGGGGTCTTCTGTGTACCCTTTCAATATTTCCACCGTTAATGACTTGTCTACCTCAACCGTTGACACCGCAGCGACGGGGGGAGCGTCGTCAGAACGACGAGACAATGCATCAGCACTGACATTACGCTTGCCTGGAACATACTGAATAGTCAGGTCAAACTGTGACATGTATTCCTGCCAGCAAGCCTGACACCGAGAGAGGTCGCGCTGTAAAGCAAAGTTCTGAAGAGTACAATGATCCGTATATACCAACACCGGGGCACCAAGTAGCTCGACCCTCCATTTCTTTAAGGCGCGGATGATGGCAAGGAGTTCCTTCTCATGTACAGGATAGTTGAGTTCAGCGCTACGAAGGGGTGTAGAATCGAATGCAACCGGCCGAGCCATTTCCCAGGTGGGTCCCCAAGAAAGGATTGCCCCAGTATGGAAATCCGAGGCATCACATGTAAGAAATATGTGATTGTCACCTGGATTATCATGGTCGATGGTTGTCAGACAATGAGGACTGACCACGAGATCCTTGATGGCCTGAAATGCCTGCTGGTGGTCACTCATCCACACCGGGAACTTGAGTTCTGCTGCCTTGGTCGTCAACGTATTCAGGATGCAAGTGTGTTCCGCGAGATTGGGAAGGTGATCAGCGATGTAATGGACAAGACCAAGGAAGGCATGCATGTCAGTGACCGACTGTGGAACCGGCCAATCGAGAATCCTCGTGATCTTGGAGGAATCAGGCTCAGTCCCTTGTGCAGAAATGCGGTGACCAAGGAAAAGCACGTCAGTGCAGAACAGCTGAGTCTTCTTAAGGGAGCAAAATAACTTAGCCTTGCGGAGAGCCTGCAAGACCGCACGAACATTTCGTTCATGTTCCTCGAGCGTCTGTGACCAGATGATAATGTCATCAAGATAGACATGGCAAATGCGACCTATCAGGTGACGGAGAGCAGCAGACATGCGACGTTGATGCACCGCAGGGGCATTCCTCATGCCCATGGGCATGACAGTCCACTCATACAGGCCCCAAGGTGTGTGTACAGCCAGCCACTTGATGTCATCTGGGTGGACCTTGGTCTGGAAGAACGCATTAGTCATGTCCAACTTTGCGAAGTACTTGCCCTTGGCACAATCGCGAAGGATCTCATTGATGCAGGGCAGTGGGTGATTATCTGGTACAGTGTTCAGGTTGAGTTGTCGGAAGTCGTTCACCCAACGAGGCAACGCTGTAGGATCTGCCTTCGGGATGATGAAGGCCGGTGAGGAGTGTGTGCTATTGGAGGGCCGTAACCGCCCTGCATCAAGATGCTGTTGTAACAACGTTTTCCATGCCTCGCGGTATTTCTTTGGGCAATCATACGACCAAAGTTGGATGACCTTGTTGGCATTTTTGGGCTGTACACAGAAAAGGACGTCATCAGGCAGGGCATCCGTGGGTGGAATATCAACAGGGAACCGGTCAGCAAACTCATGCTTGAGTCGCGCATCACGCTTTGTCAGCTCTTCTGCAGCAGTGAGAACCTCAATGCGGTGCTGTACCATGCCAATGATATCCACCCCACAGACCGGAGTGGCTGCCACCTCAACAAGTTCACGATGCCTAGGCAAGACACCGCGTAACTCTTCAAGAACCACATTCTTAAGTTGTTTAACCGCTTGAACAGTAGGAATCACTGGCTGAGAGGGAGTAGAGACAAGAACCGGGGGAGGGTTTATTAAGTCGTAACCAGTATCTTTATCCACACATGTATGGAGAGTGTGATCGATGACAAGCCGATTATGCGAAAGAAAAGGAAGTCCTAACAAGAGGGGAGTACACAGACGGGGCACAATGATTGCACGAACAGAACATGAACGGAAACGTGCATCAGGAGAAAGACAAGACAGGACAACGTAATTCTGCAGGGACATGACCTCCCGTTCACCAGAAGAAAGCGCCACCGAAACATCAAGAGACTTGTGCAGCCGGCAGTGCCGAAGACCCAGCTTTGTGACAAGGTTTTCATCAATCAGAACTAGATGTGAACCGCTGTCAATCAGTGCTTTTACAGGCAGAGGGAAGGTCAAACTAGGTCCTTCAAGAAGACAGGACCATCAAAGGTGGGGAACTGAAAGAGGCACGACGTACTCTTCACCTGAATCAGTTCTGTCCCCAAAGGCAGCAGAAGGCATGACGACAGTGATGGTATCCACATTGTCATCAACTTCGGTGATGCGAGCACGCTTCGCTGCTGGCTCTTCCTCAACGACAGCGGTGACCGGCTTGGCACACTTCTTATGAGCAGCCTCAACATCTGTGGCAGTCAACGTCTTGTAGTTCTTAGCATCAGGGAAGTCGTTCGGACAATTATATGTAGTGTGGTTTTGAAAGAGACGACGACACTTGAAACACCCAGAGTTATCGTGGAGGAGTTGGCGTTCCTCAACGGTGAGAGCAGGGGGACGAGTACGAGTACGGCTGTCTGGTACCTTTGAGGTCGATGTGGTGGTATTGGCTGAGCAACTAGGCTGAAAGGGCTTCTTACGAAGGGCTGCATCGATCTTTGCAGCATCGTGGACACGTTTCTCATCGAGGAGACAGACCAAGTCGAGCCATGCACGGAACCGCTTTTCACGACGAGTAGCAGTCAGACGATATTCTGCAGTAAGGTCCGGGTGCATGTGTGACTCCAAGTGGAAACGGAGATGGTCTTCAGTAAGGTGGAACTCGCTTCCTTGCAATAAGACATTCAGGCTTTCTACTTCGACGGCCCACAGATGGAAGGCCTTATTCCCCTGTGTTGACGACAACATTTTCTGCTGTATAGCCTCTGCCCAATCACTGGGGAGCCAATATGTACGAACCTCGTCCATAAATTCAGAGAAGGATAGGGCAGTCAGTCGACTACCGTTGTTACTGATCCAATCTTGCACGCGAGGATCTAAAAGGTGACCCGTGACCTTAGCGACCTGGACATCCTCAGCTACACTCTTCAGCCGAAAATAATTTTCACAGCCCAGCTCCCAGCTCCGCAACCCTTCTGGGGTGATATTGCCTGCCGTCAAGAAGGGAGGATTTTTACCAGGCGCAGTGTTTTCGCACCGCACCGTCTGAGACTGGGTCGAAGACATTATAATAACAGGGAAGACCGCTGTGGAGCTGTCTGACAACGAGGAACTATCAGTGGTCACAGGAGATGCTGGATGCGCGTACGGGGATGACACTGGTGACGGGGGAACACGCGCAGAAGGGGCGGATGGAGACGATGTGGCGCTAGGCAGAGCCACAGGTGATGGTGTGGGCGGCAGCGGGAGGGAGGCAGCACGGGACTGAGACAGCGAGGGACTGAGACAGCGAGGGCGAAAGCGAGGACAACGGAGATGACAACGACGTCGCCAGCGGGGGACCGTTCCCTCGACTACGGGTAGTCAAGGGCACAGGAACGGAGGGGGTGTGACGAGACGGCAGCTTGACACCTTTACCAGGCGTCGACACGCACTATGGCACGTTCAAAAAAAGTGGAACCCACCACAGTAGGGGTGAGCACACTCAGGACAAATCGCAACAAGACAGAATGTGGACAGGCGTGTGGGATTGAACAACCGAGCGTACGCTCTGATACAGGATGATAGAGAGAGAAAGGAAGAGGGAAAAGAAGATATCCCTGCGCATACATGTAGCACCGATATATATATCCCCAGGATCCAAACAGTGCAACACAGTGAGAGGGATCCGCATGCCCAGACAAGGAGATAGGAGACGTGATAGTGCGGTGCGACAGGAGATGTGACAGCGTGAAGCAGTAGCGTGAGCGTGAGTGACGCGTGAGTGGTAAGTGTACGCTTACAGTATGCTGTAATTTGACCGCTTTGCAGATGTTGTTGCACCCTCCCAACTGGCATGACATTGGTGTAAACTATGGGTGTAAATTGACAATCAGTCGATTGCGCAAGTGAGAGCGAGATGGCCACTGTATCTAGTTAATCAGGAAGCAATAATCGACTCTTCAGCAGAAGTTGTGCTGTGGCCACGTAGCAAACAGGAGATCGAATACTGTAGTACCCACGTTTCTTCTCCCAAGTAGCAGGATGTCACATCTTAGGCCTCGATGAATCCATCGTGTTGCGTCGTGACGACACGAAAGCAATCCTGGAAGTAGCTTGGATCGTCCGCCAGAAAGCAGTTGGACCAGCCAGCCCATCTTGACTCCCAGCCCCAAGCAAATATGTTCTGGTCATTGGACGTGCGCGTGATTTCCAAACTGCAGATGTCGAAATGTATTCTCTCCATACAACATAAATATTGGCACGTGCACTCCAAGCAACGCTAACAAGGAGTATGCCCGGTCCTCCTCACGTGTTGTCGACCGGTGACTCGGAGCAGACGATGACATTACTTCTCGAAGTGACAATACGATCAGCATTCGTATTACGATCTCCGTATTCCGAAAAGATAAGATAGTGAGCAAGGTCACGTGCAAGAGATATGACCTCATCGACTGTTATGCAACCTTACTCGACGAAATTGCAGCTGCCCTTCTTCTCTTCGTGCCCCTTCTAATCTCAAATAGGTCTGCCTCAATTTCGATATCCTTGCACTGTCCCAACATCACCAAGCTTTTGCCCAACGCGCCTGAGCCGAGGGTGCTTTGGCCGGAACCAATTTTGGCACGTCTTCTGTTGCCATTTCCACCTGCGCCACCACCAGCAGTTGAGTGCCCATTTGTGAGCGTTACCGATGTGAGAGGGAAAGGAAATGGCGAAGGAATCTCGTCTACCGAAAGAGAATGTGGGTTTGTGACTGGACCGGTTGTTATGGGTGTCGTGCTTCCATTCGAGATGCCAAGTGCTGCTAGTCCGAGAGGCGTCGGGGGTGGTGATGTGCCGACCTTGTTGCGTAGTTTTCGGGTGATATGAATGCGCGATTGGATATCTAGAGATGGGTCTGTACAAGTAGTGTCGGGATCGGGGTGTTTGGAAGAAGACAACATAGTACGCGTACCGTTGACAGCTCCTTCGCCCTCTTTCTCTTCTCGAGCGCGACGCTTTCGTTCTTCTATTCCTTCCAAGAGTCTTTCGCGTACCCGATCTCTGCCTTTTCTCCATTCCTCTTCTACACGCTCGCGTTCCTCTTCATAGGCTGTTTGGGTGGTATGTAAGGAGTGTTTTGCTTCCAGATCCAGCTGTGTGAGGAGAGCGGAGCGCTCAAGCGAGAGGGGGTACAGGCGAAGGTTGTAAAGGGGATATGTCTCTGGGCGAGACGCCAACTGTATCGTTGCACTGTGCAAAGCGGATATGTTTTCTGCAAAGTGTGGTTCACTGCGCATCGTGCGTATGTGTGTGAGTGGCGAAGGGTATGAACATATGATGGTGTCAAGCACGCACTCATCTCTTCTGTCAATCTCTTTCCCGACCTTTCCGGAGATGTCCTTGCGTTTCTTCTCTTTCTTCGTGTCATCTAACGTGTCGCACATGATGAAACTGCGCCAAGATGTTGTGGAAAAGTTGGTGGACGTACCGTGTGTGCGAGGGTTGCTGAGTCCTGAGATGGGAGTGTAGTGATGAACGTGGTGAATGTGAGGGTTCGAAGTGGGTTGAACCTGTGGTGGCTGAGGCTGGGCCTGGAAGTGCTGATATGATATAGTCATGGGCGTGTTGTCTGGCTGGATAACGTCTGCGCGAGCTTTGTGCGTTGAGGCATATGGCAATGCGAACATTCCTGGCTGAGGTGGCATGGCAGCGTCGAGGCAGTTGTCCCGGCGCTTTCGCAATGCAGACCACAGACCTGATCAGATTTGGAACAGGTCTAAATATGGTAATCTCCGATCGCAGTACGGGGGTGCTATTATCATTATAGTAGCCCACACGAGACTGAAGCGCTGAAATGCGGTATTCTGGGCGGCTGATAAGCTCTAGCTCCATCATCCACCGGTCATGGCCCTCACCCATGCTGGTATAGTCCATCAACCTCGGGGGCAATCCACTTTGGCATATCTTCCAGTCGAGGAGGTTATCATCAAGGCATGGGTCGTCGACGGTATGTTTCGCTCACCGTTTCTTCCAAATTATACCAACTTGTCCATTGCGAGTAGTTCTAACTCAAGTTTTCAAGAACGAATCAGAGAGCCCTACCGCTAGGGCGAAGTACGTCTTCCCGCTGCTGGAACGATCGGCTGTCTGTGCCTTTGAGCTTCAACATGCCGACGGGCGCCTGATTGTTGGCTCCGTGAAAGAAAGTGAAATGCAGAACAAGCGTTTGAAACAGCAGTCGCATCGAGAAGAACCGCTGCACTGGTGGAACGCGTAACGGACGATAGTCAGTCGGTGTATCACTCATAGGCATCTCACTCTCAACCCGCTACAGTCTTCGCAATATCAGTGGGCTCTATTCCTGCCAGGAAACAAGTTACCACCCAAATCACGGTGAGTTCTTCGTGGATTTCTGAGCTGCGTCTGAGCCATTTGCCTTTAAGTTTATCATGGACCTGCTTGACGAAGGTCTCCGGGATCACGTGCGCCTCCAACTTCCCTTGACCATCTTTAATCAATATGGCCCTCTGCCAGCAGCGATGGTTGGTGCTGCTTCAGCATCAAACACCACCCGCATCGACGTCAACGTCTATGTTCAAATGAGTGATACCATCCATGCCATACGCAGCGTAAACCATCCTATCAAAGTGCCACAGCACAACACACACAATGAGCGCAAGTCCCAGCGGATGTCTGCGTCTTGGGCGTCACAGGCCCTCGTACCAGGAGATTTTGTCCTTACCATATACACCGACGGGCTCGACAAACCGAGATGCTTTGCAGAGGTAGACGCCGAATCCCAGATGGGACGATTGGCATGCAGCTCACCCTCGTTCCTTCCCTCAACGCGCTACGTAGTTCATCACAAGAATACATATTCGTCATCGACATATCATACAGTATGGCTGGCCTGCGACTCGAAACCGCAAAGCATACAATGTCAATGCTCCTACGTTTCATGCCAAGCACTCAAACTATTTTCAATATCTTATGCTTCTCTTCTAACGTGCGGTCGCTCTGCGGCTGGACCACATCTCGTGACTTCGGCCAAGATTCCCTTCGTGGCGCCGTGAGCTAACATCTCTACAGCCGCTGGTATTTTCCAAACGAAGAGCGAGTTTAGGTTGCACACGTGCAGGCGCTCACGGTTGACGTCGGTGGTACAGAGATTACCAACGCGTTGGAAGCTGCAGTAAGCAGTCGACGGCACGATCGACCGACCGCAATTTTCCTTTTGACGGATAGCGAGGTATACGCGGGTGCACTTTGCAGTCCAGTCTTGACATAGATTAAATCGATGTTATAGGACATTGGTGGCCTTATGGGGGTGTTGTAGCCGATGCTGTCGAGAATGCTGGCCCAGACGCCCCCCTACGTGTATTTGTACTCGGCATTGGGTCCCTGTCGTCTGAAGTATGCGAAGGAATCGCCCGTGCTAGGAATGGAGAGTGCCTATTGGCAGCTACACATGAAAGCATCCTCGGAAAGTGTGCCCGCCTATTTAACGCAGCACGGACAAGGAAAATTGAGAATATCAAAGTGGATTGGGGTGTTCAGCCTACATCCAGAGCCGCCCAGCCGAAAAAGTCACAGCTCGTTAACTCCGTGGGGATGCTTGTGCTGGAACCCCCACCAACTCTGCAGCAGGTTCCACATGCTCTGGTCAAGGTTTCGGCCGGGATTCGCTTTACTGTCTTTTCGATCATTTCTTCTAGGCGAATACCATCCTCGATCAAGCTCTTCACTAAGTTCCAGGGGGTAGAAGAACCTATGGAATGGATCGTTCCAGTTACGGACGTCAAACCCTTCAAAGACCCGAAATGCAAGATCCCCCTCATACATACCCTCGCGACACGCAAATTAATCACAGAACTCTGGGAGCGTAGAGCACCACTACCAGCCCTGGTTAATACTGCTGTGGCACCTGATGACGGAATCAGGAGGGCAGCGATTGTGAGGCTCGGGTTAGGGTACCAGCTTATAAGTCAGTACACATCTTTTGTGGCAGTGGATGTCGAGGACCAAGAGTCTGGGCGCATTAGTGGTCAAACCAGACGGGACACAGGAAGGACCAAAACGACGCGGCAACTACACTCGTCATTACCACCACAAGTTGATGGGAACCAAGATGCTGATCAAGATGAGGATGATGGCATATTAGGCACTCTCCTCAACGATCTTACTTCGGCGTTCTCATTCGTTTCCGGTGTGCTCGGTGCTCCCGTATCTGATCCAAGGTCGACCTCGGATGGCGAGCCCGAGAATATTCCTGGGGCATATGTGGATTCCGAATCTGGTCCGGACGATAGACGTCCGCGCGGTCGCTGCCCTAGAAGCGTGGGACAAAGTATCCCTCGTCGTGATAGCACAGGCTTGTTCTCGTCACTAAGTTCGCTTAGAACATCGTGCACTTCCTGCTGGACGTTATCTCAGTCACCGAGTCCTGATGATCCAATCGCCCGTGCCCCTTCTCCCAAGTTCGTCTGCGCGACTGGGGTCCCATGTATACCATATGCAGCTACCCCGCAGGCCTCGCTTCCCCCAATCGGCTGTGGCCCCAGCGGCATGGACGAACACTGGAGCAGTGACCCATATATACCACATGCAGCTACCCCGCAGGCCTCGTTTCCCCTTGGCTGTCTCCCTCCCAGTGGCATGACCGAACACTGGGGCAGGACGAACACTGGAGCAGGGGCCCAGGTATACCACATGCAGCTACGCAGGAGGCCTCGTTTCCTCCAGTCAGCTGTCCCCCCCCCCCCCCCCCCCCCCCCCCCCCCCCCCTGGTGGCATGAAAGAACACTGGAGCAGAGACCCATGGATACCGCATGCAGCTACCCCGCAGGCCTCGTCTTCTCCGGTCGACCCCAGTGGCGTGAACGAACACAGGAGCAGGGACCCATGTATACTACGCGAGGCTACCCCGCAGGCCTCATTTTCGTCGGACGCGTCATCTGCAGGCCCGCCGACCGTTTCAGCGGAAGCATATCAAGTTTCCCAACTTATCGATTTTGATGGCTGGTTCTATCCTAGTGCTGAATTGGCTCGGATTGTGGGATCTGAAATACTACAGAAGGGGGATGAGCTCAGGGTTGATGGGAGGTTGTGAGCTACATTGGTAGCTGTGGCGTATTTGAAGAAGCACCTGGAGAAGGAACCGTACTTACTCGATACAATCTTTGAGAAAACTGGAGATTTTGTCCGGAAGACGCAAGCAAGGGAACGGGGCAACTTGCAGGGGGATTTTGAGGACATGGTTAGACATGTGTCAAAGTTGCTTGAGGAGGAACAAGGAATTGATCAGTGAAGCTGTTTGGAGCTCGTGAGTCTTCTACGTAGTAATTCTCACACAAGCAGTTGTTGTATCTCCGCTCGCTTTCGAGGTGTAGGTTACAAGCTGTAAAGCAAAACAGAGTGTGCAGACAAGACGAGCATCAGGACCGTGAGCTCAACTTGGTATCATTTATTTCCTAGCTACACGCTGACCATCCTTCCCACTGTGGGGGGTACCTCGCCCGACTATAACCAAGTGTTCAGTGCGATGCAACGTACGCCCATTCGTGCCCTGAGCCGCATTATTACGCTTGCGACTCTCAGAACAGCGATATTCTCGGCGAAGCACGATACACACGTTTCTCCACGATAATTGGCATAACGAACATTTGGAGCCTGTACATTCTACCCATGACCCGTTAGGTCATGAGAGCAATTTCATATTCAAATACCACCGAGGAATCAATGCTAAGACTCAGAATCACCTATATGACGAATTTATGATTTACTTAGCAAAGTAATTGTGGATTCTCGGCGGAGTGTGATACATACGTGTCTCCACAATAATTAGCACGACAAACTGACGAAAACTTGTGAACTCCACCGTTGACCAGGTCATGAGGGCACTTTCATATTTGAATCTTGCGGGAACCGATCAGACGAAGGCGCAAAATCAGTCCTAGATTCAGTGTAACCAAACCGCAGTAGTGGATTGTGTTCATGTGGTGCTGTTGAAGCGAAGAATCAGAATAGGCTGGCACTTTGCTGTCCGCCGAGCATATAGCCTGCTAAAGCAAGGAAACCAAACATCATTTACACAAAGATCTTCCCAGCTAGCATAGAGGTTAATTTTTCTGCAGTGTCCTTGAGGATCGATAGGCCATACAATGAGTCGGACTTGAAGAATGAAGCTTGAATGCGCACAGGTCTTGGAGACTTGAGGGCATCAAGCTTCAAGCATGTGTTTGTTCCTGTATACGTTTTGCGCACGTGTCGGCACGAAGCAAACACCAGGTGACCTTCCTTTCGCAGTGCAAGGTAAGCGTTCAATAGCATGGGTACGAAATATTAATAGCCATATCGTATAACGGCCATTCTTCGATATGCATATACTACAGGCCCCAAATCTCGAATGATGCGCCCGCTTTGAGCGATGGCATAGAAGGTGCCGAATAACGACCTTTCAGCGGTGTCTGCATTCATTCTTTCATTCATCCTGTTGGAGCGAATCTGACAATTCAGGGCACTGTGGGTGGGTACTTTTTGCCAGTGGAGCATCGCTTAGAACCCACCTTTGGAGGGGGATTACTTCCTAGGCATTGGACGCTATTGTTATCTCAAATGTGATCTCCCCTTCAACCGATTGTAAACCTTCCTATTCACAGAAACCATTCAAAAATTGATGAATGCCCGACCAAGCATGGAGAACTTGGTGCCTAACATTCGCACCCGATGTCATCGACTCATTTGCGGGAGCGTAAACATTCCTGTTTTGGTGATGTTCTAGGGCCGTTAGATCGCCACCTCCGAGATCGAGAAGTCACCTGGTTTACTGGGATGTAATTGCCCCTGTAGGTATGGAACGTGCATGACCATTCGAACCATCGGCGCTCTGATAAATTTGTCATACAGCTCAGTTTGAAGGGATAAAAGGGCATCAGTATTCGCCACTGGGTTTCCCCAATTCCTGCGCCTTCTCATCCATATCATGTCTAACAAGCTCGGTGTAAATATCGCTTCATATGTCATCCGCACCTTTGATGGCAGAGTCCTTGCCTATGGCCCTACTGACGGAGGGAGAGGCACCATCCCTCCCCCTCCCAAACCTGTTATCGCATATCTTGCGGGATCTGTCCAACCTCAGCAGGTGGGTGTAATCATGAGCCCGCTTCGCGATGAACTTAACATCGTACATCCGGAAGTTTGATATTGGTCAAGTAGAGCAGGACAGCAACCGCTACTACATCAACTACCTCATTGAGCGTGATAACCTGCTTTACGAGCAGGTTACAGCCCCCCAGAAATGGATCATCACCTTAGTTCCCAAGCCCGGCCGCGTTGTGTTCACGTATGTGGTCAGGTTGCTATCCGATCCTAATGAGAGGCTTGATACAACTCCTTCACATATAGCATAGCAAAGGAAGGTGGGACAGACCAGTGGGTTGCGCCCCCCGCCGGCGAAGAGGGTCAGGTAGGACTTCTAAATTCTTTCATCCTGTGCATTTTCCATTGACGGGCCTGTTTTCGTTTTAGATCCGTGTTGCGACAATCGATTCTGGACTCGACCCGAACGCGTTGTTCGAATTAGCTCCAGCTGTACTGAAATCCTCTTAAGCAAGCGTATCACGTCACGTCGTGTTTTGAAGTGGCAGAGTTGTATGAATACTGCCAAGATAGGATGTGTTAGTATGTACCGGAAAATCCAAATCTGTTGTGTTGTGGTACTTCAACTTGACCCTTGGAGGTCGTCGCATAGTGACGAGCAAACAGTTACACATTCAAGATCACCCTAGAGGTCAATCTTTTCCCGTAGACCATAAAAGAAATCGGATGCGAAATATTTCTTTTCGAAGTGCCGTACGCTGGAGAATGCCCAGAACATCATGGCAACGGAATTCTTAGTCGAAGTGCAGAGACACATAACGAACCTTGCTGAATGCCGAAGGAAGCCCACTAAAGACCGGGGTGTTTCACGGAATGAGATCCCTTGTAGTTGAAGTGCAAAGCTCCGGGGCTACAATTGCCTTCAATAACATATTCGGATTGTCGACGTCCTGTTTTGAGCGATCCCAGAAATGGTAAGTGAACAGACTGCTGTTTGAGTTGCCGGTGGCCCGTCCCTCCACAGAACATGAGTGCCGTCAGTTTTTCTAGGGAAGAGGACAACGTGATCAGAGGGCAACAAGGCTCTGAATATTTAGACTCCATTGAGACTATGCAATACGAAGTGTGCGGCGTCCACACCAGCGACGACAGTAAGGCTGCGCCAATGGCAAGTACAGCAAAGGATGTGGTGAAGAAGTGAGACTGCGGGAGGACAATCAGTCACGCAACAGATGGGCCGTGCCACAAGCTAAGCGTCAGAGCACGCCTTACTGTGTGAAGAATTTGTCATTTGCTTAGGGAAGCAATCGTGCTCGAGATTTTCGGCGGAGCGTGATAATAATTGGTACAATAAAGGTTTGAACACCGTGGATTCCATCATCTAGTCATGAAAGCACCTTCACAATCAGGTACTATTCAATTAGAACGGGCACTGATGGAATGTTCTGTGCGAACCGAGGAAGTATGTACATACCAAGATGGACTAATCATTATGGCAAGGACAACATCTTGAGTTGACTGGCATATTGCAATTGTGGAAACCGGAGATCCGGCGAAGGCGCAAAACCAGTCCTAGATTGGGTGTAACCAAATTGTACTGGACAATTTTATGCTCAAACCGTGGCCATTGTGCAAGTTGTGGGTTCTAGCGTCATTGGAGCGAGGATTTAGGATAGGTTCAGTGGCACCGTGCTCGGGGATTGCTGAAGACGGCACTGAACATGTGGCTTGCGAAAGCACGAAGGACAAAATTATTTGTGTCATTCACCCAGAAGCCTTCCGACTGGCACCGGAGGTTGGCTTTTCTCGGTTCTCCACGGCGGCAGTACCCTTGGAGGAAGAATGGCCCATATACTGAGTCGGACTTGGATGGAGACTATCCAAACGGCCGCGCCGGGTCCGCGACCTGAGTGGTACGTGTCGCGGAGACTTGGAGGTACGCTTACCTCTACGAAACAACCATATCGTACATCAGTAAAGCTAAGCGTTCAAAAACCTGGGTTTTCAAGTGCTTAATGTTCGCCAGTGTTTGCCGAGCATTCAAAAACTGTCTAATGTGCATGCTGTAATTTGGCTGAATTTACTGATGTATGACGGCCAGATCCCGGCCCAATGTCACACGCCAGTGACATATGTAGGGTGATACTCACAGTTGCGCCGGGTTGCAAGCGAACGTGGAGTCTTTGGGAACTTGTACAAAGTTCCTTGGAAACTTGTGATTGTGTTATGCGTTCAGATGTGCCAAATGGCAAAAATCCAGCAGGTAAGAATAGAGCAATTAATCGACATTCGGTATCATTTGGACAGTCCAGGCTGCGAGTCCAATATTGTCGAACGTTTGCTTTCACATGACCAAGTTGATGCGACGGCGTTAGCTGTCGCCAGAGCACCGGGTTTGACTTCCCAGGTGGCTACAATGTTCCAAGTGACTACACGCTACAGTGAAAGAAGCTCGACGATTAACTCGGCACGCAAACCACATGATCACTGGTGGCCCCGGATTGCCCTTGGACTTATGGTAAGACCACCCTCAGACAAGTTGACCATTTTCAAAGCTGTACTTGCAATGGAGCATCACGTTTACTGAGGAAACCAGACTTTTCCAGAAGATGGACATTCCCTTCAACGTCATGCGAACTTTCATCTGTCTATACTTCTTGCAGGTTGGAGACTTGGAATGCTCCCCCCCCCTAGAAAAAAAACTGCTCAATGCCAAATCAGGCCCGGAGAAGCTTACAGCCTAACGTCCTCGCCAGTTGACTGTAAGGGTATAGTTATTATCTACTGATCTCCCATTCGAGAGAGCGCAAACCCCCTGCCTGTGGAGTAATGTGGGTTTCCGAGAGCATGCCTCGTGCCTTCTAGGGTTGCCGCTGCATCACCGCTGTCTAAGCTGAATGGCGATTGTCCCTAGAGGGGTAGACCATTCATGACGATTTGAAGCGTGAGTGCTCTAAAAAATATTTCATACAGTTCATCAAAGGATAAAAGGGCATCAGTACTCGCCGTCATATTTCCTCAACTCCTGTGTCTTCTCATTGATATCATGTCTGACAGGCCCAGTGTAAATACTGCTTCATATGCCATCCACACCTTGGACCGCAGAGTCCTTGCCTATGGCCCCCCCGACAGAGTCAAAGACACCGTCCCACCCCCTGCCCAACCTGTTGTCGCATATCTAGAAGCTATCCAGCCTCAGCGGGTGGGTGTAATCCCGAGTTTGCCATGCAGTGAACCTAACGTTGTGCATCCGGAAGTTCGAAATTAGTCAAGTAGAGCAGGACGAGAACCGCTACTACATCAACTACCTTATCGAGTGCAATAACCTTCTTTACGAACAGGTTACAGCCCCCCAGAAATGGATCATCACTTTCGTTCCCCAGCCTGGCCGCATTGTGTTCACGTAGGTGGTCAGGTTACTGTCAAGTCCCAATAGAAGGCTTGATACAACTCCTCCCCATGTAGCATAGCAAAGGAAGACGGAAAGGAGCAGTGGGTCGCACCCCCGGCTGGTGAGCAGGGTCAGGTAGGACTTCTAAATCCTTTCATCCAATGGATCTTGCATCGACGAGCCTGGTTTTGCTTTAGATCCGTGTTGCTACAATCAATACCGAACTCGACCCCAACGCTTTGTTCGAATTAAGTCCATTGACCCAACTCTCTTAAGCGAGCGTACCGTGTCACGTCGTGTTTTGAGTAGCAAAGTTGACTGCTAAGATAAGATGCGTTGGCCTGTATGTACCGGAAAATTCAGATCCGCAGTGTTGTGGTACTTCAACCTGACCCTTGAAAGTTAGAACGGAAGTCGGTCATATGTACTGACTCACCCCATCGACTATCCCAGGGCGGCGCGGGCATCTTGATGGCTACAACGTGTTAGGAGTCGATTCCTAAAATGGAGGCTACCTTGGCTGACGTTTCTGACTCGGGCTGTTTGCGGCCCTTATGTTCTCTTGGCCTAGAAGTGATGGCTTTCTTCCTTTTCGGGCCATAGCGCAGACCAACTCTCCAGTGCACTACAGAACACCTTCCAATCTCAAACGTTTCTGTCGTACTTGCCAGACATGACTGGTGGCCTGCGACTACTACGGTCTCTGCAGCATTTCTATGGGCTCACCCTGGTGGACCTGTTGTGTTCTTGTTTCCTACGATCTTGGAGTTATCCAACAACCGTGAAAGGTGTGTCTGAATTGAAAGACTGCTCAGCTCTAGCCCAAAGCCATGAGGACTCCGAACGCCATTTTGAAAGTTGTATGCAATTATATACAAACCTTCATTCATCCTATTGGAGAAGATTCGGCACTGGGACCGTGCAGAGCGAGGACATGGTTGGGAGTCCGGAGAACATCCGTTCAGAGCATGGAACGCCGACTCGTGCCATCCAGGACCTCATCGCCTACCCTACTAGTTCAGTCTGGCAGGGTGAATGGAAGCTCCTTGAACGTCGTGGAATAGATTATTATGCATAACGGACCATTCGCAGTCACCGGTGATATGAGGATTGCTGCCATAGCTCAGCTTGACGGAAGGGCCATGGCTTATAATTATCCGCCCCATTCCAAGCCTGTTTACGCGCTCCCTTCAGCTTTCGCACCACAGCCGGTGATGCAAAAGTGGATTTCCCGTTACAGAACCGACGTCTAACACTTTTCCGAACCCGCAGCAAGGAGCAAGGTCGATATTTACTAATGTCGACAACCTCATTGAACCTGAAGGCCATGTTTTTGATGGCCTCCTGTCTCCATTCAAGTGGGCCATGTGATGGACCACTTCTTCCCCGTATATGTCTCCATGACATGTTCGTAGTTGTCAAGCCGTCGGCAGATACCGATGGAAGGCCTCACCCAAGACTTGCACTACGGTCTCGAGGGAGAAGAAAGATAAGCAGATTACGTGGACCGTCGTGTCGGAAGGAGAAGTATCGTCAGATAGAGCCCATAAGAGCTCCTCCTGACTTTCCCATCGACACTATTGCTCAAACTGACGATTAAGCTTTGACGGTCGCAAGACAGAGTGGGTATGATGCTTTGAAGGATGTCACGCTGCGTTTCGAAATGGGCTGCATGGCTTGTTAGACTTGAAGCGTATTAATATCGGAAAATCCGAATACCTTGTGTTGTAGTGATTTTTCTACCTTTTCACGGAATAGTTTCCGACCGTTGGTGACCGCCGCCGGTGGCACTAACTATCTCAGACCATGCTTCGTGCATATAAATCTTTGCAGGATATGGCAACATTTTCAACATGCGCCAAACGCCTCAATCATAGAAATATGACTTCCCAAAGACCAATGTCTGGTAAACAGGTGCCAGACAGACATCCTGCCTACCCCTATTCCCCGGTAGATGTTGCCTGTGCACTGCCACCGTGTTAATGACGACACGGAGTTCGGGTGCGAGAAGCGAGATCGGCGGCTCGGGATCAAACAAAGTCCGCGGGATCTACAGGGGTGCTACACAACTCCCTTCCCGACCGACTCTGGCCAGCCTTTAGTGGAATCACGTCTACTCGAATGGGAACGAGAGCTCCTCGGGATGCGTGGCGGTGATCGTCGATGAGCTCCGCCGTGCCTGGGTTCACCCCGGACAGAAAACATATAAAAGGGGGGCGAAGAAGGGACCATGGAGGTGTCTTCAACTCTTCCCTCGATCTCTACCATGTCCAACTTGTCGTCTGTCCTGCGCTTTTACTACGACCCCATCACCGAGGTCGAACGCGTCATGGAAGAGGCTCTCACTGCCTCTGCTGGCATCAGTGACCGTCCCTCCGTCATCCGTCCCAGGTATGTAAGCACGTGTATGCGTCATAACCATAACCGTAATGGACCGTTTGCAGGATGGACATGCACGAGAACTCCGATACCAACACGGTGGTCATGGTGTTCGAGCTTCCTGGGTTGAAGCCCAAGGACGTTGTCATCGACGTGCAACAGAACCGCTTGGTCGTCTCGGGCGAGTTCACAAGGTCGGCGTCCCTCGACGAGTCTGGATATGTCCTCCGCGAACGCCGTATGGGCAAGTTCTTCCGCGCTCTCCAGATTTCTGCCGGCGTCAAGGTAGCCATTTCCGAGTTCAATGATGCATTGATGACAGGAGCTTTCCAGCCAGAGGAGGTGACCGCGCACATGGAAGATGGCCTCTTAATGGTCACATACCCCAAGATCCCTTTGGAACAGCATGCTCATCGCATCACCATCACATAGACGGTCATAAGTACGAAGAAGGACTCGGACTCTATTGTTACTGTGGTTTCGGTACCTGTGGACATTAACGAGTGGGCCTTTGTTTGTACAGTAGATTCAGCGGTTTATTGTATCGGACTAGTATTTTCGCATTCAAAGATGGATTATCCCGGCTGACTTGGAGATTTCTCGAAATTTCGAGTACCTTAGGGGATTCCCTTCCCTGGTGGGTAACAAACAAATACCAACAGTCGCGCTTGCCAAAACGGGACCTCAACACCAACTAGAATTTTCCTGAATCTATGCGGAAAAACGGGGCCCACCATCGAGAAGATTCGGGATAATGGACAGTGAACCAGTATATAAGGTGAGCGCGAGGAGCCCAGTTCTTGCCGTGAACGACCTTTGCAACTTCAAAACAACCAAGCCCTTGCTTCGAGAAACACTCGCAACACTCGTAACATGTCTTCTATCATGCGCTTCTACTACGACCCCTTCGCCGAGGTCGATCGTTTGTTTGACGACGCCTTTGCTGCTCGTTTCACACCCTCCTCGGCCGTAACTCAGAAGAGTAATAATAACAGGCAGACAGCATTCCGTCCGAGGTATGCATGCACGTTTTACATTGTAATTTGAATGGAAATCCTAATGAACTTTTACAGGGTGGACCTCCACGAGAACCAGGAAACCAACACGGTTACTGCGACCGTTGAGTTGCCTGGACTGAAATCCGACGACGTCTCTATCGAGGTCCACCAGAACCGCTTGACGGTCTCGGGCGAGTTCAAAACGGAGTCTCGCGAAGAATCTGGATACGTTGTCCGCGAGCGCCGTCAGGGGAAGTTCGCTCGTACGCTTCAGCTGCCCTCCGGTGTCAAGGTAAGGTTTCCACTTGTGCATCTGTTCACGTGAATGAGCTTGCTGACACGGATGTTCTTTAGCATGAGGATGTGAAGGCCAGGATGGAGGACGGTCTGTTGACAGTCACCTTCCCGAAGCTTACCCCAGAACAGCAGTCTCACCGTATCTCCATCTCTTCATAAACAGCTTCGGGTCACGGATGTGAATTGGTTTTTGATAATTGAGTTTATCGATCATCACACGTTGTGCTAGTTGTATAATATCCATTTATTGTCTTTACTATCATTCCTCCTACGATAATGAGAATTGTACTCGCTCTGTGTTTGGAGATAAAGCAATCAATGAACCTGGAGCTCTGCAACTTGCGGTGCCCGGAGCTGTGTTCCGGTTCCGACACGAACGATTCGAAGCTTGTATCAGGCTATCCACTTGACGGAAACTTTCTCCTCTAGGTTTTCGTCTTCGCGACGCTCTGATGGGGAACACACTGACTTCCAAACACAGACGAACCCTGCATCATGATAATAGAGAACACGCACTACGTCACACAATCCACATGCAGGGAGTCCTCTAGATATCCAATCCTGTCCGGCCTTGCACATACGACGAATCCCAGCACCATTGGGGCCGCTGTGAGTTCTAGTCTCAAACCTTTCTCCTCGAGTTTTTAATTCCGGATCCAGCAGTAGACTGCCTTCTACCCAACATACAGTAACTGCTGATCCCGCCGTTTGGGCTTATGCATCGATACTTCACTCTCAGAGTTTATCACTACCAGAGATATTTTTGCTATCACAGTCATCTGGTCGTCTTCCATGCAACGAGGCTGCACTAGTCACCTTCGACCCTAGTCTGGAAACGGTGAATTTGACGACTTGACCGATCAACGGAGGCGTTCCGATGGCTTGTTCATCGGTGTCTCCCGGGGGACCCTTGATGTCTTCAGATAATAAGAGGCGGTTGGACCTGCTGCTGCATCCCAAAGTCAAACCTTTCGGTTCTCCTTCCAGCATGCCTCACACCCTCCACCCCACTGGGAACAATGAATACACCATTCGCACTCTCGACGGCAGAAACCTAGGTTTGCCGTTCATCATCCAACCTGGCATAATTGTCGTCCCTATTCCCGTCCCCATCGTTGCCCTTCCTGAAGGGTTACAACCTCAACGGGTAGGTATCTTCCCATTCTCCCATATCCGAAGCTTCCATAGTGAAGGTAATCGCGCTGCCAACAGTTCCAGGTTGAGAACCTAGGAGAGAACATATACAGGATTGGAGACGCCGTGGACTTCCGTAGCCGTCTCTTCAGTTACCCTGAGGTAACTCCTGAGAGATGGATCATCACCTTCAGGCCCAACCACGACGCGTACACGTGAGTTATTTAACATCTTCAGATGATTTGTACCAAGCAATCTAATGTGACTCCCCGTTCGCATCAGGATCGAGACCGAGAATTCAGGTGCTGCATGGGTTGCTCCCCCTCTTGGTCAATTGGATTGTCAGGTAATGCCTTCTGGTTTGAATTGCTTGGGCCTTGTGTTCTTTATACGCATCATTCGTTCTAGATCCTTGTCGAACAAGTGCCCGTTGGACTGTCTGACCCTCCAACCTACCCGTCGAATGCATTGTTCAGGTTTGAGCCAGTTGCCTAAATAATTTCTTCATGCAACGATGAAGTGATACGTTGGCGTATGTAGTGTGTTTCGTATATCATGCAAACTGTGATCCTTCGTGTGTACTTGTGTCGTGTAACCTTAAATCAGTATCGGTGGCTATTTTTGGATCCTGTTGATCTAGAACTATTAGTGATGCGAAGTGGTGTTTCAGAAGTTGTTCGTTGTCAACCGAGCGGGCACTGGTACATCGTCCGGATGTATTACCGTCTTGTTTGGGTAAGCGGAATCGCGGTTATGATTCGGCACGCAATGTTTCAACAAAATCAAGGAGAGTAGGCCATTGTATGCGCTCTCCCTTAAGTGGTGTTCAGCGGCACATCCATTCGTGGTGAATACTAAACAATTACACAGTTTAGTCTGGGACTCTGAAACGCCAACCAGGAAGTTCGTCGAATATATAGGGAGCGCCCACCAGCGGTTCCCTTTGAGGAAAGCCCGTTTTAACTTTGTTATGTAATTCTTTTTCTACTATGAGCTCGACTTGGAGCCCCGTCTGTCTACTGACTCGATCGACCGTGCCACAAATGTGCTGAATCTCATTCTCCTCACGTTTGTAGTCACCCTTAAGCTACATTTGATGCAGTAGTCTAATTCTGACAGGTGGCAAGAGAGTTGAGAGGTATTCTACCACATTTTCACCTCCTCGGTATCAAGACCGAGGGATCCAAGTCTTCACGGACTGCTTTGGAGAAGAGAGGAGAGCGTCAAGTCATTTCGGAGGCGCACCAGTACAAGAGTTCAACGTCGACGGTTCACGGTGCGTTTAACAGGATGACGTTAGACGTGCATCTCACAAAACTTTCGAAGGTGGTGACAGTCAAGACTTTGGTGTGGACTGGGAGGGGCGAATGAAGGTAAGTTCTACTGTTCCCTCGTAGTTTCTACTCTCCTGTGCGGGTTTCCTCTTGGTGCCGCTTGTTTAGCCATCGAATGTGCTGTTTTGTTTGGAGAAAGAATTTGACACCCTCTTCACAAGTGGTGGGTCACCTGGTAAGTTATCCGACAGTTTAAACGGACACCGGTTGCTTGTGAAAGGATACGGGCAGTGAAACCGCAGGCAACCATCTGCTGCGAAACCGGTGAGCTGAAAATACATCTCGTTTTGGGAAAGAACAAGGTGACTTAACAAGTCTGGAGACTGTGCGACCATTTGTCATTCCCGCTCTGATGCGCAGTCATAATTCTTTAGATAACTCCCACGGAAGACTGGAGGGTGACTTGTGCGCGTCCCGCCCTTCCATCGGGATTCTACAAGATAGAAACTTTCCACTGTCATCACTTGCGTGATACGATTCCTATGCACGTGGGATTGTTCTCCTTCCTATAGTATTCTGTGGCCTTGCATTTCTATGCAGATGCCGCTACCTTCAACGGTTGCCGGCGGGGCTTGCACTGCTAACATCATATTCTCTGACAAGACAGCCCCCATCACATTAGTCTACCATGATTTGCTTTTTACAATGTAATCAGCACCATTACGCCATGTTTCGAGAGGCTCCAACAGGTTCCGGGATATTATCAAGTCCATGGGAGTAATAAGCGCTTCGTCAGTGGCGGCTGCTTATAGAGCTGCCGATAGGTATACGTGGATAAATGTACTCAGGAATATACATAGAACACCACTCCCGAAATTGTATATAAGGGGCCCGGGAGGCTTATAAGGTAATACGTTTATCTTTTCCTGCATTTGCCGAAGTGCAAGATGTCGTTGTGCCCAGACTGCATTAAGGGTGAGTAATCGCATCCAGTACCTGAGATAACCAGGTGAGCCTGAGCGCTAATATAATCATTCTGCCAGGTATTCGTCACGAGGGGACTCCAGAAGGTTCGTTCGTTGACCGAGTTCCAGCTATCAGAGCGCCTAAGGTAACACACTATCCCCAACCCAGGCAAGATCGAGGAGATAGGAGGTGTGAGATGCTATGTTGGTACACCTTCCGGCGAATACAACGAGGAGAAGGCCGTCCTCTTTCTCCCGGACGTCTTTGGTATTGACTTCGTCAACGCTCAGGTAGGATCAAGCACCTCATCTGTTGGGTTGGTTAGAAAGCAGAGATACTCACTATGGATAGCTCCTCGTGGACGATTTTGCCAGAAACGGATTCAAGGTGAGGATCCAGCCGTGGTTCTCCTTCCACAAAGTTTGATCACGCAATAAACCCACAAGACCATCGCGATCGATTACCTTAATGGTGATCCGCTCCCTCAGGACGCCTTCAGCGTACGTATTGTACGCAGTGAAGGTGATTCAGTGTCCTTGACTACCTTGCAGGGCGGCAAATATGATATTAATGCCTGGTTCGCTAATCACGGAAACGATGTGACCCGGCCCCACATCGACAAGGTCGTTGCTGTGCTCAGGGAACAGGGCGTGAAGGACTTTGGTTCTGCTGGTTACTGCTTTGGTGGTGGGTCCTTCATTTACTGAGACGAACAGAAACAGAAACCGATCTCAATGTCATTGATGTGAACGCCACAGCGCGGTACAGTTTTGACCTCGCATTTGAGAACATCGCGAAGGTCACTGTCGTTTCTCACCCTTCGCTTCTCAAAGTTCCCGAGGATCTTGAGGTAGCTGCGTTCAATCTGAGTTCCCTCGGGTTAACCTGACGTTCTGTCCTCTTACGCGCAGAAATACAAGAAGCTGTCCAGAGCTCCTCTCCTGATCAACTCCTGCACGTTTGACGCACCGTTCCCTAAGGAATCCCAAGCAGAAGCAGATAGGATCCTTGGCGACGGTGAGCAATTTACGGCAACCTACCGCCGAGAGTACTTCGAGGGATGCACACATGGCTTTGCTATTCGTGGTGATGTGTCCAAGCCGGAGGTTAAGGCGGGTAAGGAGGGCGCCTTCAAGGCTGCTGTGTTATTCTTTAAGAATCATTTGTAAGCGAGGGACTTCATGCTTGGTCATGGAGATCTTCGGAACGTGTAGAGATATGTTTTCTGTATTTTGAAATGTAAGTACTACGAAGAGTGTCCTGCCCTTCAGCCAACCTTCAGCTCGTAAATTTGAGGGACTTGTCTTACTGGAGATACATGACGTAAAACCGGTGGTCTCAAACTTGGTATCACGTGTGCTGGACAAGGCATAAATTGCTTTGATTTATGTAGGCAGCTGGAGGGGTCAAGCCCAGTACACCTATTAGGCAGGAAAGTGCGGTAAACCGTCCGCTCTGCCATACATTGCATGCATCAGTTAGTGCTACCGTACGAATTGAACTCAGTTCGAAGTGGTCCGAAGTGACCTCGCGATGTGGCGACTTTGGCAGACTTCGACTTTTTGAACTGGGACGAAGTGCACCTATATTCCCTGCGAATACATGGAGTGCCAGGGATGTGACCTAGACCCTCCAATAATTGCCAGCTGCCTGTGTGTGCTACTGAACAGCAATTCAATAATCTTGGGTTGAGAGGGTGCAAGCTGTCGTCATCAGACGGGGCCTGGCTCGACACGTTTGGGGTTGTGGGTGGTTGCTCGGGCTTACTGAAGCGCTGATAGTTGAGGGCTTCGGCCCCCGGCTGGTCAGATGTACTTGTAGGTGGACTACAGGTTCGGCCAGTTTTGCTTCCCTCTCAGGTTGATGATTTTAGGATGGAAACTCGTACGGCTCGTCACGGTTGATGGAGATTATATGCAGCATTGGAGGACGCTTTCTGTACCACCCATTTTTTCGATTGTCCTTTACACCCCGAGCATTCCCCGAGAGCAAAGGCGTTCGACACGCTCCCAGTACTGCATACAAGTATCCATCATTAATGGTGGGATACACGCCCAAGCCTTTTGGTTGTCACACGGCGGGACTTGCACAGGCCGCTGTAACAAGGCATCATATCTGCATATGAAATACCACCTCACACTTCTTTCTGATGGATTTCTGGGTCGGTTACCCTGCCCAGGCTGGTTGTTGATGAGCTGATAGTTGCTCGGAGTAACCTCGCTAACTTTTTCTACACCAGAACTAGTATACATAACTTGGTCATACACAGTCAACATACATACCAGTATCGCATTGATGATTTCGGTTTTGGTCAGCCCAGACTCGCAGATATGCATGTCGACCAGTGATAGCAACATGGCTTCGCTAAGTTCTGGCTGGGCCAGTGGCCCGGACGGCGCGCCGGGCCGCACCCAGATTTACCACTTCGTCCAACTCACGCATACTCACTTCGGTCGCACTTCGGCTATCGAAGTCGGGTCGAATTGCCCCATTATTTCACCTCGGTTCAGTTCAGTTCACCTCGCGACAACACTATTATCTTCACCTACTGATCTTGTGTCGCAAATTTATTTGGTCCATTGTCACGTGCCCCCATTGTAAGCAGCATGTAATGGACCACTTGCCATTTTATAATGGTCAGGTTTGGCTAGATTATAGCAAATATGTGATATTTTATCTAAGATATAGTGCAAATGTGTAAAATATTATGTAAAAATACCCATTTTTGGCAATCTTTCAATGACACATGGGTGGCATTGGCATGGCTTATAACGGAAGTGTGAACAGCCACCCTTAACATGTATTATAAGGTTCTTATCACATGCCCAAGTGCAAGATGTCGTTGTGCCCAGACTGCATCAAGGGTAAGTACCTGAGATAGCCTAGCGAGCTTGAGCATTACTCATCCTGCCAGGTGTTCGCCACGAGGGGACACAAGAAGGTTCGTTTTTTCACCAAGCTTCAATCATCAGGGCGTTTGACGTGACACGTTACTGCCAATCCAGGCAAGATCGAGTTCATAGGAGGTGTGAGATGCTACGTTAGTACACCTTCTGGTGAATACAACGAGGAGAAGGCCGTCCTCTTCCTCACAGACGTCTTTGGTATTGACCTCATCAACGCTCAGGTAGGATCAAGCACCTCGTCCATTGGGTTATTTAGAAAGCGGAGATGCTCACTGTGAGTAGCTCCTCGTGGACGACCTTGCCAGAAATGGATTCAAGGTGAAGGTCTACCCGCGGTTCTCCTTCCACAGTACCTAATCACGAAATAAACCCACAAGACCATCGCGATTGACTACCTTAATGGTGATCCGTTCCCTGTCGACGTCCTCACCGTACGTACTATACTTAACGAAGGTAACTCAATGTCACCGACTATCTTGCAGGGCGGCAATCACGATATTAATGCCTGGATCGTTAAACACGGGAACGACCAGACCCGGCCCAACATCGATAGGGTGGTTGCTGTACTCAAGGAACAGGGTGTGAAGGACTTTGGTTCTACTGGTTACTGCTTTGGTGGTGGGTCCTTGATTTACTGAGATAAACAGAAAAATGATCTCGCTATAATTGATGTGAACGCAACAGCGCGGTACGGCTTTGACCTCGCATTTGAGAACATCACGAAAGTCACTGTCGTCTCTCACCCTTCGCTTCTCAAAGTTCCCGAGGATCTTGAGGTAGCTGCGTTCAATCTGAGTTCCCTTGGGTTAACCTGACGTTCTGTGTTCTTACGCGCAGAAATACAAGAAGCTGTCCAGAGCCCCTCTCCTGATCAACTCCTGCACGGTCGACCAACGGTTCCCCAGGGAATACCAGGCAGAAGCAGATAGGATCCTTGGAGACGGTGAGCAATTTACGGCAACCTACCGCCGTGAATACTTCGAGGGATGCACACATGGCTTTGCCATTCGTGGTGATGTGTCCAAGCCGGAGGTTAAGGCGGGTAAGGAGGGCTCCTTTAAGGCTACTGTGCTATTCTTCAAAAATTATTTGTAAGCGAGGGATTTCATGGTCGGTCCAGGAGTTCTTCGGAATGTACAGAGCAATGTTTTCTTTATTTCGAAATGTAAGCACGATTGTCCCGTTGTTCTCAGAGCGTTCTTGTTCTTCAACTTGTTGTCGCAAACGACTCATAAATTTGAGGGACTACCTCTTTCTGGAGATACATGACGAAAAACCATCAGTGCTGCCCAACTCAAAATTGGTATCACTTGAGTAGAACGAGGCGTAAATTGCTTTGATCTATGTAAGCATATGAAATAACGTCAAGGGCGAGCACCTCAATACTTGGTAAGTAAGGCGATTTATCTGACAGGGATAGGCAGCACGGAATGCATATAGATACAATAACCTCTCGCCCCTCACTCTTTAGCTTCGAACTCAGTGATGGAAGAGCCTCAACGAAGTATGACATGAACATCATATTATGTTCATCCGCTGCCTTGACACATTCTTCGTCCATGACACTTCCACTCGGGGCGGCAAGGTATCTCACACCACTCTTGCGCGCACGGTGAACGTTGTCAGGGAAGGGGAAGAACGCGTCGCTGGAGCATGCCACTCCGTCGAGCTTTGCTGCCCATTCCTTCCTCTCCTCGTCTGTGAGCGGGGCTGGTATGGTCTCGAATTGACTTTCCCATTGCAACTTCTCACCTCCATCAAGGACTTCACCGCTCACGAACAAGTCGATTGCGTTTGCTTTCTCAGCACGCTTCACTCCTTTTTTAAATGGAAGTGCAAGTACGCGAGGGTGATGCCGGAGCCACCAGAGGTCGGCTTTGGAACCTGCAAGCCGGGTGCAGTGAATTCGAGACTGTTGACCAGCGCCCAGACCAATGATCGCGCCGTTTTTAGCATACCCAACACTGTTGGATTGGGTGTATTTGATGGCAAGGGTGGCAACAAGAAGGTCAGTCAAGGCTTGTTGGGGAAGCTAGCATATTTCAGCAATGGCCCTACACGGCAGATAAGAGTACTAACATCCTTATTTTGGGTCACGATGTTCTTGAACAACTCGGCGTCGATCTTAATATCGTTTCTGCGCTGCTGGAGACTCACGCCATACACCTGACGCGTCTCTAATTCAGGTGGCGCATAATTCGGGTCCATCTTGGAAATGTCAGCGCAAGGCCAATCCCAAGGGCGTCTGACTTACCTCTAGTACGCAGTACTTCCCGGTTTTCTTCTTTCTCAACACGTCGAGGGCATCGGGTGCGTAGCCTGGGGCTATCACACCATCCGAAACCTCCCTTGAGATGATACGAGCAGTTGCGAGGTCGCATGTTGCAGAAAGCGCTATGAAGTCTCCGAATGATGACATGCGATCGGCACCTCTGGCACGAGCGTAGGCACAAGCTAGCGGCGTGAGCGTTTCCTTCAGGTCATCGACACCATACACCTGCTTCTCTATCTCATCGAGCGCAACACCGACGGCTGCACCTGCAGGAGAGACGTGCTTAAAGGAAGCGGCGGCGGGGAGCTTAAGTGCCTCTTGAAGTTCCTTGACGAGAGCATATGAGTTGAGGGCATCCAAAAGGTTAATATATCCAGGGGAGCCGCAGAGCACTAGCCAAGTTCGTCAATATCACGGGCCATGCAACCACGCCGAAGTCGCGCTTACCCTTGAAGGGAAGCTCCCCTTCAGTAACGAAGGCCTGGGCAGGCTTTTGGTGGGGATTTGCGCCATATCGCAGGAGCATTCTTTGGACTGGTCCGCTTTTGCCCGAAGACGCATATTGTTCTCTGAAATAGCCGCTGATCGCGTCGTCATATTTCGCTGTCATTTCAAAAGCTTTCAACGCCAGGCGGCTACGAAGGGATTCACCGACATCGCCCTGGCCGCTTTTGTAGGCTGCTAAGAACTCGTCGTAATCTTTCGGATCAGAGAGGACGGAGACTCGTTCGTGGTTCTTGGCAGCCGCACGAAGTAAAGTAACACCTCCAATATCAATCTCTTCTACTGCGTCCGCTAGCGTGCAACCTGGTTTTGAGATCGTGGAGGTGAATGGGTAGAGGTTGCACACTACAATGGATATCTTATCTATTCCTTGTTTTTCTAAATCCTGTTCATCTGAGGGAATAGATCTTGCGAGTATACCTGCGTCAAATCCATGTAGCAAGGGTATCCGACGAGGAAAACAAGATAGTACCTCCGTGTACGGCAGGATGAAGCGTCTTAACCCTCCCACCCAGCATTTCAGGAGCCTTTGTGATGTCAGACACATCTCTGTAACTGCATTCAGCAGGGACCAATAATCGAGGGAATGTATACACACTGAATAGGTATCCCAGCTTCCCTGATCTTTTTTGCAGTCCCTCCTGAACCGAGAAGGCGCACGCCGCTGGCATTTAAGCCTCGAGCAAGCTCGAGTAGACCATTTTTGTCGTACACCGACAAGTAGTGCTTTTGATGATCGCAACTATCGTCAACCAAGGCATGGCTGGGCATCTGATACATACCAATTGGCTGGGACATTGCAAGTCAGATGGCAGAACAAGTACTATGTAGTTGTGTTGGAGTGAGGTCGGTTTTAGGCGATCTTATCAGTGATCGACCCAGTACCTTCCAAGCTTGGAAAGTTTTGCCACGGCCGATGTGCATCCGACAATTCAGTATCCACCTCTCTGTACAACGAAAAAGGTATTACTACATCGTAAGATAGGACGAAAGTGTCTAGTATGTCGTGGTACAAAAACCAAGCCCTCGATCGTACCCAAATATTACAGTATACAACACACGAAAAAATGCAGAGCTTCATCGACCAGGAACACCAGCTTGAGTTGTTTTCCCCTGAATCTGCGGGAGACCGGGCTGCATTCCGGGTACCTGCCCGTTGACTTGAGTCGGCATTCTATACGAATTTTGCGGACGTCTGCCGGTCGCTGCCAGCTGAGGATAATACGAATACATAGAATATTGCATCATCATCGCCTGTTGCCCATCTGACACCTGTTGAGCAACATTCCCTGGCTGGCCTGGTAGGTGGACTTGTATTTGAGGATGTTGGGCAACCGCAGGGTGAGTTATCTGGTGGTACTGTGCAAGATTGTAAGCAGACATGACATGCTGAGCAGGTTGTGCCATGATCGGGTGTTGAGTAGTTAGTGCCACTGCCGGTTGCTGAGTAGCTTGCATCATGGTCGGCTGTGTCATGCCGGGTTGCAGTATGGTGGATTGGGCCACCTGTTGCGGTAGAGAGGCCGTATTCGGCATCGGCGACCGCGCTGCGAGCGCCTGGTTCTGTATTACGGGACTATTCCGCACGCCTTGTGCGGAAACCATAGGACTCCTGGAGGTTACAGCACCCTGTGGCGTTGCTCTCCCATTCTGTTGCCTGGCCTGAGCAGCGATCTGAGCTTGGGATACCTGCGAAGGGTTGCTACGTTGTAAATGAGCATAAACGGCTGGAATAGAAGACTGGGCTGCTTGTGCAGCTTGTACTTGAGGCTGCGGAAGAGCAGGTTGTAGCATCGGTATCTGCGCAGTCTGCTGAAGCGACCCATGCTGGGGTGGGGGTGTGGGAGCGGGTAATGTCGAGTAGCCAACCTGCGGAGTCGCGGGCTTCGATTGTGAAGTAGCCGGCGCTACTTGTATAAAGTGCGTAGTTGGTTGCTGTCGGTGATCTGTATGAGGAAGTTGCGAACCTGATGCAAGAGGGGATGAACGAGCGGCTTGAGCAGATGGAGGTCGAGGGGACTGAGTATACCCGCGCTGTCCGGGCGAGTGGGCAGTGATAGGTGTGCCTGCAGGCACCTGATATGCATGCGCAGGAAGGGGTGAACGAGAGTTTACGGGTGGGGACCTCGTAGGGGTTTGGGTTTGAAGTTGATTAATGATAGGGTGAGGGGCAGGAGTTGCGGTTGAACGCGAATTCTCTGGGGTCATTTGCCTGTCGGGTTTCTTCGACTGGCGCATTTGGGTGATATCGCCCGGTTGTGAAGAAGGGGCCGGTGGGTGAGGGTGAGAAGCGGACACTGCCAAAGATGGGGTGGCCGGTTGGAGAGCAGCAGGCGGAAGCTGTTGTGATGGTACTTTCGCAAATCCAGTCACTTGCGTGTGAGCCTCTGCCTGACGGCTTTCTCGCATGCGTCGTAATGTCTCCAGTATTCGATAACTACGAAGAACACATTTACGATCATTATCATCGACATCGCCTGTTCGACATACCTCGCAGGATGTGAATGATTTATTCTCGGGTTCATGAATTGCATGATCTTCGCGCGCCGAGCCTTCTCCGACTCATCTTCTTCCTGGGTTATAGCAGTAGCCTTGCGTTTTAAGGATGTCGGGACAGTGGGCGTTCGAGACCCTCAGGGTGTGGTTAGCTACGCGAGTGAGGTGAGGATCCGGGTCAAGACAAAGGGGTGGTGCTGTGTGTAGCTGCTGAAGATATGAGGACGATCAAGGCCGATTTCCCATATACTCACCAGTATTCGTGCTTCCAGCTCCAAAACATCAAAATTAGTAAACTTGGATCCATGACGTTGGTTTATGAGACAGAGGTCTGTCCACAGCGTTTCGTCACTAGGGTGCAACGTTATGCGACTACGTTCAGGTTTCTCCGGCGGTGGGTCTTTTACTCTCTTCGGACGATAGTCAAGCAGCTCAACTATCATGCAGCCTGATTAGAACACGTGAGTCTCGCCTCGATGACACGGTGGGAATTCTGTAACGTACCGTCATAAAAGGGAACGTGCACAGAGTCAAACAGTTCGACTGAAATCCACAGGTATTCTGTGCGCACGTATGTCGTCCAAGAACGACTAACTCCCCAAATCAGGCGCTGGCATAGGTCAAGGCTGGTTGAACACACCGCAACAGGGCTGTTATATAGAAATTTGGGTCCGTTGTTGAGTGTCCAATGATCAGGATACAGATGAATTGAAAATGATGGTGGAGAAGATTCATATTTGCCCAAAAGTTCTTCCGCAGAGCGAGTGATATTGTATCCCATCATTTCTTCTTAGGTAGGTTAAGTCGCGCGAGCCGGTTCCGCAACAAGGCAATCAGCCTGCATGAGTCGTAGACGAGAACCTTGCGAGAAATAGTCCGGTAATCGTTCGGAGAGTAGCTTAAGTTAATCAGGCCTTACCGAACTTGACTTCCGAGCTACGACGCACCGGAAGATCCCTTGGAGGGGTGGGTTTCGTCTGCACGAAGCCCCGAGAGCGCCACAGAAAGCGAATACCGCTCGGAGGGGTTGACTAGTGCCCAAATGAAGAACGAACTTCCGGGGCAACACAGCAAGCAGCCAGTCGACGCCTGGACCACGATGACGATCAACCCGGGTAGGCACAGGCAACAATGGCTGATTATGTAATCAACCCACTACTCCCTACTACTCTTAGTTGCACAGGCCAACTGATAGTATTATGGAGGACCAACTCAAGGAGGTCGGGGATTTACCATTATTGTGACTTTCGAGGGCTCACATTTGAAATTGTTTCTAGCTGTTTCATTTTCTGAGGGATCAGAATCCGCAAGTGCGACATATCGCCCTATCTAACCTTGTTGGTCAAACTGCAAAGGAGTCCCCCTACCGCCACATATTCTTGCAAGGAATCCAGGGTTCGAAGCCTCAAGAACCTGATGTCATTCGCGACTTAAAGTTATTGTGCCGCGACCAGCTGGTTCGAGCTCAATAGGGTTTCATTACGCCGTTCTAATGACCTGAATAGGCCACAGCACACGACGCATTCCGTGCCCTTGTGAACCTTTCGGACTCAACGTTCCTTGTCCCTTTTTTTATAGAACAGTCTTTTCTGACCTACCTTGTGTCGTATCTACTAGTAGGTTCTATGTTTTGTTTCGTCTGTCCTGTTCGAGGTCACATCTTCTCAGAATCCGGATGCGATCCTTGCAGATCTAGCCTCCATGTTGTTATCCAACTTAACGGCGTCATCTTCCGCATGCTCCGCTTTGCTCACCTTGAGAGTATCCTTGGTAATATTAACGCCCTCTGCTTCTCAAGTTTCGTATTATGCGCCGCAGTCTCGCTCGGGAACGTGTCCCGCTCCTGTGCCATATCCCTCTGGGGAGCCTCAGGAGATCCTCGCACTGCCCCTACTCATCGATGCTTTTGTTCAAGGGGCGTCTTTGGACCAATCAGGAGACAAATCTAAACGCACACGCAAGGGACATTTACACTTTCTTTCCAGCGTGTTTGCGAACATCAGTACTGTATGTTGGTTGGGACGTCACCGATTATCTGCAACTCAAATACACTTGTCTCATTCCCGGTAGTCACCAGCTGGGCGGTTATTTTTCGTGACACCACGACCCGCCGACCCTATCAAATCCGATAGTGCCCTCGAGTATCCTCTCGCGAAGCTCGTGCCGTTTACAGAGCATCAAGACACAATTCGGAGGGGAGGCGTTGCATCAACATTGAAGTATGGTTGATCCCTGTCTAATCACAGCGCTGTTAACTGACAGTTACAGAAACTGCTCTTTTCATGCGAAGGCCCACAAAGCAATATTGTCCCCAGAGACTGATCTAACATCGGTGCCGCCATCTACCGTTAGCGCCCCAGGTATAGATGCTCTGCCATATATATTACTTCCCTTAGCTGGCCCAGAGGAGCTTGACCTTGAGGTAAGTAGTCAGCCAGATTCATGTTCGCTTTCTCTATCTGTGGCATCAGGTCCAAGAAATGCTCCCATCCGCTCTCCAATTCTTGCCTCCAACTAAGAAGAGGGAACGTGATCCAGTGTTGCGACTGACCCATGTTGGGACCCTCCTGCTTTTGTGTACCACGCGATGGGGTCGTGAGTACCTGCGCACTCATTCTGTGTATGAAATAGTTCGTGGCGCGCACTTGGAAGAGACCGTGGATAAGGTAAGTCATTTGGTATAGCCCCTGGAACTGGTTTCGATCGGCATTTCGAAGGTTTCAGAACACATAGAACGGCTTGTACAGCTTATCAAGGGGGATGAAGGCCCAGAGACAGAAGATGACGACGTTGTGGTTGCCAAGGTTGAAGAGGGAGCCGAAGCCTCAGACGATGAAGACTACAGAATTGAAGAAGTTTGATGTGTAACAATTTCACGTAGTCACTGCAATCCATTTCTGAAGTTCCATATTGCGCAGTTCACAACGTAAGTGCTAGCTTCGCTTCACAGGGTTTGGGTGCATGCGTTCACCTCCTTTTTGCGGTATGGAAATATTACTACCATCACCGCCCCGTGCGACTTTTTATTTTGTCCAAGGTACACACGATGAACAATCCGCGATTAGGTTCACTGGTTACCCACGACTGCAGATTGGCGCTTGACCTCTTTGGTGAGTCCGTTTCGACCGCTCAGCACTGGGCTACATGTTCGCAAATCAATTGTTGTGGCTCGCTATGCAAACACGTCGACTTCTTGTACTTGGACACGGTCCTCTTGCTCTCTGACCGAGTCGGTACCCACCAGTAACAAACCAAAACACCTATAAAAAGCACGGCCTCGATACCGGTCAACTGTACGGGCGCAGGCGTAGCATTCTTTTTTTCGTTTTCTTTTTCCCATGAGATCTTACTTACGCTGTCATTTGTCATTTGAACAGACCCTTCTGGAAGTTCGTTTGGCACGTCTGGCAATAATTATGAGACTCTTACACGCGTCCCCCCTTCGAATAGCGGTCTCCATAGGCCTCAGGGACTCATACCGGTGCCATTTTAGCTGTGATCCCTTTTTCCTACTCAGCACCAACAACAACCTGTGAGCACTTGACTAGCAACGATCTGTTGGAGGGGATTCCCCGATCACCAAAATCGTGACCTTTACCAATCGTGACATTGAACTTCGAAAGTTGCCGTAAAACCTAGGCTCAGGAAGCACCCTACTCCACCTAGTTCCGACCGATGCGGATACAGCAGAGTTGACGTCCCTTCCTGAAAGCTCTTAGAACATCTGCCCTCACCGGGTCGACCAATCCTGGCACAGCCAAAAAGGTCCGATGGGTGCAAGGGACAACGATACGATCTAGATAGGTGATCGAAGTACATACCTAAGGTTGGTTCCGATCGGTCGCCGTGATATTGGCGTGGCCCAACTACAGCGGTCGTACTGCCCTTCAGATTCTCCCGGCCTCCTATCCCATATACCACACTGACGTCAAGCTACTACTACGGTGTGAATATCCATGTCGATAATTGGCAAGGACTTGTGCCGATCGCCGGCAGAACAGAAATTTTCGTTCAGTGAACCGCTCGATTGTAGGCTGATTCGCTGTATGTCGTCGGCCGCCAAACTACTGTGAGAAAACAGCCTCCAGCATTGAAGCTCGAGTGTATGAAACGGGAGGAATTTGATTGCATTGATAACCGAGGCTATTGAGTTCCCGCGTCCGTCTCACTTCTGTCACAGGCAGTTCCACGGTTCTTCGATATGGATTACAGTCCGCATGCTCATATCTTACTGTGATGCTGAGCCGCAGTACTGAGACAAGGGGTGCATGTTTAGCCTTTTTGAGTTTAGCAGGGTTCCTACTTCAAGTCTACGGCCGCCGCGATGAAGTGTTTTTTTGCTGCATTGCCCTGGCATAGAGGGCTCTATTTGGTCAGTAAGTCATTTATTTCAATATATCGCACCTTACAGGAGTTTCCCGTGCAGCAGCAGCGGCCCAGATCATGATCTGGGAAGGTCCGAAAAGGTGTCACAGCACGTTGAATGACACTTCACAATGGTCGGCCCCTATGAAACGAGTTCTACGGAATGTGGGCATCATCCCACGTTTTTTTTCTCCCCGAGAATACCAGGTATTTCATGTGTAGTTCAAGATTCGGGGCGTACGTTTAACAGGCGTGTATGAGTCGAGCAGGTCCCTTGTGGCATTTTTTAATATTCTCAGTTCTAACCACTCCACTAGTAGTGGCTTTCCGCAGCGGCCGGCTGAACGCTAACCGCTGGTCCTGGGCAAGGGTTCCACTGAAAGTGGGCCCCATGGAGCTTATATATCATGCGATGCGACGCCCCATATACCGGTTATCTCACTTCGCTCGGTGGAGACTGATTAATGCAATCCTGACATTCTTTTTTCTTTGCATTCTTCGACGAGTAGATTATCACAGGGTCTGCAGAGCACTTAGGGTCTGGAATTATCCGCGCGACACGCTGATGAGGCTCCGGGTAATATTTCATTTCTGATCTTGCCAAGTCAAGGGTCCCAGTTCTTGACTGGCATTGTCCACCGCTGCCACGTCTAAGAAGACCCGTCTCAGCAATCTATCCTGATTCTCTCTGCCTTCCGACCCATGACTCTGCGGCCTTCTAATTTCCAAAAGAAGGTGGCCTAACGCTGAGGAGCATACCGGGTGACATGTACTTAGTATCTCGCGCCTGCTCAGAGCACGGATACCTGTTGCCTGTCACCTTCATCTCTGGTTGTGTGATATTTCTCAATATGTGATAGTCGTGCTTGCAGGTGAGTCATTTTGCTGGTTGGTTGGATCATTAGTCCTGGAAAGGCATTGTTGCGCGTTGCATGGCGCATGGTTTCGATCTTATTACGCCAGATCTGACTAAAAAGGCTCGAGCAGTTGGACAAGATGGCGATTCGGACAAGCACCAACTTATGTGTCCTTACCAGGAGAACTTCTACATCAGTAAGATACATCCGAGAAGGGCAAGCCAGCGAGGCCGAAATCAAGTACTATAATTACCGATAGAATTGGGTTCCTTCCATATGGTTTATGGGCGGGGCACATTAAAGTTAGCTCTATGGCTGGGGCATTTCAGACAACGTGCTCTGAAAGGTACGGTCCCTATCCTTATCAAAGCGTGGTAGTGCGCGATAGACTGGCTTCCAGAGATGAAATGTCATTACGTGTAGCCTAATCTTCGAAACCCTCGAACGCCGCCTTTTAAATTGGAAAATACTACTTAAACCAAAATACAATATGGGCGCGACGACTACCAAGTGGAATGTGCGGCCATTAAAGCTCAACGACTGCGAGTCGACCATAAGCCTGAACTAATTGAGCATAACCCCGGTCAGTACGTGGGAACCGAAAGTCCTACGAAAACACGTAGAATACGAGAACGTAAAGAGAAACCTATCTGACAAATTGAAGTTTAACCCCTCCTTGTATGATCACCGAAATCACTCCTTCGTTCCTGTGAACTGTAAGAGTCTTCATCCTCGCTAGCCCCACTGGAAACAATGCCGGATTCGTCAATCGCCGGCTGTGTGCTTTGGCCGACACCATCTTGGGCGTGGGACCTCACCTCCCCTCGTGCACGCTTTTTGAGCTGGGAAATGAAAAGCGTCAGAACTGAGGCAGGGCGTCACCCCCTGTGACGTACAAGTTTGGCATACACGAGGCCACAGGCGTTGCAAAGCGTTCGTGGTCCTTGTTTCTACTATCAGCCCACATATCCACAAGACGTTAAAATGATTTGCTCACCTAACGGTCCTCTACGCCATTCCGGCGTCGAAGTCGCTCCGCATCCTCGGCATGTTTGCCCCTCTTGCACGTGTTCATCGCCTTTCTGCAGGGTAAAAACAAAACATGGATGACACAATTCCTCCCGTGTTTCCATAGCAAATGGCGTACCTGCCGTTTCGACGCTGGCGCATCTTGGTCAGGTACCCCGCTAGCCGGCTTGGGCTCCGGATTGGACTGGGCCGTAGCGGACTGAAGCACATGCATTCCGTAGCTAGCGGATTGTACCATTTGCTCCATTGGTTCTGCCGGTGGAGACCGGGACTGGGTGAATGCTCCACTGTTTAGCAAGTGGGTGCCGTTATCCAAAATAAGGCGATAAGACTCCCGCATCTGGAACGGTGTGTGCTCAGTGGGTACGACCGCGCAGGATTTTTTAGCCGGTTACCTTATGGAAGTCCAATCCGGAAGGAGGAGATTGAACCGGAGGTATCATAGGGGATTCCTTATCTTTCCGCCTATTCCTGAGCGGTGGTGAAGTAGGTGCAGGGGCAGTATAGCCGCTGTCTGGTCGACGAAGTTCTTGCGCCTGGCTCAGACTACTGGAAGAGAAGCGCGCTTCTTGCGACGAAACAGGCGTAGGGGGGTCAACGCGTGGCGCCGTCGACGAATAGGACATTTCGGTCGGCATCGCTTGGGAGGCAAAAGTCTGGCCATATTGCTGAGCAGCCCAGGGTTCTGCTTGCCATTGCGGGAGCTGGGGCTGAAGAGAGATTGTACGGCGGGGTCGCATACGTCGTCGACGCATAGGAGTGCGGCGGAGGCTGGAAATTTTGCTGATTTTGAGGTGAGTGTGTTTGAGAGGTTCCCTGACGAATGGTCCGGCCAAGTGTCTGGGGAGGTTGCCCCTGAGGTTCGAAAGGTTGCGCGGGGTACGATGGGTAATCATACGATGAGCCTCCCTGTTGATGGTGATACATGGTTCCCCTCTCGTGCAAGCGACAGGGTCAAGAAAAAAGCGAGTGAGATACCTGGACTTATTAGTCGGAATATATCACAGGGCTGCGGGGCAGGAAACTCCGAAGTACAGCCAGTATTATGGTGTGTGCGCACGAGGCTAGTTCTATATCCGAAATGAAGGAAACATAGTAGTCAGAACGAGATCAACATGGAAAGATATTAATGATTGACGGTGGGACAAAGCGATGAAGAGTCCCATATGCTTTTCCTCGCCGCAAGCCACGAACGTGATCAAGCAACACGACGACCCTGAAAAATGGAAGGCCCAAGATGCACAAGGTGGTCCCTGTTGCGCCAGTGTGATCGAGTGTCGTTTGCTCACATTATTAGACTGCCGCGATGGAGATGCACCTGACTATTGCATCCCGTCAGAGTTACGTGAATCAGTGATGCTTAAACCTAGCGGTAATGACTAACGCACCAGCGCTCCAAGCTAGGTTTTTGTTGATCCCGATGGGATGAGTCCAGTCGAATAAGTTATTTGCAAGATCAAACAGCTTGTTAGCTGTACACCAGTATAGAATTTCTGTCTCTCCTCAGCCATACAGCAGCGCTGTGGCAGTGATTAGGCAGGTTTCAGATTTTTTTAATTTTTATTATGCTAACGCTGGCAGCGATCAGCGGAAGCTTTTTACAGGCCTACATGACCGCGAGGAGGCCACGCCGCAACAGGCCTGGTCAACACAAACCACTCATAAAACCTATGAATCTTGCGCTGGAGTTTGAACTCCAGGTGTTTCAGGCCAGCAAACTTATGGTGCAATCAAATGTCCGCCCATTAGATAAAAGTGCGGGATGGCATTATCACAAACGCGGATGCGACTGCTTTGATCAAAAACGAGTGTGCTTTGCGTGTACAAGAGAAGAGCCAAATGAAACGCAGCAGCGATGCTAGAGTAGGAAGTTACTATCCTGATTGTAGATGTTGCTGTCCTTCCACTCCCTTCACGTCCAGTCCTTGTTTCCATTCAGAAGATTTGGAGATAGCGGGAGATCGGGCGGAGAATTGGCCGTAATCGTCGTAATTTCCGTCAACCGACGCAGCCTTAGCAAGTGTTTTTGGTGTACTCAATCCACCTGCAGCACGCTCTTGCGCCCGCCGTCGCCGTTGTAGTGCCTTCTTGCGGTTCCGGATTGCGCGCTTGTATTCAGGCCCATCACTATAGAACAGAGAGTATTCGCAATGTGGGCATATCCATTCTTCCTCGGGATCTATGATCTGAGCCGTCGGCGTTACGACAGCCTTTTTCCGTCTGCGCGGAGGTATGTTGGCAGATAGAAACCGGAAAGGATGGGTTCCAAGCAGATTCTGGACATTTAGATTGGCATTGGCTTGATTAGATGGTACGATGGCGGCGAGGCGCGATGGGACATAGTTCTTTCGATCCTGCTGATCCGAAGCGACGCTGGTTTTCTTCTTGTTTCTACCAGACTTGCCTAAAGAGGGCGGCTTGGAAAGATCCACTGCCCGATCAATTGAGACCGTACGCGGGCGCTGTTGTGCCTTCTCCGACCGCTTGGGTCGAGATGTCTTGGTAGATTCGACACTTGCCTTTTTAGCTTGGGTAGCTGTCTTCGCTGCCTTGCTTGTTTGACGTGCAAGCTCGGCCTCAAAGCGCGAACGTAATGCCAGCATCTCCTGTTTTGTGGCGAGCAAGTGCTCGGAGGCTGGAGGAAAGACCAGCATGATCAAGCTCCGACATTAGCAGATTACATCATATCACTCACTCGCACTCGGGTAAGAAAACGTGAATTGGGCAGTAGGGAACACGGCCCTGTTGCTCGCGTCCGACAGCGCTTTGGCTTTTGCAGCCCGAGCCTAAACGCGGTCCTCGTCTGTGAGATAGCCTCACTTTGTGGGTATCGAAGGATGCGTCCAGCATCGTGCCGACGAAAGGAATATGGGTCGAGATCGCTTGATCAAGGGGTAGGATGTCACCCAAGGATAAAGTGCCGAGCACGGTAGCAAGCTGGCGTTTTCTGTGTTTGAGAAGCTCTTTGTGCTGCAAACCTGCGAGTGCAGAAGGGGAGATCTTTCCTTTCCTGGTTGTCTGAGCCACCGGTAATGGAGCGACCAAAAAATCCAGATCTTGGCCAAATTGTCCCATCGACAATGCCCCGTCAGCGATGTCTCCTTCACCCCGTAATGGCAGCTCCAGCCAACTTGCAGACCTGGACATGTTCATCGGAACTTTCCTCTTCTTTGTGTTCCCCGGGTGCTGCAGATGATCCATGCTATCTCCTTCGCTCTGACCCTCGTCTTGCCTCTCCAAAGTGAAACGTTCGTCCGTGGGATGCGGGAAGACAATGTTCAGATCCAATGACTGTCCGAGGGTTCCAGAGAGATCCTCAGCGTGAGCCTCATTGAGAATCCCTCGCGCACTGCCATCGTGTGCATCATCAATGCCCACTCCACTGCTTGTAAGCAGGGATGCGTAATAGGACTGCAGAGCTATTTGGGACGTAAGCGAGCCGGCCTGCGTGATGAGTTCCTCTCCAATTGATTGGGCACCGCCAAAGAAACCTGCCATGGGAGCTGGTAAGTTGAGGATATCGACGTCCTGATTCGCTGCCACGGTGCCCGTAGAACAATCGGACGTGCGTCTACGCTTAGGCAACGGCTTGAGCCTTCTCAAAGGCGGAAATTCAGGCGTGTCAAAAACGGGTGACGAGCCTCGATGATGCATCGTTTCTTTGAGGACGTGAGCATCCAACACGCAAAATATGATATGTAGACGCACCCGAGGGAATTGCAGGAATGAAGTACAAAGCAATTTGTTGTGACGGTCCCACTGTCAAAACGCTGGCTGCCGCTGTGACAGTGCTTTAGCCGGCCCTTTTTCGCATTTCCAAGTCCATCAAGTTAGACTCACAGCCCACACCACATTGAATAGTGCCAAACAATGAAATAATTGAAAAAAGGAAACACTACGGTACACATGATGGCGCGATGCTCTAACAAATAATATCTCGTGATGCCAATGGAGGGATATCAGAAAATAATGTCCGGCTTGCGTATCGCAATAAGAAGTGGGTATCGCGAGACGGAAGACTGACACCGAAAGCGTAGGATGTATATCTGCTCATGTCTACGGCCCCGCCGTTTACGTTTATCTATAGTATGGACGGGAATGAATGGGGGTGGATAGCGCGTGATTAGTCGATGCTATTAGATGAATAGACAGACGCGCCGATGACAGTAGAAACACAGACAACGACGAATAAGGTAGGCCGTAATATCTTCATGATGAGCAGGTGGGTGCAACGAGACAAATTGATTCATAAGAGCAGCGCGAAGAGTCCAAGGTGTTCGAGAGCAAGGGAACAAACATAGAGCGAGAGGTGGAAGGTCGGCATATTCATGTGAAAAGAAAGGTTCCATGAACGGCCGCAAGGCGAATGCCAGGATTTCTTGAGGGTCTGCACATCAAAAGGAAAAGGAGAAAGAGTGATGATCCATGAGGTTGCATGGGTGATGCATTTCACCACCAGCTCGAACCGCTATTTCCGTAGCTGTTTCCGCCTCCGTAACCACCATACGAAGGGCCCCCACCATACCCTCTGCCACCACCTCCGCTATAACCGCCACCATATCCACCACCATACGAGTTACCAGATTGACGGTAATCACGACTACCGCCACGACCACCCCTACTACCTCCACGGCCACGGCCACGATAGCCAGACCCAAACGTCGACTCCTGTACTACCTGGTCCAACCACGCAGGAATCTCTTGGTTGGCCTCACGAAGGAGTTCGATGAGGTCCCTGCCGATGTTTTTGTTGCCGCGGTTGAAGAACGCAGTGGAAACACCCGTGTTACCCGCACGACCGGTACGACCAATGCGGTGTACGTAGTCATCGATGTCAGAAGGGAGGTCATAATTGACAACGTGTGTGACGTTAGGAATGTCGAGTCCACGAGCAGCCACGGCAGTAGCAACGAGGATGGGAGTGCGGCCAGTACGGAAAGTCTGCAACGCCATCTCACGTTCACGCTGAGAGCGATCACCATGAATGGATGTCGCAGGAAGGTGGTTGCTCATCAAGAAGTCGGACAGCATGTCAGCCATGCGCTTGGTCTCGACGAAAATGAGAGTAAGACCACCCGGAGGTTCCGAGGCCAAGATGTCGAGTAAGACGGAGCGCTTGTCATGATCCTCGACATACTCAACCTTCTGCGTGATGTTTTCAGATGTAGAGCCAACGCGACCGACGGAGAGGAAGATGTAATCCTTGAGGAAGTCCCTTGCGAGCAGCTGGATGTCGCGAGGGAACGTGGCACTAAACATGAGGGTCTGGCGGTCATGGACACCAGGCATGTCTTCTCCCTGCACAATACGCCTGATCTGAGGTTCGAAACCCATATCAAGCATACGATCGGCTTCATCAAGGACGAGGTAGCGGATGTTGTTAAGGCTAATGCGCCCCCGCTCGATGAGGTCTACGAGACGCCCGGGCGTCGCACTGAGCAAATCACACCCACGCTCGATTTGACGGAGCTGCTGGTTGATGTCCGCGCCACCGTACACGACGGCAGGGCGAAGCCAGGAGCGGTAGGCAAACTTACGTGCTTCCTCATGAATTTGACTGACGAGCTCACGCGTTGGAGCCAAGATAAGAGCTGTGGGATAAGCTTTACGTGTACGAGCGTACCCCATTTGAGGGGTCTCCGCTGGAGGTGGACGGGGTCCAGAAGCGAAGGATGCGGAAAGAATAGGGAAAAGGAAACCGGCTGTTTTCCCTGAACCAGTCTGGAATTCATGTGAGTATCATGCGGCGCAGTCAAGTGATTGTATATCTGAACTTACCTGAGCGCATGCCATTAAGTCCCTGTCTGCAGCGACGATGGGAATGGAGTACTTTTGGACGGGTGTGGGGGTGGTGTAACGAGCGGAACTGATGTTTTCGAGGAGGAGGGGATCCAAAGGGGGATTAGTGAACGTGGTGACGGGGTCAGGAACACCTGCGCCCGTAGCCTCGACGGGGATATCGTCATATTTTTCAAAGTTTATTCCGGTGTGCTGTTTGGAAGGGTCATTTGGGTCACCGAAAAGTTCTTTCTCCATGCGCATGTTGCGAGGGCCGACTATGTGGGCCCCGTTGCGCCAGATGCCGTAGCCCGGAGACTCGTGTTGGCTATCTCCGCCACGGTTTTCTCTATTTTCTCTGGTTGTCCAACCGCTGCTCGTCGAGCGTCCGCCCCAGTCGCCGCGACCGCGTGGTGAGGCGAAAGGGCCATTACCAAAGGCGCTGCCTCTGCTTCTATCGCTTTGGCCACTGCCGCGCAGTGGTTCATAGGCACTGCGGGGTGATGCGCGGGGGTCGTTCCAGCCGGTCCTGGGGATAAGCGCCAATTGAGTAAGGGGTGCCGGAGAGTAGGAAAAGTGGGAAAAACTTACCCGTTGGTGGGAGGAGTGGAGGCAGCGCGCTGCGCATTTCTCAAGTGGGGGGGAACATAAGCAGACTTTGAGCCGTTGATCCCAAGAGAGGCTTCAAGAGCAGAACAACGCTTGTGAATACATCCCGTTTCGTCTGCAAGATCACCGTACGCACCAAACTGAGTCTCTAGACCTGCATTTACAATTCCATTGGACATATTATCGAACTTGGTAAGACTTGTATCAGCAATTTTCTAAGTCGTCGGTGGGTGAAACGGAAGAAACGTTGGAAGGAAGGGAGACATGAGGATGAAAAATGACGATGACTAATCAATGGATATATTAGGAAGGAGTGTCCCATCTGCTATCCCCATGCTCCTGCTTCGTCACCGGGTTACCACCCCAACACCGCCCGACAACAGTCATGGCCCAACCAGTGCAAGGACAGCCAAATGTGCAGCGACCTATGCTGGCACCCCAGATTGACCCGGTCATGCAGGCCCGTATTGAGGCCGACTTCAAGCCAGTAGACCTCGCAGTGGGAGGACCAGGACATGCCTTTGCATTCTGTCAACCACACAAAGTCGAAAAGTGCGACGTGTGCAAATTGGACTTCACAGCTCTCAATCGGATATCCAAGATATTCATCACCAATCCTAACCTGCGCTGTCCCCCCCCACCAACGGTATTGCAGCAGAAGCTCTCTCAAGCAGTCACCAACACCAAGGAGGAGGGAAATGTATGTAACCCATATCTTCTCGTGGCACGCTCATGTTTACGCGCTTCAGACGCTCTATAAACACAATAAACACAGAGAAGCTCTTGCGAAGTACAATATGGCCGCTAACATTGCCGTTCAGAGGCCACCATGGGAAAGCTCGGCCTTGTTCCGCGAAGAACTTTCTACCGTCATCTCAAATAGATCTGCGGCACTCTTCGAGCTTGGAGACTACTTGGGTGCTCTTGTAGATGCAGAAACCGTCGTTTCGATCCGGAGAAACTGGCCAAAGGGCCATTTCCGAAAGGCCAAAGCACTCGTCGGCCTCAGAAGACTGCCAGAGGCCGAACAGTCGGTATCACTCGGCCTCCAGTTCGAACCAAACAACACTGTCAGTCCTTGTTGCCTCTGGAATGTGTAGTCTGCTCATTTTATTTAATTGAAGGAATTGAATAGCTACAAGGAGGAACTTCAAAAACTCATGCAAGTACAGAAGGGGAACAACAGCCTCCCAACTCCTGCCGTTTCTGCTTCAACTTAGATGGGGAGCTGAAAAGGCTGGCATTATATCCTAATCCCTCATCTCACAGCTAGTCCAGACCAGGACCTCGCGTTGTGATCCTTTAGTTTTGCAATAACACTCCAGGCGTTGAAGGGTTTAACTTCGCTGAGGAACGAGAATTGGAAAGCAAAGCCAGTGCTATTCTGGTAGTGACATCTTCAATCCGAACATAACGTGGATTTGATGACAATGCTGACGAGAAGCACGACGACCTTCAATGTTAGTATGTTGTAGTCGATTGTTGATTCAGTTCGTCATCCATCCTTTTCACGCTGGCGAGGCGAGTAAGTCACGTTTGGTCCAACCTAAGTTGGATAACAGGCTTACTTCTTTGCCGAAAACTTACTATAACGTTGCTCGGATTTGATTAAAGCGCTGATATATTGTCACGACCTGATTCAGCTACACTGGTGTGGTCGGCGGCTTGCTCCGCAAGACGTATTTGGGTAATTTCGACTTCGCGCGGTATAACAGGCCCACTCCCCTCCCAGCCTGGTACTGGTGTGCGGTCGGCGTACTCAACCCGTTGGAAGAATTGCGGTCCCAAGATACCTTTTGCGTCCCCTTCCGTGAGAACGACGCCATTCTTGGAGAGGTGGAATCTTATGCCCGCGTCTATGGCCTTCTGGACGTCAATGAATATAAGGACCTGGGAACTGTTGCGCATGCCTGCATGACGGTAGCATGATGCCCGTTCGATCGACGGCTTATTATTGCCAAAACTCACGACGTACCGCTCAAGATACCGCTGCCAGGGACACCTTGTGCAAGGTGCACATGATTCCGCTTCATTCTGGAAAGCCCTTGAGTAGCTGGGTAGGGCTGTTAGTTCCAAGTGATCACGGCTAGTCTACCCTCCATACCGATAAGGTCCCATGCTTTGCGAGTCGTTCCATGCACGGCCAATGGGATTTCAGAGGCGGACGAGATAGGCTGAAGGTCTAGTTTGACGTCCTAGATAGCATGGTGGTACCCTGAAACCTGAAGGACCGCGATGGGCAGTAGAGACGTTACCTTGATCGAATGTCCTTGATTGGCCCTTATCCACCATAGGTCGTCGCTCGAGTTGTTGCTCGGGGTTAGACATGGCTCAAATAACAGATGATATCGATTCTTCTGATCTCGATTCACTATCTCTTGGAGTTGTAGAAAAGTGACATCTTTGAACATGACATTGGCGAGCTGATAACGGGTCGACTCGTTTGCGTTGAAGTAAATGTTCGCCGTCCTCACCACGTCCGAAACGCGTGCGTATCCATCTGAACGAATCTGGAGGCCTGCCGTCTTAGCGCCATGGCGAAGTAGCCACGATAGACTCTTGGATAACCGTACTTCTGGAGGGTCTCGGGGGTGACCTCGCTGTCTCGGTGTTGGTTTTTTCTTGTTCTGCGTCTCTGCCGACATCTCGAGAAACCGAAACCTTTTGTTGAACGAAATCTGTCTGTTGGGTACGCGTATCGTCGCTGTACCGTAGTGGTGCCAGTGGCGGATAGCAGTAGCACCAGCTGTCACCCAACACCAGATGGCCCGGGCGCCCATGCCCACTCGTGGCTGCACCAAGAAGTCCCCCACATCGCCTCATAAACTGCCTGACGGGCGTTTCTTTGCCCACACATGTTGTCCTGCTTCCTGTACGTCCAAGAACCCTGCGTACAAAATGTCCTCGCCTAAGTCGCGGTCCAGCTGGAAAGATTACCTTGGCAGACGCGACTTTAGATTCTCACTACCAGCGCGCGTAAGAACGCTAAGACCATTTCAGAAGAACAGCGCCCAATTGCGCCGCCCAGACATGCTGCAAACTTGGAGTCAATGGGCAGCTCAGAAGCTGAGGCGAAATGCCCCCGAAGCTGTTCTCGTCCATGAAGTCGACCTCTTTCCCGGCTGGGCCACTAAGTGCCCCCGAGGCTTGGAACCTGACCAGCTCGACCGTAGGTGTTCTGGAAATCGCCCGTGCTGTACTTGTTAAATTGGTCTTCCTTTCCAGCATTCGACATCGCAGTGCACATTTCTGGAATTGCTACCTCTCGGCGCACTCCTGAACTACTCACTCCCCCCCAGCGGACATTTCTTAGACTCGCCAAGAGTACGTGCATGTCTTGGCATGGTGTCTAACGCCAATGACATCTTCCTGCAGCATTTGCTTCCCTCCCAAAGGTGCAGCTATATCCGACAAACCAATTTTTAGAAGACGGGGGTCTAAAGCTCCCGCCTCGACCTCACGAGATTTCTGATGACTTCGAAATCGGAGACCTCGATCGTCGGTTTATTGATAGTCTAAACCAGACAGACGTGCCGCCATCCGACTCAACACAATTCTTTTCTGCGCTGTCCTCAGCTGAAGTCTATACACCCGCTCAGCTGAAGCGGCTGCATGACAATCTAGAGTCCCGTTTGCGACCATTCTGGGCTTCTCCACTGTCTTCGGTGCCTGTGCAGGTGTCTATCTTTTCCCCTCCTGCAAATCCCGGCGCTGGTCGGTGCCTCCACTCCCGCCAACCAATTACAACGTATGAAGTCCGCCCTGGACCAGATGGGTTCTTTGCGAGTACAATCACAATTCCTTGGGAAGACGTTCGTTCCCATCCCGTTGCTTCCCACATCGCCAGTGACAAGATCACGCTGGAGCACGAGCTTCTAGTAGAAGCAAGGGTCGTAGGCCCTGAACACTCGCACACAACACGTGCGCCACGAGCTGCACTAGGGTGGATCCCGATCACGCACTCAACTTTACGCGTAATTTCTGATATCGATGACACGGTCAAATTGTCCAGGGTCATCGATGGCGCCCGAGCGGCATTCCACAATGTGTTCGCCAAAGATCTGGAAGAAACAGTAATTCCTGAGATGGCAGAATGGTATAGAGCATTGTGGAGCCACGGAGTTAGGTTTCATTATGTGGTAGGTCACCTCGTGGCTGAAACCGCTGGCGCTCGATGCTAATTTGGGATGGGCGCTAGTCCAACTCTCCATTCGAGCTTCTGCAAGTTATGAGACAGTTTATTAAGATTTCTGGGCTTCCACCAGGCTCTATCCGGCTACGCTCGTATACCGGCAAATCACTGTTCAATGGCCTCCTGTCAGCCCCTGCTACCAGAAAAAGGGCCAACGTGGTTGAAGTCCTGGATCATTTTCCACAGTCAAGGTTCATTCTCGTAGGAGATTCTGGAGAACAGGACTTGGAATTGTACGCCAGGCTAGCTTTTGAGCGCCCGGCACAGATCGTGGGCGTGTTTATCCGGGACGTGACTGCCGCAGGACTGCAGGACCCAACAGGCACACAGGCAGAAGATGTTCTCACGGATCTACCTAGGTCGCCGAAGAGAGGGAGTACTGTACTGCCGCCAGCCACCTCATCAGTCCCGGGACGCTCGGTCACCATTGACAACTTCCGCACGGGATCCGCGCCACTCCCCCAACCATCACGGAAGTCAACTTTTTTCCCGTCATCATTTCCGTCATCATTTTCGTCGGTGGTTTCATCCCCGAAGCTGACCGGGGATGATATTTCACGTGAATCTCTCGATTCGTCGGCTTCAGGCTCGTTCTCCCTGAGATCGTCGACGTCCTTGAGTTCCAACTCGTTGCGGCTAACCAGACGGGGTACGATGCCTATCACAGATGGAGAGAAAAAGCGGTGGGATCTACAGAATAGGGTATATCGGGCACGGCTGTCGATACCGAAGCATATTCCATTTAGGGTTTTTGAACACCCTAGGGAGTGCGTGGAAGTGGAGCAGATTACGGACTTGCTTGAGGTTGGTCCGCGTTCTGCGCGATAGGTGTACCACTGCATATCACGTACATACGATTGTTGTACTTCGCTGCATAGTGTTCACGGTAATATAAATTAGTTTCACATAAACACCGTTTTCCTGGGGATGATGCCCTTGGACCCTCCCTTTTGAAGTCCCTCACCGTCCGGCTTGGCGGGTCTGCAAGTCCTGATAGTCAGGATCAGTAGGGGCCACTTTCCGTTGAAGATCAAGTGTGGTGATGTTGGAGCTACGTGTCGATACCATTGAACTGGGAGGACAATCGCAGTCTCGGTGACTCATTCTCTAACCATTCATCGTACTAAATGTTGATTGGCGGATGATCTGCACACACAAGTCGGTAGAATCAGAATGACATGAAAGCAAGCCCTGGACAATGACACATTTTAAAAACGTGCTGGAAACTCCCCGAGCTTGTACATGTCGAGCTGGATCTCGAGAGAACTATTTTCGCGGAGGTGATATCCGATGAAGTCAGGGCAAGTATTTATTCAAGCAGTAATCGCGAAAACCATCGATGTAAAGGTACACCCTCGTGTCTGGAAACTGCTGATGTGTTGAAACGTCATCAATTTTATGCCAACAACTTACCCTACATCACCAGTAACTGCAACTCGCGATGTAAGATATTCATGGACAATTCCACCCGTTACTCGTCTGGGCACAACACGTAGCAATCTGGTCACTGGAGCTATAGATGGGAAACTCATAAGTAGCATTTGTACCTTGATCAACGTAGCGAGACACACCAAGAAGTCCCTGGGTTACAGTACCAAGCAGGAGGTCCAAAAACAGTGGAGACGATCGTGCAGCAGACATCTATGCACTGTCTGGCAACTGGGGAAGTAGTGATGAACGTTGGATGAGTTATTGCACCGATGAATGTTGGCACGGTACCCAGAATAGGCTCGGCAAAAGCGAGGGAGAAGGCAGAGGCGAAGACAAAGAATGTAGCGAGTTTCATAATGAGAAGGTACTGTTTTAGCTGGTATCTGGGGGGAAGGTAGGGGTAGGGGACATCTATAGGGTATTTATTCGGGTAGTAACCGCCAAAACAAAGGGTGTAAAAGCGCCACACAGTTCAACGTGGCGCGTTTGTGAGCCTTGATAGTCGGGACCAGTAGAAGTTACTTCCCATTGGACATCAGAGGTGGTGGAGTTGGAGCTTATTAGTGTTGACGCCAACCTTGGAAGACAACACACTCGAGAAGACCAATGTATAGCCAGAACACATTAACCATCCCGCGTGGCAGTTGTTGTATGGTGGAGGATCTATGGATATGAGTCTGCAAAATTAGTGACCAATCAACACCTGAGGAACGACTTTTGTATTTGAAAACGCACCAAAAGTTCCTCGAGCTTGTACTGTTTGCGGTTTTTGCCACGAGTCGACTTGATTACTTTATGTTTGCAGAGCCGACATTCGCACCCCTGCTGTAGACGCCATTAGAAACTGCGAAGTGTGAGCTGCACATATCTAGTGGCTGAAAACCCATACGAGGTCTGAGCGCCGCTGCGAAAGACCCGCTGGCAAACCTAGCATATAAAAGTGATTAGCCCTGACCAGTTGACTCAGCAGGTCGTTGGCAAAGGTACCCGACCGTCGGGTGTCCATTTTCCAGGATCTCGGATATTACAGACAAGAGTTACAACATCCCAGTAGGTTTTACATACAATTGAACAATTTCGGTGGGGCACATCTAGTGAGCCTACGCGCGAGATCCATACACGTCTTTGGCTTGGACACCTCCCTGTCCCTTGCGAATGTTGGACTGGGCCCACCTATTAAATAAAAGCATTAGAGTCACGATAGAACAGTGCAAAGAGCGGGACAAACTTTTTGATTCGGATGCTTTGGATCTGGATGAAGCCCGTGGTATCCGTAGGCTCGAACCCACCGAGCTCATCCATGGATGACTGTGCCTCGTCGTACAAGCCCTGCCGAAATATTAAATCGCGTCCGCCACTTCTCGGGTTTACATACCTCATCAGAGTAGCCTGCCCTCGATGATAACGTTACCCCTGTACAGCTTCAAACGAACAACGCCGTTGACTGTTCGCTGACTTGCGGGAATGGCACTCGTGATAAATTCACGCTCGGGAGAGAAGAAGGTGCCATTGTATAGTATACGGCCTAATTCGATCGGTGATAAACTGGTCGCGGAGTGCACGCACATTACGATCGAGGGTGAGACCCTCAATGTCCATATGAGCGGCACGCAAGATGGTGGCTCCCGGAGATTCGTAACAACCTCGGGACTTCACACCGATAAAGCGATTCTCGACAATGTCGATACGTCCGACTCCGTGCTTTCTCGCGAGGGCATTGAGACCCAAGAATATCTCGACAGGGTCTGTGAACGTCTTTTGGTCTTCCGTCGTGACCTTGACCTGGAAGACCAGCCCTAAATTCGATGGAAAGACGCTCGGGCTCAGAAGGCGCCGCTTCGGGCTGGACAGTGAGTTTCCACATGTCGTCGGGTGGAGTGACATTGGGGTCTTCCAGAATACCAGCCTCATAAGAGATGTGGAACAAGTTCTCATCCGTGGACCACGGCTTGGCAGCGGTCTGCTGGACGGGAATCTGCTTCTCTGCTGCATAAGCTAGAAGAGCCTGACGACCAGGGAATCGGTCATAGAACTCTGTAACGGTGTGACTGATAGTAAATACAGAAGCGCCCGCTTATACGTACCAGGTATGCGCCATGGGGCAATAACTTTGATGTCCGGCCGCAGGCCGTAAAACGCAAGCTCAAAACGAACTTGGTCGTTTCCTTTTCCAGTGCACCCATGAGAGACATAGCTTTTGAGATATGTCATAACGAGTTTGGAAACTCCACAATGAAAATCATGATCTCACTCGCATCCTTCCGTATCAGCGACTTCGATCATGCCGCGGGCAATGACAGGTCGGGCAAGTGATGTCCCGAGAAGGTATACGTTCTGTGTACTACGATGTTTTATCCCTAGATGGACAGGAGACTGTGCAACCCACCTCGTAGATGCAATTTGCTTGCATAGCGGGGTATATGAGTTCAGTCACGAACTCGCGTTTGAGATCCTGGAGATCCGCGATAAGCATGATAATATGACTGTAAAACTGGCCTGACCTGTAAATAAAACTTCTTGGCACCTACTGCGAGTGCCTTTTTGCGAGCAGCTTCGAAATCCTACAGATTAAAATGAACACAGTCCAGATAAAAACATAGTCGGTCGCGTTACTTACCTCTTCCTGGCCGACATCAGCCATAAAAGCGACAACTTCGTATCCTTGCTCGATCAGCCATGCCAAAATGCAGGAGGTATCTTTGTATCCGATCACATGTGCTCTTCAGTGAAGATCGGGGCGTGTCTGAGGTGCGCCTTACCGAGACCGCCAGAATAAGCTAACAAAACGCGACCTTTTGAAGTGGACACCATGGTTTTCAACTATTGACGAGGGAGAACTAATCGATCCGAATTACTTGCTTTCTTATAGGTCCTTCGGAGTTGATAATTTAGTTTAATTTCCTGTGTAACCGGTCACAATTCACGTGACATGTTGCAGTCACGGTCACAGTGTGACATTAATATTGTCTCAGTCACGGACCAATCCGGGGCAGGCGTGGTCCCTTTGACAATTGACCACGGCAGCAGCCCTCCAGCAACCTGCGAGATATTGTTGAATAGTGTTTACGGTGAGCACGTAGTCTTCTGTGTTATTGGTGGTAGCATCGCTGACGCTGATCCTTGCAGCCCCTGCGATGAATGTTACCGATCGCAACAATTCCCGACGCGGTAATAACAGTAACGTACACCGGCGCGCCTTCCATCTGCCCACGGAGGTGCAGTCAGTACCCAAGCAGTCGAGTCGCCGCCGTCCACCAGGCTCTCCTGAACGGACGAGCGTGCAGCACATGGTTCTGTCAAATGTCGCGATGCCTACCATTGATGAGTCATCCCAAGTAGACCAGAGCAGGCGGAAGAAACCAGTTAATCTATCGTCTGTCCCTACGACCTCCCGTTCTTTCATCGTCGCTATCGATGAGGCCAGCTCAGATCGTGGCCGCAAGTCGAAGGCAAGACAGCGCCACCACAATCGCCATCTCTCGGAGAACGGCGCACAAGCTGGAGTGCCTCACCCGGTACAGACAGTCTTTTCCATACCAAAGGAAGAAAGATCAAAATCTCAGGAGTCAACGAGACAGCCCTCAAAATCTGCACCATCAGATGCCGAGAGTTCCGCTCGCAACTTTATTGACCTGCATTCAGGACTATAGCGGCCCACTTGCCGCAGCTGAGTTTGCTAAAATGAAACGGGAAATCGATAATTTGAGAAGAGTATGCACTATTTCATGAAATAATGCATGTCATTGATGTTTTTCTGCAGTTGGCTCAAGAGAACAAAAAAGTTGTCAAGAAGCAAAACAAGGTAAATATTCTGGACGGATCGAGCTACATGGTATTGACGTCCTCTCAGCTCATAGAAGAGTTGAAGCAACAGGAAAACACTACTAATCAGGTACGCAGCGCGTGTGGGAGTTCGAAATGTCCGTCGACGATTCTCTTGGTAGAAATTGAAAGAAACGGAATCGCAGGTGCAAAAGTTACAGAGTAAGTCGAAGAAAGCCGAAGAGGTGCGTCACCATCCGATCTACCTGCGCGTAATTTATAGGGCTGGTTTGCTTGCGCCCAGTTCATGAACACAGCGGAGAATAATGTACAATGTCAGATTTGTATGGAACTCCTCCTGAAGCCGTATGCGTACGTGCACAGGAGGGCGTGGTGGTTGTGAGCCTGCTGACTAGCAGCACAGACTTTCGCCATGTGGCCACGTGCTATGTGTTACTTGTCTTCAGGAATGGTTCCGAAAAGCTCCCATGGGTGACGATGACATGGATGATGTCGATAATCCAGCTTACATCCTTCATCGCCGCAAGACATGTCCGTGTTGTCGCGCTGCGGTCCTCCATCGTCCTATTCCTATTTTTGCAGTTAAATCCATCGCCGCGGCACTCGCCAAGGCGAAAGGTACATCTGCCGTAGCATCGCTGAACCGTGATGCTACCAGTGAATTGGATCCATGGGAGGGTATATTCCCGCCCCACAGCCAAGTGAGTGGACGGGAGGCAAGTGAAGGGGACGAGGGCGAAGAAGATGACGACGACGATGACTATGAAGAGGACGACGACCATTCCTCCGATTGGTACGAGGATGTTTTCAGTTATGGGACTGACAGCGATGAAGAGCCATACCTCGGCGGGTACGTATATCCCCAGTGGGAGCCGCCCACTGTGATCGTAGATGAGGATGACTACCTCTTCGAGCAACTAGTCCCTGGTGAATTCAACGCTCTTCGGCGCGGCGCGACCCTCCAAATGTTGCGTGAATATGAGATGCGATACTCGCATGACGAGGGTCTTATCGCGCACGACGAAGAGTTCAACCGCTACTTTCTCGGGTGGAACATTCGGTTGAGTTCGGATGATGAAAATGGGGAAGGATTCATGCAGTACATCATGGATGACGTGACCAATCGACCGGAGAGGTGGCGGATAGCAGAGTACGATGACGGGACCTTCGACGCTCACCTTCTTGTTCGCGAGGATGAAGTCCACGACTATGCCGACACGGACTCGGATTACAACTACATGGATGTGGATGGCCGATAGTAGGCTGAATCATTTTCGTAATTCCTGATAGAGGTAAAAGTTGCCAGGGCGTTCTTCATATTTACTTGGGAGTGTAACTACTACAGAATTAACTACATACGAAGCTGTATATCCTGTTCTTGATGGTGTATTGATGTTGTACTACAAATCCCATACATCTTTTTCTGATTGCAGCGGTGATGCAGAGGCTGCTGTACAGGATCCTGTGTAGACGACGGGCTATATTGCTGTGCCGAGAAAACACTTTGCATGTATTTGGCGGTGGCGCTGCCTAGCCTAGCCTAGCCTAGAGAAAGGCAAGCACCCATAAGTCAAGGATCACAAATCGACCACAACGTCCCAAGGCAAGGCTTGGAATATTCAGCGGGCTGCACTGTTGGGACCATTCGACGACCCTTTTGCAGCCTACTTGGATCAGCACGCAGGACATACTCTGAGCGGATTTTTGCAGTGTAGGACGTGACCCGTCGAATCAGGCAAATACGAATGCAGGAAGCAGAGGAGCTGGGTATGTCAGACTCCCACCACAGGACATGTAGGGTACTCACTCCTGCGCAGATACGTGCCGGATATGCAGTGCACCAGGGGAGCCGGACCAACCACTTTTCCACCCTTGTAAATGTTCTGGCACTATCCGATACATCCATCAAGACTGGTAACGTTTCAGCCAAAGACACTAGGTTCAGTGGTGACTGACCCCATGGACCACCTAGTTTGACGACATGGCTATCACACAGCAAAAAGAAAACCTGCGACGTCTGCAAGCATCCTTACTCCTTCACGAAAGGTATACCACATGTCCACTAGCGACTTTGATAATTAACTCATGAAGAAAAATAGTTTATGCCGCCGACATGCCCGACACGCTCCCGCCCTTACTTCTCGTTCGTCGACTCGCCCAACAGGCTCTCTTCGGCGTTCTCTTCGGCCTTCGAGCTGTAATGATTGCCATCATATGGCTTGCCGTGCTTCCTTGGATAACGATATGGACGTGGAGGTTGTACTTTACGATGGGAGAATCCACGTGTGTACACTTAGTGCTATCTACACATCAAAGGGCTAATCAACTACTATGTAGTGCGTTGTGGATAAGCGGGCGTGATCAACTGCCGAGCTCTTCCTCTGCCGGACTCGTGTCACTTGAAATTTCCAACGAAACCGTTTCGTCTTGGAGTAATTCAACGATCCTTCTTCGACTTACGACACGGCCTTTTTGGCAATCCCTTTCTGCTGACATATTTGCCGGTCAGATCATAGCGTCGCTGATAGTCCTCACTTTTGTCGCTGTTTTTCTTTTGCGCGAGTGGATCTCCCAGAATGCCAGGCCTGGAGTATTTGAAGAAGAAGAATTTGGCGTACCTCCTGCGATGAATGCTGCAGTTTTGGAGCCAATACCCATTGTTCCAGACCCGGCAGAAGCTCGAAGGTCGTCTCAACCCCCGAGCACCATTCCCCATGGGCAGGGACTTTGCAGCAGGAAGAGAGGAAGCCCGACGTCAAGCTAGGTTCATGCGGGCACGTCGCGGCGGTATGATGCAGAACGGTCAGCCCGAACGCCCGCGACGGCAGAACAATTTAGAAAGGGGACAGCCCTTGCGTGTTCTTCCCGTCCCTTTTCCTCAATATCCTGCCGTAGAACCACCACCGCTACCGCCTCCGAGTTCGCTTCAAATTCCCGATAGCAATGAACCTCCAGCTTCCACAGGGAAAGGCAAGGCGAGGCACCAGGATGATTTCGATGATGACGGGTCTGCTGGATTGCGCCGCAGGACCCGTAGAAAGCTGGATTCACAAGATGAAGATGGTGTCGGTGGTCCACCCTTCCCCGATTCTAGCGAATCCGCAATGCTAGCATCGGGCGCCTCCACAGCGTTAGCACCAGGTTCCTCCGCAGTCGTCCCTCCTGCACCATTCGAATTTACCTTCCGTGCACCACGATCAGTCAATGGTTCCGCTTATGACAACCACGACGCCCCTCCTGGGTCAACATCACAGGTGGAACCCCAAGGTCCATGGCATGCCGACGCAATTGCACCTCCGGAGTCAACCACCTTTGAAAGCTATTCATCCCGTCCAGAGCTAGTACACGACGAACCACCAGCATCCGAGTTACCCTCTTATGTACAGCCTGGGCCTGCTCATCAGGATCCTCTTGACGCGTCCGTTGATAGTGAGGTCCGAACCGATGTAGCGCGAGGCCCCTTTGTTGAAGAATCAAAAGAGACTTTGGATGCCAATCCCACTGTACCTGTTGCATTAGGGAAATACGCTTTCTTCCCAGGCGGTAGCAGCCCATATGTCCCCGGTCGAACTCCAAGTCCAGGAGAAGAATTTGTCTCATCCCCTTCGTCTTCGCACGTTCAAGCCGGACCTGCCCTCCGGCAGTTTTCAATGCCCAATACCACCACCCTGTCTGAGGGACTTACTTCTTCGGCAACCATCGCAACGTATACTCCATCAGAAGAACTTGAGGCTGGACCGTCGTCTGCGGCAAGCAGACACATAGACCGGGAGAAGTACGCGAGACAGGAGGTGGAGGATGAGTTCAACCATTACTTCCGCGAAGCAGCCACTCCCAAAGAAGCGTTGGAAGTACCGAATCCAGGCCCGGATCTGAATGGCTTGCACAAACCGGATGTACCCGTCGAGGATGATGAAGAGGACGAAGAGGGTGATGTCGAGCTAGAGGCAGAAGATCTTGATCGTGATGAAGATGACGACGAAGACGAGGACGACTTCGGTAACTTAAACATCGTGAACCGCCCGGGTGTACAGGCACAGCAAGCACAATTACAGGAAGCCGCTGAACAGATGAACGAGGGGGCTGATGATCTTGAAGCTGGTGTCGAGGACGATATGGAGGGCGCGCTTGAAGGTGAGTTTGTCGACTGACTTTTGGCATTCGATTCACTGAATCTTTGACCTAGCCATTGGCCTCCGAGGGCCGCTTTTCGGTGTTATTCAGAACGTATGTTGTTTACCCATCACTCTTCCTATTCCTAGCTTAAGGATGCTTGTAGGCTGTTCTAATGGTGCTTGTCCTTGATACCGCCATGGGATTTGGAATATGGCTTCCTTTCACCCTGGGAAAGACAGCCGCTTTGTTGTCGGTCAGTACATATTAATCCCTTAGGCGTCACAACCTCACGTTCCGATAGTTGGATCCTCCCCGAGCACTTCATATTCTTCATTTACCCATCCGCGCGATGAGAGTGATTACCGACCCCGTGGTGGACTCTGTCACATTTCTTCTTAGCCGTTTCATGCCTCCACTGTTCAACATGGCACTCGAACTTCTTTTCCGTTTTGTGCTATTCGCCGCGGAGAAATCGGTGGGACCTACAGCAGCAGCCACTGTGGTTGAGCTACGTTCTTGGGTGGTGTGTTGTCTTCGACTCTTTGATGTCCGGTTCTCACTGAAGCTTGCATACGTGTAGGCATCAGAAGGCGCGAAACTGTCCGAGAGATTGGTGGAATGGCTGCGATCGCCCCCTGAGGAACCGTCTCCGGGCTTGTCAAGTCACATCGAGGATTTCTTCGAAGGCGATTCTGCAATCGCACGCTTCTTGGAGCCCTACTTTGCGGAATTCGGTGGAAGCATCAGACTCGCCACTGAGCGGGCCCAGAAATCTTGGGTTCATTTAGCACTTGGTCACGGAGCGCCGGAGCGAACTTTTGCGATTTGTCTGGGCTATGCAGTGATTGCGCTCTGCCTTGCTCTTTACCTGAACGTGTTCACTGTTGGCAATGCACGAAGTGCAGGAAGGGCGGTAAGGAATGCTGTGAGACAGCAGCTACTTGTAGTGAAGGTGCGTTACCGCATTACTCGTTCAGCGTCAAACGCTGACTTCGTTGAACTTAGGTTGCTATGTTTATCATCATTGAATTGGTTATATTCCCACTTGGGTGTGGGATCATGCTCGATGCGTGCACGATATGGGTCTTCCCGGAGGCTTCATTTGCCTCGCGCGTCTCATTCTTCTCGCAAGCACCATTGACGGCTATGTTCTATCACTGGGTTGCCGGAACTATGTTCATGTGAGTGACAGTTTTCGTCAATTCGTGTGCTCCGACTAATGCGTCTGCAGGTACCAATTTGCCATCCTGTTGGCTGGTTGCAGGAGCATTATGCGCCCAGGTGCCATGTGGTTCATCAAGGATCCCCAAGATCAGAACTTCCATCCCATTCGCGACATCCTTGACAGACCCACATTGACGCAGTTCCGCAAGCTCCTTATCAGCGCATTCATGTATTCGATGGTGGTTGCCTGTGGTGTTGGCAGTCTTGCAATCCTGCTGTTCATCGGAAGCAAGTCAACCTTCCCCATCCGCTGGAAGACACGGTTTGTGCCGACTCCTCAGTTGACGACCGATTCGGCTCACTCGAGCATTCACAGTGATCCATTGTCCGACGTTCCCATCGATCTGCTTTTCCTCCAAATCGTCCTGCCATATACGATGCGCCATTTGAAACCTCGCAAGGTACTGCACGAGACTTCCATATATGTCTGGAGATACCTGGCTTCCAAGCTGAGATTGACGTCCTACATGTTTGGTGAGAGGACTACAGACCAAGAAGCAACGGTGCGGTACCGGACATGGATTGCATTTTTCTTGCAGTCGACGAAAGACGCTGTTACTGAGCGTGATGGGACGTTCCGTCGAGTGCCTGCTAGTGACAATATCGCACTCCCGAGGGACATGCGAGCGACTGCTGAAGTGTTTGAGAACGGTCTCCCCGCAACCGAGGAGGCGAGGGATCTCATTCGGCAGCAGAACAACGAAGCTGCCAAAGCCAAACGTGACATCAAGGCCGACTACATTGTCGTGTACTTCCCACCGCGGTTCCGAGCGAGGATTCTTACCTTTGTCGCTGCGGTGTGGACGGTCGTTGCGATCGTAGTGGCGGTCTGCATCGCTCTACCTGTGCAGATAGGGCGACGCTTTTTCGCGCTGTTCACTCCGTCCGAGTTGCACGACGGGTACTCGTTCCTTGTTGGGTTTTACCTGCTATGGGCGTGCTATGCCATCTCACAAGCCTCGGAGCGGATGAACAAGCGGAGGTTACGGATCAACGGTCCTAAACCGGGCTTTATGGTGTTCTTCGCGAAAAGAAGTCTACTTTGGCTTTCGAAGATTACTTATATGGTTGTCATGTTTGGGATCATCATCCCGACGCTGCTTGGCCTTGTTGTGGACGTCTATGTCATACTGCCCATCCGGTTAGGGCTGGATCCGACAATGGTTCCGAATATACGTATTGTGGATATGTGGTCCCTTGGTCTTATTTATGGCAAAATTGCGATTCGACTTCGCAGGCAGATACAACTTCCAGGTCGCTCCGCGCAAGCACTTCAGACAGTATGCGTCGCTTTCCTTAGCTTCCTTTGGCTCGGGCTGACTGCACTTTCGTCTTAGCTACTGAACAATGGCTGGTCAAACCCAGATCCCGCAACAGGCTACGAAGGAGCTCATTTTCCCGCTGGTTGCAGGTCTGCTAGGCATGCTTGTCATCCCTGCAGGTTTCGTCTACTTGTTACGTGAAGTCGTTGGACTTCCTCTCGGGACAAAATTCCTGTGTAGGTGTCCGCACCTGTAAACAGTTCGGTGCCGAATACTAATTATCCCATCCCAATACACAGTTGTACATGCATATCCTGGTATTTTCGGTGCAGCAGGTCTTGCCCGAATGTGCGTCTCCGCCACAGGACTTGTTGTCTAGATGGTCGCAGGCCGTACGCGATAAGGAGTTCCTAGTGGAGATGCGACTGCAGAATCACGAGTCCAATAGACCTGAGGAAGACAAGGCAGCTGCCACTATCGAAGAGCAAGTAGTGCAATAACAGTTGAGCATTTTTCACTTGCCAATACTGCAGCGGATGTCCCTGAGGTACGCATATGACAATGGGGATGTACAGACTACATACGCACGCACCGGCGGCAGGGGGCACGCAGAAGCAACTGCTCATGGCATATTTTTCAATATTGGACGGTTGTCCTGTTCCTTCCTCATTTTTTATTCACCCCCCGCATATGTAATAGTATCTGTACACTTCCTTGGGCTTTTTAATTAGTGCAACTTACAATCAGTCACGCATCTGCAGAGCTCGTACTTGCATGAGTCCGGAACAAGACCCGTGAAATGAAGTTCTGGGGTACTGTTTTCGGAGGAAGTAAAAGAACACGCCGTGGTCTACTCAGGGTGCAGGCCCTTAACGCAGCATGGAATGAGCAATAGCAGGTAACCCCTGGTCGAGAAAGTATTCCCTTACTTGTACTCAACAGTGCATTTCTCTGCCAGTAAGCAACAGTCCCTTCGTCTGCGATGCAGTTTGCACACCTTCAAACCATCCTTGTTACCTTGCATGACCGCCTATTATACATGGACGAAGGTTTGAATGGCGAATATCAGCGCGTTCTCGAACCACACTGTCTCCTTACACCTGATCATATGTATCTGCCGCAGTTTGCCGGACGATTTTTATTTCGGTGATGCCCCTCGAATCCTCGTTGACTCCGTGGGCAAATCAGCGCTGCTGAACGTACCGGTTTTTGCATGCCTTGTCGTCTCAACAAATTGTTTATCCACCGGTCGGCGTTTGACTTTAAATGCTGTTTGCGGGTGCTCTGCACCACTGGCCAAGGTAATGGTCACATTGACTCAGTACGACTCTCGCGCCTCCGGCATTGGACGCGGCCTATACAAAGTACCCGCAGGGACTCCGTTGATCGAATCGCAAGTCTGCTAAGGGGGCTATCCCAAAGACCGGTATTCCTCTTCAGGTGCTTGTTTACCGATCAATGGGCTAAATCCAGGTACAGCTGACCCCTGCGGTATTATGACTGGTGGAGGTCGGCTCCACGGCAACTTCTTGGGATTGATTCTAGCTCCTGACATAGTAGCGCGGAAAATCCCGATACTAGGGACCCCCTTCCAAGAACATCTCGAGACTACCACGTAGCTGGAACATTTCAGGGAATCGGACTCAATGTGTTCCTCCTAATCCTCCCAGGCGTACTACGACCTGGTTGGCGTGCCCAGCGACCCTATCATGTCTAAGGTGATACTCTCGGATGTGACGGATGTAGTTATGCCTCGAAATTCCGCTTCCACAACCTTGCCACTTACAAACCAGGCGGACCTCACGGGCCAGCCCTACGATCCGATGGACGTCTCTGAAGTGGTCCGAGGCATCACCACAATTGATGAGCTCCAAGCACTCCCAGCCATCTGGATTGGTGTAAAGACAAAGAGTAGTGGGGCAGTTCGTGTATCGATTCTGTATGATTCAGATGGTCAACGTCCCCTCAATATATGCAGTTCAGAATGCACATACCGCTCGTCTATCTGTGGTAGGAGTTTGCGGAACAGCATTGCCTAGAGTATTGTATGTGCTGCATCGCCATGAAGTCAGAGGATACTTTTGAGGTTGGGATAGAGAAGAGCATACCTATTTACTGTGGAACTAATATAGTGTTCCGGGACCCATCCGCTGTTGAAAGACATCCAACGGTGATCGAGAAACAAACCATCATCCTTTTATATTGGGAATGCGCAAAGACGGGCAAGGGCAACTGGTATTGACGCTTGATTAGGCTGCGAGAATTGGTTGTACACCATGCGATTGATACGGCTGGAGGTTGCATGTGGAGAAGAACGCAACGGCGCACAGCAGTGATCCTCAGGGAGACACGGCGGTAACTTATTGAATCGATGGTATCACTACCGTACAGATTAGGAAAAATTGCCCGTTCGAGCATTGACACCAGTAACAGCACGAGATAGGGGAGGGCCTCCACACTTATATTACAGAGGTGTCTCTCCCAGGTCCCAAAGTCGGCGGGCGCCTATCAAGGGGAGATTAGAAGAAGGGACGATCGGTGTGACAGACAGCGGCCATCACCCATGGATAAATAATCTTTTCCAATGGAACTTACTTGCAGGAATACTGTCAGTGCCACGTGCGTTCAGAAGTGAAAACCATCACGCCCGAGGAATGGAAAATTCCGGTCAGCAACTGAAACTCCGGGGTTGGAATTCTTCCTCGATCTGGCGATATTGCTCTAAATGATCTGCAGTGCAGTGGGCACTGCACATACTACTTCAATTATTTCTGCACCCGCTGTGAATGTCGCATCCAGTGGACAGGCAATGGTGGGCGCCAAGATCGGTGGGCCCCCCTGACCCAAAGATGGCAACAGATGATGTTCAAGTGGAATTACCAAGTGTAAGGGGACTGTTCAACATGAATTGCTCAGCGAGCAGATTGTCACCCCTATGAATGTGATGCTCCCAATGGACGCTGAGCCAGGTCATTAATAGGTATGTTGGCGGGCGACGCGTGACAGATGACGACTTACAGGACAAGGGATACGGGAAGCAAAGTGGACGGGTACGCGAATCGGAGGAGACCATTACGACGACGGTCCCAGAGACTCTGAGTGTTGTCCGTCCTAAATGGGTTAGCTGAAACGCAAAGCGGGATCATTTCTAAGCGCCGAGGGAAGGAGAACGTGTGTAATCTGAACAGGTAGGGATGAGGGATGAGAAAGTCAGGAGCCATGGATACGTTTCACCATTCCGGGAGAAACGTGACATAGAAGACCCGTCATATACTGGAGGTCCGCTTTCCTGGCACGTTGTGTGAGACATCGGCCAAGTTGCTTACATCATCTAGACTGCAAGGGCTGAGGTATTTTTGCTTTCGGTGGGTAAAAAATTCACATACCTCCAGGCTTCTATTGTTCTCATTAATACCACCCATCATCTCCAAAGACGTAACCTGAAGGCGTTCATCGAGGCACGCGGCTGCGAACTGAAGTAGTCCTCATACAATCCATCCTACCGTGAACTCTTCTGCTTTGAACCCGAAGCGATTGTATGATAGCTAGTGGGTGGATAGTAAGTGCAAACCCAAAGGAAAAAAAATTACCGCGGCCGGATTATTGGCTGAAACGTACAAGGTGGTGTCTCGATGCGGATTGAGCGAGGACAAGTGATAAAGGAGACTTCTAGATGAGGTTTGCATTGTCAGTCATGGTGTAGTAAGTTGTCGACCCAATCGGTCGACGAGTCAGGGGATGCGTACGTGGCTATTTGCGGGCTTTCCCAGCCTGCGCGGTCAGCGAGGTACCCGATGTTGGTTTCTTGGGGAGAACTCAGAAGTGCTACGCCAAACCCCAGATGACCGTAGGCGGTTATGGCGGTATAACGCTCTGTTGGAGCATTTCAGTGAGTCGGTAAGTTGCAAGGTAGCTCAATAAGTGGAGAAAGTAAATATGATGTTGGCCACGACTCACTGTTGATCCCATCCCAAAATACCCTGGCCAGGAGATCATGAACTTGTGATAGATGATGTGGTTGAAGAGAAGTACTACAGTTTGCCTGTTCAGCAAATGACGTCATGTGAGGAAGCACTAACTTACTGTGCAAGAGAATAGTGTTCGTGGATATTTTCTAAAAGGTCCATCCAAGGCGTGCGAGTTTCCCAATCGACAGCAATAAGACCAGGAACCTTCCGGCGCTCCGACCCATACAAGCGAAGGAATTCTCATACAAGTAGACTGAACGGTTCTAAGACGGTCAACAACTGCCGGTGGCGCCGAGGACGGTTGTGGGATCTGCAAGGAAATCAAAGAAGACGATTTTGAGGCGTGGAGAGCGATCTGAACGTTCGATTTGCCGCGTTGCTGTTATCAGCATCAGCCGAGGTTGCACCGCCGGGTAGCGAATGAACGTACTCAAAGTTTGAGGCTTTGACTTTCAGAAGATAATGGATACAGCGACGGATGGTGTTCCCGCTCTGTTGTTTCTCTTGTTCACGTAGGCTAGTCCAATATCGCAGTCGTCTCATAGCGAGATAACGGCCGAATTACCTCATCCTAAAGAAGAAGCTAGGAGTATGACGCCGTAGACATCACACGAGAGATTCCACCCACTAACTCACTGATGCTGGGCCCAGTGTCCCGTCTACAGGGTACTCGGGGAAGATGCCCCTAATGGCGGTGTCAAAACAACCGTCGTCACATGTTTCTTCATCTGACATTGGTAGCCATCATACCACTGGCAATACCCATGAACAGCAAGCTTAGGGCTTGAATGGTAGTGAAATTTTTGCTTCCTTATGCAAAACATATACAAACCAAGTCTGTGTGGAGTTCAGTGGACTTCCAAGTTGATACCTGGCTGTGGGCACATGGTGATCAACCACTCATACACTATGCTGTTGACTATCACTATGGTCAAGAATCACCTCATTACCATGGAGGAGGAAGAGGAGGAGGATGACAAAGATTCCAGGTCTGATCTCATTTGGAGGGTGCTAGTCATGCAGCAGGTTCAGAACTATGCAACAGTTGCCACTGTACTTGGAATATACCAGGCTGCAATCACAACCCTTCAAAGCACTACCCCAGAACCTTACCACACATCTTCTCTTTCAGGACAGGGATGGGTAGGTGAACTGCTTAATGGGCACCCCTGGCAGATCAGAACCAAACTTGGTGTTCACAAACATATCTTCCTCAGGCTCATATCTATCCTTCAAGAAGGGCAGCTTCAAGATTCAAGAAACATCATGCTAGAAGAGCAACTGGCAATTTTCCTGTACACAATGGTTATGGGTTTATCAGCCCAGCATATCAGTGAGTGATTCCAACATTTGATGGACACTATATCATGGTGAGTGTACAGTCACCTGAATGCATGGAATTTCTGCTAATCATATATTTTACCCAGGTATTTCAAATGAATGCTCCATGCATTCAGTGAGGGTCCAATTTATACCACATATGTCTGCCTTCCCAGAGCTGATCACATAGTGTAGTCACATTTAGTCACAACACATGGGCAGCCTGTGTGCCAAAACACCAACACTTGTATAGACCCTGAGACAGGCCTGCCTAAATAGATTAGCCAGTACACATGGACAGGCCTGAGGGACTAAAGTGAGAGCAACATATGTATGGGCCTGTAAGTGCATTACCACAACATATGGGAGGGCCCATGGTGGGTAAGGATGTTGAAACATTTAGATGGGCCTGTGACCAATTAAGTATACTGAGTTGCTGTAAGACATGGATGGGCCCATCCTGGTAGGTTACACCCCTGTCACAACATCAAGGCAGGCCCACCTATCATAACATGGAGAGGGTCACAACATAAGGATGGGCCTGGGAGTAATATCATTTATGGTGTTGCAACATCTGGACAGGCCCATTCATAATAAGCTGTACCCCTGTTGCAACATAAAGACAGGCCTGTCGACAGTAAGATGTACCACTGTTGAAACATAAAGATGGGCCCATCACTAGTATCATTTAATGGAGTCACAACATATGGACAGGCCTGTCCACAGTAAGATGTACCTCTGATGAGACATAAAGATGGGCCTGTCAGTAATCTCATGTATAGCATCACAACATATGGATGGGCCCTTCAGTAGTATTATGTATATTGTCACAACATATGGGTGGGCCTGGCCCCAGTAAGATGTACCCTGTTGAAACATAAAGATGGGCCCATCACTAATATCATTTAATGGAGTCACAACATATGGACAGGCTGTTCAGTAGTATTATGTATATTGTCACAACATATGGATGGGCCCTTCAGTAGTATTATTTATATTGTCACAACATATGGGCAGGCCCAGCCCCAGTAAGATGTACCCTGTCAAAACATAAAGACAGGCCCATCACTAATATCATTTAATAGAGTCACAACATATGGATGGGCCTGTCCACAGTAAGATGTACCTCTGATGAAACATAAAGATGGGCCTGTCAGTAATCTCATGTATAGCATCACAACATATGGACAGGCCCTTCAGTAGTATTGTTTATATTGTCACAACATATGGGTGGGCCTGACCCCAGTAAGATGTACCCTGTCAAAACATAAAGACAGGCCCATCAGTAATGCTGTTTAATAGCATCACAACATAAGGACAGGCCCTTCAGTAGTATTGTTTATATTGTCACAACATATGGATGGGCCTGTCAGTAATATCATCTAATAGCATCACAACATAAGGACAGGCCCTTCAGTAGTATCATGTATATCATCACAACAAATGGATGGGCCCATCTAGCAAGATGCACCCCTGTCACAACATAAGGACGAGTCCATGTATGGTATTCTTAGGCAGCAGAAAGGGAGATCCAAGCTATCTACATAAGGACGGTCCATGTAAGGCATTCTCAGGCAGTGGAGGGGGAGATCAAAGGGATCTACATAAGGATGGGCCCATCCATGGTATTCTCAAGCAGCAGATAAGGGAAAACAAAAACCAGTGTTACAACATAAGATGGGCTGATCCATCCATTGCAGGATTACAAACCCTTGGCACTGCATAAGATGGGCCTATCCATAATTGGGTTATCCCCCTGTCACAATATAAGACAAGCCCAGGAAGACAAGAGATGAAGAAAGTGGAACCTCTTGCACTATAGAGTATCTGAATTTCCCACTATAAATTGTGTTTCATGTTGGACAATTTGCCTATTTAGTTGGAATCTCAGGTGCTGGTCTATGTAGCTGTGAGCCAGGCTCCACCATTGGAGCAGACAGGAAACATGCAAAACAAACAGCAATGCTATTCCAGAACAATGCATCATATTTTTATCTGAGCCTCTGCTTCATATATGCATTCAGGATTATTGACTTGTACTGGTATTGCTGTCATGCCATGGGAATCATTCATAGGCAGGATAAAAAATGCAACATCCATGTATCTTGTTGTCCATCTTTAACCTCTGACTCTTCCACTCTCCAATCACCATCACCACTCTCACTGTCAAACTACTCCATTGTCTCATCATCAGAAACATGTTGTCATCATTGTCTTGCAAGCTCTTCAAGAAATTGCCTGAGCTTGATGCTGTGGCCAACTGCATCCTTCAAATTTACTTCAAGGATATCACAGAAAGCAGCAAGCTGGGAAAGGCAGACAAGATTGTGAAGTGGAGAGGTGCCATCAAGGTGATAAATGATGAACTAGTGTGTCATAGCATCATCACATTTTTTTCACTAACTGATGCATTCAGGATGCTGTACATGACCTCATTGCTAGGATGGATGAGATTCCAATGACCCTCATCAGTGTCAACACATTCTTAAAGTGGCATGAAGACCTCAGCTTGATTGAGCACCCATGGCCTGAGTGGAAGACTGCCATAGCCCCTTCTGAAACCAATGTTGCCAACCACAAGTGGCTTGACATTGTCAAGCATTGATACAACTACCACCAGTTGGGCCTCCATATGCCCCTGCATGGTGCCAACACCAACACCACCTGCTCAAGAGACTGAAATGCCTATGAGTGACAAAGGAAAATGGAAAGCAACTGAGGCAGAGGTGGAGCAAATGATAGTGGATAGCTCACACAGGATGGAGGTGGATGATGAGGGTGAAGATGAGGTGCCAGAGAAGGAGGATGATGAGGAAGAACCAGTGCGAGGCAGGCAGAAGTGCAAAGCTGCCACAAAAATGACATCCCATTGATCCAGATGTTGATCCTGCTCTAGGAAGGCAACAGCAGAAACCAATGATGACAAAGACATTCCTGCTCAAGGCCAATCAAAACACAAGCCTTGTCCACCATCAGATGGACTATACAGTTGTGCTGCTGTAGCTTCCAGAAGGACACCTTCCCCTGACCCTCATTCCTGTGAGTCATGCTACAGATGCAAGGTCTGATGCTACAAGAACCACAGGAAGTCCTGCTTCCTGTGCAACAGTCGCAAAATTTGATGTAGCCATGCCAAAGGCAGGATTGCTGCTCCAACTTGATGGAATCCATTGCGAGCCAGGGGAAAAAAGCAAGCTTGAAGTCTGTCCCTGATGATGGAGGCCTGAGAATCCCAAAGCCCAAAGGAATGTCCCCCAAAGTGATACATTTTGATGGCTTCCAAAGCCATCAATGCCAGGGTTGGGCCCTCCAACCAGGGAGAGATGATCCCTCAGGGATCTTCACTCAGTATGTTCACAATTTCATGTATTTACACTGACTCAAATTTTATTTAGAGATTTGTATTCCTGCATTCAAACACAGGGATTCCTGCCCAATCCCAGCCACTGTACGAGCAGATTTGATCGTTGAGGCTGGCCCATCTGTTGTGCAGGAGGTAGGGGGATCTACAGCAGCAGGTCTGTTTAATCACTCTACATTTATGCTAATTATTGCAGTCAACCCTTGTATTCAAAGCAGACACCCACCCATTGACAACAGCAGCACCTGTCCAACTTGCAACCACTGCAACTCCCAGTGCACCATCACCTTTCTGTGCCCCAAGTGCTGAGGTGTTGCAAATGTCCAACACAATCAAAGAGCAAATCAAAGATTTGGAACATTGACTCTGCAATGCTGAGGCCCACTGCCAATACTATGAGGATCAAATGTATGATTTCCAAATACAACAGGATGAAACCATGCAGACACTGGACAGGATGGCTCATGAGCTGGAGGCTCTGCATATTCAGGTATATGGATGAGCATTGGGTGACAATCTCATCAATCTCTTAGGGCCTCTGGCAGATGAGACAAGGGTGGATAGGACAGCAGGGTGAATGAGGCCATCTATCATTTTACTCCTCCACAGTACATACAATGTCATTTTATATTTCCATTTTAATTGACCACTTGTGCTGCA